TATACGTGGTTTTCTGAATTGATGGTCTATCGATCTGCAAGCGGCTGTGAGTACTAGCATCTTATAGCCATTTCCAGAGTCGGACCACGTCGGAGAAGTGAATTGAACTTGAAGTCCCTGAGGCACAAAAGTCAGACCATCTGCCACGTCGTACAGTCCCGGACAACCAAAGACAACAAATTCGGTGACCGGATTTCCTGAGGTCCAGCAGCCGTGGGAACCCCAATTTTATTGCAGAAACGAGTGATTTAGACTCTAAAGAAGAGATTGGCACGAGCCGATTTCCCATAAACACCCTGTAGCCTTCAATAATGGGTCGGGATGGGCCAAAATTTTGGCCGTATACAAAACAAATCGGGAAAAATGCGGAAAATATGCCAATCGACTCCTTTCAATGAGCTGAGTCTGATTCTGGCTTAAATATAATAATTGGACCAGCTGATATGCAATAATAGCTCTCATAAGTTCAGGCCAAATATGGCAGTCAAGGTAACATGTGCAATAAATTTGAACTTCCTTGTCAGTGGGCGGCCTCAGAAGGAGGTCTGAAGTATTCGAAAGCCTAGATCCAGCTCCATGCAAGGGTTACAGGTCCCCAAAGGCTCAGGGCATGACCTGGGAGGTCCGGTGACTGTGTAGAATGTCGTTGAAATGGCCCAAAATTTTGGCCGTATCAAAAAGTCGTGGGAAAAATAGGGGGACCTCATTTTTGGATGTTTCCAGCCTCCCTGAGTCCGAATCTGAAGTCGGTTTCCCGCCAAAAAATCTCGTTCGATCAGAAATCAATTTGTTGCCTTTGCTTGTCCGGGACTGTACTCCGAGTCTCCAACTCCGGCGACATTGTAATTTGATGACCTGTCCGATCTGCAACGACTGTAGGCCCTGCCTGAAGGCACACAGATATCGTCCGAGCCAGCGTCGTTGCCAGTGGCCACAGACTTCGGAGACGCCCCATTTCCGGATATGGCAGGCATAGTATTCAAGTATCTAGACGTGCTCCTCCTTGAGACTCTTTCTCTCTATCCACGGGCGGCTCTATCGCTCTCTGGCTGGCAACACATTCTTGTTTGCTTCAATGCAGGCTGATCTATGTGTCATCCGAGACGAGCGCGTCTCATGCTCCTCCGACGATCTCGATACTGGCTGACGAGTGGTCAGCCTGGGTTGAAATCTTGATATATGGCTGACCTCGAGACGACTGACGGATCTTCTCGTGGATATCTACCTGTCCTTCGCGCCCTCAAGCACCTGCAAGTAGTCATGAACGACAATTTCTTCAACATTGCTTCCATCCTGACTGCTCTTCGGGGCTTGCGACCGCCCGATCCTCCGCCTTGGGCCGGGTCGGCCATCCGTCAGCCTATTCTGCGGTATCTACCTCACCGTTACTGGGACTCCCAGGGACAGAAGATTCCATCTGTACTTGAATACAAGGAGGCCGATCTTTCCTCAAAGGGTGTATCGGCACAGGAATTTATTCAGAATGAGAAGATCCACCGTTCCGTCTTGGACTTCGTCGATGTCAAAAGGGTACTAATAACATCCTAGACTTTTTTTATCACACTCATGTCCTTCATTTAGGCCTTCGCGACTCTGGTACTGCCCTCCGTCTCTGCTGTTGCTCAAGAACCCTTGGCCGTAGCCTCCTTTGGTGGATATGAATGCAGCGATGATCCTATGGAAGACGGTGAAGCGCAAGAGGGACAGTCTCTGCTAACCCAAGATAGTTTCGCTGACCTGCGGCCTCTTCTGGAGTACTACTCCTCGCGTTCGACCAGCTTCACGGACTCAACATCGGTTCTCTCGAGTTTATCTTCTCTATTCAAAGCAGAGTTCGACTATGACCCGCAAGACCGCCCATCGATCGCACCTTCTTCGATGCAGTCGGCGATGTCACTGCTGCCTAACGACGAGCCGAATGAGAACGTTTTGTCAAGCCCCTCGATTGTCTCCGCTAGCTCTATTGTGTCTGGTATTTCGGCCCTATTCGTCGGAGATGATGAGACTTCTGTGGAAGTTGGCCGATCCGCGTGCACCCAGCTGGCTCCCGCCTGGTCCGCTCTGTCAGGTCTGTCGTCCTTCTTTGACCCCGCCGACGATTCTCAGGACTACCTGGACAACGGCCTGCCCTCAAGTTCGTCCCTTCCTGCCATGTTCTCCCTGGAAGCTAGTTTTGCTCTGGTAGTCCTTGCGCTTGCCGAAATTTCCGTCGCCCTTGACACTGCTGAAGACCTCACTGACAGCGAGGAGTCCGCGGACATCAGCCATGCCTCCATGGAAGGGATTCAACAGGACGCCTTCCACGCCGAGTCTGATGACGAGAATCGCTCTTTCTCCGTCCTTGAGGAGCAACCTGTCGAAGATCCCATAAGCGAAGTCGGTCGTCAAATCCAAGATGCAGCGCAAGAGGAAGTGGCTAGAGAAATCCACGAGAAAGTAGTCGACGTGGAACATGGAGCCGAGGGATCCGTTGTATCCGCGCCTGAGGAACAACTGGCGCAAGAAGTAGACGGCAAAATCGATTTTGGAATCCAGGAGCAGGAAGTACCTACTGGACTGGGAATGAAGGAGGAAGACGCTGTATTCCTCAACGAGAGCAGCGAGTCCAACTTCAACAGAGAAGTCGACATGCAGTCTGAGGCGGAGTTCGCGATGCACGAAATCTTGACAGACAAGACACCCGTCCTTGAAGAGAGTCTCGAGTCTGGTTATACCGAGGAAATTGACGAAAAGGTCGAGACACAAACGCTTCTTGCGGAGCACGAAAAGCTGGAAGACCAAGAGTCCGATGAGGAAGATTACATACTTGAGCAAGTCCAAGTGGAGTCTACAACACCGCAGGGGAGTCCTCCCGTTCGTCAGAAGAAACGCGTTCGCTTTCAACTCGAGATTGGTATCGTCGTACCAGGTCAAGACGAGGGCGCCTCCACGACCCCTGCGGGTAGACCCCGTCGTAAGCCGCGCAGGCATATGCGCTTTCAGGTCGAGGTCATTCCTCCTTATACTGGGAAAGGCAAGGTGATCTCAACGACGCCGGAGGGCGTCCCTCCTCAGCAAGGTATTTCTCATGAGGGTCAAACTGGCACTCCTCCTGGTACTCCCCATGCGGCCCAATTCCGCGCTAAGGGGAAAAGCGCTTCATGCTCGCCCATCTCGAGGCCCAGCGCTCGTAAGGTCGGGAAGAAGCAGATAGCCAACCTTAGTCTCCCTGTTTTCAATCGCAAGGCTGCTGCACGAACTCCCGGGCGACCTCAGCGTGTCGTCGACGATGTCTTTCTCCTCTCAAGTGACCCGCCTGTTAGGGTGCGACCTGAACATGTTGTCGACGATGTTTTTCTTCTGTCCACTCATCTGTCTGCCCAAGATGTGCCACTGGGACCGTTCCGGCCATTGTCAAAGTTGAATCGGAAAGTCAAAACGTTGCGTCGACCTGAGCATCTGTCACCCGTGCCGAAGACAAGTGAGGCTGCTTCTGTACCTCGTCCCGCCAGTCCTACCGACGATGATGAGGAATCGACCTTAACTCTCACTGAAATCCAGGATTTCCGTCTGCGTCTGGAGGCCACCCGTACCAAAGCATTCCCGCCGCCTCCACCTGTGCCTGGGTGGGATGACGACTCTGCTCGTTCTGTAGTCGAGGATCTGTCGGCACATGCTCGTCCTCAGGAGTGTTTATCTAATTCGTGTGTTCCAACGCAAGCTCCAGTCGAACAGGAGCAATCTGTGGACTGTGGTACGTCAGGAGTCGAAGTATCGCATGCTCCTCACCTGGTGCAGCGGTCGCAGCGCACCATGGTCTCTGTCGATACCTCCGTGCGAGACGCTCAAGTGCAGCGAAGCCCAGTGACTCCGTCGACATCCGCTTACAATCTGGTCTACCATTTGCTCAGGACTCCTGGCAGGTCGCCTGTCAAAGACAAGATGGATATGGATCTGTATCCGTTGTTCCCAAAAGGGTGGTCTCTGTACAGCAGACCCGTTGTCGATCCGGTCGATGCTGCTCCATGCTCCCGAGCTTTCTCTCTCGAGTCACCGATTGAATTTCCGGAAATGCCTGCCTTATTCCTGGCCTCTGACAAGACTGCCCAACCCGTGCCTGGGGTCGCTTCCGCTGCTGCTGTTGACCATGAACCTATGGATACGTGCCCCATCGCTCTGCCCTCTGACGACAATGCGCATCCGCAGCTCGATGCGGCTGTCGTTACAATTCCTGATTCCGAGCCTATGGACGTGTTGCCGGCGGAAGTGCCGGCCCCGGTGCTGGCCGCTATGGATATCCTAGTCGGCAGCCTGACTCAACTCTCGCTAGGCCCCGCAGGCGAGGACGGTGGCGAAGACTATGAGATGGACGTAGAGCCTTGCTGCAGCATCATACGCATGAGGACGTCGGCTCTGTGCCCGTGCCAACTTCACGGTGACCCTGTTCCGATGGATGTGGACCCTCTGTGCGCTTCAGGTTGCTCGGACATCGTCATGGTGGCAGTTTCTCGTGGCCCTTCTCTGAATGTTTCGCTCAATGCCATGGACTGGACACCTACGGAAGTCTACGGCCTTTGAGTCTTATCCTGATCGACTGCACCTTTCTTCTTTTGCTTGCCCCTTATTACTGGCCTTCAAGTTCACGCCATGTATACCCTCATAAAGTGTTTATTCTGTCTCATGGTGGCCTCGTTTATAGAAAAAGAACCAAGCTACGAAAAAACGCGCAAAACCCATCGCTAAACCCTTCAAAAAATGATAAAAGCAAACCCCTATCTGCTTCTTTGTCCGTGTCTCGCAATGGTATGTATCTATTTAGCCTTGGTCTGCTTGACACCGCTGACCATCCCACTGTCAGTATATTTATCTAGTTATGTGTGCGGTGAGTTCTTCGACATCACCACATCAGTTTTGGAATAACTGAGATGTCTTTCAGGTGGTATGTACGATTATGTTGAAGTTAAGCAAAGACGGTGTACGTATTGCGTCCACGACTAGCAGCGGTAAGTGAAACCCGGCTGTTTGCCCTATTCTGGTTACCAATTGTTCCTTTTCTTTATACAGCACCGCGTAGTATCTGATTCAGAGCTATGCTTGCGCAGTCTCCGCAGGTTCTGTGGCGCAGTGAACGAGATGATCATCAAGCAACCGATTAGAAAATTACAAAGCAATAAATCCCGAAAAGCCATCCTGGCACAAGCCAATCCATTGCACGTTTGGATTCATCCGGAATCATGGCGTGGCGTGCTGGTTAGACCGGGCCTTGCATAGTTCTTCGCGTCGCGAAGGCCTGCTATCAGAACAGCCTGACCGGTCTGACTGCGCTTCCTCTTGTGAACGACATTCCTTTCGGTTGGCAGGGTACCAACGTCATTATATGCCCGTCCGCTCCTTCAATATTTATGCTTTCCCATTTATCTCCTCCATGCACTCCATCCTCATCCCCTCGACGTTCCCTTACCCAACTTGGTCTCCCTTACCCAACTTGGTCTCCCTTACCCAACTTGGTCTCCCTTATCCAACTTGGTCTCCCTTACCCAACTTGGTCTTCCCATCTCATCCGCCCTCCTCGTTCCTTGGCCTTCGGGGAGGGCCTCGGTCCTCGTCCATGCGTCCATCCCCCTTCTTCCCATCCCTATACAGTGATCAACGTCCTAGTCCACCATGTGGCCGCTCCTGGTGTACCGATTGATGATTGCACGTCTCTCATTTATGGCTATTCTGTATGGCGACATCTGGATGCGCGTCCGCTCCTTCGCAAAATGGGCCGGTCCCTCTTGCAGCTCTCTCTACCAGCCCACACTCCTTTTATGTCGGCTTCTTTTCCAGCAGTACGCTCTGCAGCTTCCGACATTCTGTCATGGGTACAGAATAGAAAGTTTCTGTGCTGGCTTCCCAAATGCTGCATCGTCCGCTTCAGCTCCTACAAATCTTCGCTGTGGTATCAAGACTGCCGTCACACTCGTTCAAGTTATCTCTAGCCCAGTTTTGTTCCTGGTGATCTGTTGTGTCTGCACCCTTTTGAGGTATTCCTTACCTAATTGTCCCGCTCAAGCTGCGTCACCCACACTCGTTCAAACCATTTTTCTTCTCTGCTTTGTTTCTCACTCTTCCCTGGATCGTCCACCATGCCTCCATCCTCTTGAAGCCTTCCTTAGTCTCGTTGGCCGCTCAAACTGCGTCACCCACACTCGTTCAAGCCATTTTCACTCTGTCCTTTATCTCTCACCCTTACCTGGATCGCCATCCTGCCTCTGTCCTCCCGACGCCTTGGCCTAATTGGCCCGCTCAAACTGCGCCACTCACATTCGTTCAAACCATTTTTCTTCTCTTTGTCTCCCTGTCTCAGATTGTCCATTATGCGTCTATCCACCTGAAAGCCTGGTCTTGTCTCACGGCCTACCTGAGCAGTGTCCTTTACCGAGAACGTACGGATTTGATTTGTGAGTCTTAGGCATGCTACTTTCAGGGTCATCGCTAATATTCTTCGATGGCAGTCCAGAATGGCGGTGGCCTAATATCCGGATGAACCGGCCATTCCCGCTACCAATTCCATGGTTAATGTCTGTCTATAAGTCACATCTTATTCAAGCGCCGGACGCTTGAAAAGGGGTCAATCCTAGCTGGCGCGGTATCTACGTTTCTGCTGCCTCCTACGGACCCTACCCCAGAAGACATACGGCTCGAACCTGCATCGCGCAAAGGTTCATCCCATCCACCGCATCGAGGTCGACAAAACTCCTGTGCCCGAACACCTTAACTCTCAAGCCAATAATAATGCAAGGGCAATACCCTCGGCGAAACGTCGCGACCTACTCTTAAGTTGGCAGGTAACACTGAAGGCACGGAGGAAACACTTGTACATTCTATGGATTCCTTTGCATGATTGTATCAGTAGTGTAATGCCAAATAGTATTCTGAGTCACCCAGAGAAGAAGGTTCATCTTCCGAGGAGAGTGAAAACGCAAGGCATGACGTTGTACAACAGTGTTTAATCAAAGGCGTATGATCGACAGACCATATATTACATGGAGATCCCGACTTCCAGATCTTTTTTACAACGCCGTCGACTCGTCCACATTGAGAATCAGAGTGGTGAAGAATCGGATCATTTCAATGAAGGCGTCGATCGGGATGCCTTGGCTTGGATGTCAGCAAGTCCAAATTCACTGTGTCAAACCACTCACTCTCGTTGACGGTATGAACACCTGAAAGTGCCTTGCCGGAGCCCTGGTTGTGGTGATTGTATCGGAAGATATTCTCAGTCAACTTCCAGTAATATCGAGTATCTGAGGTCAATGAAGCCTTAGCCTTGACAATCTGATGGGTGGACTTCAATGTTCTCACCAGTATTTCCTGTCATGATACCCGGGGCAACTACGATGCCGTCATCCTTCAAGGAACGATGCGTATTGTAGGTGGCCTTAATTGTGCCGCTCAGAATCTGGTATGCTGCTGCATCGGGGCCGGTAGGCGTGATGGGAGCGGGTTCCAAGGCAGCTCCCCAAGCATCAGAGAGCGTCAAGGTGCCATAGGAAGGTTCCGAAGTGATGGTTTCACCGAAAGCGGTGTACGAGAGGTTGAACTGCTTTGCGAGCTCCCTCAAGAGAGCCGTGTCATGGGCTTTCGCGCCGGCTACTGAGCTTGGGTGATGGGATAGAGTCAACATATGATTCAGGGATAGTTGACGGGAGTAGCATACCTTTCCGTGGCAATCCGGTGGTTGACCACGGCCCAGGCTCTCTCTGGCAAGGCGTTCGTCTTCACACCTCCGTCGATCAAGTCGATAGCTTGCGTGGTCCCTGCCAGGTTCTTCAATATCGGGTCCTTGAAGAGCTCCTTCTCCGCCTCCTTCAGTGCCTTGTCCGAGCTCACGGATTTCTTCAGACTCTTCTTGAGCGAAGAGGGAATTTGTGGGGCGTGCGCAGCGAGACACTGGAAAAAGCCGTACACGGGTGTGGCGCGGTTCAACTCGACCTTGTAGGGATTGGCTTCGTACTGCACCAACAACTGGGCGAGGATACCGATGGTGGTGTGCGGTGGCGGGATACTCGAGTGTCCACCGGGGGAGGTCACCTCGACGCGAGTGTCGAGGTAGCCCTTCTCGCCGATCCCAGGCACCGCGAGAACGGCGCCCTTCTGCTCGCCAAATCCTCCGCCCTCGTCGACGATCATGGCGAACGCGTTCTCGCCGTACGCGCCCTCGAGGTACTTGCCCAGAGCGGAAGCGCCGTGCAGCCCGCTCGCCTCCTCGTCGAAGCCGAACGAGAGCACGATGGTGCGCGTGGGCTTCCAGCCCTTGGAGATGAGGGTCTCGAGGGTGGTGAGGATCCCGATGAGCCCGCTCTTGTCGTCGGAGGAGCCGCGGCCCCAGATGCGACTCCCGTCGAAGTAGCCGGAGAAGGGAGGGTGCGCCCATTGGTCTACGGTAGTGGGATCGACCGGGACGACGTCTGCGCAGGTGGAGGTATCATCAGCTGTGACACTAGACGATTTTGTGGTGATATGGACAGACCCTGGTGTGCAGCGAGGAGCAGAGGCTTCAGGGACTTGTCCGACCCTGTCCACTCGTACGCAAGTCCGTAGGTGTTGACTTTCGTCAGGGAGAGAGTAGAGTGGACGAGGGGAAACGTCTTGAGCAAGTAGTTGTGGAACGGCCCGAAGACTTCCCATCGGGGATCCTTCCCGACCTCATCCATCTTGTCGAAGGACTCCGTTCTGCATGTAGGCGTTAGACGCAGCGATAGGTAGAGTAACACCCGCCAGAACGTACGGCACGCGAACTGCGCCTCCCAAGTTATCCACTGCCTTCTTCAAGAACTCATCCGTCCCGTAGCTGCTCCCCAAGCTCTGCCAGAGCTCACTGTGCTTCTCGGGCACCAGGGGCGTCGCCTGAGGACACAGGGCCGCGTCCGCGTTCGCATCGCCTGCAAACACGTCCTCCAGGGCAGGTAACGGCCACGAAGGGTTCAAAGACAAGGAACGCCTGCCCAGGAAGTAAGCACCGACTACCAGAGGGACCACAAGAGCCCTCTTGAACGCAGCTCGGCCAGGACGCTTGGTGGACGCGGTCGACGTCGGAGGGGGCAGCTCTTCCTTCAAGACCTTCATCGTCGGGGAGGGCGTCGAAGACGATGGGGCATTCATCCGCTGCCCCCATGATCTTTATATGCGTTCACACTAGAGGTTCTGTGTCGTAAGCAGGCGGGAATGGCGCTATCAATGGCCATACGCTTCGCCCTGGACGTGATAAGATACGCCCCTTCGCTGCCGCCGGCATCCCGCTCGAGTATCAAACGCGGTCCGCCTTCAAGCCTGTATATATCTCAGTACATATTGCGACTCAATTCCGCCGGGAAAGAGGTTTTAGAAAGCCATCTCGACAGCAATGCGATTAGCGTGGTAGATAATAACAAGCATCCCGTCATGAGCGGAGATAAGCGCGACGGCAGCCAGCAAGGTAGCCTGCGCCCAGATAATGCCAGCCAATTAACTCCAACTATAATGTACACTCCAACAACTGAACCCCAAGAGTCTGCTGCACTTAGCTGGAAGGGGGCGTGACCAGCCCGGTCCTTCCGCCGCTCGCGTACTCGATCTCCTCCATGCCAAGCTCACCCGCGACGTATTCCAGCTTCGAGCCTTTCGGGGGCTTGTACGTGTACAGGTCGGATGGTGATGGCGAGAAGGTCGAGGAGGGGAGACGGAGCTGTTCGGGCGGCGTGCGAGTGAGGTATAGGCGGTGAAGGGAGTCTTCGGCAGCCTGAGGAGGTCATACCGAAGGATATGAGTATATGAGGGGGGACGCGGAGCAAAGCGAGGGCTTACGCGGAATTCTGCCATTTTTAATGAGGTGCCGAACCCTTCCCCCAGTTGGTCGGCTCCTGAGTATATGCCGACAACGAAAACGGGTGAATTGGAGAATCGACCCGTCTCTGCGAGTAATCTGCAGTCGCCGGATGATCAGCTTCTGAGGCATGTTTCGCGGGCGAAGCAGTTCGCGCACCGGGATACAGGCCTCTCCCGCTCGAACTTGGCCACGGTCTCCTTGAGTGCCTTCTTCGGGTCTCGGAATTTAATGAACGCTCGGAGGTCAACTTCGCGGCTGAGGAAGAGGTCGTGGACAAACTGGCGCGTTATTGGTAGGGACCGGTGCTGGTACACGAGGGCGACTATGGATCGGGGTATGGAGGAGAGGGCGTCGGGAAGGAGGAGGGCGGGCTTCAGCGGGGTTGCTGTCTGTTACGTCGCGCGGGTATGAAGGGCCTCGTCTCGCGAAATGAGTGTGATTGTAACGCACCGTTCGATGCCATCGTAGCAAAGGCGTAGCACCAATCTCTGTCGCGATGCTCGCACACGTCTTGGCGCCGACATACGCGCTCACTGCTGCCTTCAGCACTCTGAGCGGTAGATGCGGATAGCTCGCATTCAGGTACTCCGAGGCGAACAGCCCCAGCAAAGAATTGCCGACCGTAGAAAGGTTGCCATTCGTCGCCGGCTTCGCTTCATTCGGGTAGTGTTTCTGGTACAGCGTCACAAAACTCGGATGCGTGCACGCCTGCTGCACTTCTGTCGGGGACAGCACCCTTCCCAGCCCCAGTCGGTGCGCAAGGGCTGTTAATGACGAGGCCGGTGGTGGTTGGAGGGCGGCATAGGTCTCGGGGTCGAATGCCCTGGGATTGGAGATGGCGTCGGGCGGGGGGAATGCCCTGGCGGAGGACGGGGAGACTGCTAGCTTTGCAGCGGTGGACGCGAGGCGTTTGTGCACATATCCCATGTCCCTTGCTACGCCAGCCCGCGTGCGCTGCTGCTGGACTTGCCACAACCTCGTCTTCCAAATTTTGGGTCACCGGCATTCTCCGCAGCTAGTCGGCATCTTCCCTGTCCCCGACTCAGACTTGGGGTATTAATTATCTTGCCTCAATCGTGAACGTCTGCGCATCGACTCACGAATACCTTCACCCCCCTATATGTGGACATCTAGGCCAGGGATATCGCTATGATACGGGTGCTCGTGCAGGCTCACTGATAGCTGTCGAAGAGTATATCGCAATCTGGACTGCTGGTGGGGAGCAGCCAGCCAGCCAACTGTCAACGCTGACAGTGGTATAACGGCACTCCATGCCAGCCCCCATGAAGCGCAGTTATCCCACCGTCAGCCAGCAACAAACAGCATAAAAGTCAGGAGTTTCTGTCTTATCCTCCATCAACTCAACTATCATGTCTTCATTCGCATCAGCCCTCAGCTCTACTACAACAAACGTCCCGCTCTTCGATGCGGTCTACCGTATCGTCGGCGCCAACGTTATCTCTCAGCTTCTCCACAATGTGTCTCCTGCGCTGCGCCTGTTCTTCTTCTTTCTCTTCGGGTATTCGACCACTCCTCAGTTGGATGCACCTCCTCCGATCTTCTTGTTGGACGCTCCTCCTCCTTCGTGGTACTCTGAGAAGATGATAGATACCCCAAACAGGATCTACCCTGTTGGCGCCTTTGTCTTTGGTTACATGATTCTCCTTGTCTTCGGCATCATCTTCAGTCTTTGGTCTCTGCATCATAGGAGGTCGCGTTCTCGTCTCTTCGACAATAATCCCTCAAAAGGGATTGTGGATTCCGTTTATTCCTTGGTTATCAACGCAGAAGCATCTCCTGCGCAGTTTACCGTGGATTACGAACAGGACCACGACGTCTTCGTGCGCGGCATTCAAGACAGTTCAAGAACTTCCGGCTTTCCCGTCTCTTCGTCTTTTGCCACCCAAGGCCCTAGCGATGGTGCCGTGTCCGAGACCCTGAATGTCACAAGGGACTCGTTCTCCGAAACGCCGACTTTGGTCGCGCAGTCAGACGAGCCTTCCGGCTCTTCTACGTCTTCTCTCTTCCCGCAGGACCCTGATATTGGCGCCGTATCTGAGACTCTGTCTGGTACAGGGGACTCACTTTCGGCAGCCGCGCCTGTGGTCACGGAATCAGACGAGCCGTCGGACTTTGCCAGGCTCAAGACGAAGACTGTGAAGAAGATGCAGGATATCGACGACCTCTTCGGGTGTATCCGCAAGAGCAAACTCGAGCACGAATTGAGGAGGCGCGAGGTCGACGCGCATCTGGAGGCTCTCTTCAAGCAGCCGTACATTGCGGGCGACGAGGCTCTGGTTTGGGAACGCGAGGACAATGCCTGGACTCCGAGGCCGCCCACGACCACTTGGGCCCAAGCCGAGAAGATCTTGGGTTATCGGCTTCCCAGCCCCGAGGAACTGCAAGAGAACATAGCTCGGCGTGAAGAGGCTGCAAAAGACCTGCCCGAGCTCCCCGAGCCGCCGCTTGTGGAAGACGATGTCGACGCTATCTACGACGACGTGCGAGTCTATCACCTCCATCGGAGCCGCTGCCCTCGATCACCTCTTTACCGTTGACGACCTCTGGTTCGTGCCGAACGCAAGTCAAGATGCTGCTGAAAGACTTCTCTATGGTTCCTATTGTTTCTATATCATATATGTATATGTATCTACGTCTGCCCCAAATTACTCTAAGTGAAGTAATCACAAGATAAAAATTGCGGATATAAGGAAAGAAAAGCTGGCGTGATAGGTCTGTACCAACCTTGCGTGCAGGCTACCGCGACTGTGGCACCAGAGAGACGCGTCGCGACGCGTGTTCCAAATTTAGTTTAGCTCCAAAAGACTAATTACAATCTACAAATAGACTTCACTTCCATTCATATCCGATCCTGCATTCGGACGCGTTGCTTCAGACCGAGACCTGCTTCAGGGCCACAGAACGCGATGGCAAAAGAAAACGCGACAGCACTCAAGGAGAAAGGCAATGAGCACTTCAAGAAAGGTGACATGGTGCAGTGAGTAGTAGTATTCGAGTATTGCGAACATCCATCAGACATCCGCGTCGCAAACTTGTACCCTGTTATTGGTCTAACCCGCCCCGCTTTGAAGGGCGGCAAAGTTCTACAAACTGGTCGGCGATTGTCTGGACTACCACTGTTTTGAAAGACTAAAACCTTGCACAGGCTGAGGAGGCAGCCCCGACAGATCCGGTCTACCCGTCCAACTTGAGTGCTGCCTTGTACGAGACTGGGGACTATATAAGCTGCATAGACGCGATTTCGCGTGCCTGGAAGCGCTTATCTACTGCATATCAAGAGTCTAACAGGAGTCTGCAGTCTCGCCTATCCCTCAGATTGGCCAAGGCTCTATGTCACGGAATCCGCAACGGATCAGTGAAATCTGAAGACTTGACGCGACACCGAGAGCTGATCATTGCTCTGAGTGACCCTTCCTCATTCCAAGAAGCTCAAGCTTCAGACCTGGAGAGCGCTTGGAAGGAATGGGACAAGCTGCAGCCGGAGCTGGATGACCGAGTCGAAGCTGTCACGACGGCTTTAGGTCAGCTGTCGCGTCTGCCAATATTCAAAGCCGTCTCGTAAGTCTTTCCCGTGCTTGCATAAGGGCTCTCGTTCTTAACTGTTCGTAGGAGTACATTCTTGCAGTACTATTCGGTGAGCAATCACTTGATCCCAGTATATGCGCATATATGCGGTCCTCTGGCAACTCACGGCACCTTCATAGATCGGTCATGATGATATAATGTCTATCATCGATAACTGGGGCTCGGGTTTTGCTCAACCCATAAAGCTGAACCAGTTGACTCCTGCGCAGCTATCTAATTTATCTTTCTTTTTCGGCGGTGTCGGCGATGGTGAGTGCTCAACACTGCTACGGGCTATAGATACTTAGCCGACCGTGTATGCAGCTCGACATGTCTTTGGCTCCCTGATCGGGTTCCATAAAGCATACTCAAAATTGTCCAGCAGCAAACGCAACAACGCCCGAGTGCATATGACCCTGTGCGACATACATCCTACGGCTCTGGCCCGAGACCTGGTACTCTTCATGCTCGTACAGCAGCTGATCGAAACATCCGACAAGGTCTCGGTGTTGGAGATCAAGGCGACGTTCATGTATATGTTTCTGGGCGTCATCATGCCCTCGTACTGCCACCAAAGGTCAGCTGTCCCCTGCCTGACCGATAGCGTGAACCTTTCTGACTAGTACGGTCAGGATGATGACGACTATCAATGACCTCGAGAAGCGCCTCCTGGACAGTCCACCGACATTGCCTGAATGGTTGCACGTCGATTCAGCAGCTGTCGAGCCCGTGCTAGACGTACTAAAGTACTGGAAGGCAGCCACGAAGGTCAAAACAACGCAGAAGGTCTTGGTGCACCATGATTATAAGCAAACCAAGAAGGAAAAGCTTTCCATGCTGGACTCGCTCAATCTTTCACCAGCATACAGAGCCATGCTCGACGCCCGTAAACAACAAAAGCGGGAGGAGGTGCAGAGGATGATGGGTCCAATGAGCGACGTAGAGCTTGCACGCCTATATAGCCTTGGCCCGGACCGCATGGGAGAGGACCCATGCAAGGGTAATAAGCTCACCCCGAAGCAGAGAGAGAAATTAGCAGATTATCTCCTTGACGAGCTCTACGTCAATAACACAGCAAGCAATAGCGATATGATTTTCGAGGAATCTTGGTACGAGCTCGCGGAGTGTTACGTACCGCCACCCGAACTCTGGGGAAGACATGAAGGCTTCCAGGTATTTCGTGCTCTTACAGACGGAAAGGTCACGGCTAGCGACCGTGAAGTATTACGCAAGGTATATGTTCGGGATACGTATTCAATGATGTACTGAACGTGCGCGTAGATCCCAGAACGAGTGGCGCGAACATGGTTGCCGAACATCACATTATTCGTAGGTCATAAGCCTGGAGTGCAAGGACTCTTTCTAACGCGTTCTGTGGGTCTCAGGACGGGGCTACGCACGGTGATCATGACTATCCGAATATGCGTTTCGATGCCTTCCAAGCCCCTCGGCAAGTCTTGACATTCAATGAGTGGTCGGGTCTGGAAGAGAAAGCTCCTTCAAGCGTAAAACGATATGCGCCCGTGTTCCTCCACATGTCCCATTTCCTGGACGCCACTATGAAGGCAGTCAAAGAATGTGGATCGTGTCTCAAGCTCGAAATACTGTACGGAGAGTTGACTCAAGAACTGGGGAAAATGAGGTTCGGCGGCGATCATACGCGTCCGGAGTCCTTCCCAAGACACTTTACAAGGATATGGTTGAGCAATGTGCCGTAGGTGGTATGCCTTTGCTGATAGAGTATCATTCTAAAGGGAGCTATCAGTGACTATACCCATGGTCCCATGAATATGGTACTGTATACCCTCCCCAATCTGCAGGCGGATCATAACATGTCTGCGGCTGCCTCGAATTGCCTGCTTAATACGGGAATTTGGCATGACGATACGGAGCTGATCCATACGTGGGTTTGCCATCTCCATCCCCTATACAGATCATGACAGAACCTGGTTACTAGATATACATTACTTCATCCGCATGATGTACCTCGCTTCCTAGGGTGCCGCCTGGTCCACACAGCCGCCATCCAAGACGTGCTCGTAATGGCACCTCTACCGTTACCTCGGCCGCTCACAGAACTGGCGTCTCGGTGGGAGCTCACTGCCTGGCTGACGAAGGTGCTGCTCTACACCATGGTCCCAGGGAACCCCGGGCGCATGGAGGCAGTCAGGGTCCGCCTACCCAACAGCCTGTCTGCGTTCATCGCCCTCCTCGTGCACCTGGGCCGCGTCGGGTTCCCCGCTCACTGGTTGTCCGAGTTCCTACAGAGTGTGTTGAAGGACGACCTCACGACGGATATCGCGCCGTACCGCGGCAAGCTCCCGATCCCGCTGTCGGACCTCCAGCGCCGGGTGCCGAGGCGGAAGGTCTGCCTGCACCCCCTGCAGGCGGAGATGGAGAACCTGCTTGCGACGGCGTACCGCGGGCTGCCGTTCGCACTCGCCCTTCCCGACGGGTTCGCGACGTCGCCCGACGAAATCGGCCTGTACGAGACACAGATCGAGCCGACGCTCATGAACGCGATGATGCCGATGCTGAACAACAACGACGCGACCAACTGCCTGCTGTTCTACAAGACGAACGTCGCGAGCGCGGACAATCTCGTCCCGCGCATCGGGAATATCGTCGAGGGCCAGAACCCGCCGAAGGCGGGGAGTATGTATATCATCACGGCGCCGGTGTATGTGGACACGCAGGCGAAGGTCGTGCGGTGGTCCATGAGCAAGGCGCGGTTCGGCCGGATGCGGTATGATCAGATGAAGAAGGAGAAGTGGGCGGTGGTGCTTTACCGCAGCGACACGTCGGAAGCAGGTGAGTGTACTTTGGTTGGCAAGGTACGATGGCAGCCGTCTGATATTATTCGCGATCTAGTTAGCCAGCCTACTCCGCTTTCGAAGTGGAAAGCTGTGAAGCAAGACTAGTGTTTTTTTGACGCAGGTTCCCGACTTTGCAAGAAATACTTACGTGGTAGGCACTACTAATGAAGACTCGCTAATAGATAACTGGGGTCCGAGGCACCGTTGAGTCCGGGTTTACATAGGTACGACACTAATTGGGCACGAGGTAAAAGACATGTATGATTTTAGGCTGCGCATGGCATTGGCGGTCTTAACAAACAGCTAACCTCATGTCGGATGGCTGCATTAAACTGACCGAGTATATTGAACCAGAGTGACCGTCGATACGGGCCATTGAGGGGTATGGAAGCTTTCAGCATGAACATTCAGAATAATTACGACAGGCCTCGAGCATATAAAGGACAATAAAAACAGAGGATAATGATACACTATCTAGTCAAGTAAAGAGAGCGGTGCGTCCATGGAGTGGATAAATAGAGAAAAACGCAGTCGAATGAAGGTTATGCATTATGTTTATACGAGATGGCGGGGAGCCTTCTGCTGCTCCTCGATCTCCTGCTGACGGCGCCGCTTCTCTTCCTCCATCTGCGCCTTCTGATCGGCGAGCTTCTGGAGGGGGAATGAGTGAACAGTCAGCGGGTGGAGGTGGGAACTGGACTTACAGCCTTGAGCGAGTTGACGGTTGAGAGGATGGTATCGAGGGTCGCCTCTGACATCTCGGCAACCTGTACCAGACATCGATCAGATGAGACTCGCAGAAGACCCTCACCCAGAAGACGTACCTTCTCAGTCGCCTTCATCTTCATATCCTCTATCCGTTCCTTCTCGTGGTCCCAGGCAGCAGCCTGCGGTGCGGCGACCACACGAGCAGCGGGCACGGGATCAGGAGCCTGCGCCTGCTCGCGCTGGCGCCTCGCCTCGATCTCCGCCTCCCGTCTCTCATGCCACCCCCAGCGCCAGTGCCTCTGCCCCTCGGGCGAGTCCCACGCGGGCCGCTCGTAGCGCGTGCAGTGGGACTCCTTGCCCTGCGCCGCGTTCTCTTGCTGGGGCGGCGGCGCGGCGAGCGTGTGGTCGGGCCGCCTGCAGAAGCCGTGCTGGAGGTACCACTCCTCGCGGCGGTGCATCCACCAGGAGGCGGCGAGCCCGCCGAGGACGAACCAGAAGAGGCGGTGGCCGCCGCCGGAGAAGCGCGCGCGGCGGGGGTGCCAGGGGTGGTGATACGGGCCCCAGCCCCAGGCGGGCGGGGGGCCGGCGGGGTGTTGCGGGGCGGACATTCTGGGTTTGGGTTGGGGTGTGGATGTGGGTGGGGAGGTTGTTTGTGGCGAAGAACGAGGACTGAGCGACGCGGTTGTGTTCGCTGGTGGTGCTGATGGTGGTATGGCGGGCGGTACTCGTTCATTTATATCCGACCCAGTGCTGGACGCAGCGCCGGCCGAGTATGCGACGTCAGCGCACTTGGCTTGCGCTCCGGGAGACATTTGACGATGGGATGGACGTAGGATCGCGCCATGGCCGAGGGGACGTGTGGCTGTCCGAATGCAGTGGATGCGCGGTGCCGACGAGACGCGCAAGGTCGGGTGCCAAACAACCCACCGCCGGCGTGAGATTGTGCGCGGCCCGGGAACTCCCGGTGCCACACTTGCTAAGGCTTGCGTCGCCAGCGCGGCCGCGCGGGTCGGCAGCTGTACTTGGGACACACAAGACTTGGAGGAGAAAGAGGTGCTCTTGTTCCTGCCTTTCCTTGCGGTTGTCTTCGTGAAGGTGTGCTAGTGAGGCGTTTCTGCGCTGCCCTTACCCGGTGGTTGTGATTCCTCTCGTGGCATGTACGGTCTGAAGCCTACAGTATCATCGTCACGCTTTCTCCAGGCGCACTGCTTGCTCTACTACTCTAGGTCATGGGGATCTATACAGGAGAGGCTAAAAGCCAATGTGGTGAATCGATGGGACGGCGGGATGCGAGTAAGGTTGGAACTACGTGGTTGGTGGCGGCCCAGGGCCTGCGCGCTAGTTGGTTGTGCCCACGTCTTGTGCAGAACGCCGGAGCTGAAATGGTCTTTGCTGTTGGATAAAGTTGAGTCTGCTTCCGATAAAACCTTCTGGACTGTGCGCTGGAGTCGGATATACGGCTACCGGAAACTGTGGTCGTGGCTTGGTTGGCTCGGATGTTTTAGCGATCTATTCGTGGAAGCGGAAGCAGGTGGTGGCGGTGGCGAGCCAGGCACGGGTGATCAGATTAGATCAAGGCCCTGGGAAATTTTAGTCGACGCTCGAGCGTCGAGCGCAGGCAGCTCTTGCTTGGCCTCAGCTCAAGCTCCCTGCTAGTCTCTCGTCTTATCGCCCTCCCCGTAAGACTCGACTTGCACTGGTCACGGCGCCCAAAATGTCCCGTCTCTCGCCGGTCGACACAAAGCACTCCTTCGTCGACTCGCCCGTCGCCGCGGAAGTCGACCTCGATGGCGTTGACTACGCTGACAAGCCCCAGCGCCCGCCCATCGACTACTCCTCCTTCTCCGCCTTCCATGCCTCCCTCTGGCGCCGCTTCCAGTCACTCTGGACCCGCCGCTTTGTCCTCAGCTTGCTCGCGGGCCAGGTCGTATCGCTCTGCATCACATGTACCAACGTCACCACGACGGAGCTGGTTAGTCGCAACTGGAGCTTGCCCACGACGCAGACGTGGTTCCTGTAAGTGTCAACGGGAGCTGGGCTTGAACGGATCTGTGGATTTGTGGGGGCTGAGCAGCTCGATAGGTACTTTTCGCTCTTCGTTGTGTACACCCCATACACCATCTACCAGTGTACGTGCAATACAGTCCCAACACGCAGCATTGAGCCCTCATCTTCCACACAGACGGCTTCAAAGGCTGGGCCAAAATGATCGCCAAGGACGGCTGGAAATACATTATCCTCGCCGCCTGCGACGTCGAGGGCAACTTCCTCGTCGTCAAGGCCTACAACTACACCACCCTCCTCTCGTGCATGCTCCTCGACGCGTGGGCCATCCCCGTCTGCCTCTTCTTCTGCTGGGTCTACATGCGCACGCGGTACCACTGGACGCAGCTGCTGGTGAGGAGCGCTGGCTGGTACTTATGTGGTGAATTGGAGTTGACGTGGGGACGATAGGGCGTGCTGGTGTGCGTCGGCGGCCTCGGGCTGCTCGTCGCGTCCGACCGCCTCACGGACAAGGACTACCCCGCGCTCAACATGGCCAAGGGCGACGTCTTCATGATCGTCGGCGCGACGCTCTACGGGTTCAGTGCGTCTCCCCCTTCTCCTTCACTCCTCACCCATCCTAATACTGCTGCTACTTGGAACAGCGAACGCGACGGAGGAGTTCTTCGTGCGCCGCTCGCCGCTGTACGAGGTCGTCGGGCAGCTCGGCATGTGGGGGACGCTCATCAACGGCATCCAGGCCGCGGGGCTCGAGCACAAGGACATGACGCAGGCGACGTGGAGCGGGATGAACAGTGCGTGTTCCCCCCCCCCCTTCTTCTCTCTCTTTTCACTTGTTCACCCTGCTCACTGACGTGGCCGGTAGTTGGCCTGCTCGTGGCGTACACGGCGGCGATGTTCATCCTCTACACGGTCGCGCCGCTGCTCTACCGCATGGCCTCGTCCGCGTACTACAACATCAGCCTGCTCACGAGCGACTTTTACGGCTTGCTCTTCGGGCTGTTCCTCTTCGTGCGTGTCCTCCTCCCCCTCCCCCCCTCCCCCCCGTCCCCTTGGCAGGAACTCAAGGTTGACTGCATGCAGCACTACCAGCCGTTCTGGCTGTACTTCCCCGCGTTCGCGGTCGTGCTCCTGGGGCTGGTGATCTATTTCTGGCACGCGACGCGTACGTCGTCTTCTCCCCCTTTGCCGTCGTACTATACGAATACTAACTCGTATCGCTGTAGCGGAGGAGCAGGGCAAGCTCGACCCCAAGGCGCCGGCGTACGTGCACCGGAGGGGGGACGTCACGGTGGGCGAGGAGAGGGTGTAAAATTACATAGACGTGGGTGGGGTTTGTATGTGTACTCTATACGTAGAGGCGGGCTTCTTGGATAATTATAAGATTGGGTGTACGACGGGTGATAACTTTCTTCGCCGACTATGCTGTGTGTTGCTACACCGGTCCGCTGGGGCTTCTCGTGAATGATGGATGTATGTCATCCCGCATACGGGGAGGATACGCACTGCGTCATGGTTATTCGTGGACGACGGTCCCCGAGAACACTGGCATGGAGGAGGTCATCTGCGCGCCCTCCAACACCTCATCGTATTCTCTAGCAGATGCGGCGGCGTATCCTCGGAACCGGTAGAGTACACGGCAGCCCGATGGCTTTCCACTTATCGTCTACAAAGGGCGGGTAGATAGATGGCTCGCGCATCGATAGCGCCTGGTCTGCACGTACGCTCGCGACGTCGACCATTGCCTCCTGATACACAACTGAGAAATTATGGCCAGCTTGAAGCCGCTCGAGCTTAGGTGGGGGATCATCGCGACCGGGAGGATATCAAGGGACTTTGTCTTGGTATGTACCACCACCCTTCCCGGTACCCCTATTGATAACGCGGACGCCCCTGCAGGACTTGCTCGTCGATCCCAAAACGTGAGTACCTGTGCCTGTGAGTTTCGTCAGGCCTAAGGAATATACTCGCAGACGCGACGTCCACGACGTCTCGCACAAAGTGACCGCGGTCGGGTCGCGGAGCACGGAGAAGGCGCAGGAGTTCATCGATCAGTATGTCAAGGACGGCGCCGTGAAGGCGTACGGGTCGTACGAGGGGGTGTACGACGACCCGGTGAGTACACGGTGCGACGCGGGAATGATTTCAGAGCGTGGATGATAATACTTGTCGGTACGAAGAACGTCGACGCTATCTACATAGGTGCGCAGATCCACCTTGCCACTTACCACCTGGCTGACCAACTCCTACCCAGGCACCCCGCACACGCACCACTACACCAACGCGCGCGACGGCATCCTCGCGGGGAAGCACGTCCTCTGCGAGAAGCCCGTGACGTGCAACGCCGCCGAGCTCAAGTCGCTCGTCGCGCTCGCGCAGGAGCGCAAGGTGTTCTTCATGGAGGCGCTCTGGACGCGCTTCCAGCCGCTCACAAGGGAGGTGCGCAGGATCGCGGACAGCGGCGTGCTGGGCGAGCCGGTGCTCATGCATGCGGACTTGGCGTTTGATGCGGATATTGAGAGTGAGTTGCTTGTTTGTAGGCTGTGGGAGGGGAGGGGCTGATGGCGCACAGATATTCCAAAGACGCATCGGATGTTGGATCCACAGCTTGGTGGGGGTGCGTTGTTGGATTTGTGAGTGTTCTTTAGTTTCGGGGTGTTTCTGAAGTGCTTATATCCTGGCAGAGGTCCTTACCCGACCATCTGGGTGAGTAAAGCCAAGTGAGTGTGCGACGTACACCCAGCCGACCAGTGGATATTGCTAGGCTATCGTGGGACTCTATGAGCACCCGTCCAACAAGCTCGCCCAGCCCTCGGCGGTCACTGCCGCGATGGTCAAGACACCCATTACGGGCGTGGACAGCGCGACCTCCTGGACCGTGTCATTCTCGAACGGCGACTTTGCCGCACACGCGAACCTGAGCGTCAGCATGGTGATCCCGTCGAACGAGCCGGGCGTGACGATCCGCTACCGCAAGGGCGTCATCAAGGTCGCCTCGCCGATCTTTTGCCCCAAGTCGTTCACGGTGCAGTACTTCAACGAGAAGGGGAAGGTGTACAAGGAGGAGACGAGGGTATATGAGTATGTCGGGAGCGGGTGGCACTTCCAGGCGGACGAGGTGGCGAGGTGCGTCCGGGACGGGAAGCTGCAGAGCGATTTGTGGGGGTGGGATAAGAGCATACTAGAGATGACGGTGTTTGATGAGGTGAGTCGGTGTGTTAGATTACCTGCTCCTCATGCTGAATTGGCGCCTGCGCTGTCTAGGTCCGTCGCCAGGGCGGGTATGTGCTCCCCCCGGGGGTCGAAAAGGTTCAGTGAAGCGGACGGTAGCGAAGGTGGCATGCACCTGGGTACCTGGAATATCCAAACGTGAAACTTCGTGTATCAGCAGTGTGTATTGACAATTGTAACGTGCTTTGGCGGGACGCCTGGAGTCTGGTGGTTGTGAAATCATCCGGATCAGGTACCATGTTCTAAGAGTTCTCCGGCCTGGATCAAAAATCTTTCCAAGGCGGTGCAACGAAATGGAGAGTCGGTCTAGGTTCAAGAAAGGCCTGTACCTGACGGATGCATCGAATGTCCTGAAGAGTGCTGCGTTCTACTACTAGGGGGTCTAGTTGGTTGATTTACTGCACTCAGCCAATACGGATTTATATCCATCTTGATATATCCTAGGTTACCATGTTCTCTGCGTGAAAGGTCAGATACGTGGGTGTAGAGGTACAGCTCTGAATGCAACCGGGGAATTAGTAATGGTATTAGCGCACCTTGAATGAGCTCGTCCTATGTTCCGGTCGGTATCCCTGCCGCAGGCTCCTGACCGCGTAGTGATGCTGCAGAGACCATCTGTTGCGAGTAAGGAATTTGTCACATTAACGTGACACTTGTAACAGTCACTGCCCCCGGAGAGCCAGTCTCCGCCAGGCGTTCCCGCCGTTGTTGCTCGCCTTTAGCTTAGACGCTCGCCGTTGTCCGCTCCAAGTCTGGCGACGCTGAATACTCTCTGGACGCTGGCATGAATGACGTGGGCGCCCAGGACTGGTCTCAGGCATCGGGCGCATCGTCCAACCGTCGGCAGGACGGTTCATCGTCGGTCTCTATGGCCTCGCAACTGCCAGTAGACTCACATGGCCCCGGCGCTGCACAGCTGCAGCCTCCCAACGGCCCCTCGTCTGGCCCGTACAGCGCACCGCCGTCGGGGTCGTCTCGTTTGCCCGATCGCCCTAATATCCCGACGAGGTCGTCGACCGTGGGCAGCCCGCACGACCTCGAGCATAACAAGCAGCACCAGGCGTTCGGCATAACCCAGTCTCGGAGCGAGGACATGAACCACTCTGGATCTGGCAATGCTGCAGGCGCTCATGGCTCTAACTCTACCGCGCCCGTCTCTGCCCCCGCCCCTGCGTTCCTGTCTCCTAGTCGGCCTACTACGCCCAGTAGCTCTAACAACCACTCTCAGTCCCCCACCCGCGACAATCAGGATGGATCACCCCGTCGTCTCAGTCTGACATCGTCTTCTTCGGCATACTCTGGTACTTCGACAACGCCAGGCGGCGGGCCTGGATCAACGACCTCAAACTCGACTAGCATTGCATCCGCGTAAGTGCTCTCTCCCTTGGTTTCATGTGCCCAGGGCAGGATGGCTCAAGGAGATGGTGGTCGGGATGGTAGCTCGTGCGCAGCATGTGGGAAGCCTATGCAAGGAGCGTTTGTGCGAGCCTTGGGGACAGTCTACCATCTCAATTGCTTCAAGTGTATGGTGAGTGTCCCCGCCGCCGCCGGTATACACTGTATGACGTCGCTCCCTAGGACTGTGGCACAGTAGTTGCTTCCAAGTTCTTCCCTATTGAGAGTGAGGGCAAGCAGTCACCGCTATGCGAGAGAGATTATTTCCGTCGCCTGAATCTGATATGTGCGAAATGTGGGATGGCTTTACGGGGCAGCTATATTACGGCATGCAGTACGTGGATCAATCCAATACCCATGTGCGTCAGTGTTAAATTCGAATCATTCACAGACAAGAAATTCCACGTTGAGCATTTCACGTGCTCCCTCTGTCCGACTCTCTTCGGTCCTCAGGACTCGTACTACGAACATGAAGGAGACGTTTATTGTCATTACCATTATTCCACGCGATTCGCGACCAAGTGCGCTGGCTGTAACAGCGCGATCCTCAAGCAGTTCGTGGAGATCAATCGCAACATGCGAGACGAATGTTGGCATCCGGAATGCTACATGATCAACAAGGTAAGGCTGTATACGATGAGTATTCTATGAGACCAGGGACTGACTACTGCCCGTAGTTCTGGAATGTGAAGATTGTGTCTCGTAGATCAGCAAACTCGCCCACGCCTTCTGAAGCTCCTGGCCAAGAAGAGGAGCCGCCTTGGGCGGAGGAGGAGCGTCGAGAGACAGCACAATCGCTACGAGAGAAGCAGGTCAGAATGGAACAACAGGTATACAGGATCTGGACGTAAGTGATATTCTGCTGTACTTCGAAGCTGCCCTGAAATAATGCATTTATAGTGTATTATCAGCGTTCGAGGAGTCGAGCGCGGCTTGCATCTCGGACATGTTGCGGCAGGTCAGCAACGGTCAATACCTTGAGGCCATCAGAATGGCGGAGAAGTTCATTCTTCACGTGGAGGTCCTCTTTGCAACGATCGACGATCTGGAATACTGGTTCGCCTCTCTAAGTGTGAAGGGTACGTTTCACAGTCGTTGACCACCCGAATCTATTTGAATTCAGCGATCGGTCTAGGTATGTCTCACGTTCGGGAAGCTCGCATGCTTTGCCGTAAGACGGTCGACCTGTTGAAGCTGCTTTCACACACGCAAGAGACCGGCGCGCGGAGGATGGGTATGACACAGGAGTTGCTCGCGCTTGTGACAGGCCTCGCACACTACCTCAAGATTCTGATCCGCATCGCGTTGACCGGTGCGCTTAAACTCGAACGCGACTACAACGTGCGAGAAGCGATGACGTCCTTCCTGGACAAGCTGCATCTGCTAGCCGTACAGGGCGGCAACCCGACCGCAAAGAGGATGATCAAGGGCGCGCACGGCGAGTACCTGCCACCCAGCAACAGTGGCAACTTTGGTACGCAGGGCGTCACCTATGGGTTTCGGAGCCTGGCCCCAGAGAATGCTGGGGAGTCTCCATTCTCGGTGTCCGCGACAACAAATAAGTCGAACCCGCCTTCGGATCTGTGTGTCAAATGCAACCAAACGGTCGAAGAGGATTGCGTGCGGCTAGGGACTTACCAGCGGTGGCATTCGCATTGTATACAGTGCCAGACATGCGGGAAGGTTGCTGCGGTGCCTGCTGCTAAGGAGCAAAGTACACCGAAGACCGGTGACGAGAAAGACAAGGACGCTGCACCAAAGCTATCTACGGCTCGTCGACCACCTGCGAATACTGGCATTTTCGTCTACGATCCGGACTCGATCAAGGAGTTACCTTCGTTCGGGGATGTGCCAACGGTGATATACTGCACGGAGCATGCCCATCCTGGCTGCAAGGGTGGATTCCAACCTGTATCAAGGCTTGAGCAGTACGCGTTCTTGCTGAACGTTGCACTACGACGACTCTACATCCTGCTGAAGAAGCTTGGCGTAGTGCCTTCATCTCCAGGTGCGGTCTGATGGTCAATGTGTACTAACCTACTCATATGAACTGATCAATTCCGCCTCGTAGTGTCGTCGCCCAACGCAGTCTCCCAGCGGACGGAGCACGACCCATATCGCAATTCAGGCGATATCGTGAGAATGAAGTCAGTTCATCTAGATCGGAAACTCTCTGCGACAGCACGATTGCCCAAACGGTCTACCATCGTTGAAAGTCCATCTGGCAAGAGCGCACATCCGAACACGCTGCATACGCAACGATCTCAGCCCGAACTGGAACAGCAGCGAGTGCAGGCTCATGCCGTCCAGCAGGTACCTTCATCGTCCAGTCGAGCCCCTCCTCGCACTCCCGTGCAGCAGCAACAGCAGTCCCCTCAGTATCCGCCTGGCCGCGCACATCGGGCTGACTTGGGTCCTTTGGATACCAATTCTCCGAGCCAAGTAGTGCGGCCTCCGTTCGCCAGGAGTAATACGGAGGTAATGATAGTCGATGATTCGGCTCCTAATTCCCCTGCGGGTCCTCCAGACGAGGCGCCAGTCCCCAGCGTAGATGATGGGATCACGCTTGCTGATATCCCACAACTGGTGGAAGCCGCGCAAGCTCGGGAGCAGCATCGATCATTGCCTCGACAGACGTCTGTTCCATACATCGCTGAGCTCAGTGCCCTCGAGCTTACAATTGTCAAACACGCGGCTGTCCTCGCCCTTACGAAATCTCCCCTAAAGGACCAGTTCGATCTGGATGAGATCCTTGAGATGATCGAAACCAAGAAGAGTGGGTTCTGGGGAAAGCTGTTCAAAGGCGACAAACAAAAGAACCGCCAGAAGAAAGGTACGAAATTCTCTCATGTCTAGGGTGCAGTAGTTGAAGGTCCTGTAGGCGTTTTTGGCGTGCCGCTCGAGCTCCTGGTTGAGCGGGAAGGATCAGATTCCCTGTTAGGCGCTTCCCGTGCGACGCTGAGAGTACCAAGTTTCATCGACGATGTTGTATCCGCCATGAGACAAATGGGTAAGTTGTGACTCATTCTTGAAGTGGACTTGTCATTGACTTGCTTTCGTTTCGTCAGATATGTCGATAGAGGGGATCTTTCGCAAGAATGGAAACATCCGACGTCTGAAAGAATTGACGGACGCCATCGATCGAGATCCGTCGTCCGTTGACTTGACGCAGGATAATCCGGTACAATTGGCAGCTCTGCTGAAGAAGTTCCTGCGAGATCTCCCGGATCCGCTTCTAACGTTCAAGTTACACCGTCTGTTCGTCGCATCACAGAGTACGTGTTATCTTACCCTCAGGTTTCGTCATCTGGTGACACTCGTATAGATCCTACTGCGGTTCCGAACGAGGCTGAGCGGAAGCGTCTGCTGCACCTCATAACGCTTCTTCTGCCCAAACCCCATCGGGATACCATGGAAGTTCTATTCGTCTTCCTGAAATGGGTGGCATCGTTTGCCCACATGGATGAAGAAACTGGGAGCAAGATGGATCTGGGCAACTTGGCCACCGTGATATGCCCCAGCATTCTATACTCACGAGGCCGAGACGCAGTGCGGGACGAAAGCTTCAGTGCTATCCGAGTTGTCACGTCATTGCTTGAGAACCAGGATGAATTCTTTACTGTTCCTGAGGAGCTCTTGCCTATCCTCCAGGATCAAGATTACTTCGCCAATAGCGTCGATCTGCCCAGCCGAGACTTCATGAAGAAGTGCGATACTTACATGCGACTTAAGGCGGGCGGTCGAACACCCGGTTTGATGTCGCCGACTCTCGGAGGCTCCCCTTTCTTCAGCAATTCCAACAGTGGCAATATCTCAAGTCTCAGTAAAGGATCTGATGGGCATGATTCTCGTTCTGTGACGCCACGGTAGCCATCGCTCTGTCTTTAGTTGATATCCCGTGAAACTGACGCACATTATAGATATCTCCCACAAAACATGGAAAGACCTGCCATGACCGCTGCTCCCTCCGACGGTTATCTGCGCAACGGGGTACCCAACCGCTCCCGCGAGCAGTCCCCGCCGACGCTCATGCATTCACCTCAGTCATATCCGCCTCCTTCGACTCCCTCTTCTATAGCTCAAGGCCTCGCATCGATACAATCACCGCAACCTCGGAACGCGAATATACCAAATGATATGGAATGGGCTGCCCAACGCCACGCACCTCAACCTAACTCACCTTCACCTCGGCCGCGACCGAATTCCTACTTGCCCAGGAATAGTGGGGAACATCCGAATGTCATGCCACCGAATGGTCATGGGGCACCCGCCGTGCAGCTGCGGCAACGAACATGATTGCCCGGGAGTGTCTCATTTTCTCATGTTGTTTGGTTATCGGCTGCAAGCACTGCACTGTCGCCTTTCGCACCTTTATTTCCGTATCATCTGTACTTTACTATACGTTGCCTTCATTGACGCTGTGTCACGGACAATCTGCATTACTCATATACCCTCACCAACTTAGTCTCGAATCAGGATAAGTGGTCCGCCTCTGGGCACAGAGCAGTGACAGGTCCCACCGCATATCGACTACGGTAACAGAAGCATAGCGGAGGGAATACTACCACCTCATGCGTCCGGAGGTTATCACACCCTCAGGTACCGGAAGTCCGGGGCATGTAGAGCATACACATGATGCATATCATTTTGTGCGTGAAGTAGAGCAAGTACCGACAAAAACAAACATAGGACAGAAGCAAACGCGCGTTTACTTGAGCGGGATGCTGTAAAGGAATAATGAGAGATGGAGTGACGAGCCAGGGAGAAGGCACGTACAATCGAGATGCTGAGGGGTGATAAAGTAACACGGTCAACAAGAACTATCATACTGGGACTATGCAAGCGAAACGTACAGTGGGTGGCTCCAATACCGGGACGACCGTGCTTAACGGGCTTGTACGAGCAGGAGAACTCAGCAAGGTAGTGGCCAGTCATTTCAGGCTTGATTTCGACAGAGTTGAACACCTAAAAAGTGTTTGAGAAGATCCAAATCGGAGCCTGAGCGACCATCTGCCTACCTTGCCATTGTAGATGCCGACGACACTGCCAATCATCTCTGGGACGATAATCATGTCGCGCAAGTGGGTCTTGACTACGGCAGGCTTCTCATTTGGCGGAGCCTCCTTCTTGGCCTTCCGCAGCTTCTTGATGAGACCCATGGGCTTGCGCTTCAATCCCCGCTGGAACCGACGACGAGCACGGGCGTGGACGACCTGTTTTGCGTTCGTTCACATCTGCCCGAAATCCGATGATCCACATTCACGCTTACCTCCATGAACTGCCCAATTGCACGAAATGTAAGCATTGACGAAACAGACGAGGATCAATTGCACGCACCTCCTCATTGCTCAGATCAAGGAGCTTGTCGAGCTCGATACCACGGTAAGAGAAAGTACGGAACGTCCGCTTCTTCTTGAGATCAGCGGCGACTTGGGGGTCGGTAACGTCAGCCTAGCACAATCCCTGTCAGCAATGCTTTCGTCAGTCCATCTAGCAGCAAAGACTCACCATCGTCGTTGAGGGGGCGTTTGTCGTTGAGTGTGTCGGCGGGGAGGGACTGTGGGATTCGGCCGGATTTGGGTCGCCGCATGAAGAGAACACTTGTGGCTGAAGGCGAGCCACGTGGGACTGTACAGTACTACGCAAACGACCAAGGGATCGCACTTGCGCATCTACTCATCCAAAACTTCGGTCGGATAGAATCCACAGGTCTTCCTACGGGATTAAAGGTGCATGACATTGCTCGTCTGTCGATGGTGTAGGCACTGAGCTCTATTGCAGTGATTTGTGGCTACCGCTTCCTCCTTCGCCGCCAAAAACTATCTAACTCAAAGTATGCCATGGGCGTTGATATACCTCAGGGAACACTACTGATCCAGATATAACAGATGCGCCATCTCGCTGCTTACCTCCTCCTCCAAATCGGCGGCAACGCCTCTCCCTCTGCTGAGGATGTGAAGAAGGTCCTGTCTGCTGTTGGCATTGAGGCCGATGAGGAGCGCCTGGGGAAGCTCATCTCCGAGCTTGAGGGCAAGGACGTCAACGCGGTGCGTTCCACAATTCTATTACACATGACCTCCGCTAAAGTTCTATACGGCACCCTCCAGCTGATTGCTGAGGGCTCCTCCAAGCTGGCCTCTGTACGTGTGAGATTCTGCTTCCTAATTGGATCGTACTGATCGGCATCTCAGGTGCCCTCCGGCGGCGCAGTTGCCGCTGCACCTGCTGCTGGCGGTGCTGCCGCCGGTGGTGCTGCTGCCGCAGAGGAGAAGGCCGAGGAGAAGAAGGAGGAAGAGAAGGTCCGTCCGCTCAGCGCTTTTCGGAGGCGCCATGAGACATCTTACGCAATTGATTGTGCTGCAGGAAGAGTCCGACGAAGACATGGGCTTCGGTCTGTTCGACTAAACGCTATCCCCCGCGTTCCCCACTTCTATCACCGTGTCATGACTTCCAGCTGTATTACTGTAGCAACTATGACATGCTTTCATCACGATACAAATGACCGGTGGATCGCATATGCCTTCCATGATTCGCCGGAATGATCTGAGCTGGGAGATTGGCGGGAAGTTACGCTCCTCCTGGATTGGCGCTGCTTGTGGTGTAAAGCCTATGAGCGTCTGCGAGTTTAAGCCGAAGAGACCCCTTTCTGGGTGATCTGCTGAGAGCACCGAATGACCTGGAAGGAGGGTGAATGGCTGTACATACGCCTGTGTACAAGTGTTCTCACCCCTGCAATGCCTTCGATCCGTACCTGTGTTCGCAGGTCTTGATTGACTGAAGTGGTATTACAGTACACCTTATTACACTCGAGGTACCCAAGCCGCCGGTTGGCTGCGGCTTGGGATCCACTTTACAGCGAATTATCTGGATCCGGATGACGCTTCCGGTTGATTGATTTATTGTGCCGCGTTTTCTGCTGAACCGTCGTGTCACGCCGCATACATGGGAATAGATCTGCAGGGGGGGAAGCCGACGGAAGAAGTAGGTTACCAGCACATATGATACATGCATGAATCAAAGCACCTAGCCACGCCTATGCAGGCTGTAAGTTAGAAGGCTGCAAACAAGATATCTCCTCGAGCAAAGAGTTATCACAAGCAGGACGCATTAGGGGGCTGATACGCAAGCGGCCGGAATATTTACTGCTGAGCCGGCGGCATGTATATCCGAGTGCCCTCGGATTCGTTCGGGGTCACAACTCCCTTCTGACAAGAATAATGTTCTCTTGAGCCGTCTCCACCGTTCTTTCCTTGCTGGACGCCGCCATCATCTAGCAGCACCTCGTCAGCGTCGGACGCCTCATACACGATAAGGCAACCCGTCTCCCTTGGTGCTCCTTACCACCGGAATAGCTCTGAGCACTTGCTCGGAACTTCACTTGCGTCCAGCATACGCGACTGTCCATTGCCCTTCTTGTTCTTGTCCGACTCTGGTCTGACTGTTCTGATTCCTGTCTCATCGGCCCCACTTTCCTATCAGACACACCATGGATTCTTCTACTAATTCGTCTAGTGCTTCTGCACCTCAGCGTCGCAGCAAATCCTCTACATCGTCTCCAGGGCCACCGTTTCCAATGGACGCTCGCATGCCTGTCTCACAGAGCCATTTCGCTCAGGAGGCAGAAAATCGCGATCTCAAGCAAGGCGCTGCTTGCAAAGTACCGAAGCGCAAACGGTTGGCCAAGGTAAGCTTTTCAGTTCCGGCCCGAAAGCCACTGGCTAAGGTCTTGCCCGAAAGGCGTGCGATGCATGTCATAAGAGTAAGAGACGGTGCGACGGTACTGGCAAGTAGATTTCACGGGATTGAGACCGTCCAGCATCATGTCTGATACTGATGCCTCGTTTAGCGCCCTGTAGCAATTGGTGTGTTACAGTTGCGGGTATCTGTCGCAACGCCACTGATTTGATGTTAGCTACTTTGCTTCGAAAGAGTGTACATACACGGATGCATCTGGACGTCCGGTTCCTGCTCCCCGAGCGGGGCATCCCTCGGAGGATACCCAGCGTTCGTCTCAAGCCCCTCTAGATGGTGTGCCCAGCCGAGCAGGCCCTTCTGCTGTACCTGCGATTCGTGCGACTCCGCAAATGCATCCCGTCAAGATACCTTCCCCGTTAGCTGGAGATCAGCACGAATTTGACGATTCTAACGAGCATCGCAAACGTCGACGGATTGAACAAGGTCCAACCTTTGCTGGTCCTCCTATTCCTTCGCCGCCCCAAGCGGTCCTTGTCAATAATCCGATCTTAGACCGCTCCAGTAGCCCTGATGCGGCTTTGACCAGAGAGCTTGTTAATCGTAAGTGCCGTTGTCTCCCGCATTCAGAATATTGTTATAACTGGAAATACTCTTAGTCTTCTTCACACATTGCCACCCGTCTCGGTTGATACTGCACAAGCCATCGTTCTCTGCTGCCCTGAGCCATAACGGGGTGCCACCCTATCTGCTGCATGCTATGTATGCCCTTGCGGCGCCCCTATCGAAGCAGCCTGGGATCCGCACGACTCCGGCGCGATTGGCGGGAAAGAGGTTCTTCAATGATGCCGTCTCCATGATGTTCGACAGCACTGGTCGACTTTGCTGCCCTCCAGATCTGGTCACTGCGCAAGCTTTGTGTCTCCTGCAGATGCATATGTTACAGCAAACTACGCAACCTATTATGACTCCCATAAAATACCATGGTAAGTCTTTACTTTACAGGCATAAAATTGGCTGCTTTATCCAGTTCAATTGCGTTTGGATAGATCTTGCGTTAGGCATCGTCGAGAACTTGGGGGTTTACAAGCCAGACAACCCAGTCATCACCCCTATGCCTTCTGCCGAGCACGTCCACAGTTCCATCGAGCGGGAATGCACGCGCCGTGTCTTCTGGTTTATATACTTGCTCGAGCTCCTTCGGCAGACGTACTCCCACAGGTCCATGATGCTCCGCCCCGAGGGTCAAGACCTGAGCATGCGCTTACCCGTGGACGAGACGAGTTTCGAGCTCGCGGTGCATATCACACTGCCCGGTATGTTTATATCCATATTATGTGTGTCGTGGGCCCTTACGTTCGGCGATGATCCAAGCAGAGTATTTGCACTTCCCGCCTCCGCGTATGCCGTATACCTCGGAGTTTGGACATATCATCCGGGTGACTAAGATCATGACCGAGTTTGAGACGAAAGTGTGCCCCTCTTGCAGTGAGTATCCTGTGACCATGGTTTGCTGCTGCTTTGACTGTACGCGAATCACCGCAGATGGTGGCATCATCCGAGATGATCGCGCACATGCTTCGGTTTTGCAAGAGACAGAGATCCAACTTGATGTGAGTACTCTGACTTGCGAGGCGGATTTTGCTTGATGGCTGGTCTTTGTAGACTTGGGCACAGAGCTTGGCCGACCATCTGCGTTTCAACGAGCAAAATGTACAGCTCCAGGTATCCATGTTTGAGACGAGTTCCAACACCGGCGCCTGGTGTTTCTTCTTCATGCATGCTGTGCACGCGTCATGCGTTCTGGCGATCAATGAAGTGAGTCTTCCGTGGTTAAGCCAGGAAGCTTAAGATGATAACATCGCTCGCAGCTGAAGCAGAGAGCCAAGGGCGAGCCTCCCAACGCTGCCCAGGAATGGTCTCGATCGTGCTTGAATCAGATTCTGTCCTCGATGGGCAATAGAGCTAAGAATAGTTTCATATGTGAGTCGAACGTAGACCCAGAGCTATGGACATCCTGACGAGCTCTTCCTTGCTGCTAGTGGCTGTTATTCTCTGGGTATGTTATTTCCTTCGGGTGAGTCGAAGGAGTATTCTGACATTGGATCTTCACAGCCTCTGTATAAGTACTGCAAGGAGGATAACCAGCAGCTGCGGGAATGGGCTGCAGCGTACCAGGATTTCTGGGGCGTTGATCTCCGGGACCTTGCACTCAATTCTCAGTCGCCCCATGCCCCGGACTTATACACCCCCCCAGGCGGAGCCAGTTCGTCGTCGAGGTCTGATTACTCGTTACCCCTACATCACACTATTACGAAACCCGAGTCAAGCGACCCGTACACGCAGGATGGTCGCACCGAACGTCAGGATGGTCCTTTGTTGCCCTCCTTGAAGGCCAGTGGCCTGCTTGATTCTTGGAGGCCGGTCGGCAATTCCAACGGGCCAGCGCCAGCGGGGAATGCGTGGAATCCTTCCATCACTCCGCCTTCCGGCCGAGAGCAGAATGCAAACACTATGGACCCCTCGCGTCACGCAGCAGCAGGGGTTCCAGTAGGCATGCCGTGGCTCGCCAACGAGCCGTAGAGGACGGCATTGTACGCCGCGTATATTTCGTATTATTGCTTCTGTTTATTCTGACCCCACCGCACATCCATCGCTATATCTATCCGTATTGTACCACTTATAATATGCGAGCTGCCGGATGGTGTATCTGTATCAACCACGTTGTAATTATAGGATAGGTCGCCGAGGCAATAGCGCGCTCTTGGGTTGGGTCTGTCATTACGAGCTTACTGGCCGACTTTCCTAAGATTACGGTGCAGCTCTGGCTGGACGAGGACTACCCGGTCAAGTAGCTTCTTGACTACCTTGTCCTTGTTGGCATTATACTGGTCAGTGATCTCCTTGAGCTTAACCTCTGCATCTTTGTCGACGGATTGCTGGGTACTGTGGATAACGCCAGCATGCTGTTAATAACATCAGTACTTCCCCCCTATAATGCAAGCAATCCGATGACTTACTGAAGCCTCAAACTCCTTGAATTCCGCCTCCTTGGCCTTCCTGTACTCCTCTATCTCCTTGGTAGCTTCTGTCCGGGCATCCTTGAGTTTCTGGACGCGATCTGGGAGAGGTCAGAGTCAGGCTGCCCGGAGCAGGATGTCCATTGACGTACATTGACGGGCCTGCTGCACGATCTTGGCCGCTTCCTTCTCGGCCTCTAGTAACGTCTGAATACCTTGCGATTGCTGAGCAGCCTAGACATCGTGTAAGCTGAAGCGCCTGGCGGCGAGGACGGTAAGTGGACCGACCATGGTGTCCAGAATAGGTGGAGGGGAGAAGAATTGAAACTCCGCCGAACCGGACGGCGGGGCGAGTTTCGCTGGTATTGTGGCAGCAAGAGGTAGGGCAGCCGGTCTTGCAGAATGGCAGGAAACCCCGTAGATCCCTTGCAGACGCTTTCTGCAGCGTTAGCCGTCCCGCCTGACTCGAAGGAACAGGCTGAGCTGCTTGCGACGTTACGTGAATCCCTTGAGGCTTACCCCGGTCCCATACCTATTCTCTGTAAAACGCTCATTCGGACGCTGTCCGGCGCAGGGGACTCGGTCCTCAAGCGATGGGTACTGGACTTGTTACATTTCGCGATATGTCGGTCAAACCTATCTGTGGAAGTCCGCACAGACTGTGCGTGTCTGGTCTCTATCCAGTGTATAGTGGCGTTAACCGGAAGTGCTGTTCTCAGTGGCTTCGCAGTCCGTCGAGACATTGGCTGGCCTGTTGAATGATCCCAACCCAAATTCCGTCAAGTTGGTCGTGCAATGCTTCGCGACGGTGTATCCCCTGCTCTTCCGCGTCCTGTATGCACCTCCTTTATCTGCGACGCATTCCTCCCGCTAACCGCGCAACTCTACGTTTCAGATGTACAAATCGTAACCTCCGGCAAATGTGGGACGTCCTTTCGCAGGCAAAGGCGAGGATCCTTGACTTTGTGCGCGCTGCTGGGGTGCCCATGGGGATAAAGCTGGCGTCGGTGAAGTTCATGCAACGCGTGATCCTCGTTCAGACCAGAGGCGTAGCTGATCCTAGGGTAGTTATCACAGTTCTTTCGCATGTCTTTACGTATTCAATGAAATATCATTTTAGCTTCAGAACAAGAACGACCCCAATCTAGCCATGTGTCCCAGCGACCATCCCTTCATACCCGTGGCTGCGCTTGAAGCGGAAGGCGTCAAGTTGCTCGAGGGTATAATCACGATGCTTTATACCAGCTCGTAAGCTGTCTGCTGACTTAATGAGATACCTTGACTAAACCATCCCTAGCAATCCGGATATCCTATCCGCTATATTGAACAGTTGGGCTAACCTGGTCAAAAACAGACCTGGCCCCCTTGTCCAAATAGTGGTTACGGCTCTTACGCAATGGACTCCCAATGCTCTAGCGGGACAACCAGCTTCATCTATCAAAAGCGTCGAAAAGGCTGTCCGGATATTATTGATCCACATCTCACGGTTGGGTTCTCCCCTTTCCTGTCTTGTTTGGGACTAAGTCCTTAACAGAACACCACAAGGCGCGCCGTATGTTGGGCAGATCAATGAAGCGCTCGCCGTTCAGGGAGCACGTATGGACCGAGCTGCCGCGGAAGAAAAGGCTCGCAAGGCTGCTGCCGCTGAAGCCAGCAGGAAAAGGCCGGCCAGCGTACCGCAGGAGTCTCCACCTGATTCCAAGCGAGTGAAGTTGGAACCAGACCAGAATGCCGCGGCGGCGGCGGCATTCCTGGCATCGTTCGACTTCACCACCCTACCCACCACCCTTATTAACGACCTCATTATCGCTAACCTATATGCATTCCCCGAACCTGCGTTACAGGCCTTGGTGCTCACGTATCGAGATACCAGACGACCATCCGCTCCTGCTGCAGCACCTGCACCAGTCGCAGCGCCGGTGGCCAGTGCGCCGGTCGTTCCCCCCAATGCACCCCCTCCGTCAGCATCAGTAGCAGGACCCCCAACAGCCCCTGCGGCTGCGGTTGCCCCTACTGAGAAGAAGGCAGCCACTCCCGTGCCGTCCGCACCTCCGCCTGTCAAGGAAGAGCCAGTCGATCCTTTGCAGATGGATATCGACGAAGAAGAGATGGAGTACGAACCTGACAAGCTCAACTTAGAGCTCTCTGCCGGCGAGCACGCAGACGCAGAAGATGGCGACATGGGAGTTCCTGAAGCTATCGACATTGACCTCTTGACGGAACTCAAATTGCCCCCGCCAAAAGTATGGTCGGAGGAAGACCGAGACGCACTAATAGGATCATCTATGTCGCGCATTCGAGAAGGGGTGGACGTTGTGAGTCCTGGTGACGATACGACCGTCAACCCGTCAAAGATGGTCGCGACAGACCTGTGGATGCTGTTGATTATCCGGATGGTAACGAGGGTGGTCGAGTGTCCCAAACCGGGTAAGGACACGGAGGCAGGAGCGGGGGAGGACTCAAAAGATGACGTCGAGCTCTTCGCGCGACAAGAACGATTAAGACAACGGTTGTGCGACTATATCATGGCAAATTTTTCCGCTCGGTAAGTCGAGCACACCCTTGACTCGTCTGTTTGCTTGGTTTCCTGATTCCCGATTTCTGTAGAGTCCGACTTGCCACGACATGGATGAACGAGGAATGGTACAACGATCGAATACGGTCGGCAGATGACCCGGATTGGGTAAGCTCATACCCCCCGGTCTTACTGTACCTCGCTGATTTGCGCTTCTAGAGACCTAACTACGACATATGGCTCAGCCAGATTCTTGCCGCATACCAGACTCACATGGATGCTAGAGATCGGACGTTCACGCGATTTTTGCTAGACTTGCCTTCAATACCTCCGGATGTTTTGGAGATGTTGCGGGAACTCTGTTTAGATTCCGAACGGTGAGTATCAGTCCGTTCCATTGGTACTCCCTCTTGAACCGTGTCTCCTCAGCATGACTGTTGGCTTTACCACTCTTCGCGAATTTGTGCTGCAACGGCCCACGTTGCGATACGAAGCCATAAACGTGTTACTGGAGCTAACGACACATTCTGGTATTTATTACATGTCCTCGGGTGTATTCCGACTGACCCACGACCTTAGAAAAACTTATCCGTGGCGCCGCCATCAACACGGTCAAGCGATGGGTCCCGGATGTACAACCGATGGGTGATATGGTTCGCGCATTCGCTCTTCATATCCTACGAAGACTGCAGTCTCGCGCGCCGAAAGAAAAACAGGCAGATGAAGATATAGCCATGAATGGGGAGGGGGAAAACATGGAGGATGGCCAGTTACCTGCGGAAGACTTGGTCCAAACTCCTTATTTGCCGGAGGAGCTGGATTCTCCTGTGCAGCGAGCGCAGGTCCTACAGCACGTAGAGCTATTATTTGCTCTCTCGGTCAAGAGTCCTGATTTGTTGGACGAGTACGTATCCGTTCTACGCGGAAAAGGATTATTCCGCTAACGAGAACGGCAGGATATTCACTGCATACGGCCAAATGGAGCGGCCCGTCCAGGAGACTGTCCAGGAGCTCATCACTCCCCTTATCCGGTCACTAGGCTCAAGTCACGGGAAACTTCTGACCCTCTTGCGGACATTCCCCTCCGGCGCCGAGTCTCTGGCTTTACGGGTGCTCACCATCTTTACTGAACATGGTCGGCCAAGTCCACAGCTCGTCGCTCTAGTGAAGGGTCTCATCACTGAACGAGACCTGAATGCGAAGTTCTTGATCCCTATTATCGCCGAGATGGACAAGGTGAGCGCGTCGACCTGATCGCAGGGGCTCCAGCACTGAAACGTCCTAAAGGCGGATATCGTGCGACATTTACCCCGTATTGTGTCCATTCTCAATGGCAACACGGAGGAAAAGAATCTCGTGCGGTCGGTGTTCAGCGCTATTGTTACGACCCCGCCGGAGACGTTTGGCACGGTTACCTCAAATTTGCCTCGAGTGCGGCAGAGTGAGCTACTCACCCCTGCGGAACTTATGGTACTGTTGCATTCGGCTGAGAAGGAGATCGGCCTGAAGGCTGCAATTGAAGGTGGGTGAATCACAGTCACCAGTTCGGGTATGGACGTTCATCGCTACTTCCGACAGCCATCGGAATCTGTTTCTCCATGACTGATGTTTTCCGGTCCGAGATTCTTGCCGTGGTTATGCAGCAGATCGTGGATCAACCCGTGCTGCCCACGTTGTTCCTCCGAACGGTATGTCGGATCCTCGGCAGGTGGAGATAGAACGCTTATCCTCCTTTCAGGTCATACAGGCCGTGACCACCTACAAGTCGCTTGTCGGGTTCGTGTCGACGACGCTACTGTCGCGGCTTATCACCAAGAAGATTTGGACAAATCCGCCACTCTGGGAAGGCTTCATTAGGTGTGCGAAGATCATAGCGCCCTCGAGTTTCGGGGCGTTGCTTCAGCTCCCCAAAGACCAACTCCGGGACCTTGTGGAAAAACAGCCCAGTCTGAAAGCAGGTCTGCGCGACTATGTTATGAAGAAGGCTGGAAACAAGGCGCAGAAGGCTGGGTACCTCGATTTCCTAGGAGACGATACCTCTTCGCAGCAACCGCAAGCAGTGGCGCCGTCTCCTGCATAGCTATTGCTTTCGCATTCCCCTTCCTGGGCCTGTGTATTTTACACGAGCACACGTCTAATTCTGTATTGCTGGCAGTATGTACATGTAGGATGGACGCAAATTTTAGGAATAATTACCGTCCGAAGGCTCTGTCTGATCATCTAACCGAACCGAAGCGCATCTAATCTCAGATGAACCTTACAAACAGGCTTCTTGTCCGTGACTCCGTGTAAGTACGTCAAGTAGCAGGTGGCTCCGCGCTGCCCTATACTGTGTATCCCTAGTCTTCTTCTCTATCTCGCCGAGCTTACAGCGTTTGGCGGCGACCCTGCCCTCTGAGATTCCTTGTCATGTCGGAAGCACAGGACGATGGACGCGTCGTAGAGCGCCCACCGCGGCAGGCATCGACTTCTCCAGGCAGGCGCGGTCAATCGGACAGCAATGCTCCCTCATCGTCCACACGACCATCCCCCAGTTCATGGGAGGGAAATCGAGGCAGATCGAGAGTGCGTAGGATGTCAAATCCTACTTCCGAAGAGAACCTGAGGCGGAGGTAAGACTATATGTTCGAGATTTATCGGAGCTATGCTTACGGTGCCTCGGAATCACGAAAGAGGCTACCATTCCTTGCTCTCGTCCTATGGCAAAGTCTTCCATGTCGAGAAGCGATGGAAACTTATAAGGGAGATGGGGTCCGGTGCATACGGAGTTGTGATGTGAGTACTGTGTTGTCGCGTCTACGTCTACTGAAGGCTTGATGGCTAGTTCCGCTCTGGATGAGATATCAGGGGAAACCGTAGCTATCAAACAAGTTTCTCGCGTCTTCGACAAGGTGCAACTGGCGAAGCGAGCTCTCCGGGAGATTACTCTCCTTCGACATTTTTCCAACCACGAGAATATAACCGGCTTGATAGACCTAGATGCTATATCGCCTGATGCGGATGAAATGTACGTTCAGATATGATTATGCTCCCGTCAGCACCTCTTACTTGGTCCTATAGTTATATATTTATGGAGGTATGGTGTAATATATTCGCGATGTTTGCGCCTGTCCTAACACCTCGCAACTCCCCCGAAGCCGATGGAAGGTTCGTTTGCTAGGTTATTTGGCCTAAGCTCGAGAGACTCACTGTACCGTGTACAGCTGACTTGCATCAAATTATCAAGTCAGGTCAATCGCTGACTAACGAACATGTTCAATACTTCCTCTACCAAATCCTCAGAGGTACCATAATGATCGTGTCTTCGTCCGTCTAGAATCGTGCTCATAGAGCTCCATCTACAGGGATGAAATATATTCATTCAGCCTCTGTCGTGCATCGCGATCTTAAACCAGGCAACCTCCTGGTGAACGCCGATTGTGAGCTGAAGATATGCGACTTCGGCTTGGCGAGGGGCTTCGAGCACACCCCCGATGGCAATGCAACGCAACTAACAGAATATGTCGCTACCCGGTGGTACCGCGCTCCTGAGCTTATGTTAGCTTTCAGGTCAGTATCGATAGCTTCGTCAAATCCATGTGATACTGAGGCACCCAATGTAGACAATATAACACCGCCAGTATGTCTATCTAGGAGTCCCTTGTCTGTGGAGATACTCACGGCCAAATTTACGCAGTCGACGTATGGTCAATAGGCTGTATATTTGGAGAACTTCTACTGGGCAAACCCCTGTTCAAGGGCAAGGAGTGAGCATGGCTGCTCTCCCCATTCTTGCACGGGATCCTGACCTCTATTCGCCTCAGTTACGGTCAGAACATCATCTTTCAAGTAACAACCGTTTGCTGAGATCCGTGTCGTTATTGGCAGTTGATCAACTCAACAAGATCCTTGACGTGTTAGGTTAGTGACGATCAGCCGGCCCCCATTGATTCAGTTGTCGATTTTTTTTGGACAGGTACCCCTGACGACGAAGTCATCAAGCGAATAGCAAGTGACAGGGTATGTACAAGAAGGTTCTGAACTTAATAGACGAGTATTTATTGGCAATAGGCGCAAGCGTATCTCCGTTCATTACCCTATAAGAAGATGGTGCCTTACTTAAAAATCATGCCTAATGCCGACCATCAAGGTTTGTTTCCAATAACTCTCGTGTGCAGACATCTAAAATATAATTCAGCTATAAACCTCCTCGCGAAGATGCTCACCTTTGACCCGGCTGCTCGAATCACGGTAGCCGATGCCTTAGAACACCCGTGGCTATCTTCCTACCACGACATCGACGACGAACCCGTTTGCGCTGTCAAGTTCAATCGGTGGCGTGAAGTGGAAGAACTGGAAACGATAGAGCAGTTCCGAGACGCGATCTGGAGAGAGATCCAAGACTACCGTCGGGAAGTCCGGACGTTCTCCTTCGAGATACCAGAGGACTATGAGCGCACCAGAAGCCGGGACCGGAAGGAGTCCTCACTTCCGGGAGGACCTTCTACCACCCAATTCCCCTCGATATCCGAAGATCCAGAGGTTTCCGTGCAGGAAGCAGAGGACTCGACGGTCAGCGAGGCTACGATTCCACCGGGCGCGGTGACGCCTACCGACCCTGTGCTTGCCTATTCACGGAGGTCGAGCTTCTTCGGACCGCGTCGACGAGATTCTTATGCCTCGTCGCCTTACGTCGGCAGGCAGCCTCTGCCGCCCTCCCGCGAGGAACCAGCTGTCACCCAGGAGTCAGATACCATGGCGTCGGGGACCACGGGCAGCAACACCGTCGCGTTCCCCAGCGAGAATTATGTTGTCCCTGCGCGGTCGCGGACTATCTCGCAAGCGACTGGCATGGGTACGTTCCCTCGCAAGGTCCTGCGTACACTGTCCACCGTATCGATATACGAGAGCGTCGACGGGTTACCAGCGGATCTTGCGCATCTAGGGAAGTATATCAAAGAGAGAGACGTGACCGATGCAGATGCACCTGCGTCTGAAGTTCCGAAAGACTTTCCCTTAGACAAACAAGGTGGCGAGAATGATTCTCACAAATTCCATATCGGATAGACGTCCACCATCACGACCTCACGCCATCATCACCCGCATGTCATAACGATCTATATAGATGCCAGATAGAGCGGACTACAATTAGATGTATGATAGAGATATAAACGTGCGCAATGGATACAGAAGAGATGTACTAAATACAACAAGTGTGTTCCCGAGACCGGAAGAAAGAAATGAGATCTATGCATCACCCAGAATTTGCTTTATTCCTGAGGATAATCCGTGAGGGCGTGCGCGTCGCACAAGATCGTAAGACTCACTATCGATAATATCCATATAAGCTATACTGGCGGGGCTGTCAGGGTATTCATCCAGGAAGCTGACCCCGTAGTCGGCGCTCTTCCCTATCCGAGGGTCGAGCGGGACAGCACCGAGCAGCTCGACACCCATTTCCGCCGCCATCTTCTTTGCACCGCCAGTACTAGGCTTGAAGATTTGACTCTCCGTCTTGCAATTCGGGCAGACGAAACCTGACATGTTCTCAACGACGCCGAGCACGCGGATCCCGACTTTCCTGCAGAAATCGATCTCCCGACGGACGTCCTGCAGGGCGACTTCCTGCGGGGTCGTGATGACCACGGCGCCGTCGATGCCGCTTTCCTTCAGGTACTGGACAATGCTGAGGTGCTCGTCGGATGTGCCTGGCGGCGTGTCGACGAGTAGGTAGTCTAGCTCGCCCCAGTCGACGTCTTTAAGGAATTGCGAGATCAGGCCGTTCTTCTTGGGACCGCGCCACATGATGGCGTCCTTTGACGAGGGAAGCATGAAGCCGACGGACATTACACCGAGGTTGTCTTGCACGTATACAGGGGACCATCCTGATGAAGAGGCATGCACTTGTTCCGAAGCAATACCGAGGATCGTCGGTATGGACGGACCGCAGATATCAACGTCCATGATCCCGGTCTGAGATCAACTCTATATAAGTATCTGCAATCAATGAGTCGGCGACAAGCGTACCTGTACCCTGTCATCTGCTGAGAACGCCCAGCCAAGCTGCGCAGTGAAGGTCGACTTCCCCACGCCGCCTTTACCAGACAGGACGAGGATCTTGCGTTTCACGTTGGACATCCGCTCGCGCACGAAAGGGAGTGCAGGATCTGGTCCCTTTGTCTGACCCGACGCACAGACATCCTGGTTTGCGCAACCTGCACAGGCTGCAGCCTTGCCCGCAAGCTCGGATTCAGTGCCCTGTCCGCCATATTGAGTGTGCAGCGGGCCTGGATACTCTGAAAGAGACTAACCGGGCAATGCTCTGGTGCATTTGAAGGAACCGAGAGTGGACTGGGGGCCTCTACTGCCTGTTGGACCGCAATCATGGTGGTCGAGTAGTGTAGGAACCCTTTCGCGATCGGCTTACATTGGGTCCCATGTGATTGGTAATCTTTATTACGGCTCCGAGCAGCTTTCTCACGGCCCGAGGGCCACAGGTCTATCCGGGGCCGTGGCGTCCAATAGAAGGGGTTACAACTATTTACGATAGTAAGGAACTGTCCAGTGTCGAGGAGGCCAGCGTATATTATAAATATTAATATCATGATGTACAATAAGAGTACAAGTGGCAGAATAATTAGGGTAATTTACGAGAGCATGGTATGTCCTCGGACGAGCAGACGATCCGTCAAGGTTTCGGGAGACAGTTCAACTCTGCCGTGCTCGAGTAAGTCTGGGGCATTTAGGATTAACCCATTCGAGCACCAGCGACCCCCGCAGCTATGGAACTCCTGGCATTGGGCGCAAGCGCATTTGCCAATAGGTCCCTACAATTCCGCAGCCGCTCTCGCCTCGCAACAAACCATGAACCGGCATCGTACGGAAGTGCAAGCGGCTGGCCGATGACTCCCTTGTCGTATCCCGTTCGCACTGCGCGAACGAGGGAGTCCAGCTCGGCTTCGGAGTCGATGTCATCCAGGTTCTCGTCAATGTCATCGACATCGCCGACGATAACAGCGGAAGACGCAGCAGCGGCAGCGGCTGCTTTCTTCCCTTTCTTCGGGCCTGTGGCAAGCGCGCCTTTCTTCGTGATGTCGATACCCGCGGCCGCAGCCTGTTCCAGCGCCTGGCGCTTCTTCTCTGCTTTCTCTCGCTCCTTCTTCTCCTTCCTCTCCTGCTTCGTTTCTTTCTTGACGGGTTCAACCCAGTTCGGGTTGTTAGCCCGGTTCCATTCTAGCAGCAACTCGTCGTAGGGCTTCGATCGGCCCTGGACAGCGCGCTTGGCACCCATAGAGTGGGACTTGCAGGTGAGGGAGCGCGAGCATGGGAGGCCTTTATCGTTTATGACACCGCACTGTTTGTCATAATCGACAGGGCCTTTGAAGCGCCTGTTGGTGACCTTTGCAGTGGTCTTCTTCTTCTTGGGCTGATTCGGATCCTCTGGCGAATCAACTTCGTCCGCTTTACGCTTCTTGCCCTTCTTCGGGCTTTCCTCTTATCCTAGATCAGACCGCATACTTGTCGTAAGATGTATCTCATACCAAGCTCTGCAGTCGATCCTTTCCCAGCTTTCTTCGCCTCCTCGTTCTGTATCCGCTTGCAATTATCTGGACGCACTGAGTGATGCTGAAGGTGCGAAACTCAAGGCGGCTACTCACCCGCGTGCTCAGCCGCTGAGCTCTGCAGCACAGGCTTGCCGCAGTCCTTGCATTTGACCACGCCAACTTCAGGTTTGAGTGGCTCGGAGCCAAATACCTTCATGTCTCGCGCGGACAGCCATGCTGTAGGCGGTGAGGGCGGCGACGCCACATCAGAGGAGGATGATTCTGACGGGCTGTCCCAAGAGAAGGTAGGAGGAGACGGAGCAGGCTTCAGTTTGAGCGCCATTGGTGATGCGCGACAACAGGCTGAGCGCGGCGAATCACGATGGTGGTGGCACTTGCCAACGTTAATGGCACGTTGCCGGCGGCTTCCCCGGAACGTCGGGGGCGCGGCTGTGACGCGGTGCAACGTCACGGTCCGGGGTGGGATCTAGATGTGGCAAAGGCAATCACTTACAAGAGGCCAAGAGACTAATAAAAAGCTTTTCTTTGCGTGATACATATACAAAATGTATTCTGTCTGAGATATCCCAGGTCATAGTTGAAAACATCGACTCATTCAAATAACAATCCTGTAGATAACCTAGATGACACAAGAGACAGAGTCTCTTCAAGTCGAGTCGTCAAACCCTTCAGCTGAAGGCAACTGAGCAACGCGAGCAAGCGCGGAGATATGAAATCGATGGGGAAAGTCTGGGGAAAAAAAAATGTGCCATAAGTGGTAATTGCCTTGCTATAAAAGGAATGTGACGATCTGACGTGACGTCAATGCATGAGCGAAGACGCGTCCCAACCACTTCACGGGGCCGCGACTTCCTCGACATTATAAAAGCCGCCATCTCCTCTTGGTGCAACCCCCGCCCCTCTTTCCTCCCCCCACATTGTTCGCGATGGCCGCGAAATCAAAAGCTGCGCGCGCGGTTAAGAAAGCGGAGAATAAGTTGAAGAACCTCCCCAATCCGTCTGTGAAGATCCCGAAGCGCAATGGAGGTTCCTCGACGGAAACCTCACCCACGACTGATGGCACGAAAACACCCAAGACACCCGCCGATGAGGGTATTGAGTTCTTCGAGTTTGCCCCGATAGCTGCGGACAAACCCATACGCGTTTTTGAGCTTCGTTTGGATCCCGATGGTGGTCCTGACAAGGATAAATCTGTGCGTCCAGTTGTCTTTGTATGGAATACTCATCCTCATATTGTTTATGTAGTACCTGCGACTCCCTCCTGCAGATATTCCTTACATTCTCCGCGTAACACTGGATGCTGGTACCCCTGCCTCAAAGAACGGCGTGTTCAAGACCAACTTCCCCTTGGATGGGGGGAAGTTCAGCAGGGAGCGCTTTGTAGAGCGAAGGTGGATACCGTTCACATCTAGGGCGGTAGAATGTATTGTCTAAACTTCCGTCTAGACTCCCCACAAACTTCTCCAAGCCGATTCAAGTCGATCTTCCTATATCCCATGCTGGGGCGTTCGCGTATTGGGTGGAGTACGACGGAGATGAGCCTGGATCCCGAACCAAAGGACGGGAGGGCTACTTCAATATTGATCCTTTGCTTCAAACTAAGGAGCGCTCCTCCATCCTCTCCCCCTCTGGCGCCCCTCTGTCCCCTACTGACGGTGGCGCTGCTCTAAAGAGCAACTATGTCAATCTTCCCCTTGATAGCTTATCTATCCTCACTGTTGTCTCGAAGTGGATGGGTCCCATGTCTGGGTGGTCCAAATACTTCGAGGAAGCTCGGGATAGGGGGTATAATATGCTGCACTGGACGCCTTTGCAGGAGCGAGGCGAGAGTGATAGCCCTTACTCGATCCGGAACCAGCTCAGGTACGACCCATCAATGTTCTCTGGTGGAAAGGATGAGGTCGAGAAGGAAATCGATGGTGGTAAGGCCAAAGTTGAAAAAGTCTTCAAAGTAGCGAAAGAGCAATATGGTCTTTTAAGCCTTACAGACGTGGTCTTGAATCACACCGCTAACGATAGCCCATGGCTGGTGGAGCATCCTGAAGCAGGTATGTTCCGTCCCCCGCTACATGTTGCGAGTTTAACATGGAAACCTCGGCTATGCAGGATACAGCCCTGCGAATACTCCTCACATGGCGCCCGCTCTCGAGTTGGATACTGCTATTATAGATTTTTCGGCGACTCTAGCCGCGAATGGCCTTCCCGTCCGTATTGCCTCGTACGGCGACATAGAGACCCTCGTAGGGGCGTTAAATCAGAAGATCAAGGACTTGAATCTCTGGCAGTACTATGTTTTAGACGTGAACAGGGAGAATTCGGCCGTGAAGGAGGCGTTCGCAAATGGCCGCGTCATAGAGTGGCAGGGCTCTCCCGTCGCAGGCAAGTCCGTCGTGGAGTTGGCAGAGATTGTACGCTCCCTTGGCAAGGCTGAAGGGCTGGGCGAATTCTCCGGCCGCTTTGGAGTGAAAGTCGATGGTTCCTTCGCTGCTGGGCTGGTAAAGGCCCCCTTCGCCGAACTTGGAGATAACGTGAACGCGCTCGCTGATGCATGGGTCCGCGTGGTCGATGTCTTGAACGTACCTCTGTACCAGGAGTGGGAAGATGACACCAAGGCCGCATTGGAAAGCATCAAGAACAGAGTCAAATACACCAGATTAGACGAGCACGGCCCAAAGCTTGGTGATATTTCCCGAGAGTACGTCCTCTAAGTTATAAATCACGTTTCCTGCTTATGGACGTCCGGTACAGGAATCCCCTAGTAGAACCTTACTTCACCCGTCTGGCGCCCACGCCTGAATCGGACCCGTTCGTATATTCGCTTGCCAACAACGGTTGGATCTGGAACGCCGACCCGCTGCAGAACTTTGCGCTGCTGCCGTCGAAAGCGTATATCCGTCGCGAGGTCATTGTGTGGGGCGACTGTGTCAAACTCCGATATGGCGACTCTCCGCAGGCCAATCCGTGGCTTTGGGGATACATGACGAGCTATGTTACTTCTCTCGCTGCGACGTTCGATGGCTTCCGCATCGATAACTGTCATTCCACACCACTTCATGTTGGTGTCACGCTGCTGGATGCTGCGCGTGTTGTTAACCCGGACTTGTATGTGTGTGCGGAGCTCTTCACGGGGAGCGAGGAGACAGATAAGTTGTTCGTGAGTCGCCTGGGCTTGAACAGTCTGATCAGGGAAATGGGGAATGCCTGGGATCCCAAGGAATCATCGCGGTTGCTATATAGCTATGGCTTGGGCAAACCCATAGGTTTGTTGATTCCTCTTGACTTCCAATGTCACTCTGATCGAATTGTTGCAAAGGTTCGATGGACTCGGCGTGCTTGACCAGCAACGAGGAACTGCCGCCTCCCACTGGCAAGGGCCCCGCTCGTCCTTGTGTGGTGATACCTCTTTATGGGTCAAAGCCTCACGCACTGTTGTATGACCTGACTCACGACAACGAATCGTACTTGGACAAGCGATCAGCCGAGGATGTCCTGTCCACGGGAGCGCTTGTCACTTTCTCGTATTCGGCGATTGGGTCTGTCAAGGGTTTCGATGATCTCTACCCTAAGCTGCTCAACCTGGTGCAGGAGAAGCGGCGGTACGAGACATCTGGGTTGGGTGAAGGGAGCGGTATTGCCAAGGTGAAACGACTGCTGAACCATCTGAGGATGGAGATGGTCCTTGGTGGATATGTCGAGGGTCACGTACATCAGGAGAACGATGTAAGTACGTTTCACTCCGAGACATCAGAGCCAAATTGACCGCTCGCCTCTCAGTACATCGTCATGCACCGTGTTCATCCCGGTACGCAGAAAGGCTACTTGCTTGTGGCGCATACGTCCTTCCAGAAGGGTTCGAAAGACAGGGGCTACAGTGTGTTACACGGCTTTTGAAAGTCCATATCAGTGTGGCTCACCGTTTGTTCAGTTAGCCCTCAGAAGCTTCGCCGAACGAAGGCAAAGTACATCTACGGCGCCACCATTGACTTCCCAGACTATGAGGATAAATCTGATTCTGAGACACTTCGTGGTCTTCCCGGAAAGTTAACCGACATTCCGCCTGTTGTCGCACCCCAAGGTCTGGACAATGAGGGTCCGTACGTGGAGATCATCGTACCAGAGTATTTCCCGCCCGGGAGCATCATGCTCTTCGAAACACAGATGCAGGAGTACGATGTAGGTCTGGATGCCTTCTGTACGTCCGGGGTGGATGAGGCTTTCTCGGACCTCAGCCTCGTCGATCTCAATGTCGTGCTTCACCGATGTGATGGCGAAGAGCGAGATGCGACATCAGGAGAGATAGGCTCATACGCTGTTCCGGGTATGGGGCCGCTTGTTTACTGTGGTCTGGAAGGGTGGATGCATCCTTTACGGCACATCATGCGTTATAATGACTTGGGTCATCCTCTATGCGGGCATTTGCGGGACGGAGCATGGGCGCTCGACTACATCCATTCGAGACTTGCCAGGTATGTAAGACTAAGTTCCTTGTGACAGGGCTTAACTCACAGTGGGTTCAGGCAAGTCGATAACTTCCCCAATCTCGTCAAACCGGCGGTTTGGTTCAAAGAACGGTTCGATCGGATCAAGGCTAATATGCCTCCTTTCTTGCGTCCCAAGTATTTCGCTCTTGTGATATCGACAGCGTACAAAGCCGCTCGCCGAATAGCCATTGAACAATGTTCGGAATTCGTCTCCACCGGGCACTCCTTCACTCAAGATCTCTCGCTATGCTCTGTGCAGATGCACGGCATGGTACAGTCCGCGTCGCTCGATCCCGGCAAGATTACTCCTTCTTTGGCTGCTGGCTTACCTCATTTCGCCACCGGGTGGGCAAGATGCTGGGGTCGTGATGTGTTCATCTCGTTGCGAGGGCTGTTCTTGACCACGGGAAATTTCGACGGCGCGAAGAAGCATATCCTGGCATTCGCATCTACCCTAAAGCATGGCTTGATCCCCAATTTGCTGGATTCTCTTCGGACGCCCAGGTAAGTTTGCATACCTACTTACACTGCTCTTCTAAGATCCCTTGTCGTTAGGTATAACTCGCGCGACTCTCCCTGGTGGATGCTTCAGAACATCCAGGACTATGCAATGAGCGCACCTGATGGGTTGGCTATCTTATCCGAGTCCGTCCGCAGGAGATTCCCGAAGGATGATACATGGGTTCCATGGAACGATCCTCGCGCATACGCCGAGTGCAGCACGATCGCCGAGATCATCCAAGAGATCTTGCAGCGACACGCGGACGGTATTCACTTCAGAGAGTATAACGCGGGACCCAACCTAGATATGCAGATGAAGGATGAGGGGTTCAACATTGACATCCAGGTAGATTGGACGACTGGACTCATCTTCGGTGGCAATCAGCATAACTGCGGCACATGGATGGACAAGATGGGCGAGTCGCAAAGAGCAGGCACGAAGGGAATTCCCGGAACGCCTAGAGACGGTGCGCCTGTTGAAATCACAGGGTTACTCAAGAGTACTCTGCGTTGGCTCAATGAACTCTCTACTGCTGGTAAATTCCCCTTCAAGGGTGTCGAAGCCGAAGGTGAGGCGAGCATGCGCACCGTCAGGTCTCAATACTCACGGAGCGCACAGTCGACGGAAAGCGAAGATTAATCACGTACAATGAGTGGAATAATCTTATTCAAGCGTCGTTTGAGCAATGCTACTACGTTCCGCTTGGTAAGCCCGTCTTCTCACTGTTGTCCATCTGGTGAAACCCATACCTTGGTAGATCCCGGTGATGATGCGAAGTACAATGTGAATCCAAGCATCATCAATCGCCGCGGTATCTACAAGGACGTCTATGGCTCAGGACCGGGTAGAGAATGGTCTGATTACCAGTTTCGTCCCAACTTCCCGATAGCGATGACGGTCGCGCCGGAGATGTTTGACGAGCAACATGCGCTCGGCGCCTTGAAGCTAGTCGACAAGACCCTGCGAGGTCCGCTAGGCATGAAGACTCTCGATCCCAGCGACATGCAATACCGACCGTACTACGACAACTCCAACGACTCGACCGATGCTGCCATAGCTAAGGGGTTGAATTATCACCAGGTACGTCTCAGAGCATGGGCCTGCTATAGGCTACAGCTCATGTTCGTCAAGGGTCCGGAATGGGGCTGGCCTCTAGGTTACTTCTTGCGCGCATACCTATACTTCGACACGCGAGTTGGTGCCGGTAAAGAGGTACGTCCGTTTGCTTTACGTGTTGGCTCCCACTCAAGGGCCGTTGTCTCTAGGACCCGACTCAAACACTGCATTACTTGCACCGTCATCTTCTCCCAATGCGCCGTCATGTCGAGAATGACCCATGGGCTGGAGTGCCAGAACTGACGAACAAGGATGGAGCCTACTGTCATGATTCATGCAGCACCCAAGCGTGGAGCTCCAGCTGCGTTCTGGACTTCCTTGAGACTGTACACAAGATGAACTAGACCTAGCTTTTCCATACTTGTAGACGTTCAAGAAGTTGTAGGATTGTCCATTCTGTAGAACCATTAGTTACTACAAAAGCAAACTATGTATACCCCAGCACGGTCGACACGTCCGAACTTTCCCAATGATCATCCCTCTCCATGTTGTCTTGATATTTATACCAAAGCAAATTTAATGTATCAGTCAACCTCCATGAAGTACTTCACCACCATGCATTGCAATGGCACTGACACTCCTCTGCTGAACGAACATGTACAGGATAGATGTTCATGGAGTACTTGCAGTCCTTTAACTCTATCTCAAAATCATCTTTGCTCCCTACTAACCTATATTCGACAGTTGCTGATGCATTTCATAATGGTGATTCGGCTATGCTGAGAGACTTGCGCCACAATTATAACCACATCCCAAACTATTCGCTGAATGCGTGATACCATCCAATGATGGTATTTAGACAAGCAACGAAAAGAAAGGAAGTGATCCCCCGACGACACAAGCCGGTAGTGCAGTGGCAAGGTCATCGCGCCCCCGAGTTGCAAGCAGAGCTCGGGGGTCAAGGGCGGCAAAAATTAGATAACCAAAAATGAGGGCGGTGCCCTCATAATAGTGGTTAAACTATTAAGAACAGATACTACACTTGATCTAAGCCAAAAGGCCAGAGTGGTAACGAACTAAAAGGTTGGAGCGTTGCTTATATAGCCTCTAAGATGCGCACGGACCATTCGTATGTTTTGCCTTTGTCTAACTTTGGAAACAAAGACATTCTGACGTGGGTTCCCACTTTCGGATATGTGGCGGATTACTATTATTTACTAACGTATAAATTATCGTGACTTGCCAGAGGAGGCGAGCTCGACAGGACATTAAGCAAGATGGGGCGGAAGATCATATCGATTGATTTCGACAGTACTCCTTTGTATAAGCTATGCAACCGGTAGGAAATTTGACAAGCGTATAGTCATCCCGAGAAAACGGCCTTAGCCTAGTCTAGGTAATCGCAGAGACCTTGTTGAGCGAGAGAAATATCGCACCATTTTCTTCTTCGTCAGGGTAACGGTCATGCCATGGTCCCAAGACACTCGACCTTACGTGTTCGCTGCTTTATGGTGAAATTCGCGTATTCCCCGTGCTTAGGGCACGATGAAGACGCGAGGTTCAGGCAAAATAACTACGGTCTAAAGATCTCACAGAGGTCCGAAGCCGGCGCAGACGCTAAGGGTGCCGAGACACTGGTGTGCACGATGGAAAGGCCGGGAAGGTCCCGCCAGATGACGATTGAACGGTTCCTGGTCCATTTGGAAGTTAATTGAGAGACGCTGTGATACAAGGAGGCGGGACCAGTTGAGAGCCACAACTGCCAAACGGTTACAAGGGACCCCGCAGTGTAGCATACGGATCACGGTGTAGCACAAAGTCGGCTAAAGTCTTCGATGCGATAGTAGCAAATAGCGAGCACCTATCGGAGACACAGCCAGAGAAAACCACACTAGAACTGTGCGGGATGGTAGCCTGCAAGACAATCCTTGATTTCCGTCCTCGAGGTGGCTGACGGCGGGATCACACGTTCAGTGGGATCACCCTCCGGTGGTCGGGAATGTGACGAAGGTGACTTGAAGGTGACCGCGGCCGCGCCTAGCAACGTTAGTTTCACATATGAAATAGGAATCATTCAGCTTTGCTAAAGCTTGTATGCTTTTCGTCAGCCCCGACTCTGTATCATCGGTAGGCTTAAGTACAGTGCTGGACATTTGGACGTCGTGGATACAGGCCCGGATATATGTGGTGGATCATGGTTGTACCGATGGCATAGTCGCCATCTAATATCATGGATCCTAGTGGGAACGCGGACTGACAGTCAATGTTAGAATAAGACACTTCTTCGGGCTCTGATTGGCATGCACAGCGGGCAAGCACCGATGTCCCGCCACCGGACATTCGTCATTCATGAAGTAGGTGGGAGAACACTTTCCTTGCATGCCCCAAAGTGGGACTTGGCAGAGCCATAAAGAATGAGAGAACAATGTCAATCAAATGTCCCCTGATTTTTAGAGACCATAGTAAATGTCCCGCGGACCTGCCTTTGTTCATTCAAAGGACATTCTCCATGTCCAGGTCATGGTCCAACAAAGACCATTCTAGGAAAGTGTTCTCCCAACCGCGGCATGTTCATAGCATGCTCGCTGGCGGGACATCGGTCTCTGCCCGCAGTGATGGGGGCGACCTGGGAGGCGAAAGACGGGGGGATTTTCTTAGATGGATAACCGAACGAGATCTGCAGCCACATGGAGAAAAGGGCTGGGTCCCCGACGCGCACAGGTCAGATCCGCGACACTGGATACACAAGCTTAAGCGTCAATATGAGCTGGCACCGAGTGGACACAAAATTTCAAGACACTGTTGCCGGGATGGGCATGGAGACATACTTAGTACTCGCCTGGCTCACGTAGCATACCTGTGGTACCTGAGTCTTGACAATAAATGCCTCGAGTCGGGATTTTTATGCTATTGCAACCGTAGTGACGAGGGAGCATCGAACGTTCCGTAACTTGGCGAAGTAAACCCGCGATATGACCAGAGGATCAAAAACGCATCACAAGAGAGGGTTCGACGAAGGATGGCCGAAACGTAGCGGAGCTATCCAGCCATTTCAATAGCATGTTTCAGTAGGACGTAGAGCAGTCGAAGATCTTGCTCTAGCTACCGACGGTCTCTGATGGACTCCTTGAATGTCCTGTCTCGGCGCATGGCCCCAAGCTGATATTTAGGCTGACGGGTCCACGTCGATTATACTGTGGCGTGTAGGAAAGATAAGTAAAATGCACCGCGACAAGCGTACCCCCGGAGAGTTCAGGAGCCTCGAGCGCAGGCTCGGGACTACCTGGAAGGACGTGAAGAGGCGCAACGCGAGCGCGGTTCTCACGGTTCCACCGGAGGCAATGGAAGTTGGAAGAGTTGCAGTATTGGCGTCTATCTTGAGGATTGCAAACGCTTCCCATGTCCAACATCGCCGATTCCTACAATGTGACCTTTTGCCAGGTATGTAATCCCAGCAACATTCTCGATCCAGCGAAATCCAGCCAAGTCGAAGACTTGCTCGGCACGATTTCTCGAGAATTGGCGACCGATAGGAAACTAAGGTACATCCGTCAGAATGTAAACTTGGAAGTATCATCTGACGCCCTACGCTATCAGACAACGTATGGGAGCGGAGGAACCTTCCATATGGACTCCTCTGCGAGATTCATGGTCAGCCTTGGCCAACGCCCAACTGGGTGACAATGGAGAGCGCATCCACGGCCTGCGCCTGAACTTGGCCAAATTCACTCGCAACCTCGCCGCTGAGGTGCCGCTTAATCAACGGAAGGCTTAGTGAGTGCACTATAATAGGGTGTCGCCTGGTACTGATAGTCGTTGTCGCAAGTGAGATCGAGCCTGATCTCCGTCGCCTTCTGCATCTCTACACATCATACTATGCTCTGCAAGAGGACAGATGTCAGTCGGCCTTTTCCCCGGTTTCTAGAGATTGAGCTCAACTCGAAGGACGGACAGCCTCTGCAATTGCCCGTATGCTAGGCCAGGCTCTATGCAACATTGTTACCGGCAACGAAGAACTGCTTAGCCGTCTGTGGAAAACCTACATAGAGCTTCGAGAGGAAGAGAACGTCCTCATGCAAGTACGACGTGTTCTGATATTCACGGGCACGTTGACGCAGACCCTCATAGACGACTCCTAGGGTCTCGTCGCCCGGATGTCGTGGTGCCGGGCGAAGTTCTAGTCCTTAACTGTATACTCGGGAGGCGGGACAGGGCGTAAGTTGGTTCCAGGCGAAATGAATAGCTTCTGATAGAAGAGGCGACTTTCGCTGGCACCACAGGTCTATGCTGAGGACGACGCCTCTCGGCCTGCGGATATCAGTGGTACTGCTTGACCAGTTGCGCGAAGTGTCCGACTCACAACCGGAAGAGAGCAGCCCGGTATTCGATATAGGGTCGGTGGCCTCTATCCCGCCCGAATTTGGTTTAATTAAGCTGCTCTGCTTCAGATACAGCATTTTCAAGAACCTCATCGAATGCGGTGAAATGCCGCCACTTTACGCAAGTCTCACCGTGTAAGTCCGATACAGGTGCATCGGATCCGGTACTGACCCGAGCAATATAGGCAGGACGAAATAGTCACCCCACACCAGACAACCCTCCTGAAGCTGTTGGATGCTTACTTGCAATCTTCCACGGGGGTACAGAGTGTGTGGCTCCACAGGCATCTGACACCTCTACTTCTGTCTACCTTCTCTGCCCTTTCCGATTACACCCAAAATGCGGTCCGCAAAGCCCTTGGCCCTACGACCGGGATAGCATCTGCCAGCGAAGCAAGTGTGTCGAGATATGCGGCCCCCGTATCACCGACTTCGTCTGAACACGGCCATCAAGAGTCCTTTCGGCTCGCACAGCAAACCCCCCTTCAAGAGTTAGACCTTCTTCTTCCCAAAGTATCGGAGGCCTTGGTTCTTGTATCGCAGTGTTTAATTACAGTTACTTTGGCCGCTTCAACCAGCTCCAACTATCCTAACGACGATCGAAATAACATTTTAACCCAGGCGCGGGAACCGGCAACTATCAAGACTCTCATCGGTGTGTAATTGACATCTACGGCCAGTTCTCGATCAGTCATGCATCCGTGCACCGCAGAGACGCTACGCCTCCTCGATTTATTCCTTCCAAGAATAAATTTCGGCGCACCCGCAGTGTCGCCTTCCACCAGTCAAGTAGCACATGACCCTCAGTCTCCCGGATTTAAATATGTCAAACGAGATCTAGTCCGCTTGCTGGGGATCCTTTCCCATGAATCACGGGCAGTGCAAGACACCGTCCGGACAAGCGGCGGCATACCGGTTGTAATGAACATGTGCGTAATCGACGAGCGGAATCCTTGTGAGTGTCCCAAGTGTTAGGTGCGGTGCAGAATGATTTGAATGATGGATCACTCCGCCAGTCTTGCGGGAACATGCTATTCTCTGCATGCGCAACCTCTTGCGCGGCAATCCTGAGAATCAAGCGGTGGTCAATGAAATCCAGCCGCTCGCAATGCCAGATCAGTATGGGCCGATTGACTCCTAGCAGGGTTGTTGTACATCTCCTGTAATTAGGGTGTAGTGGGGATTGTCCTAGCAGTGCAGCAATGTCGCACCTTCCATCCTCGGGGGCTTGGTTTCGTAGTGAGTTCGGTCAGCATCTAGTGGCGGCTATTCCAGCCGCATCGGACCTCTGATCTAGTGATCGATGATAGATCAGCCTCCATTTATCAGTATAGATATAGCAAAGGTCTGATATGGCTCACAAGCGTGCAGTGCACAGAGGCCACAGTATGCGCCTCCGAATCAGCAGAGGATTGTGGAGTCCGACCTGCGGACCGACACTACAATGACACGTCAGATGGATCTCATGATCAGAGTGCACTGCAGGCCAGTAGTCGTCACCGGTGCAACGTCGGCCACTTCTGGAGCAAAGTAGCGGTGCTAATAACATCACTCTGCGCAGCATGCGATGTTAGGATGTCGTGTAAGTGAAAGAGGAGAAGCAGAGGGTACCGGAGCGACTCTTGCTGTCCGGGTGCAGGTTGTTCGCCGGATGGAAGAACCATTGCAATCGGGGATGCAAAGTCATTCACGGGTAATCGCCGGAGGTACGCTGTACTATAAGGGAGCAGTGAGTAGAGCGAGTGAGTCGAAGGTGGTCACATAACATTGCATTTGCCGCACCCGTATGACTATGCACAGCGTATCCCCCTATACCTTACACCTCAGGCCTCACGTTCGGCGTATGAAGTAGAACTGCGGCAAACCGTGGACCAAGAGCCCCTTAGTATCATACAGCAGAGCTCACCTAGGGTAGACATGATCATATGAGCTTCGCAACCGAGGCCAAAAGTATATTTCAGCAACGCAGGATGATGGAACAGTCGTAATATCAAAACTGTAGCAAGAAAGAGGACGTATACAATGGACCGGACGTCGCGCAAGATGTCCGAAATTCGAATCACTCTTCCTCATCCTCGTCGAAATCCACCACGGCTCGTTTCTTGCGAGACCCGGTGCCCGCCTTCCGCACCCTGGCCTCTTCGTCATCCTCTTCTTCACTCTCGACGTCCATGGCTTCATCGGCACCCTCAGGTTCAGGCTCATCGCCACCCCCTGCACCCGCTGCGGCCGATGCACTTGGTTCTTGCCGTCTACGCTTTCTCTCATCCTCTTCGATTTTAGCTTCTAACTTCTCCAAATCATCCTCTTCACCTTCGTCGTCGTGAGCGCCGCGCCGCCGTTTCTTTTTCGGACCCCCATCATCAGATGCGGCGTCACCCTCTTCTGACGAATCTGCCACAAGGAAGTCATCTGGCATATAGTCGCCACCACCCTTGCGTTGATCCGACGGCGCTGCTTTCTTCTTCGACCTCTGGGGACTGCCCATCCCACCAACCTCGTCCTCAGAAGCCTCGAATATATCCTCATCGTCGTCCTCGTCGGACCACATCATATCACCAGACCGCTTCCGGGATACGCCACTACGACGTCTACGGTGAGGACCGAAACCATCATCTTCCATCGTCCTGATCTTCTTCGGCTTCTTGGACTGCGTCTTCATGACCTCCATCTTTTCACGCTCAGGATCCATGGTTGGGTCGGGCGCCATACGCAGCCGCGCCACTTTATTGTGTTTCTGCCCAACAGCCCGCACCAGCATGCGATGAGTCTCGGATTGCATGCCCGTCGGACGCAAAGACATGTAGCCAGTAACGACTGCTTCGGACTGGAGGATGAAGGCACGCTTGTGCTGCGCAACCAGGTAGGTGAGACCTTGCGATTTAGGTCCGGGCGTGGCGGGCTGCGTTGGTTGGGTACTCTGCGAGCTCTGGGTGGGTTGTGAACTGCCGAGCGACTGTCGGGGGATAGTTCCGGAAGTATCGATTGTTTGACTGATATCAAAGAGCTCTTTGCCTAGCAGCAAGCTAAGCGAGCCGTCTGACCACCGAATGACTCTTGAATTTGATTGCCTCCGCTTTTGTGGTCATAAGTCCCTAAATCGTCGCGTAGGATGCTGAACTCACGTATTGGCCATTTTCATCCTTGATCCACCGCCACCTTACCGTATTTTCTACTTTGAGTTTGATAGACATACTCTTCTCCCGTACAGTCTCAGGTTGGGGACCGTCTTCATCTTCGTTCTCAGGACCCATGTATGTCTCATGGTGGAACGGCTTTGAATCAACTTGGACGAAATTGGGCATACGGATAACCCAGAACTACATAATGATTGGTAGGAATAGATACACAAGAGGGTCCTACGCACGTTACCATCCGAGCTCTTTGGTACCGGGATGTTCGGGATCTGCACTGCAGCTTCCAACACTTGTTCATACTCCGGCTGAGGCTCGTCCTCTTCCCCGTACTCGAGCTCTTGACGCCTCCTCCGCTCATCAGATGATAAGCCATCTGAGACATGACCCGAAGGAGTGGGAGATGCGGCACTTCATAGTAAAGTTCAGTGCAGCTTACAACCCTCCCTGCGCGAGGTACACGTACCTTTCGTCTCTGGATGCCGTCACCTCGTTATCTTCACCAAAGAGGTCCTCCATTGGCTCATCCTGCTCGTCCTCGTCCTTGCCGCCCTCACCCTCGGACTTGGGCTGCATCTCCACATCGTCCCCAAAGAGATCGGCGGCCGGGGAATGTGAGGCTTCATGTTTTTCTTCTTTCACATCGTTGTACGTCTCCGGGGGGATAAGGGCATCTGCCAACGACGACATGCGTTCTAGGCGGACGAACGATGAGAAATAGAGTAGAAGAGCCACAGGTGCTTGAACGTTCGCAGGCACATGCCTCTCTTCTGGGTGTGTGGGAATTTCTATAGCCTTATTAGGACTAGAGCCTCCGCGGCGTCCACTACTTACCTTCTGAGCTCTACCCGACAATAGGAGCGGAAACGGAGCTTTATGTTCTGCAGGTTCCCCGGACTGCTGCCTGGCCCTGGCTTGTGTTGTTTGGGCTATCTACGTTCCCAGTGACTTAGCTGCGGCAGTTGTGCGCGGATGTTATACAACATACTGCACATGTAATCGATCATACGTACGACATCGTGCGCCTGCAGTACGGCATGTCGGACAAGAATCTCCATTTTGCTCGGAACGTCCCATTTAGCCGCTTTGACTGCTTCCGCCATTGAAAGCTGTTGATCTGCCTAGCGCACCATAGTCCCTATGTGTAATCTTCGTGCTTGGCCACGCACCCCCTGGTTAAGTACGAGCTCTTGACGTCTGGACGCCCTCTTGCCTTTTCGTTCCGTCTGTCGGATGCGCCCGTCTCGCTCTGTCCTGTCATAATTTCATGCGCTATGTCCGATGCAGATGAAGACTCCGATCGATTGGACTCAGCGTTCACCTGGACAAATGAGATGACCAGAATTACCATCTGGACGGGTTCGTGGTTTCGTCGTTATCATCCTAAATCTGAATAACCTCCCGGTATAGCTGCTGCCCCAACGATTGCGGCTCTTGTGGCGTCACTCCTAGCGCTGGGCCTTGCCTGTACACTCTATTGCAGGACCCGCCTCCGGTATGCCTTACGCCGTCAAAGCTTCTTGATGCTTTTGGCTTCGCTAGTCGCCAGTTTGATATACTGTGCCGCATACCTGTAGGCGCTCTTAACAGGATCTATTTGTGTATCGATCAAACCAATCTTTCTGTCAGCGCTGAGCTCCTAATCAGCGGCCCCACTCCTTGGTGCAATGTTGTCATGTTCTTCGGTTTCCTGACTTGTAAGCGATTGTCGCGTCTTATGAGCGCCTGCTTTTAATTGAAGTTCCACAGCCAACTTTATCAATTCTGTAATAATGTGCATCGCACTTAACCTACAACTTGTCTTCGTCCATAGAAAGAGTACGGAAGGGTGGTTGAAGTATTATCTTACTTTGTCTTTTCTCTTATCATTAGCACTATCGCTGCCCGGAGGTGCGTCTACTTGCCTTCTTGGTCATACGGCGTATTTATGCCATAAAATCTAGCAATACGAGAAGTCTGGGGTTGGGACCCTATTACATTGATGTGCTACACCTCCCTCACGGATCCTCGCCAGCGTCGCGCTTGGCAAATCGCCTCCGGTTATTTCTGGATGCTATTCAGTGCCCTAATCACTTTGTGCTGCACGCTTACCGTACTCAGCGCGCTTGTATGTCACGGGCTACAGCGGCGACGGGAGTTCACGGAGACACAGAGGAGTAACACCGATTACAATCAAGTGGCCCGTGCCGTTGCCTGGAGGATAACGATATACCCATGTATAACAAGTACGTCCGTGCCGGCCCATCCGTTTCATCCGTTTATTCAACGCGGGCCGCAGTCATTGTAAACTGCATTGCCGCCGCTTCTGATTTCAGTATCGATCAATCAAGAGGAATTGACACCTATGCTGGATTCGTTCTATGGAATGTCTACGGGTTCTGCTACGGTGCTCAGCCCCTCTTATTCGCTTTGGTTGCGCTTTTCGTAGAGTGGGTATTTTCCCGGCTATCACCCGTATGAGCAGGCTGACCCAGGCCGTGTAGCCCATCATTTTCCTCCGCGGTCCGTTCACTCCTTTTCGGGGAAGCTGGAACGCGACACTCGACGCAGACGAGCTCAGTTCGGCCGCGGAATTTTGGAAGTGTACGCAGTGACATCGTTGAGCTCACACGTCCGCAAGATATCAGTACCGTCAAAACCGAGCAGTTCCCCTGCCATCCAGAGTGTCACTTCACCCAAACTGCATCGTTATCCCCCGCGGCTTTGGAGTGCGCTGATCCCGCTTGGGATGTTGGCGGTGACAAGACGGTCCTCAGTCATGTGTGGATGTACAACGGAGATTTGGAGCAGATGTAGCCCTTATACTGGGATTCGTCGTTATCATATATGCTTCATGAAAAGACAATTAGCGCATCACTCCGACCAGTCCCACAACACGACCGGGGTGCAAATTTGTTGCGCTTTTGGAGTTTTGAGACTGAGCGACCTACCGTAAGCTGCCAGTACTTGATATATATCTCCGCAAGTCCGAGCACGTTTTTAGGTCTCCGCGAGCATCCCGATAATAGCTGGAAGAGGCTTGCGTTTCAACCTGCCTCGCTGCTACGTGATTCAGGTGAAGTACTGTTAGCAAGTGTATTTGACGGCTCGGTCATTACAGCCATTTGCAGATCGATGGGCCCGCTTTCTGAAAATCATTTACAGTCGGACCACGTCGGACAAGCAATTTCAAGTCCCCGAGAGACAGAAATCGGACCATCTGGACTTCTCTACCTTCTTCCGACGTCCCTGGCACCCACTCCGACCCACTCCGACTATACGTGGTTTTCTGAATTGATGGTCTATCGATCTGCAAGCGGCTGTATGAAGTTGAAAATATCATGGACCTATAACGATCCACAATTCCGAGTGAAACGCACTGACACCCCGTGCGACGCAGTGTTGTTGTATCTGCTTTTGCAGCGATTGTCAGACTTCAAACTATTATTCCGTATCCGTCGCGTCTCTGAAAGCGTTACTAGGCCTGTACTGAGGTGATGTGCGTCTTTGGCCGCTAAGAACTTGGTACTACCGGAGCCTGCAGCTCGGGATCTATTTTTAGACGGTCACGGAGCGTGCACGGCAGAGCATTGCACACTTGAGTTTGCACTGCGCCATGTCCTGTTCCCCGAGCTGCGGCATGCAGTACAGCCTTGAAGTGCGCGGTCCATCAATATCAGCAGTTAACGTTAACCAAGTCATGGGCACTGGGGCACCTTTCGACTGCCTCGCTCGGTATACGCCCTGAGATTCTCCCTGGAACAACTACAATCTAATCGTATCTTTGGGTTGGTAGACTAGATCGCTCCGCTGCCCGACGTCCCACTACAGGGATCAAACACAGCTAATCGTAATGCAGTGTATTTTGACAACCCCAGGCTAAGGCGCTTCTTTTGTACAGCGCCGTGTTCACTGCATATAAAAGAGACTCGTTACCACAGCCTCTGATGTTGTGAAACGACACTTTCCTTTCGAACCATGTCGTACCGGGCCCCTCAAGAGTAAGTTCTTGCTTCCCCACCCTATCGCTCACTTATACCGGCCCCAAGATTTGAGCGCGAGGAATCGAGTGGCGTTCGCTCCTCGGACCATCCCACCGGCGGCGACATGGGCTTAGATGAAGATCAAGGCTACGAATCGCAATGCATGCCTCGCCGGTCATCTCAGGTTTATCAGTTCGGCGTACGTCCCTTTCGTTGAAGAGGAGACTGCTTTATCGTTGATATATCTCCTGCAGTCACAAACGTACGGAGAAGACCAGCATAACATGCATCAGGTCCTGGACACCTATGGTCACCCGTACTCGCCTGTATCACCGACTGCGCAGTTCACTCCCTCTCAATGGTCTGAACATGGGCTGGCCCAGTGGAATCCGCTACTGCATGGCCCCCAAGGTTATGCATTTCACTATAGCATTCCCACCGGCCTTCATACCAACATGTCTGCGAGGCAAGGTACCAATCTGACGCTCGAAACCGATATCCCGATGTCGCCCCATAGTCCCCACAGCCCAGGTTATCTCCAGCCACCCTCAGGTTTCCCGCCGAGTGCTTCAACCCTTGTAGATTCTACTGCCCCATTTCTCGATAAGCTCCAGTCGCCCCTCTCCCCTGTGCCAACCCAGGCATATTCGCTACCTGCTTACCCTGCTTCAGCGGCCATAGAAGGGATCCAGATGAATAACCCGCAGGTCAGAGGTCTGCGTTTGCCTTACAGATTGTGAGATTGACTCGATAACAGCATCTGCAGGCTTACCACAGTGCTGCTCGGAGGTGGAAGGATGCGCATTCACTCGAACCTGGGTCTGTCCCCCAGAAGATGTATAAGCCTCAGGCAGCGAACGACAGAAAGCGGTACATCGAAGAGATCGGATTCGTACCGCCCATAGAATTCAGACAGCACGGCGCGAACCACGACGGAATTTCCGTTCATGAAGCTCTGAACGGCCATCTTGGCAACTTGGTGGATAGGGACGAAGAGGTCTTCACCAATTGCGGCCCTTCGGTCTCGATACGACTTAATGTATGATCACACTACGCCTTGCTTTTGGTCTCAAGTGACTTATCAGAATTGCAGTGGCCTGGCTACGAGCCGTGGAGTAAGCAAATACCCACAAAGAACTGGAAGTCCGTGCCGGGACCCATTACTCGGCAGAAACTCGCTAAACAGGTCGCCCGTCGTATCGATGATTTCATTCGAGTACGTTCTTACAGTGGCTTCTTCAACGAGCAGCTCACGAATATAGAAGATGCAGGCAATGGAACACATAGATATGGACGAAGACAGCGACGCTCGATGGCGGGTTGGTACAAGCGGCATCCAGCTACACGACCTCGAGCTGGTGAGCCTACACCAGGTCTCCAAAGGAAGCTGGCAACCCCATCTACGCGTTATCAACCTTCCCTACCACCATTACTCGTAATCAAGCCAATACCCGCCGTCCGTGGCCCCTCTGTCGAATCGCCACCGGAACATGTACAATTATATGTTTCTTTTTGTATATGTTACGTTCAGCAATATGCCACTGATTTTTTTTTCGCGACGCGTTATGTGCTCTTTGTTGATTACCAAGGGGCTCAATAGCTTTGATAGATTTTTTTCCGGTGCAGCATTGGACCTACACTTCGTTCATTTATCCTTTGACACGCGATGCAGTCTGCGACACCAACCCGCGACTGCATAGCCTGCTCTTTGACAATATTGGATATCTTGAATACCCATGCTTTCCGAATTCTACTACTGCAAATTTTTGGTTATACTTCCTTAAAGCACAATATGATATCTTGATAATGCTGCGAAGCCTGAGAGTAGGTGGCGGATGAGTTCGTAACCCTAACACTAGTACTGTGTAGGGCCCGGGAAGCGGGACTTGGAGTGTTCCGGCTCCGACTCAGGCAGAATGGAGAGAACCTCAATCCTCAGTAACTGCATGGCAAAAAGCAGACTAGCTCAAGTATTGAGTAGGATTTAGTCTGCAAAGTATGTCCTAGTACCGAGGTCCTGGGTGGCCCCATGGCGCGGGAGTAGAATATCACGATTGCCTTATTGGGACAAGAGTGGCCCGATTTGGGAGCGCCCTTGTACTGACCTTATACCACTTCTTACAGTTCTTTTGTCTTCAAGGTGGTCCTATTGCATGCCTCCCCCTTCTATATTGCTGTCTTATTGTGCCCCCAAAGAAGATTATCTTCTTCTTGCCACTATGCCCCTACTTTGCATTGCGCCCCTTGCGTTCGTCCCGGAACAAGTGCTGTTGCCGAGGGTATATAATGTACATGCTATTCGACGGCAGAGTATACCGCCCACTCAGCCCTGGAGCGGTTCCCCAAGGAGCAGACTTTCTGTCCGCTCTCTGCTGTTTTTTTTCTCCTTTTCCAGTCTAAGTCTTCGACGGTCGCCAGGCCACGTAGATTTGGAATCACCATGATGGATAAAAGTACTCTTGCGATTGCTGTCGTTCAGCGCCAAGTTATGATTGTTCAAGGTGTGTGGCGTAGTAATCGATGTCTTCCAGTACGCTTCACTCACCAGTGTGTCGCTGACAGCCTCTCGCACGCACGGCCCTCGTGAGCAGTGGCTCGACGTGCAAACATATGCGTCTTTCGGCGATCGATTATTCCTAGCATCTACTGTGCCACACGCACGTATTTCAAGCCGTGACGTCCTTGCAATCTTCCCAGCTACCGATGTTTTCCGCGTCCCAGTAAACGGCATGCTTGAATTACCTCCACAGGCTTTTGCCGAATACCTCGAATTGAGCACTATGTGCTTCAAGCGACACGAGATGCTCTGGAGTATTCACCAGGACGAAAGGGTCAAGGAAAGGTGGTGGAAGGCTGCCTCAAGGCTGCCATTACTCCGCTCTTGCTGACTGTATCAACGTTACGGTCTTGTATTCTCTTATGTATTTTGACTTTTCACGTATCCAGCGCGCTGTATCGCTAGCCTTTCTCTCATGTTGTATGACCTATTGCCCCGAATGCATTTCAGTACCTTACACACGTGCAATCATAATGTCGTACTTGGTCCCGGTCCGGTCAAGGAAAGGTAATTGGAAATCCAATTATTTCTTTCCAGCCTGTGCACGGTAATATAGGATAGATATTGATACAGATGCGGGAAAACAACATGCAGAATGAACTGTACAGTTATGCAAGCAGACCGCTGAACGATATGACAGGTTGGAGATAAGAGACAGATCCATAATACCAATAAGTCAGGACAGAGATGGAGCCGCTATGCAGCGGGACTAGCGTCCGGATCTCTGTATACCTACAAGTAGGTCAGCATACTTCCGGATACGACCTGAAGCAGTCCTCCATACCTTCAGATCCCATATATCACCGACTTTCAGAGCTTCCGTTTGCTCGTCGTCATCGGGCAAGGGCTCTATTTGACCATCCTTGCCCACCTCAAGCTTCAGTCCCCGCTCATTTGCCAAATGGAGAAGACAAATGAAACAGAAACTTGTACTGATCTCTTCCATCTTTTCTCTAGGGTATGAACTGCGAAGATCAGAAATAACCGAGCTGAAGACCCGGGGTTCGGAAGGATCCGTTGCATGGTGGTCCTCGTCAATCTCCTACCGGCAATTATTTAACGCATACAATTCCACCGGGAGATGACAACTCACCATTGCCTCTTCGTCTTCTGCGTCTTCTTTACGGTCTGGAACGACTATATTCAAGCCTTTCCATATGTTCTCTTTCAACTTCCGGACGTCGACTCGCTTGGCCCGTTTCGCATAGTTGACGGCTTCAGGCCTGACCCGACGCGTTTGTCCTTGGGTAGCCGCTAAAAGATCCTGCTCTCCAGGCTCGACGCTAGATGCTCCTAGCCCGTCGCCGTCGTAGACGTCGTCAAAGCCTGGCCCGTCATCGAAATCATCGTGGAAGAATTGCGTATTGAACGGAATGGCGCCGCCATCTGCTGCTGTCGCCTGAAGTAAGCTCATGACTCTCAGTGTATCATTGGCTAGAACCTACTTTCGTCGGCATCATCGGCGCCTCTCCGCCCGGCGGCTTGGTCTGCAGCCGCCTGAGCCCAGAAGTTCTCGTCTACGTCTCCGTCTCCGCGGTCATTGAGTGACATATGTTGTCCGCGCATTCTCAACTGTGAGCGGCTGAGTATGTGTCTGACTCATCAGAGGATCATGAACTTACCGAGAACTCAGGCTTCAGGAATAGCGTGATCAGTTGTCGGCTAGAGAAATGCATGTCGTCTGGTAGCGTATGCTCGTCTTTCTTCTCTTCCTTCTCCTTCGCCCTCTTCCCTCGACTTCCTTTCCGCGTCGACGTTCCCCCTTTCGTGCCAGAAGTACCAGGGAGGTTGATGCCTGCACCGCGAGTAACAGGAGCAAAGAGTTCCTTTGCGCGTGTCTTGAGGTCTTTCTCTGCGGGAGTTAGGAAGTCAATCTTGAATGCTTCCTTCTTCTCCTTTCGGGGTTTGGGTGCGGCATTGTCAGTCGCTTCAGCTGCGCAGATGTTAGATAGGGGGGTCTGCTGCAATATATGAGAAGGATACTCACGTTTTCTTACCACCTTCCTGAGTTTCCAATGTTCGGGACCGGCCCAGTTCTTCAGGAACGCCTGATCAAAGTAGTCCATCATGCCGTCACCCTCAGCATCCGTCATCGCCATGATCAAGTCACGTTCATTCGGGGCGCGGCGGGGGTCAAAGGGGACAAATCCACCCTGCCGTAGTGGAACACCTTGACCACCTTCGTGGGGTATGGCGTCGCCGTCGCCAGAGTCGTTGAAGTCATCTTGCGGTATGTCACCGAGATAGTCGTCTCCGACTGCTTGCTCGCCCTGGAAGAAGTCTTCTTCACCTGGGTCTCCAATGTCCATGCGGACGTCGTCAGCAAAGCCTCCTGTCATCCCACTGCCATGATGATCGTCGTCGTCGTCATCTTCAGCGCCACCCAGCGCTGCGTGAGTGTCAAGCTTCCCGAACGCGGTGTCGTCGAACGAGAAGGAGTCTAAAGAGAATGAGAAGCCGGCCAGTGAGTGAGAGATAGCCTTGTCTTCCAGGACGTCCAAGTCGGGCAGGAATTGACCTAGAATAACAGGGTCAGTGTCATATACAGCAGCGCGTTGACGGGAATCGCCTACTTCTAAGGTAGCTCAGATCCACTTCGTCCTCGGGCTCTTGGACGTCCTCTTCTTCTTCGCCCGTCTTACCCATGGAGTCGCTTGCGTCAAAAATAACCCTCATGGCACCTTCGCTGCCCACTCCCAAGCTCAAGTGGTTCATGAGCAGACCTTGGGCACCGCCCTCATCGAAGTCAGCGCACGTCTTCTTGAAGAGGGGGTCGACGCTAAACTCCAGATCAAGTTTCTTGCTCCGCAATTGCGCTGCGTTCTTGGCCAGGGTCGACTCAGCTTTATGTGCCTTCGCACGCTTTCTTGGCTGAGAGGGATCTTGATCTGGGTTGTCGGAGTTGACCTCCTCTTCCTCCTCGACTCTCCCGTCAGTAGCAAGATTGCTCAAGAGCTTCCCTGTCTCCGTTCCAACACTGTCCACACGGCTAGTCCAGATTTTGACACAGCCATCCAAGGTGCATGACGCCCGTTGGAAATTAATGGAGTTATCGGTGTTGTTCCGGAGAAGAGACATATCATGGAAGTAATCTATCAGGGCAAAATTCCAGGAGTTGGTAGCATTGATTTTCTAAGAAATTCAAAGGATAAGTTGTTGGATGGATTATTCGACGCAGCAGATTAAACAATACGTGAAGAGAGCTCATCCGCACCCGGCAGACGGTCGCCGACATTGGGGTGGTCCTAGGGGAGAACACTCACGTTATCCGTAGCCATCTTCATCCACTCTTCGAAGTTGGAGCTCATAACATCGAGGGGGACGTTGATAGTAGGTACTTCGGTTACAGAATTCAAGGGCTGCTTTTGTCGCCCTTGCCCTGCCGCCTTTGAGGACTCTGCAGGGGCTCCCCCTGAATGTCTTTCCGAAGACGGACCGGCCTCCGCATTCTCCTCTTCAAGAAGACCATTAGCCAGCCCCCCCTTAGTGCTCTTTCTCCGTCTCCGTTTCTCTGCCATGTCATCGTTGATGTTCACGGACTTCAGGGGTCCCCTGCCGGTATCAGAGGTGAAGCTTTGGTCATTCTCGGGATTGTAGACCTCGCTGAGTCGTTTCTTGAGCTGTTGCCGCTGCGGCCTGGGGGTCTCCTGTTCAGTCTCGTCACCAGAGTCGGTATCGTCCTTGAAGAGGGGCACTTGAGGTGCCCTTGCTCGGGAGGTGCGCGTCGGGGCCATTGTGGTGAGTGTTCAACAGTGCTTGTGACCGTGACAAGTCGCGAGGCGCGTCTGATCACATGATTGAAAATCCCACGACTGACGCGTCAGAGCCTGTCAGAGCCTCCCCGGCGGGACATTCGCATCGAGCGCGATGGGCTACTCTGAGGATGGGCAACGATTTGCATGGAGTTGCATTCTGCGAAGTTGCAATGAATTAGGAAATAGGCAAGTGAATACAAGTGGGTAAGCCAGAATATCGGCAAGGCGATCGGTGAGGGGTGGCAGACTATAGTAGGTCCATTGGATGGTCCACCCCGGCTGACTCTACATTATTGTACCCATTATTATATTGGACTACGCGTCCTTGCGCCAGAGAACAGCCAACTAACATGATCACGCAGCCATCGACGAAAGCTGGGATCGCGAACGGCTATTCTCGTATGAGAGCCTCTGCAAACTAGTCAGGACAATTCACATTAACAAAGATCGGAGGCACTCACTGAAGAATTCGTATGACAGCCAACATAACGCATTACTTGGCATAAACGTTAGCACCCGTGGCGACAGGCCCCGTGCGAAACCCTTGAGCCCATCTCTTCGCAGAATAATCCGGCATGCATCCGCAATCCCTCTACACCGCCTGATCTCCGGGTCCTGCGATGATCCCTTCGTCTGCAGGAGTGTTTTGGCAACGTCCAGCGGTGTGGTCACACCAGCTGCAACTCCTCCTGCCAGACCTCCTGCAATCACATGCGTCACTGGTGAATACTCTCCCGTGGGGTTCATCAGCTTTTTCAGTTGCTCGTAAACGGTGAATTGAACGGCCGTGAAGGGTACGGTCATCATGAGTGTTGTGGGGTAGGAAACGTAAAACGCGTTGAGGCCTTCATTGCGATACACTGTAGTTGCGCAAGTCCATACGGATCGGAATTCTGACTTGTGCACCTGCATACGTTGCTTGATCACTGTAAGCAATGCATGTTGGTTGGTCGCGCAAAGCAGAAGACATCCTAGGGTTGGACGCAAAGCTCACCATCAAAGGGATTCATGAGGGCATCACTCGCTATTGTTGCTGCCGCACCGGCCAGTGCTGCACGCAGGAGGAGCAAAGATGCGAAAATCAGTTTCGAGCTCATTCCAAAGAATGCACGCGATGACGTGGAACATCAATACCGTATCCCCAGAACACTCACATGTAGATAACCACTGGTTCCCCATTCGATTCCCTCCTGTCAACTCCTTCACTGCCTCATACGTCCCAAAGTGAACTGCATGTGCGGGTCCAGCGCCCAGAATCACTGAAGACACCCCCCGCCACATCGCCCGCATCCCCTCCGTAGAAGATATTCGCGTAAACGCGTTCCCTATGCCGGAATACACGGCGCTTGGTGACGTTGCGAAAACTTGCATTCGTGTCTACGCATAACCATACCTGCTTCAGCAGGACGAAATGGAGGAAACCCGCGTCGACATACTTTGATCATATCTACAGGAAACATCACCGCATGTTCACTGATTCCAGCCTGGCATCCAAGTCAACACAATTCTGACTTGCGGTAGTTGGACAAGGCATTAAACTGCCTTCCGAGCGCATCACGTAGTCAGACCCTACTCACAAGAGCCCCCGCAGCCATATTCACCTATATTATCTATCAGTTCATAACTCGGAGGCTAGACAGCGTCTCGACCCTACCCCCAGGCCCGCGTTCGAGGGCAGTGCTTCGTATTCAACTTCGTCCGCGGTATTGAGTGACATCCCGGCAAAACCTGCGAAGTACCAGCACGAAGGACAAAAGAGCAGCCCAGCTGGATAACACCGCGCAGTCAGACTCGAGGGTTACTCAGAGCCAGATACGACTTGGCGAACGCCTGCTAGCCGTTTTCGTGCTACCACCGAAGGGCCGACGGCGCGGTAGGAGGATGATGGCAAGCGCGTTACCCCGCAAGAGACACAACGGCGGACTTCAAAGGCAGTGGATTGAGAAGCTGCGCTCGATTACGATTACAATGAATTTCTTCGGACAAGTGTAACCGACGGATGAAATTGACGACTTCGCTCGCAAACGCGTGCGGTGCACGAACATGTCCAAAAGGGACAAGGAGATCACAGAGATCGGATACCAATAGTACAGGCCTAACGAGTCTACGAATCGTGCCCAGGCGTATCTCTTACATTACGAGCTATCAGGCTGTCATTTCATGCGACCTTTTTACTAGACTTTGCCAGTCGGTCATGCTCGTCGATGTCTCTAAAGCCCACGAAAATTTCCCGTCAGCTTTACTCAGGCAGAATGGAACAGAAGACAAAGACTGACTCTGCTTCCCACGGATAATCCAACCTGCAGGAGCGAATGATAATCAGTCCGAGTCCGTGGAGGAACGAGGGAATGTTTTCTCACCAAACATCCTCAACGTTGGCGCCAACGAAGTATCTTGGGAAAAGTTGTCAGCCTTAGCATGGCTGTACGCGTATTTTTGGAAAGATAGGCACTCACTGCACGCCCTCAGGCAGCTCAGCTAATTTTGGCTTCAGCTTGTTGTGCACGACGAACACCGCAAATTCGGTTTTAGCGGCCAGTGCCTCGCGTTCAGAGGTAGGGAGCTTCTCGAGCTCCCGGTCTACGTCTTTCTTGAGTTCCGAAACAGCGTAACTATGGGAAAGTCTCCGAGTGAGTACCAGGATTGCGGGTCGGAGATGAGATATGAAGTTGCGTACTGGAGCGTTTTGCGAGAGTCGTCGACTTCGTCCTAGAAGAAACCGAGATCTAGACGTGCGTACTCAACTGTGCATGATAAGCAAACTCACCACAATAAGAGCCCTCCTTCCAAGAAGGATTTTTTGAGTCTCAGGGCCTCTACGCACGTTAGCAGTTTCTTTCACCGGAAATGCATTTGCGTACTCACAGCCACTGTGTCCGGACAACCTGGGCGCCGATCTGCTCTGCAGTCGTTCCCGGAAGGGACTCGTACAACGACAAGCCGATGGCATAAATGGGGATGTTGCGCTTCGTCGAAGCGTCTTTCAAAAATGTACGCTGGACGGACTTTAGTTTGCACGATACACAAAGATTTCGTACATACCAAGACGCGCGCAGGGAAAAAGCCTCTGTGCGGGATTCGGAGACGGTACCCATATGATCGGGTTTGGGAACTCACCCTCCACCTGTGGATACTGATGATTAGGAAAGGGGATAGAAGTCCAGAGATAATTCCGCACCGATAGCAATGAAAAGGTCCGGCTTGAATTCCGCTATTTTCTCAGCAGATGCCTTGATGAGCTTGTGGATGTCGTTGTATGTCATCGCGAGATGCTCCGGTTCAGCCATGGCGGCAGAGAAATAGAGCAAAGGTAGAAGCAGGGGTAGGCAGTAGGTACTATAAGTAAAGAGGCATCCAAAGTTTTACCATGCCATCAATCCACGATAAGATCTCAATGCGACGGCAATCATTCTGTAGGCCGAAGCAATGCATCTTCTTTTCCTTCGAGCTTCCGCCGGCGCAAAGGAGCGCCTTGCACGCGTGACGCCGTCCCCGACGTCGACCGCGCATACAACTCACATCGTAGGCAATGGCAGACAGCAACACTTCGGGTTCCCAGCATGGATTATCGAATGGCACGCCAGGTCCCTCCGTGCCTAAAGCTATCGGGAGCCTTGCGAAGAAGCAGGCAGACGTCACTAGACTCGGGACGCAGAAATTAAAATTTGTGCCCACTCTGCCCGCCAGGAGGAAGAAAGAGTACGTGTTTATCATCTGAAAGATCTGGATCCCTCACGAATAATCGATTCGCCGTAGAGGGGAAGTCAAACAAGTGAGTAGTGGCGCATACCTCTCCTGGTCGATCTCGCTAATTGCTAGATACCTATAGGAAGAAAATGTCCCGAAACCCGCTACCTCCGAACGAGGGCGGGGGCGCGGTAGGGGACGAGGCGAGGGCAGGGGAGGTGGTAGAGGAGGCGCGAGGGGGGGAGCACCCCCCGTTGAGATGACTGCTAGCGGCCCCTTTGCCATGGGCCCTGCCATGGCAGGCTCCTCTGCTCGCAGGAGCACACCCCGGTCGAACTTCACTCCCATAGTACCTCTGGGCCCTGGCCCCTCTTCTCTAGGCGCAGGACTTACCAGCTCTGCCCCGCCCGCTCTGAAGAGAGAAAAGGACAAGGATACCGACCGCGTGAAGGTGGAAGACGACGACGAGGTGTACTCTGAGCCGGACGAGGGGGTGGAGATTGTGGACATGGAAAATGTCAGGCAAATGGATTGGATGGCACCGGAGAGTTTGAGAAAGGAGAAGGACGACGCCAAGAAGAAGAAGAAGCAGGCTAAGGTGAAGAAGGAGAAGGAGGAGAGCATCAATAAGAAAGGAAAGGGTCTGTTCGCTCTTTTTTATTTGATTCATATATCCTTGTTTATTTCGGCCGTTTCTAGGTGTGGCGAGGCACGAAGAAATGGCTGTTGATGAGGAAACAGAGGCAGCCGCCGCCGAGGTCGATCTTGCCAATGCGGTCGACCTCAGCGAAAGCGAGGAAGAAGAAGAACTAGAAGACATTATCGAGGACTTTGCGCTCGAAGCCGAGCCACTAGAAGTAAATGACCCGTCCCCTTGCTCCCTGCCCATTCTTCTAACGTCTGCCGACAGGAGAGCGACGTTCGCCAGGAACGCTTGTACTTCTTCCAATTCCCAGAACCCTTCCCAACCTTCGTACCGAGGCAGCCACTACCAGATGCAGCTCCGATCGACGTGGACATGCCTGATCCCAGTACATTAACCGACGGTTCTGATGCAAAAGGTAAACGAGTATCATTCGCCAACGACACGAAGCCTCCGGCTGCTTCCCCCACTCCTGCTTCTGCTCCTGGGGCTGACGGTATCGGACTGGCACCGGACCAGAAACCAGAAGAAGTTAAACTCGACGGACAAATAGGCCAGCTCGAGATATATCAAAGCGGCGCGGTCAAAATGCGACTGGGAAATGGCATTCTCATGGACGTCACCGCGGCCACCCAGCCCTCCTTCCTTCAACATGCTGTATACCTCGACATGGACAACAAACGGTTGTGCGTGCTGGGAGAAGTGAACAAGCGCTTCGTAGTGACCCCGAACGTGGACGCGCTGCTCGACGATCTCGCCTCGATTGGCATCGCAGATGAACTGCAAATCGACGAAGAAGGGCTGTTCAAGATGGACACAGATAGCTGATGGTAATTACATCTATGGCATATGGCTTGCACACAGTCCCGCTAAGATACATTATGTACATCCTAAAACATTGTATGTCGTCGACCGTCATCATTCATCGTCGTAAATCATCGTTAGTCCCTGATGAAACCATAAACCGCCCAGCGGAAGAAGATAGTGGTCATGCAAGATGTCTATAGATCAAGATGGTCGACGAAGTTCCGCCACACTTCGTCTTGGTTCCTACTGGGCATAACACCAGGGTGAGGAGCGTACTGGTACTGTGCCTGGTGATGAGGGCCCGACCCTGCAGCACCGTAAGAAGTAGATGCTGCTTGATGAGGCGGGGGAGGCATGATAGCCTGCGAGCCATAGTTATGACTATGACCACCGGTAGACGGCCTTCTATCCATAGAGGGTCCGGGGACTTGATGATAGTCGTGATGTGCGGCGTAGCGACCAGCAGGAACCTCATAGTCCATACCCTCGTACCCTTGATAAAATCCGACCATGGAGGGATGAGTATCCCCGAACTGGTTGATAAACGGCCGGCCCATGGTACCATCGGTAATGGAATGGGAGGGAAGCGTGGGCATGTGCCCGCCTTGACTCCGTACTTCGGACTCTGGGAAATGCGGAATGGCAGCCTGACTCGAAGGCGATTGCGACGGCGATCGACTCCTCGCAATTACGGACTTGCGACCTTCCAGAACCTCTAACTCGTCCAGGCCCTGAGATGAGCGATACGGGGAACGTCTAGAGCCGTTGACTGCACCAGCGGTCACCGCTCCTGTTCGCATGGCGTGGAATGCAACATGCGCCCGTTGTCGGAGTTTGTCAAGTGTTGTCTGAGATCAGGTTAGTATATGGAACAATTGACACTGTAATGAATGGGGTTACCATGGTTGCTGGCGGTCTACAATAGCGCGATCCTTCTTCGTAGAAGGTATATGCTTGATCAAATTCCTGCAAAGCGTTCGACGCCAGTTCGCATCCTGGCGCCTCGACGATGAGAGCGCCGAGGATGATCTGTGAAACTCATTAGGATGGAGCGGTGTATTTCTCCCGAACGAGATACATACACAAGCGGAGAAGCAATTCGACCAAAAGAACCACACCCGCCCGGTCTTGGCGGGGTGTATGGAATATAACCCTCTCAAACTTGATATCAGCCGTAGGGCACTGCGATAGGCGGAGACGACCGAAGAAGCGTATTTGTGCGCAAGGGGATTAATGGAATCGTTCTTCACAGCCTGGGCGAAGTAACTGCGGTGGATGTACATGAGCACTGTGGCTATGATCAGGTTTTGTTAGGAAAGTAGCATGTAAAATACCCACTCGACTCCTTCTCGCATAGGATACAGTATTGCTGCAAAGCTCTGACGGAATCAGCGGACCAGGAACGCCCTGCTTCAGACCCTTCGACAGGTGCCTGAAGATGCGATGGTACAGGAAAAGTACGGATCTTGCGATCGAGGTCCAGCAGTGCAGAATATGACGAATGTCTGATGTTGAAGACATGATCGACTGAACCAGACAGGCAGGTAGCCGAGTATCGGAACTTCCATGCATGAACTGCATACACAGCACGAGAGCGTTAGCTTCCAGTATCTCACACGGCGAGGGTAAAAAGGAACTCATGCTCACAGCCTAGCTCCACTTCTCCCGAGACCTTAGTCGCAGGATCATTATCTTCTGGGAAGCGCGCATCTATGCTGTGTATGGTCATCGCGGGTGGCCTTCCATTGACGACAGCCTGACGGAAGCCCATTAGCCAGAGACACCAACAGCTTCGAGCAAAGGTGGCACACCGTCCACGCATCCCAAGTAAACAACTCCCAGAAAAGAACACGCCGCCGTTGAACTTCCGCAGGCTCGAGGTTCCACCCCGCACTGTCCCGTTCTGTCTGACAACGTGATTAGACTTCAACAAAGACCCACAGCGCCACCATACTCACGTAGACCAATCTACGATATTCCATAGCGTTAAGTGCGTAAATGGTCAAAATGACAGGGAACGTACGATTTGAGCAATCCGGCTACATATACCACACAAAAGCCATCTTCGTTCGTTACCACCCCGATCAGAAAGGAAGACAAAATGGACAAGCATAAACAAAGCCTGCACCGCTGTCGTACTAGCTTCGTCAAGTATAGACTTCAAAGATAGGGCTGCGCAAGCCAGAGCGTGATACTGCTCCGCGACGATGGTCGCAGACTCAATACTGTCGTCGAAAAGCGTGCCCGTTGCCAGTACCATAAAGAATACCGAAAGCCGGTGCGGATGCAATGCGTCGACATTTATTGCTGTGCCCGAGCCGTCAAAAAGGATGGCCGGCAGAATATCGCACATAAATTCGTCTTGCACAACTGGGTCATACCTGGGTGCTCGTCAGTAAGCTGATGATTATGTAGTGCAGGGGATTACGCACATCCACGCCGCATTTGCATAGTACAAATCCGCCAATCTCATGGTCTGCTCCCTCTTCGGCAGGAAAGGAATAAAGTGCTGCTTAGTGTAGGGACAGTCCCGCAGGCCGAAAGGGAAGGCATTCGCGAGCTCGGAGAGCTCATAGGGAAGACCTAGGTATTTCGGATCTTTGATCTTCCGGTGCATTTCGGCTCCTTCAGTCTGGCAAATCTAGGTTAGCTGGTGAACGTATGGCGCGACTGATACGCACTGGTAATAGAGTCTGCAGGTACTGGAGGAAGTTTGTGAGCAGGCGGAAAGGTGGGTACACAGTAGGTGTGTACCTCTGAACCAGCGGTCTCTCCGTGGTACTTCACTTGCCCGTCAGTACCTATAGATAACGAGCCGATAGCTGTCGCCACGTCCTCCGAGTCCTCCGAGTCCTGAGATGAGGGACGTTCAGACATATCCAAGGGACTGCCCGGCCCAGAAGGCATTCGCAGTAATGGATGAGGGCTTGAGCCGCTTCCGCCTTGGGCGTCGGTGAGCGCCTTCTCCAGCTCTTGAATACGGCCGGTCATTTGCTTCACTTGCTCAGACAGCCTCCGAGCATGCGCGGCTAGGACTCTGCGCCGCATGAGTATTAGAACCGGTCTGTTGGTCCATACTCACTTGTTACCCTTGGTGGCCGGCATGGCGCCGTCCGGACAAATCTTGGCGCAACCGCGACGGATACACGACTGGCAAGGGAAGACTCTAACGCGCTCGATCAGCAAATTGTCATGTACACTTTACCGCTTCACGAACCTATCGCACTTCAGCTTGGACCTGCAGCGGGATGATCATCAGGCCGCGATATCGTTCGTACGGGCGTGCGTACCTGCGACACTCTGCGCAGGAAAGGCCTCTGCGTTCGTGGCTTGGCTCACCAGAATTCATGGCAGGCTCAGTATCCGCAATTACTGGCGAGCAGTATATAAAGACGACGAGCAGGCGTCTTTAAAGGAGGGGACAAGGGGAGTCCTGCCATATTTCGTTTGGAAGGAGCATGTCAGCGCGACCATCACGTGTGGAACAGCAATAGGCAGTCGGTCTGCCTTTGGAGGAGAGCAGTATGTCAAGAACCCCGAGTGAGTCGGCGGGTTGGCATACAAGGACGCAGCCTGGGCGAAGGTCACCCTGCCGCCGGCCGATCTTCCAATTCCCGGTAGCACCCTATGCATGAGCGACACTGTCAATCGCGCCATGCGCGGTGCCGTCGACGGTTGTGGCTCTTCGTGCTTCAATACGCCCGTTCATCTGCGCAGCTGCCAGCGGCCGCGCTGACAGCACTATAACCTCGTTAAGAACAGACGAGCATCACAATAGCCTGGCCTGACGTGGGAGCAGAGAAGGATGCGTTGCACTCGGACGTTTGCGATCGAACCTTGTGGTTTCAGGAAGCAATATACATTGTATTGCAGGAGAGACGACCTTACAGAGAACCGTATACAGTTTACATTACAAACAATCAATGACAGAGACTAGACAGACTAGAGATTACACCGCCGCCAGCACGCCGAGACGAAGGACCTGAGATAACGCGTCAGCATACAGTGTTAACACGATCGACAGAGCAGAGCATGGATCAGACAAAACGAGCAGAGACCGCCAAAGCAGCCCCGCCCGAAGGTAGCTGAGAATAGTTTTCCGCATTAAATCGTGGGCCAAATGCCTCAAACATCATAGTAAAACCAGACAATAGTCTGCAGAAAGTGTAGAACGGAGACTTACCTCAAGCAGCAATAGCTTGAACACCAGTCAGATTGACATGCAAGATGCAAGACAAGGAACGCGAAAAATGCACAGAATATATAGGGCAAATCAGCCTAACACGGACAAACAACGCCACACTCGCATCGTCAGCTCGGACTGTCGCACCGCGTTATACGGACTTGCATACTCGAAACAGACAATGTCGACTCCATACCCAGATCCTTCGTCTTCGCAGCAGCCGGCACCATACTCTTATGCGTCCCCCTCTAATATGCCACCGCTGAATCAGACGGCGAACCCTGAAAATGCCCAGTATCCCATTGCATCGACTTCACAGCAGTCAACGTCTCAGCCACAAACGCGACAGGCAGCAGAGGAGGCGAGGAAAGACCGTACATTGGCTGAGTTTCTGCTCATGCTGGATGACTATGAACCTTTGGTATGTTCCGCTACCTACCGGACCGGCAGGCGAGCCTGGCAAGGCTAAGGCTCAGTAATGACCATGCTGCGTACATAGATCCCGAATGAAGTGACGGATTACTACTTGCAGCGGGTAGGGTTCGAGTGTGAAGATGTACGATTGTAAGCCCATTGTTCTGCACTTGGTACCTCGCCACTGCTGACGCTCTGTCCTCCTGACTCTGCATATCAGAAAACGGCTATTATCTCTGGCAGCACAAAAGTTTGTCTCCGACATCGCCGCTGATGCCTTCCAACATGCACGGATACGAACAAATGCTGCAGGCGGTCGGACGAGGACGAGTCAGGCGCCAGGCGCTGCTGCGCGGGTATGGGTCATCCATCATCTTACTGGGAGGCTTCAATGCTGAACCCACCTTGCCAGGATAAGGCCAGGACGACATTGACCATGGAAGACCTCAGTGCCGCCCTAGCAGAGTATGGCATCAACTCCCGGAAACCAGAGTTCTACATGTGAGGACATCTGCATTGACTGACAATAGAGAACGGGACATTATATGTGCTACCTGTACCATATATGTAATAACTTATTCATGTTTGGAGTCCATACGAGCGTCTTTGGACTAGGCTCTTTGCCACTATCGAGATGCATTCTCATGCTTTGACCCTCGCCATCGCCCTGGAGTCTGGAGATGTGGGCGCGTATTTACGCCTGCCGGCTCGCGCTCGGTTCGGGAACGTGAAGCCGGCGGTTCGATGCCGTCACGTGGACGACGCGTCGAGGTTCGATCAAATCGAACCGCGTTTGCACAGGTTCGATTCGCCCGCTAAGTATCGTCCAAGTTCACCTCCGCAGCGATCGCCTGTGATACTCTCCATTTCTATGGCCTTGCCTCAACATGGCTATGACCTATTATGACCTGCTGGGCATCCCCAAGTGCGCGACTCCTGATGAAGGTGAGGTTCTGGCTTTTGCTTTTACGTTCTGAACTGGCTGGATAGCCTCGTGTTGACGTTCAATGCTGATGACTTACGTCGATGTGCGCGTTGCCAGTCCGGTTGGGATTCAAGAGGAAAGCTCTTACCACGCACCCTGACAAGCTGAGCCCCGATGCGAGTGCTGGCGAGAGGAAGGCCGCGGAGACGAAGTTCCGGAATGTACGATAGTCCGCGTGCAAGTAGACTTCTGACATTCAGCACTGATGCACAAACAGCTCCACGAAGCCTTCGAGACGCTGAGCGATCCAATGAAGCGCAGGGTACGCTTGTTCTGGCAATTTCACTCTACTCAGTAATGATGAATGTACCGCAGGCATATGACATGCGCCTTGAAGCCGCTGCTCGGTTCCTCAGAGTGAGTGCCTCATCACTTTAGAGGCGCTCCATCACCTCTGTGTGCTGACGGACATTACAGACTGGCCGTGAACGGGAATTCGACGCTACATACGCGGAGCACCTGAAAGCCTCGGCTGAGCGTCTGAATGTCACCGTCCAGAATATAAACAAGTCGACGGAGAAGTTGGGTGGGCTGGTCGAGGACCTGCTGAAGAGCCTGCGGGAGGCAAATCCGGAGTGGGAAGCGAGGAGGCAGGAAGCATTGAGGGTGAGTCGTCGCTTGCATCTCTCCATCAGCTTATTCACCTGATCTCTTTCCAGCGGAGACAGGCGCAAGCCGCACGACCGTCCCCGACGCCGAGTCCGCAAGTATAAACAACGTTGCTGCGCAATGTATTCTTTCGTCTTCTTGATTGCTTTCATGTGATGATGTGATAGTTGGGACCTACGGTCGCCAAAATTGGACATACACACCTGACATCCGCTAGCTCCATGTTGTACCGCCATGTTGTCTGTTTCTGCCCGGGCTTATGGAATCTAGATATCACTGCACCCCTAGCGCGCTCAACCTGCTCCTCGCTATCTTGCCGACGTCCTCAACCGCCCTGTACAGCTCCCTCCTCCACTCCTCGCTACCCACCTCGACGACACCCAGAGTCTCCACGGGTGGCTGGTCAGGGCTCAGGGAATGCGAGATCCCCAAGACGTCCTCCATCTCCTCCGCGATGACAGCGCGCGACCGACCGTTGACGAAGGTGATGTAGCGTAAACCGGGGTAGCGATACTCGTAGCACTTGTTGAGGTGGGCGAGACGTGCGAGGACTTCCGACGGGGTCGGGTGCACGACGATGCCTCCCGTCTGCCCCTGCTCTTTCGCGCTGAGCGCGGATAGGCTCTTCACCTCCCCGATGCGGGGGTGCGCGGCTATGAATCTAGCTTTGAGCTCGTCTGGCCATGATCGGATTATTTCGAGTGCTGTCTCGATGAGCTGCGTGTAGGTGGTTATCGGGGAGGTGGATTTGAGGAGTGCAGATTCGAGCTGGGGTACGAGGTCGGAGGTTAGGGGCGGAGAGGGTTCGAAGAGAAGAGATAAGGCATTAGTCAGGTGCGAGGTCGGTTCAGGCGACGAGGAGACGATGAGGGAGAGCGGTGGGAGCGGTGCGTCTGTTGCCATCGGAAATTCACTCTGCGTCGTACTTGGACTGGAAGCATAAGATGGCCGGCTCTGATAATCACAAAGTAATGCATCTGCGTCATTCATGGCACTAGCGTCGTATACTCTCGGACCGACTAAAAGATACTCGACTGACATCCAGCTTGGCATAGCGATAGAGTATCAAGGGGTATCCAGACGTCATAAAATACAGGAGCCATAGTGATACAACAGTAGACATTGCCCGCAACAAACATACCGGGACGGCATGCAGCAGAATGAGATCGGAGGTGAACGAGACGATCACCTGCCCCGCAACGCGTCTCTCACTGTACTCCGCTGAGCGAGCAATGCAAGCATTTGCCACTTCTCATCCCTCACTTCCTTATCCTTCAAGACCTCGTCCTCCACGAAACTCTCGTTATCTCCTGTCGCCAGCTTCATTGCAGCCGCCGACTTGTTGGGGAGGACGAACGGCGAAATTGTGAAGAGGGAGTCGAACGCGGGCGCGGTGAGGAGGCTGGAATGCGTGCGAGGCTGAGTGGGTGCGATGGAGGTCACTGCGTGAGAGGTAGAGGTGAGAGACAACGCTTGCGTGACGAGCTGCTTCAGCTTCGCCTGGTCAAACGTGTAAACCACGATACAGAGCAACTCTAAGCAATCATGAGACGTACCTCGAAGGCAAGCATCATGAGAGACGCGACGGTTTTGGAAGGCTGGCCCAGGTTATGTTGCGCACATATGAGATTGAGTCTGTCGGATATGTGCTGTAGAGTAGGCCCTCGCGTGACGGACGCGAGGTGAAGTGGGAGACGACTTCCAGGCGGCTCTGTGGCATCGCTTGAGGAAACCTGCATGGAACATGGAGGTAACCAAGCTTACCTCCACGCTCTGGTAGGAGCATTACGCCTCTCTCTTTCGCAATCTCGTCCTTCTCTTTCCGCGGGCGGTGTTCAGATGCCAACGCCACTGCCTCCAATCCACGGAGTCGCTCTCGCTCGCGTCTCCCTAGACCGATCGTCCATTTCTTCAGTCGGGACGATCTGAGCGTGTCGGCAGAGTCGGGCCCTTGATAAGGTAATGTACGTCTGCGTTTACGCGGGGGCGGCTTGGGGACTTCTGGTGGAGGTGTGGGTGGAGTCTGGTGAGAGGTGGTATCAAACAAAGAGATGATCAGAGCATTATGAAGCTGCACTGTGTCGCGCAGTTGTCAAAACTCGGATGGAGGATCGAACAAGGAGCGAACCTAGTGCCACACTATCCAGACACTTGCGGACCAATTCGTCAAATTCAACTCTGGATATTTCACCCTTCATGTAACTGCGAAATGTATCCCAATACTGCGGATTCCGCGAGCCCAATGCATCCGTCAACTGGCGCTTTATTGTAGGCGTCGACGAGAGCGACATGGCGGTCGGGTGCAAGCCACAGTTGCTTTAGCCACAGTGAGCACAGCTGTGCCAGGTATGGTGAAAGACAAGGGGTGGACACCGGGAGAAGCCGAGACCGCATGAAGGGGGGAGGGGGGGGTCTCGAGGGCCTTAACAGGAATTTATTAAAAATAGATTTGGCTCTGTGACAGCCCTGATGGCAGAGATACGGTACAGGTGGTACTAAAATTGCTTGCTAGTGAGGGTTACAGGGCTATATTAGCCAGGACAACCTCGCCTTGGCCAGTGCACGGAAGAAAACATAAAGCGTGACAACATAGAGTGTGACAATAAAGTGACGTGTGGGAGCACTGAAAGATGACTAAGCAAACCCTAACCTGGATGTGCCTGGAATCTACCTTCCCGATATGGTACCGTGGGATGCTCCCACGGGGGGGAGGGGGGGGCCTCTGGGACCTTAGCAGGATTTCCTATCATGCGGTCTAAAATTTTATTATTGTCCACCCCTTGGTGAAAGATGAAGCTTCCAGCGCTAAGTCCCGCGCTTCGTTTGTCACGCCCCACGACAACCCAGTCACCCCAGCCACGATATGTCCCTCTAACGCACGACCTCCATCTACCCTTCCGGTTCTCTTCTTTCTTTCCATTCCATTGCTTTTTACATTCAGGACCACTGCATCTCGTCTGCGATGAACCCAGAGGCGCCCGTCTTCCGTCCGTCGACCTCAAAGCCGCGCGGTGTGTGCAAGTACTATAACGCACCCCGCGGGTGCTTTGCAGGAGATAAGTGCAAGTTCTTGCACGGCGAGACGGAGACGATAACGCCCTACGATCGGAGCAAGACGTGTTCTTACTATGCCGCTGGTAAGCGCTTACGATTTCAATGCGGTCGTCGACGATCTCACGAGGTACATGTAGGGTACTGCCGCCGAGGCGACCAGTGCTGGTTCAGGCATGTTCTGCCTGACAAGGTCAAAGCTCCCGAGCAGGCTGAAGGCTCCACTACGGCTGATTCACAAGATGCGGTAGAGTTCGAGGACGTCTGCTCGATCTGCTACGAGAAGCCTATCACGTACGGCCTGCTCGTGGGCTGCAGCCATGTCTTCTGCGTCAAGGTAAGCCAATACGAAATTGATTGGTACGTCAGAAGTACCTACGCATATAATTATCACAGTGTATTCGCGAATGGCGAGATGCCCGCGAAAAGTCAAACGAGACTGTCACCTCTGGCGCGATCAAGAAATGCCCATACTGTCGAGTTGAATCTCGTTTCATCACACCGTCGAGCGTGTACTATCCGGAAGGACATCCAGGTAAAGAGCACGCGATCCAGAAGTATAAGGAGAGCATGGCGAGGGTCCCTTGCCGGTATGTTTCTCTACCTACTGACTGCATTAACACGCAGCTGACCTAGGTATCTCCTAGCTATTTCCAGAAGTCGCCGGCCAGCGATAGGTTTTGTCCATTCGGACGGGACTGCTTCTATCAGCACCAGAACGATGACGGGTCTCCGTATGTCTTTGACAAAGGCGTCGCGCACTACCTTCCTGTAAGTCCGCTAAATATCTACAAGGTCTATCTATAACGTATTACTGCATATATGCATCAGATTTACAAGCGGCGTATGCGGCGAGAGGCGAGTTCCTCGACATGGAGATCTGCTGATACTTGGGAGGAGATAAGCGCGACCATCCAAGCCATTAGTGACAGCATACCGCAGTTAATCTGGCAGAATGCTGGCAGCGACGACGATAGTGACCACGAGGACGAAGATGAGGAGCGCGATGTGGCCAGAGTAAATGTGGAGACGCTCGAAAGACTTGTGCGCATTCAGTTGCTATCATTACTCACTACACCCACTGATGTCTTGACTGCTGCCTCAGGCCAGTCGTGTTCTCGCTAGTCTGACGGCTATGGAGAGTATCGCGCAAGCTGCTAGAGTCCGACTCGACGACGATGACGAGCAGGCGCACCCTACTGAGACATCTCTCGCGCAGTTCATAAGAGAAGCGGCAGGCGAGTCGGAACCAAGCTCGGCATCCAGGCCGATGTCCGATTCGACGAGCTTGGCAGCATCGTCGGCCCTGGACACTCGTGAAGATACGTCGGGATTTCCGAGCTTCAGCTCGAATGACATCGATCTAGAGGAAGATGAGAGCTACTATACGTCGGACGGAAGCGAGGGGCGGGAGGGCTCTGAGGACGCTCAAGAGGATTATCAGCACCTTGAGCTCGACGATGCATTCAGCGTGACTGACAATCTGGCGAACGCGCTCAGGGAGTCACTACAGGCGGAGGACTTGAACGAGTTTGTGCGTCAAGTCGCGTCTTTAGGGTCGCCCGAGCGTTCGCCAGCATTGTCGTCTATCTCGGAACCTCGAGAAGACCCCACGGCGCCGACAGCAAGCAGTACAGACGCGGAGCACGTCCCTGCAGAGCAAGCTGTTGTCGGTGACCCAGCTGGGACAGATAGCAGTGCGAGCATTCAATCTTTCCAAGCTGAAGCAGGGTTAGGCCCCCCATCTCGTCCCGAGATTCAGTTCAATGCGAAGCCTACCTTCGTGAGTGATGGGAGGGGCAGAGTTGTCTGGAGTAACTCCACGCGTGGGAGGTCTGGTAGAGACAGAGGGTGCTAGAGTGATGTCGGAGAAGTGTGTACCATGTAGAGAGCCAAACCCGAAGCGTGACTGACTGTACAATATAATATGAGCTGGGTCGTTCCTTTGTTATACCTCTGAGCCACTGGTAGGAAGTGTGGCAGTGCACTTGCGAACGCGTGACCTGGCGTAGTGGAACAGAAAAGGCAAGAGCTTTAGATCATAACATGTGTAAACAGGCGCCCACAGGCTCATATATTTTGGAACTTGGACCACAACACGGTAGCCGGTTGCCTCCAGTGGCGATCGCTGCCACAGTCTTTCGTCGATTTGGCACTCCAAAGCTCGTCCGGCCTACTGAGTACTGGACGTCTATCACTGCAGCAAGACGGACTTACACGCATAGTGGCGTATACTCGTGCGTTACTCGAAGCCAATTATGACTCTTGAGGCGATTGACGTGCACCCATAATCTAGAAGATGGATGCTGTAGAAAAGGCCAATCTCGAGAGACAGAAGCGATGGTACGCATGGCATATCTTTGACAGGTTAGGACATGTGATGCAATGACAGACAGGGCAAAGGAGAGGAAAGTCGGCGAGGGTACATATGCCGTGGTGTATCAAGGTATGCACGCCGACTGAATACATGTGTAGTTGCATGCTCTGACGGATCTTACAAGGCCGGGAAGTTGGGACGGGTCGGAAAGTGGCCATAAAGAAGATCAAAGTCGGAGCCATGAAGGATGGCCTGGACATGTCCGCCATCCGTGAAGTAAAGTATCTGCGAGAACTAGAACACCAAAATGTTATTTCGGTGAGTGCTTTCCCCCTGCTTCTCATTTTCCAAGCAGTTAACCATTGTTTGTCACTAGCTGCTAGACGTCTTCTCCTCCAAAACCAACCTTAACCTGGTCCTGGAATGGTTAGAGACTGACCTAGAGATGATCATTAAAAACCACTCTCTCGTCTTCCTTCCAGCGGACATCAAAAGCTGGATCGCTATGACCCTACGCGGCCTCGAATTCTGCCATAGGAACTTCATTCTCCATCGAGTACGCATCTCTGGTGTAGCAGAATGACTCCCTCTAACCTAGGTCACAGGATCTGAAACCCAACAACTTGCTTATCGCTGCTGATGGACAACTAAAGATTGCCGACTTCGGTCTCGCAAGAGACTTTGCCGATCCTGGTTACAAGATGACTTGTCAAGTCATCACCCGGTGTGGATTTAACGACTCGGTTTCTAGGCCGTCGCTAACATGTGGTACAGATGGTACCGACCACCTGAGCTCCTCTTCGGATGCCGGTACTACAGCACCGCTGTCGACATGTGGTCAGTTGGGTGCATTTTCGCCGAATTGATGCTTCGTACCCCCTATCTTCCTGGAGAGAGTGATATGGATCAATTGAAGACCATATTCCGGGCTCTCGGCACTCCAACAGAGGAAGAGTGGCCGGTACGGATATTTCACTGAACTCCTGGCTCAGATTGTTGACCTGAGCGCATTAGGGTCACACAAAACTGCCCGATTACGTTCCCGTAGGCCAGTTCACAAAATCTTCTATGAGGGACCTTTTCACGGCTGCTACTGCCGACTGCTTGAACCTGCTGAGCAAGTTCTTCATTTACGAACCCCGCAAGCGCATCAGTGCCAGAGACGTCAGTCCCATCCTTTATGAATGATCCTAACCATCATCTGACCATTCGCTATATACTAGGCGTTGCATCATCCGTATTTCTTCGCCCTCCCTAATCCAACCCATCCTTCGAAGTTACCAAAGATCAGCACGCAGCCGTCGTCGCGTACTTTGGAAGAGGTTGACGGGAATGTCGACCTCGACTCGCCAGGACCGGCGGTGAAGGCACCAGCACCCGTACCAAACAGGCTAAAACGGAAACTCTCGTCGGTCAGCAGCAACCAAGACGGGCGTGAAACGTACGCCCGGCGGCTCGATTTCTCTCAGTAGGCAGACTAGAGAAGGGTTCAAGCAAACTGCTTGATGGATCCTTGATTCGTGACAGAGCCCTGTAACTACTAGACAAGAGTCGGACAGTTATGTACAGTATCTGGATGTTGTAAGACTAGCGGCGAAATTGTAGGGAAGTAAAAAATACATTATGGCAAAACAGACGGATATTGCAACGACGAGAAAAAAATGAGGAAGTGTACGCAACTCAACATTCCACACGGTGATTGTCCAGCATTTGAGATATATGCAATGTATTGCTGCCGCCTAGGCATGGTCATGGCCGAGGCTCTTCGCAGACGACGCACTTCTCTGCAGTGGCTGGACTAACACACATGCAAGTGGAACATGTCCACTTTGCACCGCTTGCAGCTGCAGGTGCCTTGACACCCGCGGCGGCCCAATTGAACCCAGTGGCGGGCGCAGGCGCTCCTGCTGGTGCGGTTGCTGGCTGAGTCGTCAAATCGTAGTTTGGTAGAGCGGACTCTGGCAAAGCCAATGCATCCTCCTTGGCTTTCGAGTGGGTTACCGCTGATGGCGGTGACAGGGTGAACGTGAACACAGGCAGCAGCTCCACTTTCAACTCAATCGCAGCTCTCTTAGGACTTTTGACCTCCTCTGCAAGACTGAATGCTGGCAGAAGAGTACCCTGAGGGCGAGGCCCTGCAATATGCGATGAACTAGAGGCAACTGGGGGAGCTGCCTTGGTGGCACCGGACAGGCTGGCAGAGGGGGTAACAGTCGACCCAGTCACGGGGGCTGCAGGCGCAGCGGGGCCGTACGTCGTGGGCATAGGTAGTGAAGTAGGCGCGGCCAGAGGGCTGCCATTGGTGGACGACGCCGAGCTCTCCCCATCGCTCTCAGGGTGGTAACTATATCGTAATCTCGAAGGCGCTTTCGGCGCGGTAGACTTGATGCTAAAGGCCGACCGTAGCGGGGGAGCACGGGTGCCGTTCAAGCCAACAGGATTGCTGGTAGTAGCAGTAGTGGGAGGGTTCGACTTCGGAGGACTGGGGCGGCGGCTCGACTCGGCTGGCTCCACAACCTCAGAAGGCTGCGTGTAAGACGGGCCGGATGCTTTGGCAGATGTCTCTTGGTCGTCGTCATCGTCAATCTCCACTATCTCTGGATCCTGGGTCGTGCCGCGTGGTGGTTCGCGAGAAGCAGATTCTTTCCTCTGCTTCTTCGCTGCGGGACCTTCATCATCGGGAACTTCCTCGACCGTCGGAGCAGATTTCTTGGCTTCAGCAGGCGGCGGTGAAGGTGACTTCAATAAGCGTTGGCTCCTGCGAGGGGAGGAAGGCGCCGCTGCCGAAGTGAATGGTGCGGGTTCCTTCGACTGAGTCTTCGACGGGGACTTCTCTAATAGCTCAGGAGGAGGCCGAGCACGCTTGCTCCCCTGGCGAAAATATTAGTTGTTGGCAAGCGTAACAAAAGGGGCACGCGTACCTTAGGTACTGTTGCTTCAATAATGGACTGCGCGGACAGCTTCTTTACCTGTGCTTGTTTCTGTTTCTGTGTCTCTGCCTCTTTCTCCCTCTCTTGCTGCTTCTCCTTCTCTTTTTCCTCCCGCTCCTTGGCTGCCGCAGACCTGGTCTTCCGGGCGGGTATGGTAGACCTCTTGATGCGCCGCATGGGTGAAGGCATCATTTGCTGATAGGGATTGGCGATGTCGGGCTTTTTGGGAGCTGTATTTTCACGAACCAACTCTTGCATAAAAGCAGCAGCCCTCGTCTGTCCTCTCGCAGGTGGCGCCGGGGGTGACGGAGGGTCTTCCCCACTCCACGCCTGGCGCAAAGGTGACGGTCTCACGGGAGTAGAAGGCTTATGAGAGACACCAGACGATGCATGGATGCGTGGCAGAGAACTCGTGCCATTCATGTTAGGTTCTGCGGACGTCCCATTAATACCCGGAGTTATACCGTTGCTGGGTGGCGAAGGATTCTGGTTATGTGACGTGGGTTGTGATGAACCCTGGCGGGGGGCAGCAGTTGTCGGAGAGGTGGTAACAGGTTGCGCTGAAGAGGTCTCCGCTTCTGAGCCAACACGACGCCTCTTAGTATCTGTTGTGAGCATCCTCGGAGGTGATAACTTAATTCTGGACGAAGATGAGCGCGGCTGCCCGAAACCAGGTGAATGATACCGTTGTCGTGGTCGAGCACTACCGGCTCCCTGCCACTTGTAGACGCCGTTAGGATTCTTGCTAAGCATTCGCCCTTGCCTGGATGTTGAGGGCGTAGTGCCATTTGGCAAAGGAACGCTCGTCGCTCGAGACGGGCTTCGACTTTGAAACCGGAAGGGCTCCGGCTCAGTGTCATCTACAGCTCGTTCAGAAGATTTTCCTTGATTTGAGATACGAATGTGACATACCTGAAGTTTCTTCCTTCAACAGCGATACAAGGCCAGCGATCTCAACAGGGTTGAGTTTCCGGCCTTTGGACTCTTGTAGATACTGCATAACTTTAGCTTTGTTCGGACTCGGCGGGCCGTCAGATTCGGGGAGTACAGCACCATCGATCGCCCCTGGTGCTGACGACGAGGATGCACCAATATGAGAGAAATCGAACTGAGGTGGTACTGAATTACGGTGCAATGTTGCTTGGGGCGGCGTTCCCTGCAGTTCTGGCCGTTGCGCAAAAGAACGGCGGGGACTGAAGTCGAATCGTCGTGGCTGTTGCGGAGGTCTGGGAAGAGCGTCGAGCGTGATAGTTGGAGGCTACCAAGTGTGCGTTATAGTGGAGACGCGAGGAATGGACGGGTCTCTCTTACGTTCTGTCTGGCTGGCGCGGTATTCTGAGGCGCATCAGGCGAAACCATACTCGTGGACGGGCCTTCCGCTGCCAGAGCTTCCTCGTCTTCCCCTGCCTCCTCTCCTCCTGCATCCTCCACTTCATCTTCTGGCTCACCTATCGGTGCATCCTCTGGTTCGTCCTCTGGCTCCTCTGATTCCCGCGTAAAAGTGCGCAGGGGGTTGAGATAACTTAAGAGACCCGAGATACTCCAAGCCTGTGGCGGAAAGTCAGCAGTAGCTCATACCACATGGAATTGACGGGCGTCACCGATTTCTTCGCGTGAGGCCGCGCATAGGGCGACGATCTGTCGTTTCGGAGAATGCTACGCCTGTTATTCCGTACCGCGCTCATAGTTGTAGTTGAAGGAACAGAAACGGCTTCGCGGCACGCGTCTTATGGGCGCCGTAGCTGAGACACGAGGATTGTTGTGGCCACAAGTTGACCGTTGCAGAGGCCAGTGCGCCACAGGCTTAGGGCAGGCCTATGCGCAACCTGCCCTAAACAGACGTGCTCGCTGTTTCCCGCGTTGGCCTCCGCGCTCGGGACAACATTCACTATGCCTCAGAAGGTCGTGGAGACGCCCTTCCCGCTCATCGATGCGGACCCGCACGCAGGGCGTGTCATACGTTACATGCGTCCTTCCGACTTCGCTGCCTGGGGCGCCATGACCGCTGGCTTCCCCGGAGCGTTATACCTTTGGGGTGCGCCGGTACGATCACTTGAGCATGTCTGAGCCGAGGCTGACGTTGCTACAGATGTAGCAGACCCATTGAAGTCTGCTAGAGGCACAGCGCTGCGTGTGGGTGGCGTAGCTGGTTTCCTTGGTGGTTTCCTATTAGCGTATCAGCGATCAAGTTGTGAGTATGTCATGGGCTTCTGGTCTCACTAAACTCATAGAATACTTGTTGTATTAGTTCGTTTCTGGGGCTGGACAGAGAACAAGCGGGAGCAGGAGTTGGACTTCGCTGAACTCAGCCAGCGTGCTAGGGAAGGCAAGCCTTTGTACGGAGAATCTCACCAGCCAGAATGGGTGCAGAATGCTGCATACTCGAATTCGGTCTTCTCTCAACTGAAGTTCGGTACGTAACATCTGTTGTGATTCTTACTCGCCAACTAATTATACTCCCAGCTGCCTTCCCTTGGTTCAACCTTGTGAACCACCCTCATCACGGCACTGACCCCAACAAGTACAAGTCCCAATCATCCTCCGAGGAGTCCAGTTAGGTACCTTAAGTCTTGTAAGGTAATGCTACACGCTAGACGGACATGCCTCGCCTCCGCCATACACACCTTGGCACGAATCTCTCCGTACCCGCGTAGATTGCATCGAACGTCGTTACCGTGCAATATACGTTTTCGATTTGCTACCTAGTGCCTAAGACCGGTATGTACAACATACTTAATGAGAAGTATTCTACAACCCCGGGCATTGCTCAGGAGGACAACGATAGCATCTGAGAGCGAAAGGTACTACTGCAGAAACAAACCTACAATCAGAATGAAAGCTTTTGTCATACAGTGCTGGTATGCATATCAAAGAGAGCAGAGACAGTGCATTTGAATATACAATATGATAACGCATTTCCACCCAAAGCCAGGCTCAGATCCTCGTGAAATGAGTCTTCGTAGTTTCATGACGACTATGTTCATGATGATGCCTCTTGAAGAGTTTGCTCAGACGTGACCCCGCATCCGTCCTGGCATCATCGATTCTATGTGTGAGGGATCAGTAACTCCGCAGCTCGAAGACTTATAGCACTTACCACCATTTCCACCAGTGCCTCTTGTGCTGGGAGCTCTCGTCGTGGTAGTCCCTCACGGGTTCGCGGGGACGGTTGTAGTAATTGCTTGGCGGCGGCGCTGAAACGACGCGTATGGGTAGTTGTGCTATGCAGATACCAAGTGTGCAACTTACCTTGGTTGTACTGCGCCTGAGACGGCGGCGGAGCATAGTTGTTGGTAGGCGGAGGGGTCGCGTAGTGAGACAGAGGAGGCTGGTCCTGGATAGGCACTGAGTACCTCTGGTCAGGGATAACGGGCTCGTGCGGTCCCACCGCATCAGGCATCGAGTCTCGGTGGGATTCTGGGTAACCACCCCGAGGGCGGCTCGCAGGATAGTAGGGAGTTTGCGAGTGATGGGAATGGTGGGAATGATGAGAGTGGCGAGAGGGAGCATTCGAGTGAGAAGAGTGCACGGATGATGAGCGACGGGGCTCTTTCTCGTACGCATACTCTGGCCTTGGGCGCTTCGGCTCTGGCTGGTACGCATTATTGGCACTGAACGGAGGGGGTACGACGGGGCCTTCGACATTCCGCTGTGTCGAAGCAGGCAGGTAACGGTCGGCACGGGACTCTTGAGGTGCTCCCTGGAGGTACCGATTGTCCTGAGGTGACGGCTGTTCGACGCCGTTGATAGTGTACCGTTGCCGTCCGTCAGGATACGTCAACGTAACATGCTCGTTGCCCTGTTAATGACGATTGCGTCAGTTCATGGATAATTGCCACAGATGAGTGAACCTACATCAGAATCGGTCCTCTTCCACACACTCTCGGTGACCCCGTTGATTGTTCTGGTCATCCTACTTTGGCTTACCCACCTGCGCTCCTGCCCGTTGTCGTAGCCTATAGCACTGTAAGATGCACTCCGCACGTTCGCGTTGGGACTATCCATGATTTGCTGGAAGGGCGAGAACATGCTTCCACCGAGGAGGCCGCCAAATGGCGACATGAGTGAGCCGCGGCCGAAACTGTCGAAAGGATCCCTGTTCCGACGAGCGCCACCAAACGGAGATGGGAAGTCATCGAAGAAAGGGTCATCGAACAATGAGCCGCCCAATGGTCCGCGATGCAAATCGCCAAAGATGGAGTTGAACAGCTCGAAGGGGTCGGTGAAGGCGAAGTGGCGGCGAGTACCGCGGAATGGATCGGGGAAGTCGAAGAATGGATCGTGGAAGCGGGTGTTGAAAGTGTTGAAAGGGTCGGCCTGGCGGTTGCCCGCACTTGGCCTGGGCTCGGGGACGGCATCTGGCGGAGGCCATCTGCCATAGAGATCGTAAATCTGCTCTGCATTAGATACAGCGCGTTTAGTGGCAATTGTAGAGGCACATACCTTCCGGTTCTCGGTATCGTTCAGAACCTCGTATGCATGGTTGACTTTGCGGAACTGTTCCTCCGCCGCCTCCCTCTCCTTCTGTGTAATGTTGGGACCTAACTTGTCGGGATGAGTCTGCAAGGCTCTCTTCTTGTAAGCTCTCCTGACTGGACATTCAGGTCAATAATCCCGGACTACAATGATCACAAAGCAACGCACTTTCATCCGGCGACGCGTCTTTCGCGACGCCCAAAGTCTCGTAAAGGTTCGTCTCAGCCATGAGCGGATGCAAGGGTCAATGAAGACGCTTGACGCGCGGAGCAGCGGGAAATACAGGCATGCACAGCTGCCTGGAAAGCTCAAGAACCTTCATGACCGGGCAGAGGCCCAGCCGACGCCACAGCGTCCCAATGAGGCAGACTCTGTTACGTCAGCGATATTGTCTGCCACGTGCCATGTCAAGATCCCTTGCAAGATCTCCGCTACCTGCTTTTTCAGGGCCTAACTGCTCAAGGGGTGTTTCTGATCACAGAACCGGGACCAAGATGAAACTACACGAAGTCATCTTATGTGCAGCGTCAACGTCGACTTCCAATGCAGGGCCTGGGTTAATAGCCGTGCATGATATCCAGTCAGGTTCCACCTTGGCCTCCTTCAAGCAGACCAACACCTCTTCACGATGTCTTGCTGTCACTGAGTCTCGGGATGGACTAGGCGGTGTTATGTTTGCCGCGCAACATGAAAAGTCTCTCCTCAACGTCTATAACTTCCAGAAAGTATGATATCTGGCTTTCGCAGAGTCAAACGCGTGGTTACTGAAACTATGCTGGTTTGCAGGACCAACTCGCTCTAAAGATAGTTTTGCCAGAGAAGTTGACATGCTGTGCGAGTGATCATAGGGGACAGTTCTTTGCTGGTGGGACAGCCCAGGGACGGATATACATCTGGGAGGCGAGTCTCCGCTGCTACTTGTGGTCGGGTACCTTTGACTCACGGGCGACGACATCCGACAGTAGATATCATCCGGGATACTATATAATGCATGGGATGCCCACTATCGCCAAGTTAATGTCCTTCGTTTCACCCCAGACGGAGCGGCACTCGTCTCGGGGAGTGAAGACTCGGGAGTGAGCGTATGGGAAGTATCCAGGTAAGCAACGCCAAGTCGTAGATTCCCGTTGTGGGTGCAATTCATGTTAAGGCTGCTAGATGATAACTTGCAAAATGAACTGCCGGTATCTTATTGCACATTCACCGACCACACACTGCCCGTCACCGATCTTGTCTGCGGAGTTGGACCGTTCCCAACATCTCGGATACTCACCAGCTCAGTCGACCATACTGTGAAGGTGCGCGCCTTCCAGTACAAGTAGAATTGCCTCTTCATCGTAATCGTCCTCTATCTTAGCTTTGGGACTTGGGTGCTCGGACACTCCTCACAACATTCCATTTCCCCCAACCCATATCTCATCTTGCTTGGGAGCCCACCGAGAGGGTTTTCTTTGCCGCATCATCGGGTGACGACGGGACCATCTATCAAATGAACCTATTCAAGCAGACGAGGGCAGGGAAGAACGCCATTGTCGAAGCGATCGGCGGCGGAGGTGCGACAGACATAGTAAGGATAGGCGACGATGACGGCAGCGCGCCTAAGAAGATGTCCATACAGGTCGAGTGAGTCTATGTTCCTCGAGTCCACTTTCCCCCGTTTTCAAAGTAAGAATGCTGTTAACCCTAACCCTGCCTTCACACAAGCCAACCAATAACCGCCCTCTGCATCTCCCTCACGTCGAGTCTCCTCGTCGTCGGTACCTCCCTCGGCACGATCCAAACATACGACATCCCCTCGCATCAACCCCTACGCTCCATAAATACCCACAAGGGCCTCGCCATCACCCACCTGAGCACGATGATACGGCCGCCCGACCTGGTCGGGCATGTCAACATCCAGCTTGGCTTGAGTAGCGGCGTTGGCGTGAGCGGCGCGGCAGGGCAGGGCGAGGTGATCAGCCTGAGGTCTGTTGTGCCGTTCGATCGGACGAGGGATCCGAGGAAGAGGGAAGCTCGGGAGGTTGGGATAATCCTCCCAGTACAGGGCGATGTGAGAGGATGTTTCATGCTACATGTATTGCCTTGAGATGACTGACTGCTTTTTCACGAATCCAGGTTCCCTATATTGACCCAGCAGAATACCCCGAAGACGAGTTATTCCGGGACCATGCATATTTTACGCAACAGATGGTGCCTGCTGCGAGTGGTGCCAACGGCGTCGGTGCCGTCTCGTTACAGTCGCGCGTCGCAGAGCTTGAGACGGAGGTGCAGAAGCTAAGGGATCAGCTTGGGAAAGCAAAAAATGTGAACGACGTCATGTGGGAGACGGTGGTCAAGAAGGTTATTAAGGAAGGGAAAGGGGGTGGGGACGCGGATGCGTCGGAGGAGCCAAAGCGCAAGAGAGGCCGCACTTGAGCATGGTCGGTTTGACGGGTACACAGTCTACGGGGATATGGGGAGCATAGGAAAGTATATGCATTCTACAGCTAATCATATAATGGTCCGCTTGTCCGAGGTCTTTTCTAGCGATGCTACTCATACACCTTCAACATTCTCATCAAAAGTGTCATGTACCACCCTGTCAACCCCCATACCTCCAGTCTGCCACCTTGGCCTCCGCCGATCTCGTCCCTCTGTTCCGGGTCACTCGCCCATTTAACAGCTTCGGGGACAAAATCCGAGACGGTGATGGCCCAATACGGCCGTTCACCCAAGTTTCGTCGGAATGCGTGCACACGGAGGCGGTCGGGGTTAGCGATTTCGGCAAACGGGAGGTGGAATATATGGGCGACTTCGGGTGCGGAGGCCTTCAGGTGCGATAGAGATATGGAGGGGAGCGGATCGGTGTCCGCGAGAGGCTGGAAACGGCTTTTGATTGAAGAGTGAATGAAACCCTATCAAAATATTGACATGATGTCTCCCTTGAGCAAACGTTGATGCTTACGACGTACGGCCACACCCGGAGTGCACGTAGAGAAAGGGTGGGTGGTCCTATTCCTCCCAGGATCTCGACTTGTTCTGGATGGATGCCCAATTCCTCTTCGGTTTCGCGCAAGGCAGCAGCTTCACGAGAAGCGTCGGTCTAGGTAGTACGGTGAGTACAACAACGCTACATCATCATAAGCAAGGGACGTACTTTGTCTACCCTCCCACCCGGAAAGCTGGCGAGCTGGTCTCAGCGAACACTCACCGTGTTGCTTATGACGCGTACCTCACCTCCCCTGAGTGATTTCTCATATTCTTCCCTCTTACTTCGAGGAGCACTCCAGGCTTGTTGTCCACATTGCAGAGAGGGACAAGCACTGCTGCAGTCGGCTCTGAGTAGGTGTCCGGGAATTGGTACTGCTTCTCAGCCAGGACATTCCGTATGGCCACGATAGACGATCGCGTCAGCGGCGAGGTCAGCGAGATATAAGGCGAAACTTTGCGTGGACGCGCTAAGGTAGAACGCGCATTCGAGGCGAACGTCCGCGAAAGCATATCAAGGCCGTCTAATAGATCTCGTGAAGTGATCTCTTTCAACAGCTGTATAACTGCCGGCGGCAACTCGACCGGTATATTGCCTTATATTGCTCCTTGCTTCTGCACCGCGACATGCCTGCGCCAGAAATATCATGAAGGGCTACCACATCCGCATTGTTCTCCGTCCGAAAGCAAACATATCCACCTCTCAGCCTCAGAAGTCAGACACCTTTTTCCCGACGTCGATATTCCAACATCTGCCTGCGCAGACACCGAAGTCGACCGCGCGCCAGAACGCTCTGTTCAATCCAAAACACAAAGATTATAGATTCGGACCTATACGTCTCGATTGGGTCGACTTTGAAGAGATGAGCAAAGCAGCTTTGACAGGGAAAGACAAAGAGCTGCGGGCCAGGGGTGCGTCTCGAACTGGCTTTTAAGCGTCATGCACCTTATGCTCCCTTTCAGGGGGCGCTACTGTCGCAAGCTTTATTCCCCATGCGCGTACAAAAACAGGGTCTACAAATCTTCCTGAAGGAGTGGTACATGTTTTCCGTCAACCTTCCGATGCTGCACCTATCAATGACGACCCTGAAAGATCCTCTTCGTCCTCAGCAGCGAGAGATGACTCAGCACTGCAGCACATAGATTCCGACGGTGTCATGATGGGCGTCCTCGCAGTACCCTCTTGGATGACACCGTCCGATTTCCTCGCGTTCGTCGCTCCGGCAGCCGATGGTATGGCTCATCTGCGAATGATTAGGTGCAGTACATGCTTTCCTTGTAACCCACTTTACAAAAGTTGACAGTACTATAGGGATTCAGCACCGAACCGCTCCATCGTCCTGATCAAGTTCCGAAAAGCTGAAGATGCAGCCGAGTTCGCCGAGGCTTACAATGGCAAACCGTTCAACTCAATGGACGTACGTGAACACGATTTCTTGCGAGTAGTCGCCTGCTCACGATTTACTGCAGCCTGAGATCTGTCACGTCGTGCATGTACTCTCCGTCGCCATTGAGCCGGATGACCAGATCTCGCTAGCCATATCTCGCCTTAGCGTCCCCGAGGGTGCCTACGAGCTACCTACGTGCCCGGTGTGCCTCGAGCGGATGGACTCAGCCGTAACAGGCCTCGTCACTGTGCCCTGTTCACATACTTTCCATTGCAGATGTTTGAGCCAATGGGGTGACAGTCGGTATGTTTCCGTCTGTGCTACCTTTGTTTGCACCTTAGCTGATACATCGTGAACAGGTGCCCCGTTTGCAGATATTCACAGACACTGCTTTCCTCACACCCTCCTTCATCAAGTAATCGTTCCTCTGTCCCTATCCCTTTCACGTCTCCCTCCACGCCCGGTCTCTCGAGATGCGCTGACTGCTCATCGACAACGAACTTATGGATCTGTCTGATATGCGGCAACATCGGCTGCGGGCGGTACGGTCGTGCCCATGCCCACGCACACTATCAGAGGACCACCCATCTGTATGCACTAGAGCTCGAGACTCAGCGGGTATGGGACTACGCAGGAGACGGGTATGTACACCGCCTCATTCAGAACAAGGCGGACGGGAAACTAGTCGAGTTACCATCCGCTGCATCATCTGTTGGCGGAAGTAATGCGAACACTAGTGGGCTAGGGCCTGGCCCGTCGGACGCACTGACGGCAGAGAAGATAGAGGCGATCGGGATCGAATATTCGTACCTTTTGACATCTCAGTTGGACTCGCAAAGGGTATTCTATGAGGAGCAGACTTCAGAGTTGAAGACTCAGGTGGATGAGCTCAAAACGTTAGTGGAGAGGATGAGAATGGAGGTCGAGCGGGAGCGGGCCAGTTCAAGAGAGGAGATCGAGCGGAGAAGACAGGAGGAAGAAGAAATAGTAGCCGCGCTGGAGAAGGATAAGGCAAGGGCTGAGAAAAGGGCCGAGAAGGCCACGGACTTGGCCAGGCGGTTGGAGAAGGAGTTAAAAGAGGAAAGGGCTGTCAGCGAAGGGCTGTTGAAGAATTTGGAGAAGATGAAAGAGCGGGTTGATCAGGCTGATAGAGAGAAGGAAAACTTTGGATCAAGGATCAGTGAGCTGGAGGATCAGCTGAGAGATGTGATGTTCTTCCTGGAAGCTCGAACAAAAATTGAGCAAGGCGGCGGTGTGGAGGCAGAAGCTGCAGGAGGGTCGTTGGAGGTACCGCCGCCATCACCACGAGCACCGGGGAAGAAGAAGAAATCTCGGAAGGTTTGACAAGGGGATTGGTGGACCGGTCGACCTACCTATAACTACTTGTTCGAGCCTGCTTCGACTCCCTGTACCTGTAAACTTACTGTTACTTCTTGTAATCAGAAATGCAGAATGTGCGAATGAATATGTATACAATGTGGGATGCAAATGCGGTACGACAGTGTGCTTCTCATAAGCCCTCAAAGAATGATAAATCTTGCGCAGACAGTCCGCCCTTCTGGTTCCCCGTCGTCTGAACGGTGCTCGGGGTAAGGACTGGCATCGTAGGGGTAGACACCGCTGGAGAAGAATCAAACGACGACAAGTCCAGCAGAGATCCAACAGGTGCAGGCGTCGGTCGGCTTGTCCCCGAGGGAGGAGATATCGGTCTCAAGAGGCTAGACGACATCGGCGGCGGCGGGATGAGTCCTATTCCTATCGGAGACGACGTCGACGCTGTAAGGGAGCCGCCGCCCTTTGCAGGTCTCAGAGGAAGGTCATCATCATCCAGGACATTCAAACTAGAGGAAGGCCTGATCGTATCATTTCGCGGCGGTGGGGGTGGGGGCAACGCCTCGGGTAGCGGGGACGGGGGAGCTGGCCACTGGCCGGCCCGGGCAGCAGCCCTTTCAACTAGATTAAGTGTGGCGAGGTGATCAGCTGCCGAGGGCTTGCGAACATGAGGGGAAGATTTCGACGCCGTCATGCCCCTTGAAGAGGAGGATGGTGGAATGGAGGGCTTTGCTGGCGGGGGTGGGGGTGATGGGGTGCGTATCGGGGACGAAATAAAATCATCAAAGTCATCGAAACTAGTTTGTGATACAGATTGAGAGGGTCGTAACGGTCGTTCAGGAGTGGAATAGAGCTGGTTCTCCGACGCAGACGAGAAGCTGGAATCGTAAAATGACCCCGACGTGATGGGCAGGGAGGACTGAGGCACAGAGGGTCCCTGGAAGTCAGCGAATTCGTCGTCGTCGAATGGATCCGGGGGTAGCGCTGACGGTTTCGTGACTGCGGCCAAGGCTGGCGTGTGCGACCGTGACGAAGGAGGGGGAGGCAGGGCGAACAGGTTACCGTCTGTCGGAGGCGACACATGCGACGCCGCGCTTGATAACTTCACAGCCGGCATGAGCGGTTTCGACGGGGCAGGTGGAGGTGCCAGCGCGGGGATTGCAGATGCACTCGATCTGATTGGGACGCTCTGGGGAGCAGGCGGGAATGAATTGGCAGGTGGAGATGGCATACTGAAGGCCGCGTCAAGAGCCTCGAACCCAGGACTAATTGAAGATGATGCCAGTGGGCTTGTGGCCCTGACTGTCGCCTGCCCTGTAGATGCCGCTGGAGGCGTAGGAGTCCTTGTCGGAACAATGGGATCGAGTCCTTCAAAAGAAACCCGGCTTGGCTGCCTTGAACCAAGAGATGGTGGGCGGCTTGGGCCTCCAACCAACGGCGGACTGTTCATGGACATCACACTGGCCGGTCGACTCGCAGGCTTGGGCGGAGGAGCAAGCGGTGGAGGCAGCTTGTCCGAAACCTCCAGAGGTTTCGACTGGAGCATTCTAGACAGTGCCTTGAGCTGGGGGTCGTCTTCTTCGGTGTCGTCGCTTGCGCTGGGTACGAGGTCGGATAGGAAGTCGATATCGTCCGAGGAGAGTGCCATGGAGTTTCGAGGGCTGGAGCTCTTCGAGCGAGAGAAGCGGTTGAAAAAGCGCGACACTGCAGACGGAGCTGCAGTTGGAGAATCCGGAACTACTGGTAGTACCGGTTCCTGCGGAGATGCCGGAGAGATTGTGGTAGCCGGCGTCACTGCTACCACTGGCGAGACCGAGGCAGGTGTGGATGAAGATGTAAGTTGAGAGGTGACCGGAGACGTGGCTTTAGTCGGCGCAGCACCGCTGTCAGGTTTGGCTTCATCCCCGCTCCGCCTCGAATCGCTGGCCGCAGACGAAGTCCTGGGTTCTGACACAGGAGTGGACGGCCGCGACGGTTTACTCTCAGAGAGAGCTGGCTGGGTCGAGCTTCGTCGGCTCAGGAAAGATAATAAACCGCCCCTCTTGGGTTTCTCCTCTGTGGCTACAGGTTGCGTTAACGACGCCCGCTTCTCTAACACTTTCCATCCGGCAGGGATGTCCGAGTCAGGAGCAGGGCTTGCCTTCAACTTGATGGTGGCTTCCCAAGCCATTGACGCCTTCGAGGAGGAGGCAAAGTAGGACATTGGACTCATCTGTGCTGGCACTGTGTTCCTCGTGGTACGTACGGCATTAACCATCTCCTTCGCTGTGGCCGAATTTTTGAACGGCACGAATGGAGGGGGTGTGTCGGGTAGAAGGCGGTTCATGAAGTCTCCACTAATCAATGCATATGGGAATAGGCATCTGAGTATATGCATGGTTAAGGATGTCTGGGTAGCGCACTCACAGACCTGGTACACTATCTAAGCCGCTGCGCCAATCATCGTTACTCTCACCCTGCGCCAGGACGCTGTCATCCGGGCCCACCTCCTTAACGAGTTCCTCACATTCTTTCAGGATGCTTGCAACTACTTCGGAAGGCTAGGTGTCTTCTCGTGAACAATTGCAGTATTCACACCACAGAGTCCAGTAACTTACCACCCTCTTTTCACGTTCCTCCTTCTCTCGTTTCGCTGCCTCCCACTCATCGACGGCTTTCGCTTCGACCTCTTCTCGCGTATCTGCTTCCGCGCTTGACCACGCAGATTGCTCCGCGTCAAAGGTAGCCACAGCAGGCGACCACGGATCGACTTCATCGGGCTCAGCGGCAAGTCCTGTCTCAAAAGTGCCGTACACGTCAGGTGTAGCAGGGGGAGAAGGTTGCTGACCGGCAACTGGAGACTTAGGCGATGACAGAGCAGCGGAGCTCGGGGATTCGGTGCGAAAAATCTGCACCGGTGTAGAGGGGGACGAATCGTGAGATGTAGACGATGTCCTGTCATCTTCTACCACCTCTGGTGGCGGTAAGTTAAGTTCCGGTGTGCTAGTAGACGCTATAGGAATATCCGCGTAGGGATTAGAGCCCCAAGCCAGGACGTCCTCTGCCTGAGTCCACAAGGAGGGCTGCGCGGCCGACGGTTCTGCCCATTTTATGTCGTCTCCAGTAGACCAAGAAGGCGTTGCTAAGTCGGCTTCAGAGTCATCATGACCTACCGAGACGGTTGCAGGTGCGGTCCAGGCAGGCTGGCTTACGGTGGAAGCTCCGTACAGAGCGGCGGGCTTGCTAGGCTCACCCCAGGCGTTTCCCCATGGATCTTCCATATGTAGAGCCTGGCGCGCGTCACCGCAGGTGCATTACAGGGCCCTCCGCGACAGAGGGACCAGCGACAGAAGAAATACGGTGGCGGTAAGGACTCCGACGCGGTTGCAGGACTTTGCATCTAGCGCAGATGCCGGACCATTGCCGGCGTGATGTAAGTATTCGCTCGCGTGGTAGTAGACAGACAATTATAGACCCTTCCCTCAAGGCCTCAACTCCGGTGTCTCACTCGGGGAGTCTGTACACTTGAATCACGATACAGTTCCGCGATCTACCGTGTTCGAAACGCCAGCAAAGCCGGCTCGTAAAAGCCTAGCCTGTTTGCTACCACTCAGATCTTGCCGACATGTCAATGGACGCCGCGAACGAAGAGCCGCAGAAGAACATCTTAGATTGGGATGAGAACGATGTGCAAGCTTTCTTCGCGCAGCTAGGATATCCACAATACGAGGCGCAGATCCGAGGTGTGTGGCATTTATATCGGAAGCATTACGCGTTACTGAAAGTCTGTCTAGAGCACAACATCTCGGGAGACGTGTTGTGCATGTTAGATGCGGAGACACTCAAGGAAGTGGGAGTAGCGACGGTTGGGCAGAGGCTGGCCATATTAAAGGCGGTTTACTTGGCCAAGCAAGCACATAATGTCCCCATCGAAGATGACCAATATGTACCACCTTGTGAGTCCTGGCCATGTCGTCTTCCGACTGCATCGGGCTTACTGGCAGACAGCGGAAGCGGAAGAACGTAACTCGAACGTTAGCGTGGACAAACTTTACAACCTTGTCAAGGCACAAGGTACTTATTCGCTCTAGTATGCGCGTCCCGTCGCTGATGTCTCGTAGAGGAACGTCTGCACCATTTGGAGGATGAGAACCACCGTCTAAGGGACAGCTTACACTCATGTATGGAGGACCTCAGCGGTATACGTTCATCATATGTCCGATCTGTGAGTTATCAGATGTTTCAGCAGGCAGCATCTCTTACACCGAGTAGGCCGAAGACAGCCCAATCCAGAGGCAGCCATCCTTCAAGTGGGCATCCTATAAATCAGCAAATCAATCCCCCACCAAGGCCACTCTCGATTCCCCACAACCTTCACCGCAACGTATGGAACACGAAGCATCCAGAAGTGGGTCTCAAGGCCAGTCGAGCAATGACAAGTCGAAAGTATCCCCAGCCGACAGTAGCAATGGCGCACTCATACCTGCACCGCCGAAGCCGGTTCGTCAAGATAGTTCGGATAACTTGAAGAGCTTCAAAGTAAGCCTCGACGATCCCGCTTGGAAAGTGCTCCCTGCGGCCCTCAAGAAGTACAAGATCAACAATGACGATTGGCAAAACTATGCCATGTTCATATGTTACGGGTCATCCGGTAGGTCACGTTTTCGCATACCTGCGGCTCGTCCTAACAATCCATCAGGCAGTCGCATAGAGCGATGCCTAAGCTACGATGAGAAGCCTCTCCTGCTCTTCCAGAAGCTCAAGGACGCGAAGAAGAACCCCGTATTCATGCTCAAGCACATCAAAGACATTCGTTCCCCTATCGCCGTCGCACAGCAGAAGCACGCCGCGCGGAAGGCATCCGAGTCGTCTGGTAGTGGCTCTAAAACATCAGGTAGCAGCTCTGGGCAAGGTAGATCAACGTCTCGGCCTGCCGGCTTACAAGTTCATGATGCAATGACTGTGGCAACTTCTCCTCTTGTAACAGGAATTACCGCGGCCCAGGGTGGGTGGCCCGAGGTCATGTCTCCAGCGGTCGATAACAAGGAGAGAGCGGACGAGCTCGGCTCGGCGTCGACGTCGACTTCTACGACCGCTGTGAATGGCCAGTCGAAGTCGCCGCCTCAAGAGAGCAGCGACCCCAGCGGCATCATCAGCACGAGGGAGAACATGGTTGCCTCGTCATCTGTATCGTATGCCGTCGCAATTTATCCGTATATGGCGGAGCAGGAGGATGAATTTGACGTCGTAGTGTAAGTCTACTCATGCATATGCTGTGCGCCCCTAGACATTCAAGATTATTATAGCGGAGATACCTTCATAATTCTCTCGCGAGCTCGGGGCTGGTGGGTAGTCCAGCGTGACCCGGCGGGGACCGGCGTGGTCGAGCCAGACACGAGCAAGCAAGGCTGGGTACCGGCCGGCTGTTTACTCGAGACGAGCGTCCCCGTAGCATCAGCCGTTGCAGAGGCAACTGCACTCCGCGGCGGTTCATCCAACGATCACTCGCCCTCTTCGCCTCAGGCCAAGAAGACCCCGATCTTGCCCCTGAGTATCGTGTCTACAAGTTTCCCCGGTGTCGCCTTAACGGATTACAAAGGGAAAGGAGATGAAGAGCTGGACCTTGTGAAAGATGATGCGTTGCGGGTGTTCAAGCGTTATAACCATTGGTCCTACGTAAGTCCCACGTCCAAACACCGCCGGACAGTTTGTTGACTCAATATTCTTTCTTTCTCAGGCTGTGAAAGAGGAAGGCGGTGATCGAGGATGGGTACCTGTAGGTTTATTCTTGCCTGTCTGCTCAGCGCTTTTGCTAATTCCTTGCGTGCCGCAGTCCTGGTACATCGGCAAGGTTTCTACGGGGGTTACACCAGCTACCCCGAGCACCAGCCACCCCCCTGCCATAACGTCCGGCTCTATGACCTTGGACGCAATACCCGATGCTCAGGTCGTTACCTCAAGCGGCCCTCAGCCCCAAGTGTCTCCCATGTCATCCGCCTTCCCGCCTGTAGTCAAGAGCACCCCTGTCTTGTAATGACCATACCCATCTTGGACCTCGACACTCATTTCGCTCTTCGCCTGCTATCCATCTGCTCTCTAGGCCCTTTAATTGCTTACTCATGCTCCGAATCACGACCATCAGGGCTTGCCCTGTCTCCCTTAGTTTCTTCGATCTTCTGCGACTGCGTCATTTTTGGTCTGTCCTCATCAATATTCTAATTGTGTATTTTCGTAAGAGTACTGTATGTAGTCCAGATCTATGCGTAGTTGGATTGTACCTGAATAGTAGATTTCTAACTTATGACACCTAGCGGACTTCGGTCGAGCTCTACGAAAATGCGAGTCTGAGTGCCACACGCCACACGGCTCCTATTAGCTTTCGTTCCACCTCATACAACCGGATACGTTGGCTTCATACTTTCACTCCTTCCATAAGGCGCCCGAAGACCTTGCTCGCGCATCCGCTTGCCATTCTCTCGCATGACTGCACTGTAGCACTTCGGAATAATGCCTTCGTCCGGTCACAAAGAACACTACAAACTCAAGTCTCCTCTGCTCAAGGCGCAGAAACAACGTTCGCAGATGCTCTGGAATAGCCTGTACCGATGGCTGATCATGCTTTGGCTCGCTGCTTCTGGGTACTGGTTGATATTCTCTCGACTCTCTGGGGGCTATGGCTCACGTCGAAAGTCTGATGTCTTCAAGCTGAACCGCACCGCAACGCCTGACATTGCTGCACTAGAAATACAGACTGCGCTGGCTCTCCCGTCTGTTGCTTCAGGACTTCCCAAAGACCCCTGGTTACTTCTTTTCGAGGAAGCGGAACGCGTTGGTGCCAATGCGCTGACTGCGGTCTTGCCTGTATCCACAGGTTCATTAACGCGTCTACAGGATACGCTTCTAGACATATTGCACGCTCCTTCGAGCTTGAGAGAAGTTATCCTGGCGACGCCACAGGAGCTAGCTCGCGACGTACGACAGGTATTATGGGAACTGACCTCAAATCTGCCCGGCCGCAACTACCCCGAGGTTTCTCTTCATGTCGTTAAGACCTCTTCAAACACCGTTGCCAACATCGTAGAATCGGCGGTTGATGCTTCGACTGATTGGTTGCTTCTACTCGACGAAAATGAATTAACAGGGACAGACTCTCTGACCAGAGATATGCTTCTTAATCCTCGCGCTTTGCCTTTACCACATGGACCCAATGGTCAACTGAGAGGTGCTCCAAACGTCTCTTGTCATAGTATTCCCTGGCTTCCACAACAAGCCACCTTCTTGACGCCTCCCATGGTCATAGGCTCGATGGTCTTGTCTCGAGGTCTCGGGGACTTTTCCGTCCGAACATGGGAAGATCTAGGCAATCTGGTGTCACACTCCCATATGGATATGGTCGGGGGACTGCTCGTCGGCCGTGGCACATCTTGCTCGAGTCAAATTTCACCGGTTCCTGGTCTAGCTGCGTCGAAGCAAGAGCAAGAACAGCGTCTAGATCTACCTGCGGAATTGGGTCAAGTTGTGGACTCAGGTGTTAGCGGACGCTTTGCTGTTATTCTGGAGACTGCCGATGACCTGCGGCTGTTCTCAAACGTACTGTGTCGACTGCAGGCTGACTCTCGTCAAGTACACATCTTGTTATTCCGGGAGAGCGATGGAAGGGATAACCATGCTGCCTTTGCTTGTGATCTCCCATACGATATTCTTTCATGGTCGAGCTTCGACATCTTTCCGCGCTTTGCTCATTGGCTGGGTTCCTCGCCCACTCCGGATGTTGTCATCAGCTCTTCTGACAACGCGACCATAACGACTTATATGCGAGAGATTGTAGAGAACCTGGGCAGTGATCAGCCTGCTCTGATCCGGCTGCCCAGAGCCGATCTTCCTTATTGCGATTGGCTGGGTGCCTTGTCACTTGAAGAGTGGAAACGTTCGTCATTACTACTTCTCAGTCTTGCAAGGAACTCATTTTAACGAACCAGACTGGGACGTCCCCCGAATAGACATCAGCGTGATTACTAACGACAGGCCTGCGTCCCTCACCAGGCTTCTCATATCCCTACAAAACGCGAGATATTTTGGAGACGCCCTAGACTTGCGTATCAATATGGACTCTGCCGCCCAAGATGAGACGAGAAATATTGTCGCCCAATACCGCTGGCATCATGGCAGTACATTTGTACACCACAGGATCATTCACGGGGGCTTACTTTCTGCTGTGGTCGAATCATGGTACCCATTGCATAACCACACGTATGGGCTACTATTGGAAGACGACGTCGAATTGTCTCCGCTATTTTACGCTTGGGCTAAGATGGCCATTCTTCATTACAGGTTTGGATCTCTTCGGAGTATTGATATTCGCAACTCAGACATCTGTTAGATATGGGAAGACTGAAGACTCGTCGCGGCTGTTTGGCATCAGCCTCTATCAGCAGAAGACGGTAGAACTGAGACCCGAAGGACGGCGTCCTTTCAACGCAAGAAGCCTCTTTGCTAGGGAGGGCTTGCCGTACCCGGAAACACCATATCTGTCCCAAATACCTTGCAGCTGGGGTGCTGTATACTTCCCAGAGCATTGGCGTGAATTTCAAGACTACCTCTCTGTTCGACTGTCCGAGCTGCGTCTTAGCATTGGAGATAACGTGGTCCCGAACCTGCGTTCCAACAAGTGGACGAAGTCATGGAAGAAATACTTCATTGAATTGACCTACCTTCGCGGATATGTCATGCTGTACCCAAATTTCAGCAACTTCACTTCGTTGTCCACTAACCACCTGGAAGTCGGATCACATGTCAGAGACACCCCGAAGGCGCTGTATGCGCAGAAGAAGGATTTGTTCTGTTTGCCCCTCTTGCAGTTGCCCGACGTTGATGCCTACCCTGCTGTAACTGGCCTGCTTGAGTTGCCTGGAGGAGTACTCCCACCTTGGCCGGCACTCCCTGTTCTGGACCACCTGGGCTCTATTACATCCACGGATCGAATGATGAAAAAGGGCTCGAGTCAACGCTCTCAAGTTTTCGGATGTCTCGTCCCAGTCTCAGTCCCGTACGATGTACGGGATCTTACCTGTTCGGATAATATGACTATGGTTAGAGTGTAACTCATCGTAGCATGTTACACTTCTGTATCTCATATACAATCCAGATAAGCAGAGCAAGATGGGTCAGGGTACAGTGATCTGAGAACTATCTAATTGAAGGGCGTGCAGGAAAGTATTCACATTCGTTATCTTCAGCTCTCTTTCCTCTTCGTCGGCCACCCATCCCCTCTTGACGCCAATGACAAGGTCCAGCACCTTTTCCCTGAGTGCAGTTACAAGAATCTGCTGCTGTGGACCAGACGCCTGCTGACCCACGGAGGCCAAGAACCGCCATGCAGCGGTATCCATGTACTCCGGTGGGATCTGCGCGTTTCCTCCGCTCTGTGCGCGCAAGACACGCTCCGATGGGAACAGTTCGATCAAGTGAGGGGTGAGTTTGTCGAACATGAGGTCAAACAGGCCACGCCTACGATACGAGATGTCAGATAATCTGCACGGATGTGAAACGTAGATCACAAAGTAGGTACCATTGTCTCATGTCATCGGGTGTTGGGGTGTCGTTAGGCTCCGCGCCCGAATAGAAATTCTGCTGGAGCATCTCTGCCCTAGCCAGGAATATCATTAGCATCTCCAAGCCGGGCTAGGTCAGGAAAACGGCCATCAGCAGGTGAAAGACGTGATAAAGCGCTGGCCTACCTTCGTCCGGGCTATCGCAACGATATCATGGTTGAAGAAAAGGCCGACCAATCCATTCAAAAGTTTTAGATCAGTCCTGGAGATGAGTCCCACGATGCTCTGCATCACGCATTGGCTGAAAGCTGTGGTTTGTTGATCCACCTCCCTTCTCTGTGGCGTATCCTCCAAGGAATCAAGGATAAATGCATGTCGTACGACGTCGAGCTGAGAGAAGCATGCTATGAGCAGCGTGAGGATAGTGGCCATTTGGTCATGCTCGAGATGCGGCCATATGCGAGGAATGAGTCTTTTCCCTTTTATTGGACCAATGAGGGAGATGAACGGGTGAGGATCACTGTATATGAGGAGAACTGAGTCGGAGCATGAGATTTTTCAAGTGTGCACCAACCTCGTTTCAATAGGAAGCTTGACCCTCAGATTGTCGTAAATTTCTTCCAAGAGCTGTTTCCTCTCGAGTTTCTCAGGCCTATGAAGATACGATGTCAGTATCTGCGTCAGGGTGCTGGAAGGCGAACTGACCGCTCCTCAGCATCTCCGGCGCCATCCTCATCTGGCTCATCCGAAGGTAATTGCCCCACTCGCAAGACCAGATCGTACAGCCGTTCAAGGATCACTAGGACGTCAAAGCGGTTCAGCGGGTCTTTCCTGACAAGATCCTGTGTCTGTTGAAAATCGTAAGACGAGTCACACCACACCCTCTGTACTGCGTCAGACGCACATCGTGAGTCCGTTCAAGCGCTTCCCTCCCTAGTTTAGCGGCTTCCCGTGCTGCATGCTCCCCTGCTTTTTTCCTCTCCTCCTCATCAAGATGACTTCCGGTGGTACTTGGCTTGGGCGAGTCTACTTGAAGCAATTGCCGCGGAGCTGCCTTATAACTCCGGCCTGCTGTCTTACCCAGAGCGCCTTGCAGGCTGTTGAGGGCTAGTGGGAGAGGCCTGTGAGACGTGCTTCTCTGCAGAGCTACTGATACTTACACTGCATCCCCTTCTCTTTCTCGCGCTGCCGGGCATTGTTTACGATACGCTCCACCTGGGCCTCCATACGCTGAACTGCGCTGTGCTTGCGACCACTAGGTCGCTGTCCTGGCATTCCGAGCCCGACGCCGACTCCGGAATCGAATGTTAGCACCCGTTGCTCTTCCTGTCGCAAACCTGTTCGGGCCCGGACTAGCTGCGCATATACTTGTGCATAGAAGTCCTCCAAGTACGGGTCCTGCGTGACAAGCTGGGATACTTGTATCCGCGTGATGAAGTCCTTATCCGATTGGGTCATCAGATCATTGTACCGAGACTACATTGAAGAACGGTCAGAGCGATTTACACGTTTATTCGGGCGACGCACCATGTGAGCTATCTTAGCAGCCTTTCGTCTCCTCTTCTCCTCCATACGCTCTGCCTCCATGATCTTACGCACGGCTTCCGCCCTTAGGGCTTCTTGTTCCTCTTGAGTCTGAGGAGTGCCGTAGTCACGTACGAACTCGGCATGCGCCAGTTCAGCGAGCAGCCTCTGTTGCATTTGGATATTCTGTGGTAGGTACTGCGAATTATCTTCCACAGGCTGCGAAATGTGGTAGCGCTGATCCGCGGACAGTGCAGGCGAATGTTGGCGTCGACGCTGCTCCTGCTGTAATTGAGCCAGATGCTGCGCTGCTTGTATCTCGGCTAACGTAGGGCCGGAAGGAGATTGGCGCCTCATGAGCATCTGCTGCTGCTGTTGCTGCAGTTGAGTAATCTGCTGAGCTCGCATCTGCCGCTCGAGCTCCTCCATCCGAAGTTGCTCCTGCAAGTCCTGCAATTGCAACTGCTGCTGCTGTTGCTGCTGCTGCTGCTGGATTAGGATATGCTGCTGGAGCTGATGGAACCGTGGCGACTGCGCATGTGGATGCAACCTTGGAGGAGGCGTCCGAGCTTGCGCCTGTAGAAGCTGCTGCCGCAGTTGAGGTGTTTCACGAGCGCGCATTGCACCAGCCCTCATTTCCGCTTCGATCTCCTGGAGCGTCCGGACCTCCATGCCAGAGCCCACTCGAGACAACGACGGCTCATAGGCTAAAGCAGGAGACTGCCGAACAGGACCGGGCACATCAGAGAATGGAGAGAACGTAGATTGTGTCGACTGAGATTGGTTCAGGAATGGCGACTGATCGGGCGACCCAGCATGTCGAGGGTGGTGCTCTGAAGGACGAACAGCATTGCCGGACGTGCGCGGGAGAACAGAGAACGGGGACTTGTTATCCCAGAGGGACTGCAAGGACGGCGGCGCTTGCGATGCTGCAGGCGATGAAGCAATGATTCAATAAGCACGTCGCAGACTATGACTGCAATATCCGTACAATGTTGTTCGCTCTGTGGAGGAGAAAATGACCTTTCCTGAGCATGACCGTTGGCAGGTTGCGTGGCCGCGGCCTTTCGCATCTCAGGAGGGACATCATCCGGCAGGACTTGCTGCGTGAAGTCGAAGTCCTTGCCTGGAGACCAGTAGGTTATGAAGTTCTCGTAGAACAATAGTTGAGCTCTCACCGACGTCTCCGACACCAAAAGTCTCATCATTCAATTCATCCTTCTGCTCCTGCAGTATATCCCCGAGACCATCATAGCTGTCCTCGCCCCATGTGTATTCGGCAACCCCTTCATCGTTCAACTTGCCCGACAGGAACTTTTCCTTCTCTTGCTCTAGATTGCTGGTTTCGAAACCGAAGAAAGCCATGGGATATTCGTCATAGAGGGTCACTATAGAGTTATCGCATCCGAGCGCAAGTCACCGAATTGTGGCAGGTCCAAATTCCTTGCCATGCGCAATGCAGTGCAAGTCTCACGTTTTGCGACGCGTTGTGGCTGCGATCAGGCGTCCACTTCCACCGTCCTCGACATCTACCCTCAGAGAAGTTACGACCTCGTCAATAGCAGATGCCATATATTCATTGCTATAATACAACACCAACAACAACTTGAAATGATATTCGTCGAGGACGTCATCAGTATCGTGATACATGGCAGAGAAAGCTGGCCAGCATAAGGGTATCTAAGGTATGAGATCTGGATATGATTCATTGCTCCACGAGCTCTCTTTCTATGTGTAGATCCTGATTCCAGCAAAGTCGAAGTAAGCATTGGCGAATGCTGAGGGATTATTGTTGACATAGTCTGGAAAGAAAGTTAATCCTAAGGTTAGGCGGAGTATTAGCCTGGCGCACCAACGCATGTTCCAGGACAACCGTCAGAGCTGTAGACCGCGCCAGCCCAGTCACCGCCTGCAGTGGATTAGTGCTTGAAGCTGGGCATACCAAAAGCACTTACAAAATGTCAAATTGATAATGATGTTATGGGGGCCAAAATGTGACGAGAAGTCGCAGTCGGTGTCTGGAAAAAGAGCCATAGGTGTGCCCTTCAGGATTACAATTTGACCTCAGTTAGGTTGTTACGACACAAGAGGAGTGCGGTACTAACCCAATTATCTGTATCCACAGAGGAAGCGCCGCTGTTGACATCGCCTGGCACTGATCCACTATTTCTTGGCCAGAACCAGACCTTAATAAATGTGTCTGTGCGCTCGATTGCATACCTGTTTTACAGTCATACGTCGTTCAATATTCCAGGTATGCGCGAGCACAGCGAGCAACGTACCAGCCTCCACCGTTATTGTTGAAGTCAGGACCGTAACTATTCGTGTCGGTGGACTGCACGCCACATCCAGCATTGTTGGTATCGGTTGTGGAACAATCGGTCCCTTCCGAGGTTCTGGAGATGTCGTTGGTGTTATCCCAACATGCCTCCAAAATAGACATTAGAATTACCCCGTCATGTCTCGTGAGTCTGGCATCGTACATCCTAAGAAAGAATGGCCATCTCAACGTAGATGCAATCGACGATGACTGAGACACGAACCTGAGCTGGTATGCAATGTGACTTGGTCTGGTGGTACATCATTTACGCCTTCTATGATATCTGTCTCGCCCTGTAATTGAGATTTAACGTGCCAACTCATGCAAGTCGACGACAGTAAAGTAGTACCTGGTTGGGCCAGTCCGCCCCGACCTCCCATACAGCGGGCCACGTTCTGAAACCTAGGTGAGCACACGGATTATCCGTTGTCTGTGAATAACTCACCCGCAACCTTGAGGCATATGCCGGATATCGAAGCTGAGATCCCCAAGCCCACTCAGTGGATTTCGGACAAAAGGAAGCAGATTAAAACAATCACACTGCAACATGGGTTGAATATTGAGCGTTGGACTGCAATCTCACGGAGTTCCGACCAGGCCCGCTGGCGCTCAGCGTCGTGGTGTAGTCGGCACGCAGAATAAATGTGTCACCCGACGCATACGTGAGGTTGTCAGCCTGAGCGGTGGCTTGGTCGACGTAATTCCTAATCTCAGGTGAGCAAGAGAAAGATCAAGATGAATCCGAGTTGAATGCTTACACTCTCCCGTTCGTCGGATCTGCTATGGCTTGGTAGGTAAACGCGCTGTTGAATCCGTTGCCCACAATGTTGTCAGAGATACTGTACGTCGCACCCAGTGCTGTGTCCGCAAGCACCAGGGCAGTCAGGTATGTGATGGTAGACACTGAGCACTTCATAGCGATGTAGGGTTGATGAGGGGACGTGATTCACCGCTGGTTACACGAGTTGGCTGACTGCTCTTAAGCAAAGCTGACGGGGTTGGATTTCCCGCAGCTCCATGATGGTAGCACTCGGCGCATGGACCATGAGTTACAACTCGCGGACGTGACACATAAGTTCCGATGCTCAAGCATCGGAGAGAGTCAAAACCAGAAAAGAATGAAGGCCAGTGAACGCTCACGACAAGTCCCCGATGAGGATGAGAACCATATGGTCGAATCATGATCAGGCGCGGATGACCACTTACTATCGGCTCACGGAGGTCAGTATCAGGTTGTAGAAGATCACTGCGGGGTCACGATAGGTTGAGAAGCAGGTCTAAAGGCAAGATTCAGGGTGCAAGACGTTGTAACTTCCCCGGGACTTTAAGAAGAAGGACGACTCTATGTTTAGACCGCAAGAAAGCTGAGGACTTCAGGTTTAGAAGAAATGCAGGCCGCCGCCGCCGGACGACCAAGGCGATACAGACGATTTGCAAAAGTGATAGCCAGCAGCATGCAATCCTGAATTATAATGCCTCTGTTCGTGGGCCAATCGTGACCCGCCAATATCGTCGCAAGAGGGTACGAGGGTGCAGACGACCAGGAGCAAGCGTGGAGCCTATCGCCCTCGGGCTCGCCCAAGCCGAAGAGGAAGTCATGGCGACGATTCTCTAATACTCCACTCTACAAGGTGCAACCTCGGACCGTTCACCGTAGCAGGAAGGTTTGGCGCCGGGATTGTAGACATATACTCTCTATTCGCTTGAAATTATTGAGGACCTTGTCCATGGGAGGATTTGACTGTGAGAGAACGTACTGATATGACGCTCATGTGCTCTCTCTCTGGCTCAAATCTCCTAGCTAGAGATGCATTCACAGACGATATTCCCGACACGCGTGAGACACTTGTGGCGTGTCATGAAGGCTCAACTGGCTGACTTCCCAAATGGAGAACTGCTGCGAAGTAAGAAATATCGCACCCATAGAGATCACCTGCTAGGCAGCATGCATACTGGCATCAGCAGGGTGACATGCAGCACGAGGCGCAAGTACGAGCTCGCGAGTTTGATTTCAGGGATAAGAAAAGACACTGAGCTTATCACATCGCTGGGTGCAGTTGCGTCCAGTGGGCCAATGAACGGTGACAGAAGGCAGTTCAACCGCTCCGGATGACCCGAGGCAGGTGTGTGACCAGGAAAGTCGGGTGTGGCCTTTTAGGTAGAGTAAATGAATCTGCACCCTACCAAATAAATATGTGGCAAGGAGTCCAGGACGCGCTTGTGGCGTGGTATTGTTTGTCCCCATGTCATCCGACCGTTCGGTTAGCGCCGGAATAACTTATGATTGGTCGAAGACCTACATAGTAACATATGTTCCCTGTGTACCGTCCCCTTCAGCAGTACTTACGACGGTCCTGCTGTGTGGAGATAATCTACCCTCTCGACCAACTAGATATAAAGCCTGATGGGTGCCTGTCCCGATGGCCTTCATACTCTCAGCCGTTTTGCAAGTTTTTGCTATTTCGCCGGGACTAGCAGTCGCCGCCCGTCTGGAATCGTGCCAGGTATTGTATCTGGAATGCCCTTCGAACTGCCACTAGCCGCCCATAATAAGTGCATTCACTGTAGCTGGTACTATGACCCGTTGCTGTTATTCAATATATAGTACGTCACGATTATACACATCCTCGAGACTAAGTATAAATTACGGATACAATAACAAAAATTACCACTCCTCTGCGTGAAAACGGTCCAGTACAGTCTCTGCATCTTCGACATCTTTCTGTGCTTTCTTTCGCATATAGAATATGGGGCAATCTTTACTGGTACACAGGACGTCCTAAGAGTAGCTCGTTAGAAAGCAGTACCTGGTCAATACATTCAACACCGTACCTGATGCAAGGACCCTTGACAACGTTGGCATTGTGTCCAGAGACGTGAGAAGCGAACTTGCAGCTCAGATGTACCAATGACCTAGAGTTACTCACCGTCAGAGGGTATAGGGGTTCCGGCAGGAAGTATATAAGACGCACCTGTTTCTGATACAGCTCCCCGAGCTTGGGCTTGCAGTTCTTGCAAACAGCGCCACCTTCACAGAGTTAGAAGGACCTCCGCCACATCGACGATGTGATACGTACCTTTGACGCTGTTGTTGGCTCGCAGAGGCGTTTTGCACCCTAGGCAAGTAACGGTCTTCACCGCGAACTTCATCAGACCGCCGACTGTTGGAGTAGCGATCTGGATAGACCTGGTGTGCCCTCCTGATACTATTCACATGCCGGTCTATTAGGAAGCGTCGACGGGGTGAAGTGCGAGACACTCACGGAGAGATGACGCCTTCTCGCCGAGAATTGGTTCGAAGATACGCATCAATGGTTTCGACAATTGATTATCCAAGTAGTACTTGGTGTCGATAGGGATGTTATTCTCAAGGACATATAGCGGATCCTCGGATTTCTCGTAGGCCGCAGCACCTACCAAATACTTAACAGGCTATCAATGGAGCAAGACGTTGCGGCTAACCTTTGATGCCTTTCACAATAACGTACGCAACACGATCGCCAAGGTTAGGCGCGGAACCTTCAGACGAAAGGGTTGGCGGTTAAACGGCACAAAGGGTGTAGGCCCACATACCAGCATCGCGTTGCTTCATTCGCTCCGCGAGCTCAACATGTGCTTGTTTAGCCGCATAGTCTACGAAGAAGTGTCAGAGAGCACCACATATCTGACCAATAGCGTAAAACGAACCAGACTTCGCCAAGGCTTTCGTAATGACCAATTGTGACATATCGACCTTATTCTGCAATAATTCTGATATCGTTTGCTTCACATACCTACCCGTCCGTCAGATTGGAGAACATGGATGCAAGGAATGCGCTTACTCCTCAGCACCCTTCACGTCACGGTCAATCAACATCTTGTGCAGGCATGTCTCAATGACCGTAGACACCAGACGACAGTTGTCTCGTCGCACAGTCTGAGAATAGCTGAGCGCCTGGATTACGACGAATAGCAAATCTAGACCCCTACCTCGATACCCTTGGAATCCATCTTGTCATACTTCTCAGGCCTCGTCCAATAGAGACCCGCATAACGCTTCTTGCTAATCAATAAGTATGGAAAGTAGACCTTCTCGAATTCGAGCTTAATGGGCTTTATGAACTTCGACGTCACAAAGTCAGCAGCCTCGCTCCCTGTTCGTTCCGTAGGTTGCGTTAACCACACAGTTGCACGCGAAGGAAGCCTATACTGACCTAGTGCCATGACCTCCTTCAAATCTGAGGGTCCAAATTTCACCATCACAGAGTCGGTATCACCATAAATGACCTTAGCATCATGCGAACGGCCATTGGCAATGGAGTATTCCGCCTCCACCTCCTGCTTCGTCTTCTCAATCATTTGGCGACCATACGCAGTGACACTAGATGATATGGGCAGACACGGTAGTTTTCCGACGGTGGCACCAGTGAATCCATATACGGAGTTCGCACTGATCTGAGCAGCAAACCCGTTTTAGTGTGAATTTTCGTGGATGCGACTGGAGAACACGTACTTTGAGAGCGAGCTGTCGACCGTCTAGCACGGCTCGCTTGAATGGGTCCGTCTCCTTCTTCAGGTCAGCCTTGGCCCGCTTCCGGGCAGAGATGAGGTCCTCAAGAACGCTGGGCAGCAATCCTTTTCGCTTCGAAGCCTTGACAAAGAAATCTACCCCGTTGTCAGTACGGTCGGTTGCAAGCATGGTCATATACACACCGTTATTAGGTGTCTGCACGTAATCTACGTCCTTGACAAGGTGCAATCTGTCTATTGTTGCCTTATCAAGTAGCGTCGTGTAGCACAGGTTATGCGCCATCATGATCGACGGATACAGAGAGCTGAAATCCAGCGTGGCAATGGGCACATCATAGTATCCCTTGCTTGGTTCGATGACAGTGGCTCCCTCATACTGATCATCCGTGCCTAGACCGAATGTTGAGCGATATCCAAAACAAATAAATACCTGTGCCACGAACCTTCTCCCTTCAGGGCAGGCACCACGTAGCCTTCCTCATTGGCTCGTCTGAACAGCTGCGATAACACCTTGATCGACTGCCCACGAGCAAGCAAGAAGTTGAACGGCACGCCCGTGACACGAGCCATCTCCGTTAAATTGACGAAACACATCAGCTTGTCCATCAGCCGTTGCGGCAAGTAAGCGTCCTGTCGCGCGAGTATGTCAGTTAGTTTCCGACACTTAAACATTCCTCGGACCTTGAGACAATAGACCGCTAACCGTCGACGCGACTCTGGCGTGCCGTTTTGCAGCTCCGTAATGACGGAGTGGTGCACGTCCTCCTTCTGTTCGCCAAGGAACTGCGCACAAACCGAGTTGAGAGTGTAGCTACGCAGCTTGAACTCCCGCTGCATGTATTGTAGCATATCAATCTGCAGCCGTCCATCCATTGGCGTTTCCTTGGAGTCACGCTGTCCGTAGGCTTTAGACGAGAAATGTGTATCCTTCGTCTGCGTCTTAGTATCTATGTGTTGTCAGTGGAGCACAGATGATAAATGAGTCTGGAGGCCGTACTTTTCAACCTGCCAAGGTACGGGAACTTCTTCGCTCCCAGCGTCTTCGCCCGGTCAAGCAAGTACGGCAGATCGAAATTCGCAGAGTTATACCCAATGACTACATCAGGATCGACTTTATCCACGAAATCGCGCCACGCCTGCAACATCTTCGCCTCATCGTCGAACGATAGCACTTGAGAGCCCAGGATATTCGAACACGTGTTCAACGTAAAGACGTTCCGGATGAAAGGCTTGCTTTCACCCTGGCGGGTCACCATGTTTGCGATCTGGATGACAGGATCTATCTCGGCTTCGGGGAAGATGCCCTTGCGGCCGGCACACTCGATGTCGAAGCTCAGGATGCGTAACGGCGCGAGTTTCGACCACTGGCCTTCGGGAGCATGAGAAATAAATTGGTCATATCTGGGGACGCTTCAGTGCTGCGCTCAATGTACAGCCAAGAAAGCGACGAACCTGACTTTGAGCTCGATCTGGCAGTTTGAACGCTTTTGGTCCCCGGTAAGAAGCTGATACTTCCCGGCAGGGACCTCGATCCAGTTCATTCCGACAACCTATCAAAAGCTTAGTATAGGACGGGAAACAGTATCTGGCCGCACGTACCTTGGTATCGATCATAAATCTCAGAGTATAGACAATATTACTCTCATATGTGGACACCGGCCCAGAGAAAAAGTCTCGGAAGGCACACTCCCCTCTTTCGAAGACGCGTAGATACAGGATGAAGGGTCAGGCTTCGAAATGCGAGACCAACGAAAGTACACGTATCTCGAACTTTGGGCAGAGTCTTGGGATCCACAATGGTCAGTTTGATGAACATAACCCAGTCATCGCCCTTGTATCCCCACAGGCTGCGTTTCCTGGCCAATTCAGCGCCACGGACGCCTCCAGTAAGATTCTGGATAGACATTTAGAGGATAACAACCCCAGGCGGAGCAATGACGACATACATTAAGATAGATTTGAAAGGCACCGACGTCCGCCTCCGTGAATCCTCGGGGTGCAGGAATGTAAAAATATGGAAGGAAATCCGTTACGTGCGCGAGCACACTGTGACCAGTCTACAGAGATGGGTTGAGCTGAAGCATGGGCGGAATACGTGCTGAAATACCTCAGTCACACCGTACATCCGAACAGTCACACCTGATTCATAGGAATCCTCGATATCAATCTGCTGAAAGACTGCGGGATGCAGTGAGTGGTATACCAAAGGGCCTTCGACCAGCTACGCACTAATGGTGTCTTTTCTGTCGTTCAGCTGAGGCATGGGAGGTCGATCCCAATCATCGGCACCGCCCTCAGCATCTGCAGAGAAGACCGTCAATGTCCACCACGCATCTGCCCGAATGACTGCATACCCGTTCGGTCCCCGGACTCTTCCTGAAGTTTCTCCAGTACATCCGCAAATGAAGGCTGCGACTGTAGAGGTTGTGACGAGGACGGTCCTGAAGGTCCGAGCTTTCTTTTTTTCGTTGCAGGTTCCGAGGACGTGCCCTCGCTGTGTCTGAATGATGAGTGGAGCGCGTTTAGCACGGATATGACGCGACAATGAGCTCCGCGTACCGCGATAATGAATGGTTCTCTTTGTCGGAGAGAACTGGCGCAGTCATCGCGGTCGTCATTGTGGCAGAACGATATAGAGCGAAGGAAGCGACCTGCAAGACGCTGCGTATAGACCGCGTCTCGCGTCTAATAAACGTGCTAAGCGAGACGCGTTTGGCAGTGTTTGGGACCGCGTATTCGTGGGAAAGCGTCGGCTAAAAATAGCTGTGCATGTTGAACGCGCTGAAGCCACTCGTCGACCTGGACCTGCCACAATCTGCGCTGCAGCAATGTTTTCTTCGTCTTACGGGAACGCGCCGCCTCGCAACAACTTCGACTTGAGTCAGGACCGCCAGAAACAGTACTCGGCTGGCTCGTCGTACAGCTCGCCGTTCGTCCCTGCGGCCAACTCACCCTTTGCTACCTCTAAAGATCCGGGACCGTCTCTTCCCCCGTCATGGGCATCTGCTGTACGTGCTGAAGGGGTACTTCCATTTGACCTGAAATATAAGGCTGTCACAGATAAGGCCCACATACCAGACTGGTTACATGCTAGTAAGCAGCGTTGTCCACGACTGAGGTTTCTTCCGAATTAACCAAGTATTGTAGTCTGACCCTCCACCAGGAGTTAGTGCAAATTTGCTTGAAATTGTGTCTGTTACTGATCATTGAGTAGATGATGGCTCCCGATACTGGACGCGGCGAGCTCCCTCTCATCCCGACCAAAGCGAAACTCAGCCCCCTGCTCACGCGCGGCCTCGACCATAGGTCCAATAACACTTCAATGTTTGCGAGCAAGAAGTTTGTTCGCTTCCTCGGGTCTTCCATACTGCCTGAACTAACTTTTGTGCAAGAGACCAACTTCTCCCTGATGAGGAAGGCCCGCCCACCCTGTCCGTTCACGACATCCCAAACGAGCCTGCCGACCCCAACGTGGTGCGAATGCGTCTTAGCCAGCGCGTGAGTGCCACTTTCTATCGCAACCCTCATTCTATGCCTACTCCATCCTCTCTCCCAGAAATACCCCGAAGACCTCCCCTCAACTCCCAAGCCCCGCCATTCCCGCTCCCAAACAACATCCGGTACCCCAGTCGGAACCACCCCCTCCTCCCAGCCTCTCTACGTTATCGTGTACGGATACCCGCCAGACCGGTACAGCGCCACCGTCGAGTACTTCCGCTCGCTGGGGGACACGACCGAAGCCGACCCCAACGCCGAGATCGTGAACTGCTTCCGGATAGGGTACAAGAAGCCTATCGACGCGCTGCGTGCCATCAAGAAGAACGGGGACGTTCTGAGCGGCGCGTGGATGGTCGGCGTCAAGTGGGCTGTCAGTATCATCCTATCCCTCAACCTCATATCCATCCTTACTGACTGTTACTACAGGATCAGGCGCAAGCCGAGGCTGCCCTGGGGAAAGGCGTCGTGCGGCATATGGACCATGTCTACCAAGTTGCCGACCAATACGGGGGCTCTCCAGACGTGATGGACACGTCCTCCTCGCCCAACCCGATGGACACGCGCCCGCCGGTGGGCACGCCGCTCAAGCTCGCGCCTGCCAATGCGGCATTCAAGCCGCACGAGTCGCAACATTTCAACTTCCCTATACCTGGGCAGAATGGTTCGCCGGACAAGGGCATTGTGGGGAAAGTATCTGATCTCATCTTCGGCTGGTAGTACGCCTTCCTGGCTTCATGATTTTTATGAATTCAAATCGGATGTGTCGTACTGTCTCATGTAGATCTAGTATGTAGTGTTGCTCGTGACGAGTCCCGCCAGAAGTTGGCGGCCGCAGTTAGCTCTGCCTGGGCGCTGTACGGGCCATAATGCATAAAGGCCTATATTCTATTCCCGTTTCTTGTCAGATTGTCTAAGACCTGCGAAGGCGTACAACAGAGACCCTGTCAGAACAAGACTAGCTCCTGACGCCAGTTGGACGTTCCAGCCGTTGCCGAACCACCACACGCTGAGGCAAAGACTCATTGCTTTGCGAGCTGTGAGAACAAGATTTGTCGAGACAGATGATACTCTCTGGAAGCCTGTGTCAGCGACACCTCGCACATATGGGTATAGGAACGCACAGATGTGAGCTGGTTCACACCGGACACACAGACTAGCTGTGTCCCTAAGTTGGCTGCCAGGATGAGAATTGACGTCTGCAAGCTCGGTGATGCTTTATGCAGATCTAGGAATCCTTTCTTGACATGGGGCAGGAATAGCAGGACCGCTGGTAATGAGAGGAAGTGCTGAAAGGTGGACACTGTCATTATATGCAAGAAACAAAGCAAATTAACAATTATACCGTGTAGAATACACCTTCCCTCCAGCAGGGTCCGTACTTTCCGTACGTGCGCTCTTGCAGGATACCCAAGAAACCAGACAGAAAGAGCGAGGATACAAGCATCAGGATACCTACTGCATAGCGGCCGGTATCCACGGAAGTGCTAGACTGGGATGACGATCTAGAAAGGGTGGCAAGAACGACCCCGACAACGACTATGACGACCGCAGCCTGTACTTTACTTTAAGCACCGCACGGCTTCCAAATACCACAGGAGCTCTAACACTCACAACTTGCGTAAACGAATAACTCCGTCTTAAGAAGACGTACCCAAATATCATTGACACGATAGGTACTGTAGGATTGTCAGCGAATCAAGGTTGGCGAAGGACACAACCTATTACCTGCTGAGCGAAACACAATCTGTATCGGTATGGGGACGTCAAAGGCATACACCCAGTTATTCAGCAAAGAACCAGCTGTCAAAACCACCACTTGCGTGGCCCACTCCCGCATGGGAACTTGTCGCGGTCGAAGAGTAGGTAGAAATGATTGGGACGACTGCCATGTCAAGAACCGCGGCAGGCCTTGCAATGTAATGAACAGCATTTGCGAGAAGGTCAATGCAGACCCTAATCATAAGTGATGTGGTCAGGATCTTATCTTAGCACGGAATATCGGTGCCGTTACCTATCTGAGGGCTGAGCTTCAGTAGACGCTCGTAGGTCCAGACATTACTAACGACGAAGCAGTCACTTGGTATTCTCATAGCAGCTTACAATGCTGTTCAACCCGCTCACCTACAGCAACCGCCAAAGACCATAGAAAAGACAAGGGAGAAGTCTACAAAGTGGAGGGCGATGCGGGGCAGGACCGCTGTAATGCCCTCATCTCGCCGTGTGTCCAGCACTGGCACCCTTGCATTAGTAGTCTCGAGCTTGTCGAACCGAGCAGTAGTATTCTGTCTCTTCGACATCGGCAATAGCGCGAGAGCTTGGCCGACGTTGACACACGCCGTTCCAAGGCAGGTCTTCAGCGGCAGGCTATTTCACTGACGAGGTCCCTGCGTGTGGGTTGGTCTTCCTTAGAGACTCAGAGACGAATTTCAGATTAGCTCTGCCGAACAGACAGCACATCCAGAGGTGGTAGTTGCAAAGACATCTATTTCTGCTTCACTTGAGACGTCTCGGGAGAGTCAAGTGATGGTGCATGTCCTCATTTAGAATCCCAATGCCAGCAACTATTGATCAACAAGTTGCATGCCGGCGGCGTTCACCCATGGCCAGTCCGATGAACATGGGACTTCGCATCCTTCCGCACCCTTTTGCACCAGAGACGAACTCATTAAGACTGCATTACGCTGTACTTGTATACAGACGGTCTATCTTTTGTTGTCTTTCCTCTAGAGTTTTATACTAGGCCTGCTTCAGTAGCCAGGGAACGGAAGACGGAATCCTTCGCCAACAATGCCGAGGGCGAGTCCCATTCAACGACCTAGAAGGCGAAGCAAGTCAGTCTCTGCTTGTGGACGTACTTTCTAAACGACTAACCTGGCCTGCCTCCAATACGAGGACGCGATCAGACTCGAGGATTGTATTGAGGCGATGACTGGCAGTACAATCAACGAGGCTCGCAATCTATCCAGGAGGGAACAACGTACGCGATAGTAAGCATCGTGACCTCAGCAAATTGGGGCCCTCGAATGATGTCTTGGATAGCTTTGTCGGTATCCAGATCGACCGCAGAAGTTGCTATAAAGGAGTCAGCGGAGAGTCGCTTTAGGAATGGAACCTTGATTACCTTCGTCAAGCACGAGAATTTTAGTCTAGTAAGGGTGATAAAGGGTCAGTGATGCAGGACAATTCAAGAAAGCACTGCACTCGCCTTCCGCAACAACGCTCGGGCGAAACAAAGTAACTGTCTCTGCCCAGAGGACATGGATAACCCGCCTTCAGTAACACGAGAATCTAGCTTGTCGGGGAGGCTCTCCACGTACTCCCGCAGATGGGTCTGTTGACAGTCAGAGGTAGCTCACGCAGGCGGGGTCATCAGTCTCACCTGCGTCAATGCCACCCAAATATCGGCATCTTGGTGAGCGCCAGTAGGGTCGATGTTTTCTCGCATAGTGCCCTCGAAGAGATCGGGGGACTGTGGAACGATTGAGATTGACGACCTCACTGGAAGTTCCAACTTCAGCGACAGGCAGAGCCGGCGGAAGACAGGAACATACACTGATGCAGGCCAATCTTCGAAATGTCTATGCCGTCAATGTAGATACTCCCGGATGCAGCCTCGATAATACGGAATAACGAAAGCAGCAACTAGGATATCATTAGTTCTCTCGCAAATACCGAGCAGAAGCAGCAGCACTTACCGAACTCTTCCCAGAGCCCGTTCTACCGCAGATACCGATCTTCTCTTTCGGTTTCTAGACACGAACAAAGGTCAATGGACGCATAGTCAACGCGGAATCCAGGCTTACGATCGTAACGGAAATATCTCTCAGGACCAGGTCAAGTTCAGGCCTATATCTTGCCGAATAATTACTGTAGACGATATGAGAACCAGCGTGCCAGACTGGAGTATCTGAGGGAACACCCACCGGTATTCAATCTCGCCTTTCGAAGGCCAATCCTCCGGAGTCGAGTCCGGAATCTCTTCGGGAGCTTCCGACGGCAGGCGAGTGTAATGGAGGATACGCTCGCAGCTGACAATGTTTTGTTCAACCTCACTGGCCGATCGCACGGCCCAGTTCTAACGGCGCTCGATAAGTCACTCGACGGCACAGCAGGCAAGACTGAGCTTACCAGTGAACTGGTAGTGTTTAGGGAGTACGAGAGCACAAGTCCCACTAATCCCGCATCGACACCGGACGTGATGAGCGCGGTCACCGCCAGCAGAGCTGATGCCAAGATAATAACAGCTCCCACAAATTCCAATCTGACAGCCAGCCATCTGTTCACCGCGATACTGGGCAGGTAGCAAATCTGGTTGCGGTCGATCCGGTGCTCGTTTGTAGTAATGAATATCGATTGCTGGCCGAAAGCCCTGATAGTCGTTAACCCGTTCAGTGACTCCGAGAACCAAGCGAAGATCGGGGATCGAGATGCTGCGTCGAGCCTCTTCAGCTCCCTCGACGTGGCAAGGTAATATCTAGAGAAAAAAATAAGTAGTGGAAAAGCGCATAAAGACAGACTGCACTGACATCATGACGCTCAGGTGGAAATAGGCGAGCGGCGGAACAACGATCAAGAACGCCGGGAAACTGAACCCAATAACGGCCAAGATACTGAGGCAGCCGGTAATTGTTCGAACTAGACCTTGGATGACCTATATCCACTATCAGTATGCTTTCCGCCGTCGGTACATTCCTGCTACACTTACTCGGCCCAACACCTGATCCACAACATAGGTGTCGCGGGAGAATAGGTTGAGAATCCGGCCAGTAGGCGTCAGTTCGAAGAAGGTCAACGGTGCCCGGATGACCGAATGCAGCATCTGTCACGCCCGTCCTCAATTCAGCCGCGAGCAAACACAATAATGCGGGACAGCACCATACCAAATCATGCAACCGCCTCGCGCTCCGCAACGCACAAAACACCCACATCAGAATCGCAGCCGCGCCGCCCGCCGCCACCGAAAACAGCGAGAACAGCCCGTAATACATCAAGTACACCGAGATGCCGCTGTTCGAGCCTGTCTCCTGGTTATGGTCGCCCCACGCGCGCAGCGTCAGGCTCGCGGCGACCGACAGCGCCTGCTGCGCGACCGACGCGAGCACGAAGAGCGCAAAGCCCGTCTTGGACGCCGCGGCGATGTACTGCAGGTACACGTCCTTCTTCACGCGGCCGCGCTCCATGTGCTCTTTCGACGGCTCTTCCGCCGGTCGCATGTCTGCCACTGGACGGTTCACCAGCGTCGCCTTGCCGTAGTCGCCGCCGTTGAGTTTCTCGTTTTCAGCTATGGTCCGCGAGCCCGCGACGAGGGTAATGTCATCGCTGGCATCATTCTTCGGGGTGGAGCTGCGAGTGAAGGGTGTGGAGGTCCCAGACGCGCTTAGGCTGCTCGTGTGTCCTCGACTGTATCACGCAGTGAGTAGACCCATCCCTCGGTCGCAGGCTCTCTGCTCACATGAGTTTCCCGATCTCGGTGTCCTCATTGCCAGCAAGCGAGGCATACGTCCCCTTCTCGAGGATGATGCCCCGGCGCATGAACACAATCTGGTCAAAATGTTTCAGGAAGGCTATACTGTTCGTGACGAGTATCCTCGCTTTCGACGCAAGAAGGCCGTTCGGCCCAATGACCTGGTCTGCTCAAATCAGCACAGTACGCTGCATATGCCTCGCAAGAGAGCCCACCAAAGACATGTCTCGCAACATGCGCGTCGACAGCCGCAAGAACGTCATCCAGTAAAATCCTGGCGGTACCTTGTAGTCAGCTCAAAGCACGTATATCTTTACACCGAACGCTCACAGATCCGCCCGCGCATACACCGCACGAGCAAGAGACACCCGAGCCCGCTGGCCACCGCTCATCTGGGAGCATTTCGAAACGCCGTTGGTCAGCTCGGAGGGCCTGGCACGTATCTCTTCTCACTAACCGTGATACCTTTCTCGCCCACGACAGTCAAATCGCCATCAGGGAACAGCGCCAAATCCTGCCTCAGCGCACAAGCTGCCAGGTCCTTTCAGCCTCGGGCTCACGCTCAGAGGCTGCAGGAGGTGCTTACCATCCAGTACAAGATTGTAGAAACCCTCCTCGTACTCGTGCGAGAACAATATGTTATCCCTGATACTCGCACTCATAATCCTATTGAGCGTCGCGTCAAACCCACGCGCAAGGCAGAAGAAAGAAGGACGCACCAAGGATTCTGCGGCGCGTACGACACGTTCCCATGTACCACGACCTCCCCCTCCACGCGGGTCATATCCCCGATAATCGCCGACAACAAGCTGCTCTACTCGCCCTTATCAGCCCTCCCTTCCCCTTGCAAAGCGCAAAGCGCAAAACTCACCTTCCCAGCCCCCAGCCGCCCCAGCACGCCCACCAGCTCGCCCTTCCTCACCGTCAAATCAATACCCTCCAGCACCGGGTTCGGCGCCTCGCGGCTCCACGCAAACTCGCCGTTCGCGATGCGCAGCACCTCCTCGCCGGCCTCCGAGGCGACGACCGTGACGGCGTCGCGCTGCAGCTCGCCCGCGCGCAGAAAGTCCGAGAGGCGGCGCACGGAGACCATCGCTTCGATGATGTTCGACGTGACCTGGCTGAACTACACGCGCGCGCGCGCGCGCGGCTCGCGTCACGGGGGGAACAAAAGGGGGAGCGGAGGGGGGGGGCTTACCATGGCGAGCGGGAACTGCAGGAGCATGAACAGCGAGATCGACGGGAAGATGATATCCGACGTGAGCGGGCGCGAAGAGACGAACGCCGCCGTCGCGAGCGAGCTGAACGCCACGAGCACTGCAGGAAAAACAAAGCATCAGCCTCCCACCCGCGCACCGAGCTGCGTGTATCCTCACGAGGAATCCCGCCCCACAGCGTCGTGTTCAGCGCCTACAAGCCCGGGTGAGCTGACATCGATACTGCGATAGCGTCTGGATATGCCATACCGTCGCCACCCCGATCTTGCGGAGCATCTTCAGCTCCTCCTCGTTCCTCACGAACAGTATCTTCCTCACGAACGCATGCTCCCACGCATACAGCTTGATACTACACAAACCGCACCCGATCAGCCCCCTTTCCCCTTTCCATTCATCCCACGCACCTGCGTATATTCGCGAGGAGCTCGCTCATCAACCGCGTGCGCTTATCCCGGTTCTTCATCTGCTGCTCCTGCATGCGCTTGAGGATGCTCGCGATGTACGTGTTCAGCGGGATCGAGACGACCATGATGGCCACCCCGACGAACGCGGACCAGCCGAGGAGGTTGTACAGCGACACGAACGCCAGCGTGATCTCCGCACGCCCGTCAGTCTAGGCAGGGCGCGGAGGCAGAAAAGGGGAGGCGTACCTGGAGCGGGCCGGAGATGGAGATGAGCCCGTACGTGCACAGGTCCTGCATGCGCGTCGCGTCGACGGACATGAGGTTGACGATGTCGCCCGACGAGCGGCTGCGCTCGTCGTTGGCGAGGACGAGCGCCTTCTTGTAGATCGCGGTCACGAGCCCCGCGCGCACGCGCATGCCCGTCTCGTAGCATAGTTGGAAGTACTATGCAGTCACAGCGATCCCGTTAGCGTCTCATTCAAAATCACTTGATACTTGCCCAAAAGGGAACGGGGCAGGAGGCGCACCTGCTGGAGGATGACGGACTGCGCGAGGGCGGCTGCGAACATGATGAGCGCGATGGCGTAGCCCTGCACCTTGCTCAGGTGGTTGGGGTTGTCGTTGGTCCGTATACTCTGATAGGAAGCGATGTAGACGAGCAGCCAGCGCAGGAGCTGGGGCTGGAGGAACGCGAGGCAGTCCTGCACGATCTTGAGGAGGGCGGCGAGGCCGTAGGGCCCGCCGTACGCGACGAACAGGGAGACCCATAGCGAGGAGCTAGCGCAGAGTGAGAGTCAGGACGCAGAGGAGGGAGGGAAGGGGGGACGTACTGCTTGTCCATAGCCTTCTGCAGGTCCTCGCCGAGCTTTGTGGACTGGTCGCGCGGGAGCAGCGGGGGCAGGTCGCGCTCGGTGATGAACTGGGCGGCGCCCTTCTTCATGAGCGGCGTGAGCCAGCCAAAGTACCACCTGCTGAAGATGTTCGCGCGCATGATGGGGTTGAGCAGCGTCTCGTCCAGCCCGTCGTCCTTGCCCGGGCCGAAGCACTCGAGGAGGAAGGCGACGGTGCCGAGGGCGCCGGTGACGGCGCGCAGGATGAGGACGAGGAGGAGGCCGTGGAGGTTCACTTCGAGGACGGAGCGGGCCCAGACGAGGGAGAGGGCGATGTAGAGGGGCCAGAAGAGGAGGAGGATGGCGGACGAGGTGCGGGTGCGGGTGTGGTTGCCATGCGTGAGGAAGGGCGTCGGGATCAGCGCAATGGCTTCGAGGATGTATGATTGCGGCACAGCGACGGGTGTATTGGATGCGACGACCAGAATTGCAGTGGCTGCGCTGGTGCACACTGCGCCCGCGAGGAGTATCTGGCGAGAGACATGAGACCGTGGAGGACGGCTTAGAGTGGGATGCACATACCAGCTTGGCGTAGAGAATCCATCGACTGCGCCGAGTGCGAGGCAACGGCTCGAGGTTGCGCAAGGACCAGCAGCGCAGCAGCGACGAGACGAGGAGGACGAGCGAGAGCGTGGAAAAGAGGATGCCCTCCTCGAAGCAGGGCGTAAAGTCGAAGGGGCGCAGCGGGGACGCGGGGCCCCAGCCTTGGCTATCGCGGCAGGTCGCAGCCATCGTCGAGCAGCACAGCGAGCACCACATTTCCTGCGTCCCTCGCGTCATCCGGGCCGGCGCCTACGCAGCGCCTCACAGCCGACAGATTCTCCCACGGGATAAAGTCATCTCTAGTCGCTTCCAGACAGATCTTATCTGCCGACTTGAAATGGCCTGCCTGCTCAGACTGTCCAGTTTTCATCCTTTGCATCCCCGGTAGCCCCCAACATGCCTCAGCCATCCGAGTTCTTCCCGCCCATCGGCTCGGTCGTCGAGAAGACGCGCGACGAGGGCAGGCCCGACGACGACGACGTCCGGCCCGTCGACGAGATCGAGTCGCTCTGCATGAACTGCGAGCAGCAGGTGCGCGCGACCGTCCATGACGCTGCCACCGCCGCTGACCCCCGCCCAGGGCATCACCCGCATGCTGCTCACCTCGATCCCGTACTTCCGCGAGGTCATCGTCATGTCCTTCCACTGCGACCACTGCGGCTTCCACAACAACGAGATCCAGTCCGCCGGCACCATCCGCCCCGAGGGCACCGTCTACACCGCCCGCATCCTCACCAAGGCCGACCTCGACCGCCAGCTCGTCAAGGCCCAGTCCTGCTCCGTCATCATCCCCGAGTTCGAGCTCACCATCCCCCCCGCCCGCGGCCAGCTCACCACCGTCGAGGGCCTCCTGCGCGACATCGTCGCCGACCTCTCCTTCCACCAGCCCCTCCGCCGCGCCCAGGACGAGGCCGCCTGGCGCAAGATCCAGGACATCATCGACGCCCTCTCCGAGATCCTCGGCGACAACCCTGAGGAGGAGCCCGAGGGCGCCCAGCACACCAAGAGCAGCGCCGCCGCCGCCCCCGACGACGACGACGAGAAGCTGCCCCGCTCCATCACCGTCAAGCTCGACGACCCCGCCGGCAACTCCTTCATCGAGTTCCTCGGCAGCATGGCCGACCCCCGCTGGAACCTCCGCACCTACCACCGCACAAAGCAGCAAAACATCGACCTCGGGCTCATCGCGCCCGACGACGGCGAGGAGCCCGCCGAGGGCGCGCGCGTGCTCGAGCCGTTCAAGCCCGACGGCCCAGAGGACGCCCCCGCGGACGCGAACGAGGAGATCTACGTCTTCCCCGGCACCTGCTCCAGCTGCGGCCACCACATCAACACCATGATGAAAAAGGTCAACATCCCGTACTTCAAGGAGATCCTCATCATGTCGACCAACTGCGACAAGTGCGGGTACCGCGACAACGAGGTCAAGGCCGGCTCCGCCATCTCCGAAAAGGGCAAGAAGATCACCCTCAAGGTCGAGGACAAGGAGGATCTCAGCCGGGATATCCTCAAGGTGCTGTCTCCTCCCTCCTTTGCTTCCCAAATCGTACATCTATGCTCACTTCATTGACGTCACAGAGCGAGACGTGCGGCCTCACCATCCCCGAGATCGACCTCGTCCTGCAGGCCGGCACGCTCGGCGGCCGCTTCACGACCCTCGAGGGCATCCTCGACCAGGTCTACGAAGAGCTCTCCGAGAAGGTCTTTGACACGGGCGAGGCGACCGTGCACGACGCGGACGACAAAAAGACCTTTGAGACCTTCCTCAAGAACCTCAAGGCCATCAAGGCCGTCGAGCGCCCCTTCACCCTTATCCTCGACGATCCCCTCGCCAACTCGTACCTCCAGAACCTCTACGCGCCCGACCCGGACCCCAATATGACCGTCGAGACGTACGACCGCACGTGGGAGCAGAACGAGGAGCTCGGCCTGAACGATATGAAGGTCGAAGGGTACGAGAATGACCCGGCTAACGAGGCGACGAAGGAACAAGCGACTCCGGCCAGTGACGCGCCCAAGGAGCAAGAGAAGACGGAAACTCCAGCTTCCAGTTGAGGGTTGGGAGAGAGTGAGGACTATGACCGTAACGCGAACACCGCCTAACCCTGTATGAGTAGTGTCAAACACAGCACTATAATGTACAATATCCCTAATGTACAATGCAAATGTATCCATACGGCGTCCGAGATTCACACCCTACGACTGCCCCCTCTCGTCCTCCAATATCTGCGCCCCATCCCTTCCCGTGAACTGATACAAAGGCAAGTCCAGCAGGACAGTCCGCTTCACGATCTCAGGCAGGGGACGGTACAGCGCCGGCGGGATGGGTATCAATATCGAGGTAGACCGCAGGTACTCTTGGTACTTGTCCCACGCGTCCGACTTGCCTGGTCGCTGAGCCGTGTCGTAGAACTTCTGGCCTTGCGATTTCTCCGCGATCGGTATGCCCGAGGCGAACATCAGGAGTCTGCGTATCCACTGCATCAGTTTCCCTCTCTCGTGATGCGGAAAGGAACAGACTCACAGAGTCGTGAAGATCGGAGAGACCACCGAGCCGCGCAGCGCCGCCTTTCCACCGCCTCCCAGGTTATTGCCAGCCGAGAGGCAGAGGATCCATATTCCCCACCAGCACAGGATCCTGGATTATTAATAATCAGCGTCGGTCTGTCACCGATGGAAATTTGGTGACGGCTAGCACTAGTACTCACTCTCCAAAGTAAGGCGGGTGCCTCGAGAAGTACCACAAGCCCGTCTACAGAGGGAGATGATAATCAAGTCATTCCGCGTGACACCGCTAACTTACTCTGATGGGTTCATCCTTGGGTCCTCCCCGCGCCTTGTAACGGTACTATTAAATCCACGTCAGCGACTGCCGGGGAGAGCAGGTGAAGGTAAGTCATGCCTTTTGGATGTCTGCAATGGACTCGATCGCCCATCCTACACCCCACAGGACTATCCCTGCTATGTCCCGTGAAGTTCCAAATGGAACAGAGTGGTCCACTCCCACAACCGATGGGGAGTTCAGGATAATAACAGGGAGGGAGACGACCCAGACCTTGGACAATTAATAAGTATCCCGCGTACTACCATGTTATGTTAGACTTACCCAGAGTATCTGCCCTATTTTTGTGGATCACCATAAGTAGGTATTCGCAGGATTCAGAGAAATCAGAAGAGCGCTTACCAACCCAGAAACCTGACCATACGCAATCCGTTATTGGGATTCCAGCCGAGCGGAGAACTCGAGCGCTTACCGAGATACTTGAGAAAATGGGACCGTATGTCATCGAAACGTGCGTCTTTCCCGGTCTTCAATACGCGGAAAAATAGGAACCCTAGGTTCGTTCGTCATCCTGGTATCAGAATATGTAAACATCTTGTCTACTCACCGGCGAGACGTGCGGCCCATACCATGACGAGAACGCTCGCCACGATATTTCGGGCATCGCCCGTACGCGCAAAAAGTAATGTCATTAATGCTAGAGAGCCTGGTCAGGACTACCTTTCCGTCCCGCACGATAGTTTATTGGCACCTAGCCAGAAGAAATTAGAGCCTACGGAGAAGTGATCAGTACGCGGACTTCCTATCTGGATGCAGCACTAGTCCCTGGAGACCCGGACCAGCACGCCAGTATACGTGGAGAGGAGAAGGGGCATACCTCCAGTGAAGTCGGTGATTTTATCAAACTACAGAAAGGACGAATGTTAGTTCTTTTGCGCTGCGGCTTTTGAATTTGGGTCCGACCTGAAATGTCCAGGCGATAGCAAAGCCCAGCATCTGATATCCCACCGTAACCAGAAGCGTTATGGCGAGGTAATAACGATCTAACACTTGTACTCCGGCCATCTTGAGCGATAGTGACTGGGAGCCCTTCCAGCAGGGCAGGAGAGTAATGGAGGAGGGACGTCTACCAAGGACGAAGGGGAAAGGAAGGGCGCTCAGAATAAGTAGCTTGAGCAGCTACGATTAATAAACCAACTGCTGGCTCGTTCTACGGGATCATATCCTGCGATCCTACCGCGATGACGGCGGTGGCATCAAGCCACAAGAGCGAATGATCGAGCGATTCAAGCTCCGCGACACTACTCGGAAGTCCTGATGGTAAAGCCTCCGTGTCTTGTCCGTGTCAGCCACACTTTGCAGCAAGATTATTTCTTCAAAAAGTAACAATTACGCGCGTACAGTTTCCATTTGCAAGATATTATGCTACATGCGTTCTCCAGAGTTCGTTCCAATAAATTAAGCGACCAAGCACAACGCTTAATGGACCAGACCAATTTTGTGTGCCCAATCCAAGAAGGGGGAAAGACGCTGATGCTCTGACAAAACAGGATGACTGGCCAACAGGCGAAGTACAGCACCACAGAAATCCGCGTAGACTTCATGGAGGTCCGATTGCTCGTTCTGGCGCTGCACCTCGATTAGAGGAATAATGTTGTGCGGTATGACACTATCACTCACTTCATACGAGTCTTGCATGGCTGCCAGCATCGACGTGATGAGTTCAGTGTTTGACTGATTCTGTCCTCTTGTTTGAACGTCATGATCTTCTCGAAATACGCGAACCAGGTTTATGAAGACAGCTGCCCACGAAAGAGGATTCAACTGATGTCTCAGTCAAATGGGAACAGAATGCCGCACCTTCTATGAAGGCCAAACGTCCAGATAGAAATTCCAATTTCGACAACTCAGCCTCGCCGTTCAAGTCCCAGGGTACACCTCGAAGCAATGGATGATGAAGTCCATCGACAGTAAGCAGCAAGGCAATATATTGGTTCTCAATCGAGACTTCTCGCGCGACCAACGACTCGAAGAATACTTCCAGAAATCGGTCCTGATAGTCCTGCGAACACGGAACTGTGAGCAGCTAGGGAACGATATCGACTAACTTGACTCACATGGTATGCCCGGGGATCTGACCGCAGAACCATGTACATGAAGCGAAGACCGACTCTCCGCCTCCATGCAGCCTCTATGATCCTTTCCCAAGATTGCGGCCCAAGGGCCAAGTAATGGGACCATTCCTATGTGCAGATTGAGCTTCGAAACACCACAGGACTGGCACAGGGTCGCACCCGTCGGCCATTCTGAACAATGACATTTGCACAGCCAACCCAGCAATTGATCCACTTATCAATGTCCGCCCAGTGTTCCTCGCTAGGGAATTCTGCGGACGAGTCGTTGATATTCTTGCACACCAGCCGATAAATAGCAGGAGATATGTGTTGATCCATGACCTAAAACGTGCTTCCGATGAGCTCATCACGTCAGCATAGATGCATGGATATTACCTTGCACACAACCTCATCTTTAGCCTTCATCTCCTTCAGCCTGGTGTCTTCGACATCTTCTCCAAGGGCAGCCAGCAGCTCTGGGTCGTCCAAGTCGAGATCCAAGTCCCCATATATATCTTGGCTGTCTTCGTCCGCGGGGGCAACGTTCGCGGCAGCTGGACCTTTGATCCTTGGCATGGGCATTGCCGCTGCTCGAGCATCCAGGAATGCCTGGACGAGCTTGCGAATCTCCAGCCCGGTGGTTGGTACATTAGCCAAGTTTGTTGAAGCCGCGAATACTCGCGTTACCCATGCTGTGCCATCACTTCAGTAAGGCTAGGGTGGGAAGGAATGTTGTACCTACGTCCTTCGAGTAATCCCGGGTCAGGATACGTTGTCTCCACATTAGACGGGTCCATGCAAGGCGTTTCAATGATCCGCCTAATTGACCCCAGCAATAGCTGAATTGTCAGGAGAACATGGTTTCTATTATCGCTCGATTGTCCTGCAGCTCCGGTTCCGGCGCACTCGTCCACGAGGACGTTCGTGATCTCCCCTAACCAGTTGTTTATGATGTCCATTGGAAGCTTGAGATGGCGTATCAGCATGGCTAGATGCATAACACCGCGGATACATGCCATACGCGTCGCGAAGTCCGTGTCCTTGAAAATGACATAACGCTGGGCATGAGAGAGTCGGAAGCGGACGTTGGCTGGTGAAGGATCAAGGTAGATAGCTATGGCAATGGCGCTGTAGCGGTTGTACAACATCGAAAGCTCCTGGCCCATAGGGGGCGTCGCCTTAGTGAAAGGCACGGATCCTACTGGGACAGCCATAGACAAAAGTTTCTTCAGTCTAGGAGCTGAAGGGTCTGTATTACCTTGCCCGACTGGATTTCGAAGGTCGCCGGCCGTCTGAACGATCAACTTCAAGAAGACAGAAAAGGCAGTATCGCCACTGGTGCACTCGGACAGCAGTCGCACATCGGCGCGCCTCAAAAAGTTTGGGAAGTCAGGTCGTTCATCGAGCAAATTGGTGAACTTGCGACTCTTGAATATTTCAACCAGGTGATTGAAAATAGCCATTGCACCATCCAAACGCCAGCGCCACTTCTTCCACAGTACGAAACATCTTGAGACAACCAAACGGATGTATCCGTCACGCTTTGAAAGGCTCCGTCTAGACAGCCCTTGTGTAGAATCAGGGTCCGCTGTGAGACGAATACGCTTCAGGGCATACTCAACAAGCTCCCATGCAGCTGGAAGGCGAGGCATCGACGTTGTCATTCCGTGCATTGAGAATTGGGATAAAGCAGACATAGTGAAGATGGCTTTCCATGCGTCTTCGCTGCTCTCGAGGTCAGAGTGAAGGTTGTCATTCCCAGCTTGAATCGCCTGCATGACTATACGGCAATACGGGTGCGAGACAGACCTTCCAAGGTTATTGGCGACTATGCTTTCACAGACGTGGAACAGGCATATCCATAGTTCTGCCGTACGGACTGATGCATCTCCGTCGTCAAGCGGCTTTTCTAACGTCGTAACCGAGTCTATGGTTTGCTGTAAGCCATATCCCCGAAGATGGCCGACGAGTCGACTAGCTAATTCCAACAACGAATGTAGATCGACAGTGTCAGGCTGAGATGAGAAAGTCAACCGGATGTTGGCTTCGATTGCGAACCAGTAGGCGGCCCAAAAGTGGGGCTTTTTCGTGCAGTTGGCCAGTAGCATCAGGGATTCCTCCAAGCGTTGGACTAGCCGAGTGATTTGGGGTCTTATATCGGCAATGAACGTGTTCTCCTGGTCTCGTGCGGTATTCCGACTTGCGAGCCAAGACAAGAGTTGGCAAGCAACATGCATCGAGAATTCCCATCTTTTGATTTCGTCTGGCTCTTCTCCTTCAACAGGAGTCGTCGCCTGAACAAAGCACACATCGCAAATGTCTGGAAAGATTTTGCTGAATTCCTCCATCGTCATGGTAGGTTCGAGCACGATCCCGTGAGCGGTATATGCAATTGGCCGGGGGATTTCATGGCCCTGGGAGACCACCAAAGTCAATTCATGCAGCCAGCCTCGACCAATATATGTCTCTGGGCCAAATGCAACGCCTGAAGGGAGAAAGGGTATATTGCAGTCGGACTTGATGTCGCGTAGAAGCTTGTCAGAATGGTCCGGCGTCCTGTGACGCACCAGTCGGCGCATGGGTTGTGCATCATCGTCCGACTCGATTTCTATTGGGGTGTCCGGATTGCCATAAGTACGAGAGCCGACTCTATGCTTACGCCCACCAGTCGGGCCTCCCTCGGGGGTCTTACGAGGAGCTAGTGCTTGACGAAAGTCTTCATCCTCCAGGTCCACTGTGATGAAATGAGTTTGACGCTTGCCGGAGCTAGTACGAATTCCGGGATTCGAAAGGACATAAGCTTTCGGTTTCCGAGCTTTCTTTCGCTTCCACTTCCTCCTTTCCGCAGCGTGCGAGGCATCCCTTTCTGTAATTTGGTGGACATTACCCGGCCCATGTTCCCTTGCTTCTTCGAATGGCTCGCCAGAGCGATACCGCGGAGAAGAGTCACGGTCGACGTTCTGCTGGCGACCGAAGGTCAACAATGTTTGATGCCCGTCCCCGAACTTTCTTGCGCCGGCAGCGACAACATTGAGCCTGGGTCGTGAGCTTTGGCGTGGTCTGCCGCCGCCTGTGCCATCACGCTTACGATGTCGTTTACCGCCATAGTGTCTAGTTTTAGTCAACATCCAGTCTATGAGATCTCCCTCACGTCGCCGTGGACGTGTAGTTTGCGGTCGCATTGCAGTGTGGCTGAGCCAAGAGTCGATCTCCCCTTCGTCGAGGGAATCCTCACCGAAATTCTCCACTTGGCTGTGCCGCTCCTCATCCGAAGCGAATCCCTCCTGCGGAGGGTGCAGAGGACGGGGAGCATGCTCAGCTGACTGCACGCCAGCTTCGTCGTCTGACGACTTCAGGACACTCTCTGCATCCGAGCTCTCCGAGTCACCGACGATCTCCGCGCGTACATTTGCTCCATTGTGCACTATTCGCCTCCTGGACTGACCGGGCAAGACAGCGGCGGAAGATAAAGCGTCGCCCTCGTCGTCACTTGAGCGCACCGATCTCCGTCTTGGTCCTTGTTGGCCTTTCTTGAGAGTGCGATTAATCATGGCAGCAGGCATCATACGGCGTAAAATCCTCAGCCTTTTCTGGTCCTCTTTAGATATTTCCTCCGAAGTACTGGAAGCGGATGGTTCAGAATCAGACGATTCGCCGCGAACACCACGAGCCGGACTAGGGTTGTGCGAAGGGAAAGGTATTGGCCCAAAGTCCATACTTCCACTATGTTCCATATCACGTTCGATAGGACCATCAGTGGCACTTAGGCCTGACTTCAAGTGAGCTGTTAGATCGTGCACTCCGCTAAGCTCGGGCACTTACCGAAGGGCTTCCCAGCCGGCCTGGTGGACTGGGCAGGTTCAAGAACCACGGCGCAGCTGGTTTCATGGAATGTGATCCTCTTGTCCTGTCGTCACCTTCCTTACAGCCAATTCTCCCTTCAAGACGACGAGGAGGCGGAGGTGATATTTGCCCCTGAAGGACCATGTCATCTTCATCACTACCAAGCCCTTCTTCCAGAAGCTTGGGGTACCACTTGGGCTTCGACTTTTCAACCGCCTTCTCTAGTCTGGGCGGACTACGAGACTTGCGGTTTCTGATCGCTTCCGGCTCCATGCTCTTCCGTAACCTGGATTTACTATGAGACGGGCTCAAATCTCTGGAGCGAGACCGGGCCCGCCTAGGACGATCCGAGTCATGCTCATGGTGGGAGTGGTGGCGATGGTGTCTCTTCTCATGCTCCGGACTGACAACCTTGACAATAGCATCAGGATTACGCCGCATCAGCTGTTTGTAATATGCCTGGTCGTAGGCATACGGGTTCAACTGCTTCGCTTGTCGCGCTCGCAGGGAGTACCGCACAAACTGATGCTGGTTCTCAGCTGTCTGGATATCCGGGCGGGACTGTTCGTTTGCAGCCAATCTCGACGTACTCGCTTGCGGGGCCATGTCCATGGTACGTCGAGCATTTGAGTGCGTGGCAGGAGAGGACTGGGATTCCACCATAATACTTTTCGCGGCGAGAGGAGTCAAGGGGGACGACGGCTGAATGTTCCTCGAACTTCTAGGGGTAAACAGTGGGCTATCGGATGAATGATGGTGGTTTCGGCTGCTGCCAAGTATGTTAGGTGTTTTAGCCCGCTCACCCTGGTCCGCATGCCTTAGCTGAGGAGGCGTCGACAGATTGAGGGGATCGGGAGAGGAAGAAGGCTCTCTGACGGATAAAAGTGGAAAAGAGAACAGTACTTGTTCTCCACCAACATCCTCCTTCGTTACATGATCTCCTCCGTCTTGGAAAGTGTGCACCCGGGACTTTGAAGGACTACTAGGTAGCGATTTCACTGTCGAAGCCATATTCCCCCCGGGATCCTGCTCCGCAGTAAGTGTATCCTGGGAAATGACTGGGCTTCGTCCCTCATCCTCCTCAGGCACTTGCGAACCATGGCAATCGGCTTGAGGATTCTCGACGTCGCGGCTAGGCGAAGCGGGTCTAGAATCATCATATACGGTAGCACTGCGGGGGCTAGACAAATGTGCAGTTGGAGCATCTTCCAGTGGGAATGCAGGCGCTAGCTACCATGATTCCAGTTAACTGGAAGTACATAACCGGGCGTTATAATGACTCACCTTTCTACGCTTACGCGGCGATGGAGAGTCGTATCCTTGGTCATCTCCTTGACCCACAGACCTCATAGAGAGAGGAGTTCGGTCCGGAGTACGAGGTGGATTGGAATACAACGAGTCTCCCGCATGATTGAGCCGGTTTAATAGCCCGCATTGCCAGTGATCGACGACGGCCAGAGTCGCTTGTTTCCAGTAGTCCGCATCCTCTGATCTAAGCAGCTCCCGTTCTTCAGTGTCCGATGTCTCGACAATTTCGAAGCTAGCCATTCAAGAGACATGGGATCAGGTACCTTTGCAAGCGTCGCGGACGGTGACATTGTGGACGCGAATGTGACAGACGTCACGTGGCCCCAATGGGCGTGACCACACGCGCTAATCAGCCTCACGCGCAAGTCAAACACTGCCGTGCCTATAGGGGGTGCGTACTCTATCGCGCTTGTGCTCTGAATTGGACTGGAACCCTACAACATGTTCCACGAAAAAGGTATATATCTTCTATCAATACAAGCAGTAGTGATCAGTACTACTGGAGACATCCGCGAGTCGCTTGGTGTCAGCCTTCCACTTGAATTGTAAGCTCCTCCAGCCCCGGTATCCTGCTACGAAGCAATGAGTCAACTCTCTCGACAACCCGGTCCACTTCGCCCGCAGAATGATCTAACAAATCAGAACGCGTCCATGCAGGATGTATCTGAATGCAGATTGATCCGATGACGCTGGACGCGTCTTTTGGCCAGAACCTAGGGAACTTATAGGAAGCGACTCCTTCGAGCGAATCAAGCTACATCGACAGAAACGCGCCGTTAGATGGCATACACATGAGAAAGGCGGTCATGGCGGAACGTACCTCCAGTAGAGCTCGTTCAATGCTGACTTCGCGATCTGAGATATCCAGGCAGAGTATCTTGCCAGTGTCAATGACCAGTGGAATTACGCTAGCGGCAATCATAATTGCAATAAATAGCGAGGCTATGGGATCAAATCCAGTCCAGCCATAAAATTGTATCAGCAATGTCGAGATGATCACTCCGACCGACCCTAACGTGTCCTGTCGCGACATATCAATATTCCATTCACCAAAGAGCTGGAAAAAAATCGCTTACAGCCATCACGTGGAGGAAGACCCCTCGCATATTGTGACTATGACCTTCGTGTGCATGGTCATGATGACCATGGGAGTGATCGTGGAGATTTGGCACATGTTCAGAGTGATGATGCGTCTCGAAATGCTCGTCGTGGCCGAAGCGGTAGCGCGGCGTTATTGGGGACATCGACTCTCCCTCAAAATTGAGCGACAAAGCGTCGACCTGTAGGGCAGACCCGTGGAACTGCTTTCCCCGGGCACTAGAAGCGGGCGTCGCAGGCTGGGAATACGAGTGCGAGTGAGAATGGCCGTGGTCAGGTGAGCTCGGCGAATGCGAATGGCTCCCTACAGGAGACGCAGCCGGTGCCGCATGAGAGTGCGAATGGGAATGAGAATGGCCGTCGTGGTGCCCATGCGAGGAATGCGAGTGCGAAGGGGTAGATGGGATATCCCCAGAATGTGAGTGCACCGGCGAGTGGGATTGTCTAGCGGAATGGGAATGTGCGGATGGATGGGAATGCGCGACGGAAGAAGGCGCCGAGGAATGAGATTGAGTAGGGCCGTGCGAGTGGCCATGAGAATGCGAATGGCCGCCCTATCAAAACGTCTCCTTCAATTAATGCTGGGGTATAAGGGATAAGAACCCACGTGATGATGATGGCCGCCCATGGCGAACATACCGAACAGGTTGACTCCTAGCCCCATACTGCTGATGAGGAGTAACTGATTCGTGCTCATCTCCGGTGGGTCCATCCTAACAGTCCGTCGCATACGATTACCAGAGAAGGATTGATAGTTGAACGCACTCACAAGCGTTCGATCGCTTCGAATACGATGAAGACGGAGATGAGGAGTAGAAATATCCCGTTCGCGAAGCCTGACAGTGTTTCGATACGACCATAGCTGAAATGACACATGTTAGCCCCGTCCAAATGCAGAAACACTATCCATACCCGTAAGTGAAGCGTTCGTTCGGCGGCAAAGTCGCCATTACCGAGGCCACCAGTCCCACTCCAATTGCCATGCAGTCAAATGCCATATGAATAGCTGTTTAGGATGGAGTATGGGATGAGTCACCGCAACGGATGGTGAGCGAACAGCGTACCGTCAGATATTAGGCCAAGACTGTTTGTCCAGATACCATACAGCACTTGAACGAACATATACGCCAAATTAAGCAGCAAGAAGTAGAATATCTTTCTGCTTTCGGGATTAGCCAGAATGTTTTTCAAGTACGACCGCAAGACGGGCATGATGGGCTTGGATAATTGAGATTGCCCATCCGTCGGCTTTTGATGGACACCTATCAAGATATGAACGCTGCTAGAGCAAAGCGAGGGAACCATAGATACCGTAAGCAAGCAACACCCCTACAAACACGTCGGACCAAGACGGAATTTCCGCGTACAGCAAGCCGTCTAGTATCACTGCGGCAATTACGCAAAGATAATATAGTAGACTTGTATTCCGAGGTGTCAAGCGCGCCGGGGACCGGACTGCCTTGGACGACGGCTTCGTCATGACATATGCTAAGAGCGGACAAGCCGCCAGGGAACTGAGGGGAAGGATAGGGGTTCGAGGCCTAGCAAACTATTGCAGATTTTAGTAAGGTTCCTCCGTAACGTCCCAAATCCGAAGCACTTACCGCAATCTTTCGCAGCAAGTAGAATGGGAGGCCGATAGCGGAAGCACCAAGTACGCTCGCTGATTCCATGACAGAAGGAGAAGGCGGAGTATCGTATATGTCTTCAAGAAGCATGGACGCAGCCGCGTCCACAAGAACAACTACGTACGTCAGGAAAGGCGTTCGGAAACTTTGATGGAGGAACTTGGCATCGAGGCTGAAAGAGGAAACTAAGCCGAGGAGACAGAAATATGTCCGCGCTGTCTTATGTTTCATGTCAGCATGCGGATTGAAAGATATGGGCAAAATGCAGTACCCATGTCGGTGCTAAGAATGACCTCAGCCAAACGGGTGACGACGCAGTCAAGATAACGGCTCTTTGAAAGCTCGTCCGTAAACATCTTCTCCAATGACAGGATAGACATACCTTAGAGGAGCTAAGCTTGAGAGGGCTACAAGGAAACACGCATGCCGTAGAAGTAGCAAGAGGGATGTCACAGCTACCGTAGACCACTGACATACACATAAGATGATCGACCACAAATGACAGGGTGAGATAGCGACAGCGTACCTCAAGGTGTGGGGAATTCGATAGCCTTTTCGTCCGCACCTCCCCCAGCAAGACCCCCAGGCCCTTACAGGCGAGCACTCTGATGAGCAGCCAGAAGACGTCGACATCGAATGACAGAACATCCCGCCCGGTATGGACAGCGAGAGCGAACGCAACACCGTAAACAAGCAATGAGGTCAAGGATGTGCTTGAAGAGCTAACGGACGCGTCAGCACATGTACAAGAAGTGCAGCGATGCGTACTAGTACAATGACGTGAACCGCGAGGAGTCGAACGCGACGCTGTTTCGCGTTCTTGGATCCGGAGGGGGCATATCAGTCTGGATACCACTTCCAGCCCTCGAGCTGCAGGTTCTAGGTACGACAAGCGGTAGTTGGACAGCGGTTCATGCAGAATCAGCCGTCATGTATCTGCAAGTGTGTGTGCTGCGATGCACTTTCAGCCAGCGCAGAAATGCCGCCGGCAACTCCGCGTCGATCAAGGAACTGGCAGGGTTCTCAGTGGACATGCTCGCTGCAACTGCCACAAAACTGCCAGTGTCCATCCGCTTCCCGCTGGGGGTCAGTAAGTCCTTTCCACTTGTAGGTGGCATAATGGCATCATTTACGATAGTGCACTTGCTAATTCGAATCCTGTACAAACGTCGATCACAAGGAATTCCGATTATCTATCTGTACGATGTATTTACAAGTACGAATATAACTCTGTGGCCTGCGTGTAGAAGAATCCCGACCTTGATCACCACCGACACAGAAACACACCGGAGAAAGTGCGGTCCGATAGCAGCAGGAAGTTACGAGCTATGTCCGCGGAGGAACTGCCCGCTACGATCGCAGGCGAGACACGCGAATGACTTCCCTATCCCGAACATCATCCCGACCTGCGGTCCTTGGTCTCGGGCGGGTCATCACCTCCGTCGACATACGCGTTGCGTTACGGACCGACCGGAAGACTCACCCAACATTCTATAAAAGACCAGCCAACAGACCGCTTTGCTATCAAACCAGCTTTCGCCCACATCGCAACATCGACCAGTCTCAAACATCACTCACCAGCACAATATGTTCGCCGTCGCTCGTACTCCTCTCGCATCCCCGGCTATCAAGCACGGCTTCACTCATGCAAAGGCCTTCCCATTCCACCTGCCTGCCCTCCCATCACCGGGCCTCGGGTCGCCCATGCAGATGACGCCCATGTCGCCTGCACTACTCGTGCCCGCAGCTCACGTGTTGCCAAACTTCAACAATAACCTTCCGGCATCGCCCATGGTCACCACGCCTATGTCGCCTTCGATGTTGACACCGAGACCTGCTTTTGGGAGGCCAGCCGTTGACAGGGCGTTCGCAATGCCGGCCTATCCATTCCCCACAATGGTTTCAGAGGGGGCAAGCACTCCGACACCTGGTCGCCCCAGGATCAGGCCTGTCCGAGTAAGTGCTCCAATGCTCGTGTATCTGGGAGATAGCTGACAAATACCCAAGGGTCCTACGGGACTGTCGACAGTTGTTTCAGGCAGCGTAGCCAAGTCGCCTGCTGGCTCTGGCCTGAAGAGGAAGCATAGCCAGCGAAACGGACGCAAGACGTTGAGACTAAACTTGGAGCCTGTGGTCATCAATGAGGAGGACCTCCTCGTAGAGGCCATGAGGCTAGCGTCCATAGAAGAAGACCAAGGCATCCAGTTCGGTCCATTCAAGAGCATCAAGGGTCGCTTATCGACTCCTTGGCCGCCTACACAGAGAAAGCGAGCCTGGCTGGAGCACTTGGACGCCATTGACATGTGGATTTGATACCCGTGCTTCTGTATTTCCTGTATCCATATTCATAGTTAATTGACTATCGTTCCGATATCGTATATGGTACCATGGCCAGCGCGAACCGCGATGACGAGAGACGGAAGGAAAACGCCCTTGCTTGTGGCGCGTGAAACACAGCTCATATCCGTGCTGATTGGCGACGTCGGCGACTTCCCTCCAACTTGAACTTGTATCATTAGACCCTCTGCTCTTCAACCGCTCTTTAGGGATGCATAAAACGCTGTAGCGCTGTAACCATGCTTTCAGTCTCGCCGAACGACTATGGCAGTGATTCGGGCCAGGATTCAGCCATCCCCCGCTTTCCCCACACCAGAGCGCAACTGTCGGCTATAGCACGCCTCTACAAGCCTGCGAACAACTATGACAGCGACGCTGAAGGCGACGAGTTCTCTCGCGTTAGCTCTGACGTTGTTGGGAAAGTCGTCAGTCTCCTTGACGAGGAGGACGAGGATGAACTCAAGTCCCTCCTCAAGGACACGTATGGGGTAGACGAGGAGGAACAGGTACGACTGACGTAGCAGAAGGGACAAGTGAAACTAAGCACATTTCTTAGCTCGAACAACATGTCCTAGACCTTATGCATAAGCATAGGGACGACGTCGCCGGTATACCATTCCTCGCCCTTACACCGACGCGCCGTCCCATCTCTCGGCCCTCCTCTCGGGCGTCCACTCATTCGGCACGTCTTCCCCGCCCCGACACTCCTACGTCTGCGCCAAGCTCCCCTCTTGCAATGGTGTTCCGTAGGCCTCATACACCAGCGACCTCACCGTTAGCTACGCGCGAGGCTCAGTCATACATGACGGCGAAGCCAGAATCGCGCTCGTCTTCCCCGGCTCTGTGGGGCTCTCTGCCCCATACTCTCGCTGCAAGTATGCCCTCGTCCCCCGTTTCTTCACCTCGCATCTTGAATGCGAAGGCCTCGGAGTTCAAGCCCATCCCGCGCCCTCTGTCTGCCGCGTCATCTCACCCTAGTCTGCAGAATTTGCGAGCAGAGACGCCATCCCCAGATCTGTGGGCCCATACTCCGAACAGACCATCCTCCAAACTTGCCATAGCTGCACCGCTTTTGCCAGATTCCGGAAGTCGGTCACTGACCCCGAGCTCATCATTGCGGTCTTCCCTGCGCCCTGGTGAAGATGACGACGAGGACGACCCGTTCGATCCATTTTCTGCGAAGACCCTCCCCCGTGCATTCCATCCTGTGATTGCAGCTGACTTGGAGAATCCTGCGCCCTGGGCTCAGTCGCCAAACTCTGCTTCCTCCCTGTCGACCGACGATCAACCTCCCCATATGGGAGTCGAAGGAGGCGAGGAAAGTAAAGAATCAGAGGATGCCGCAGCTGCTTTGCTCACAGACGGAATGACACCGTTCGACGTCCTGAGTTCTGTATTCGGGGCAACGCTCGCTCCTTCCGAATTAGAGGACGCTTTGGCTCATAATGGATACGACTTTGAGCGCGCCATGAGCTGGCTCGTTGACCGTGCACTTCCGTCCCCACCTGCCGACTCTCAAGTTCGAGTGCAGAACATGGGAGCTAGGGTAATGGTTGTTTCCAGAGATGGGGGGCAGAATGGGACGGTACGCGGCGGTCGTGCTGGCTACGGTAATTTCCCCGCCGCAAGAGGTCGTGCAGGATTCAACGGACGCCCCGGGACTGGTGGCGCTCGAGTCTGCAGATATTTCCTTGCTGGCGAATGTCTCAGGGCGGATTGTCGTTTCAGGTGGGTTACCTCATAACGATGCGTACTTTGATTCTCACCGTATATCAGTCACGACCTTGAACGGGCGTTATGTCGGTTCTGGCTGCGTGGAACTTGCGCCAAAGGCGAAAACTGCGAATTCCTGCATCATTTGCCAGAGAATGTGGATGTATCCAGTATAACTGCTGCCATGTCCCGCACCGGATTGCAGGAGTCCCCATCTCTTGACTACACCTCAACTCCTCCGCTGGACGATTTCCCAGCCCTCGGCATGGATAACTTCAAGAACAGGAGGGGTGTCTACGCGGCTTACAACGATCCTAGCCGGGCGAGATTCGCCTCTGCCGTGAAACGCGCTGCCGCAACGGTTCCGACCAACGCAGCGCAACCTCAGTCCCAAAACAGCGCCAGTCTTGCGGCACGCAGAGCTGCTATGGGCAATGCTGCTGAACCTCTCCACCACAGCACGGCAATTGTGGCCCCGAAGCCTTCACCCCGCATCAAGCTACGCCCTCCGAGTTTGCTTCCGACGCTGCCAACCGGAGAGGCCGTCAACTCGCTGTACATGAACTACCGATCTCGGGCTTTGCAGTTGGGCGCTGCGAGGAATGCTTGCCTCTCTCGCGCCGCAGATGCCTGGCGGAGGGGTGACGGTGCTGCCGCGAAGCGGTTCAGCAGGGAAGGGCACGAGCTAAACGCGAAGATGAAGGCGGAAATGACCGATGCGGCGAGCAAACTCGTCAAAGAACGCGCGAAGCTCGCCCAAGAGGCTGTCAAGTCGAGGGATGCGAGCTGGTCAGATGAGCCCGGAGATCGTACTGCTCGCGGGCGCCTCATCGGGGCCGGACTTGGTGTCTGCCTGGGCATTGCTAGCAAGAGTGTCGCTGACGGAAACAAGTTGACTGCGGAAGAAAGGACGGAGAGTATGCTGGATCTGCATGGTCTGCATTCTAACGAGGCGACCGAAGTCCTGGAGGAGTTCTTATTGGCTGTGAGTATCCTCGCTCCGAGTAGCTTTGTCAACGTACTCATACAACTTGCCAGCTTGAGCGTGAACACTTCTATGGCTTGGGTGAGTGCAATGCTCCTCTGTCCTTAAAACTTTGCTGATCGGTTGACAGCCTATGTCGTCGTCGGAGAAGAGAAACACACTGGAACGCAGGACCCTGCTCGCGGTGCATCGCGGACCCGTCTCGCTGCCGGCGTGCGTGAATGGCTTCATCGCTGGGGGTACCCCTGGAGCGAACGTGATGGAGTGATTTGCGTTGATCCCTTGACGCACGCGGCCGGTTAGAGACTGATAAACGGATATGATACATTGATACAAAAAGACTAGGTTGGAGCTGGATCGGACATTAGAGATCGAGGTATGTTTGACTAGGCAGAATCTTAAGCGCTTTCGAGATTGTATACTGTACCATTGTTTTATTTACATCCACAAGAATGTATATGTATATGTTGCACCACTTTCCCTCCTTCGCAGCGTCGAAAGCGCTTGACAAGCTGTCTACGGCTAAGTGCAACGGGGACAGCGACGCTCTGACAGCCGACCCGCGATCAAGGCGTTGCGGCGGTGCCACATTGTCATGGCCACGTGCGGCACAGAGCCACACGCGGGGACGCGACGAACCATGGGGACGCTGCTCGGCGGACGTTCAACCTATCCGCAACGTAGCATCTATCCACCATGAACTCCTACCCTACGACCTCCAGCATGGACGCCCACGACGAGCACGCACGCCCCCAGCGACATTCTATAGACCAGGCGCTCGAGCTCGAGCGCGAACTCGATAGCGAACTCTCTCCGCCGACATCGCCCACGTCGCATAGGCCGCAGTCACTTGACCCAGCGGTGCTGGCGTCGATAGTGACACAACTACGGATAGCTCTCGCGGATGTCAGCCAGGAGCGCGATGAACTCGCCTCTCAACTCTCCGAGGTACACTCTCGGGAGTCCATCCTAACAGCTAATCTCGAAGAAACCACGGATAAATGTACGAGGCTGCAGAGCGAGCTCGAGCAAGCTCAGGCGAAGATCAAAGATGACGAAGAAGCCATTTCAATGTTGCGCGCGAAGGTGGAAGAGAGCAGGTGAGAATGGCTCTGATCATTCTCTACCGTCTGGAGTTAAGCGCCTATCTTGATCGTAGGAGAGGACTTATGAAGCTGCAGAGCGAAAGCCGCAGGATGTCCTCGATGACGTTGGATATGTCTAGGGCAAATGCTCCCATGTTCGGTGGTCCATCATCCTCGAATAAGCGGGCTTCCTTCACACCCTTGACCGGCTCGGGCATGAGCAACGGCCACAGGCGGATATCTTCCGTCTCCGATTCAGCGTTCATGTTGCGCGACTTCAGCAGCCCAGAAATACCAGGCTCTCCCGGCGCGCAGACTCTGTCGTTCCCCGACCCCAGGAACTCGGTGGGCAGTCCGCCCAGCAAAGCGTCCAGGCGTTCGTCGGGCTTCTGGAGCCGTCCGCCGCCACTGCCGCTGGACGAGTCACAGCCTGCATCGTCTTCCGAGCTTGCGGCACTACAACGTGAGGTGAAGAACCTGAAGTCGGAACTTGAGGAGACGAGGGCAGAGCTGACGGAAGCAAAGGAAGGCAAGGAGGCTTCCGAGACTTGTGTCAAGGCGTTGCGGGACTTCATTGCCCAGAACGGCATTGGCGGCCAAGCGGATGAGGCTGGGTCCTCGGCACCTCTCCGTCTACCTTTACCCCCTTCCATGAGCGACGAGGAGGAAGCCCGGAGGAGCACCAGTAGCACAGGGTCCGGCTGGGGTTTCAAGTTGTGGAAAGTGGACACCAACGTCAGCAGTGCGCCTTCGAAGGCCCCCTCGACAGTGCTGTCTCCCAGCAAGACCGTCAATGCGCCTACGCCACAAACTGCGACCCCGTTGGCGAGGAAGCTCGGAGGCTTCTTCAGCTCGAGATCGGCTAGCGTCTCGTCGGTTGCCTCCACGCAAGCTGCGCCGGAGGCTCGCAAGCCCCAGACGCCGTATGCTGGCTCTGACGTGTCATCTATGGAAGAATCTACAGCAGAGCCTATCAGCCCTGCTTCTGAGGTCCCTCAATCCATCATCATGATTCAGGACGAGCGAACACCGTCATCAGAGAACTTTGGGGCACAGCAGATTGCCATGACCCATATAGCGCCAAAGGGAGGCATGGATCCCATTTCCGTGTAATTCTGGCATTTGGTTTGTGATCTGGATAATTCTTCTGGAGATACCTTGATACCTTAGGACATCCGATTAATTCTTGCATTATAGTTCGGATTCGTTATACCGCCATCTTTGATATGCTACGACTCTGTTACGACAGGATGACGATTACAGTATTTGATAATGTATAAACGTCTCGGACTGTCGAAAGCGCCGTTTGGGGGATCCCATCCAGCTAGCATTGAGCCGGCGCCTATCGGCAGTCTCATAATTAGCTTCGTAAGCGCCAGAGCTTACACGACGATAAGTCGACACGGGATGACGGCGGCGGAAGAGTCCAGTAAATACACAACGCGACTCTCTTAGCGTGCCACCTGACGGCGCATTGAACGCCGTGCCTGCGGATGCGATGGCGACCTCTCGCGTCGGTCCTGACAGGAACCATGGTGCAGGATCAAGCAGTAGACGCCGTGCTGCGCCGCTATCCTGTGCGGAATGTCGAAGGTATATATAGGTCCCACTTGTCTCAGTCTGCAGACGTTCATCTCGTGTCGGGTCAATCAACATTGATGTAGATTGAAGCTCAAGTAAGTAGCAGTAGACGGGTGTATGCGTGCTCTTACCAGGTCATGGAATGTCAGGTGCAGCAGAGTGTTTCCATGCACGAGCTGCGTGAAGAAAGGATGTGCTGCCATCTGCCCAGACGGTGAGTGCGGCATTCGAGTGGCGTCACTTCAGATAGTTAACCCTAGAGGGAACCAAGGCTCTCTCACCACGGGCAAAGGCAACAGGTGGGTCGTCCGAGCATTTGCTGCGAAGTACGGCTCCGCTAACCCCCCATCATAGATTCGTGCTCGCAAACACTGAAGCGCTCCATGAAAAGATTGACCTGCTCTCGAATCGCGTCAGACAGCTGGAGGACGCGCTGGGGGAGGTCTATAGCCAACAGTCATCCCATCCCCACCCGCTCCTTAGCGAGGAGCTCCTGAATATTAAGAGACCTTTGGAAAGAGAAGAACAAGACGCAGCACCGACGCGAGAACGGCCAGAGGACGCGGCGGAAGTGATAGACGCCTTTGGCTCACTGTAAGTATATATGCTACGGACACGATGATTCTCTTCGCCGGCCAGATAAAGCTTTCTTGCCGTATAGATCCATCGGACAGTCCGGGCGGTCCACGTTTTTTGGGCAAACCGCGAACTCATGGGTGATTGATTCCCTGCTTACCTGCTACTCCGGACTCATCGGGACGCTTACTTCGATTATGTAGTACCTTCTCCAGGCACGTGAAGCTGTTGCTTGCCTCTCTGCATAGTCTTACCTGCCTCCAGAACGAGGAGGAGACAGAAGAGGATGAAGAACCGGGCACGCCGAGTGCCCCCTTGCCTGCAGATGTGCACTGGCTCAGCACCGTCTTCCCATTCGCTATGCACCTCGGCCAATCGCCGGCCGAGGTTCGGGATTCTATACTAGCTATGTTGCCCAGAGCTGGGAGAGCTCAACAGCTCGTCGATCTATACTACAAGCATGCTGCCTGGATGTACGCCCAAGTGTTGATCGTTCGCGTCCGTCCTAGCTGAGGTCTGTGGCAGGTACACGCCCATATACGAGACCGACTTTCTCGACAACGTCTACTCAAAGTTCTACACCGGAGAGTCAATACCAGAGTTTTCTCCCATCGAGACTCACCGGCTAGCAGTTCTGTGTATGGTGCTTGCCATGGGTGCCCTATTAGACCTCGATAGACCTCCTCTAAACCTGGAAGCTAGCCAATATTACGGCTTGGGTCGAGCGGCCTTATCTATAGGTAGCGTCCTGGAAGAGCCGTCCATACCTGCTATCCAAGCTCTGGTGGGGTCTCTTTAGCCGCTGGTCTAAATGCAGGCTAATCCATCCCTGAAGGTCATCATGTCGCATTATATGTTCTGGGCAAACATCGATAGCCCGCGGTGGGCCATTATGGGGCTGGTCATGAAGCTCGTACAGACTGTTAGTGTTCACCATCACTGCTTGTTCGTCGTCAGGTTGACGCGTCCTTAGGTCGGACTCCGTGAGTGCCTAGCGGAACTTATGACGCGCATGCTGAGGTATATGTAAAGATCGCGACAGCGGCAAGTGGCAGCTGAGTTCGGAGGAGACAATGCAACGGCGGTCCCTCTTGTGGGAGGTGTACACGTACGACTCGTGGCAGGTGAGTGCTTGTGCACTACCGCATCCATGCATGTCTCATGTCGTCTTTCTACCAGAGTCTGACATTCGGTCGACCGCCTTCCTTTTCAATGTCACATATCGACTGTCAGATGGCCTTTGAGACGACGCAGAATGAGCGTGGTGAAGTAGAGATGAGCTGTGCGTCCCCTTGTATCGGGAATTTCGTCCCCTGCTCACTCCCGTGTTAGTCGCTGCATGGAAGCACCGTTTCACTTCCCAGTGCCTCAGTGTTGTTCACGAACAAGTCTTCGGCGCTCGGGGTGTCAGCTATCCGACGCTTCAGAAGCTTGATCAAGCGGTTCGAAAATTCTACGTCCCACCCTCTTTGGTTGTCCCTGGGTTTGGCAACACTGGCGACAACGCAGACAGAGATGCCCCGTCGCTCCAATTGACAATGCAGCGGCATATTGCCTTAGCGATCAAGGAGATCTGTGAGGTCTTGCCGTCGTGTCACAGGCATACATGATCTGACTGGACCTCAGCGATATTCTACATGCACAGGGGGTTCTTCGCGCGAGCTCTGGAGGATGAGTCCGGTGATCCCCTAAGCAGCAAGTATTCACCATCTGTCCTAGCGGCGTACAATAGCGCATGTTCGTTTGTCGGCCTGGTGAAGAACCTGTATTCTCAGCAGCCGGAGCTTACACAGCGCATGTGGTTCCTGTTTACGCATGTCTTCTCGTGTGCTGTATGTGGTACCGATCAGATCTTTGTGCGTTCGCTGAATGTACTTCGCAGATCGCTTTAGGGGCTATACCGAGCAAGTGCCCAGGTATGGCTCTGTCGCCATCAGCCTTGGTGCATCTGAAATCCGCTCGACATGTATTCGAGCAGATATCATCGAACCCTCGGGCGGCAAAAGTACTCGTAAGTGTAGCTAGGATCATTCGCATCAACCTCTCCTTATACAGTTCTGCCATAGCCTGTGCTGCGTAAACTCGACATCCGCGCCTCGACTGCAATGACCGAGCATCGTTCCAGAAAGTCACCTGATAGTCCCACACGGCGCACCTCGTACGGAGACCCGGTAGTGAAATCGGAGGAAGACGAATGGGCGACGCTGGGAGGCAAGACACGTCTCGTGTCTCGGAAGTCACCTGGATCAGGAGGTTCTTCAGGATCCAGGAGTCCAGAGACCGCGTTCGCACCTTACAGTCCAGCGTCAACAGCCGCCTCTCCTTCCGCCTTCCACGCCACGCCGCCCCCGCCTCCTGCTCCTACCCGGGAGCCTCAGTATGCCTGGGACGTGTACCCCGCGCAGGAGCAGATGGCGTATGACCCTAACCCAACTATCCCTCAAAATGCCTGGGCGCCTGAGACCGGCTTCTTCGTGCCCGACCAGAGCTGGCCAATGGCCGGTACCATGGACGCCGGTATGTCTACGCTGCAGACGTATCCAGGGCAGTACGTAGATTACGCCAGCCCAGCGTACCCGAAGGAGTACTACGCAACGCAGGGTATGTCACAGGGCGTGCAGGAAGCTGCCCCATACGAGACGGACGTGTCCGATTCTTGGGGGCATTTCGCCGCGCAGTTCAATCAGGTGTGATGCCGCGCGAGAGCTGCTGTCCGAGTACTGTGCCATATCATTATTCGTCATAATAGGAGGAAAAGTTCATTTGTATTAATAGCACTCTACGCGTATCCCGTCGTTTTGTTCCCCTCTCGCACTTGTCTTGCTATCATACGTCCCCCGGAATAATGATACACTTTGGTGCAAGATACAGCAGTGATACAGCACGGTGATCTGAGAGCTACAGCGTTCGATACATAGACACCTTATCACTCATCCCACTGAACAAGCACGACCTCCTCCGCCCAGTTTTTTTTCTGCTCGGGGCAGCAATCGCTTTTACAGGAGAACACCATCACAGTACCCCACTCCATTCCCCTCCGCTTCGTGGAATTCTCAGCCTTCAGCGCCCGCTCGATCTCCTTCTTCCGCTCTTCCTCCGTCAGCTTCCCCGGCCTCGCGTCGTCCGCCGAAGACGACTTGAGGACGTTGATGAGGTTGGGCATGAGCTGGCACTCGAAGACGCGCTCGCCGCCGCACTGCGGGCATTTGGGGAGTGCGGCGGGGGTGTACACGCGTTTCTGCGGCGGCTGGACCATGAACTCGCCCTTGGTGACGGGGACGGGGGGCCCCGCAGGCGCGGGGAAGAGCTTGTCGAATACGCTATCGTGTCCAAACGGCAGCGGCGTCCCGCCCAAGTCGTACCTAGTTGCCAGTCATCGTTCAGTATCCATATTCCCCAAGTTAATCCAGCACGGGGGCACTCACCGGACACACTGCTTGCCCTCGTGCCCGACGCGCGTCATGAACCGCTCGAAGACGTGGTCGACCTCCATCGAGTTCTCGTACGCCTCCGACAGCCACTTGGCGTCCTTGCCGCCCTCGTCCGCGTCGAGCAGCTGCGCGCCGGGCGGAAGCTTCGGTTTGGGCGGCGGCGACGGGAGGTACTCGGACGTAGTGTTGAGGTAGAGGGGCGTGTAAGAGGGCATGGCGGGCCAGGGCGAGTCTTCGAGCGATGTGGATGCTAAGGCGGTTACTAGGGACTCTTCGGAGGAGGAGGAGGAGGCGTCGCCGCCTTCGTGCCCTTCTGCCTCGGCCTCGTCCTCTTCAGGTTCATCGTCGTGGTCGGGCTCGGCCTGTTGTAGAGGAGGTGCGAATGGGTTCGCATTACCGAAGGGATTGCTTCCGCCAAAGACTTGGGCACCGAGACCAAATGCCCCCGCCGCCGCGGGTGTTGTCCCATTTGCCTGCGAAACACCGATTAGATTCGCCACTTGCTTTAGCAGGATATCGAACAGATGCTACCTTGAAAGGGTTAATTTTGGACGCCTCCTTCGCCTTCTCTGCAGCCTTGCGCACCTCCTCCTGTTTGCGCCTCTTCTCCAGCTTAGCCTCCAACTTCTTTGCGTAGTCGGCATTGTACCTTAGATTGCGCCACGCGCGGACACTGCACAGGCTGCCTAAGTCCGAGAGCGAAATGCGACGGAACGGGAACGGACACACCCTACTCACCTCCCTTCCTTGCGCTGGCACTCGCCGCGGGCGCAGCCCCAGACGTAGAGCGCGCGATCCATGGGGCTTTCCTCAAACGGGCACCAGATCTGCACGAGCAGCTCCATGGGGTTGGAGCAGTTCCTACATTGCGAGGCGGACACGTCTGGCTCGGGCGCCGTCAAAAACGCCTGGTCGTTCGTTCGTCGTCCATGCGTTCACGCGGGAAGAGGGAGCAGGACGAAAGGAAGCAGAGAAAAGAACTCTATTCAATATATTATGCGAAGGACATATGAAATAGACAGCTCGTACGGGATGCCCGCCCATCCTCGATACAGCGACATCGCGGAGATCGTCTACGGAATCTACGGGCCCGTCCGGGAGGCCCAAGAGGACGGACGTCTCGAGCTCGGACGCGCTGCCGTCGTCGTCCGAATCTGACCAATCTTCCTCGGTGTGCGGCGCCATGCGTGGGGTGAGATTTAAGAGGGAGGGGGGATCTGTCAAGGGGGAAACGATGATGAGATGACTGAACTCTGGCTGAAACGAGGAAGGAATGAATGTGATTCAGATATGCATGAATGGTAGGAAATAGAAGGACTCGTCATGGAAATGTCCCGGCAAGGAAGCCTTGCCAGAACACAGTCAGACTCGTCATCTGGGGTTCATCTTGAAGAAAGAAACGTATGGATGAATACTAACCTGCAGGGTAGAGGTGGGTTGCAACCAAGGTCGAGCAATAAAATCCGAGAAATTGAACTTTTCCTCAGTCCACGTGGGGAAGTGCACGTGACTACTGACAGTGATTCCTCCTGCCCGACGTGCCCGAGCCGTGTAGCTGCTCCTCGACTTCCTTAGTTTTCTGGAGGATCACTACGCTGACGTATCTTCGCGAGTTCAGAACTCGAGGGAAGCAGAGTACTGCTACTGAGCTTACTGCGGTCTATTCCATCTGTCAAGCTGTGGAATTAGCTTTAGATTTGCCTGTCCTGTCTACCATCATCTGGCAGCTCTGTGGATTGACGATCGCACCGTGGATTCCCAGGACAACACAGCCCATGGCTACCGTCCTGTATGCTCGTGATGGAACTTTGCTGTGGACCTTTTTGCTATGTTTCCAAGGGCTATGTTGTATTCATACTCCGGACCGAGCAACGCCGACTCGGGTGAGGCTTCCGCACTGAAGGTGGACGTACCTCTTACGGTGGCGAAACTGTATTGAATCATTGCTAATCCTGGCTGTCCTGCTAACTCGGTATCGAAGTGATTTGCGCTGGGAGCTGTTTATGGACGAGTCCCGGCGCAGTTCCCTTGGATATTCGCGGCTTCGTGGGTTGTGTGGACTCGGCTGACCGAACGCCGCCGAGCAGAGTCGCACTGTCGAGCTGTGATATACTCCCAGGTTGTCCAACCGAAGCCATGTCCTGCATCAGACGCACCGTCAGGATTCTTCGCGGGAGACTCTCGGTTTCCCCGGCCTCCTCCCCATGGCCAGGCAAAATGACAATGCCCGTGCCTGACAAAGGTACGGCATTGTCTCCCCGTCACCTTCCTCGATGGCATCTTGCTAACGCCTACCACTGATCGTGGTACTCTGTATCAGGCTGTGGCGCAATCACCGGCAACAAGACCCAGCATCGTGTCCTTCAATGAATCATACCCCACATTGCGAGACTCCTAGCAGGTTCCCCGTAGCCCAAACAGGAACGGTGCCACAGCTGGCACGGCGGATTGCACACTCCATTTGCAGGGAAGGGCCCAGATAGCATCGGGCGCCCGGAAGCAAAGCCAGCAAGAGACGCCCGGCTATCTCCGGCTTTCGAGTCTGGATCGGAGAATGCGGTGCACCGGTGCATGCCCGAGGTAGCTGATCCTCCAAACGCTTTCTCACAAAGTCCTGCGGCGTTGACGCGCGCACTCGCTCCTTGTCTTCCCGCCACGACCATCACCGCACGCTATGGCCCCGACGACGACGCAGAAAATCGAGAACGGGCACAGGCAGGAGAACGGGCATGGGCAGGAGAACGGCGCCGCCAAAAAGCGCAGGAGAGGGGCTACGCGGTTATCTTGTGCTGAATGCAGAAGGTACGAGTATCTCGTTCCGCATCCGTTCCTTTGGACTCATCGCAATGTCGCAGGTTGAAACTACGGTGTGATCGCACAGTACCCTGTAGCTCTTGCGTCAAGAGAGGCTGCGGGGCTATATGCCCCGATGGTGAGTCCTATCAAAGACTTCTACGACTCGTGGACTAACATGTTGCGTCAGGCTCTCTCACGACTGGTCAGGGCAATCGGTTGGACACCTTTCCCGTTTCTCCTTGCTCTACTAACAGGCATGTAGTTTCGTCCTTGCATCGACACAAGAGCTCCACGAGAAAATATCAGAGCTCTCCCTCCGCGTACGAGAACTCGAAGACGGATTGCGAGCATCGCACGCAAAGACTGAGACCGGGCTGCACCCACTGCTCAGCGAGGAATTGCTCAAGATCAAGGCGCCGCTGCAGAGGGATCCGTCCTCGCAGCGAACAGACCAGCTCCAGAATGACATCAAGGAGGAGGAGACCAAGCCGGACGTGGTCGATGCCATTGGGTCGCTGTCCATTAGCGACTCGGGGCGCACCAAGTATTTTGGGCACACTGCCAATTCTTGGGTATGCCCAGCGCCGTTATCTCTTGTTGTATGTTACTGATTTGGGTCGGTTTAGTATTTCTTGCAGGTCAGTGGGATCATTTATACGACGACGCGTTGATTGAATGAGGGACAATCAGAACGAGTCACCCGAAGATGAGCCTACAGACGACAGGCTTTCACAGCTATCAAGCGTCCTGCCCGTGGAGATCTTGGCCTTGACAGGCTCTTTCCCTATTACCCGCACGGTCCAGCCATACACCGGCCTACAACTCGATCGATTACAGACCCTGTTCCTATACCTGCCAGACTACCAATCTGCCACGCGATTACGGGACATCTACTACCACCACGCAGCCTGGATGTCCGTACACCCTAATTTCCCTCGTATATGCTAAGCCCGGCGCTGACGCTTTGAGTATACAGGTACGACCCCGTGCCAATCGACTACTTCAACGAGCACGTCTTCTTCAAGATCTACGCGCCCGACGAGCGCTCGCCCGTCGAGGAGGACCTGCTCTCGCCGCGGCTGTCGCTGATATTCATGGTGCTCGCGATCGGGACGCTGATGGACACCAAGCAGGATGCGTATAATCTCGAGGCGGAGAGGTACCACCAGCTTGCGCGCGCGGCGCTCTTCCAGGGCTCGTTGTTTGACGAGCCATCGTTGAATTCGGTGCAAGCGTTGGTAAGGATGATACGGATCCCGGTTATTTTGGGGGTTGCTGATGGGATTGGCGGTGTAGTTCCTCATGTCGTTCTACTTGTTCCTGTCGGATCGACAAGGGACGGATGCGGGCAGCAGATGGGCTATCATGGGTATGGCTGTCAAGCTTGCGCAGAGTGTAGGTTCCACTACCTGCCGTGTTTCTCGTGATAATCCTATGTTAATCACCCTTTCATGTCTAATAGATCGGTCTCCGTGAGTCAACCCCGCATTAATAGTGATTACATCACGCTGATAGTGGGGAATCATAATTCAGACCGCGACATCGGGAAATGGAGAGTCGACCCGACCGAGACGCAGCAGCGCCGGAACACGTTCTGGGAACTGTACACATACGACTCGTGGCAGGTAGGGGCTGTTCTTTTGAGCAAACTGAGACTGGTTGTGCTGATTGGGGCACTCTCTAGTGCTTCACTCTCGGCCGGCCGCCGTCGTTCTCCCTCTCGCATGTCGATTGCAAAATGGCGCACCCCGCAGACGAAAGCCCGGAACGAGCTTGTAGGTCGTCCAGTATGCTCCTAATTATCGTCTGTAATCTCATATTCGTTCTAGTCCACGCTTGGAAACACAGGTTCGTATCCGAGTGCATGAGCGTCGTGCACGATCAGGTGTTCGGCGCCAAGGTGCCGTCATATTCGACCGTGTTGCAGCTGGGACGCAAATTGCATGCTTTCCCCGTACCTGCTATATTGCAGATTGCCGGTTTTGGATCCGGTCCTGACGCAGCGACGAATAATACCGTCGCGTACCCGGAGTCGGTGTCTTTGATGCTACAGAGACATATTGTGCTGGCTATCAGAGAAATGAGTGAGTTGCTGTGATCGCATCGTCTTCATCCCCGACATTGATTTTGTGATGTGCTGCTAGACTTGTTGTATATGCACCGCAGCTTCTTCGCGAGGGCGCTCAGTGAGCACCCTAAAGATCCACTTGGTAGTCCGTACGGCGCCTCCGTCATTGCCGCGTATAGGAGTGCCGGCTCGCTGGTGGCCTTGATGCGCAACCTGCACTCACAATTGACAGAGCTCACAGAGAGGATATTCTTCTTGTGGGGGCATATGTTCTCTTGCGCTGTACGTCATCCATCATGCTGTGCCCCGCACCGATCTACCATCTCATGCTCCCGGTTTTACAGATCATTCTCGGATCTATCGTGACGCGCTGCCCGTCGATGAGCTTTGCCCCGTCCGCGCTAGTGCAGCTCGACTCGGCGTGCGAGCTGTTCGCCAAAGCAGCCCGAGGGTTCCGGACGCAGAAGGTCTTGGTGAGTCGATCGTGGCTGTCCAGTCATGAGCCTCATGGCTAATTTACGATCGATCGGGATTAGACTATTATGCTCAGGATGAAGGAGAAGGCGCACAGCAGCCTGTCCGCGTTCCGGGAGGGCAAGGCTTCGCCGACAGCCCTGCGCCTGCCTCAGTCGGAGCCACCGACGCCTGACACGGACGATGACGAGCTTTCTACCTTGGGAGGACAGACGCGGGTGGTGGCCCGGAAAGAAAGCACGGGTTCCCCGCCGTCTATGCGGTCCCCGACTTCGTTGAACCCTGTGGTCCCTCTGCCCTTGACACCGAATACGGACCATCAAGTGCATCCAACTGTAGTGGAGTATCTGAGGTCGTTCGAGCCGGCACCTCAATCGGCGCCTATGATCGGGACCTCGCTGCACGCAGAGCCGACGCAATATAACGAGGATGCGCAGATGTATATGGGTTATGTATCGAATCCGCAGATGGCGGCACAATATCAGCAGCAATCGCCAGTCACCGCTAATGGAACAGGGTACGCCCACTTCCCGCAGTATTTCCCTGTGTACGACTATGCGCCGGTGCCAAACGGTGCTGACTACAACTATGCGTCGTCCTCCATGCCGCAAATGAACGGGTACATGTCGACGGAGAGGGATAGTGCGTCAGGGAGCCCGGAAGCAAGTATGCAGACGACTTGGCAGGAGTTCGTGGACACGATGACTTGATGTTTTGGTAGATATTGGGCGGCCGATGTATTATGTTTTGCTGTCTTGTTTTCGATTTCATGTATATCAGTAGCACTGTAAGTAATGTGTTCGAGTATACGAAGCTTGTACCCCATACCGACCCCGTACCACGTGATAAGAGGAAATTGTGTGTGGGCGCGGGCTGTGGCACTGCCGTCCAGGCGTTCTGTATCTCATGTTTCGCGTTTCCCCCTTGCAGCCCTGGTCATGCCCATGTGCGGTAGCTCTTCAGTCGCTCAGTCCTTCGGACGAAACAGACCTGTGTGCTTTATCCTTCGAACCTGGCTATCGTGGACGCTCATTGCTGGCTTCTAGATACAACGCAAAGTCGTAGTCTGTGGTGACGGTGCTTGCGGTGCGTTACGACATTGCAGGCAGTGCAGCGTATCGCCGACGCTCATCTAACTCTGTGCAGGGAAAACCTCGCTGTTGAACGTGTTCACTAGAGGCTTCTTCACCCAAGTCTAGTGCGTCATCTCTTGCCCCTAACTGTCTCGGGACGCGTAACGAACGCGGATGCTGTCTAGCGAACCGACGGTCTTCGAAAATTACGTGCACGATCTTTATGTTGACGAGCAGCTGGTCGAGCTGAGCCTCTGGGACACGGCTGGTGTGTACATCGCATATATACGGCCGCGAGGTCGTCGCCGTTCTCTGACATAACAAGATCGGACGTAGGCCAGGAAGAATTTGATCGACTGCGGTCCCTCAGTTATGCAGAAACCCATGTCGTCATGTTATGCTTCTCTGTGCGTCCATAATAGTTCAGGAATGAAGGAATACGTTTGCTAAAGGTCGACGCTAGGTGGACAACCCGACGTCCCTGGAGAACGTTGAGGCCAAGGTATGTGGCAGAACCTACAAGCGATGATGGAATGTTGAAAGAAGATACAGTGGCTAGATGAGATCCTGGAGTATTGTCCAGGCGTAAAGGTGCGAACCAATACACGCTTGATCGTTTCTAACTTCACGCTTACACGGCCTTATTTAGCTGGTCCTCGTTGGTGCGCTTCTTCTTCCATATATTTCATCCTCCCTCTTATCTCCGCATCCTCAGCCCTGAAATGTGATCTCCGAGACGACCGCTCCACAAAAGAGCGGCTCGCCCGGTACGGGACGCATCCTGTGCAGTACGAGGAGGGACTCACAGTTGCAAGACGAATACGAGCTTCACGTTACTTAGGTTCGTCGTTCTTTCTCCGGGCCGCACCGACGCTGATGCATCACACCTGGTAGAGTGCAGTTCGAAGCACAATCGAGGTGTAACCGAGGTGTTCTACGAGGCTGCACGAGTCTCGTTAAGCACGCGCGCCAAAGGCTCAGGTGGGGGTCCTGGCTGTATTATATCCTGATCCCTTTCGCTTTTCCATGGACTACTCGTTGTCGTTGCTCTGCTATGGTCTCTCGTTTGGCGCACAGCTCTATTCTCGGACACTACACATACCATTTGTATTTCTGCTATCTCACTACCTAGCGTATTTGCCGTAATGTGCTTTCATGTTCTCTAGCGATTTCACTAGATCTTTGATCCTTCTGGTGATCTTTCATGGGCCTCATGGTATCATTCTATGAGCGCGGAGCGACATGTATACCCAGCGTAATCCGTGAAATTAATGTACTATGCAAGTCCGAGATATACAAATATTAGGGAGAGACTAGAAGCTAGGATACCCTGTCATAGTCTGAACGAGCGGACGACATCAGTCTACTGAGTCACTAAGGAAACCCGCAGTGCTCACCGGTGCCATGCCGAAGCCCGTTCCGTTCATCATAGGCGGTGGTGCTTGTCCAGAGAAGCTATAATAGTTGCTGATGAGTAGCCGTTGTGGAACGGGTCAGCACTCGGGCTTACCCATTCGTCAACAATAATCGAGAAGCAGGGTTGATGATTGGGGCCTCAGTCTCTTGTTGCTCCTTCTGAGTCTCTTTCTTAGCCCGCTCCTTGACTTCCTTCTCTAATGCAGCAAGCTAGTCGATAGATTAGACTAAACCGATGAAGTGCGTTCTTGATCGCTACGCACCTTCTCCACAAGCGATCTCGACACCTGGATCTTGTATGGCATGTAGAAGTCATTCAAGCCATGTTGCCACGACAGCTCTTCGACAATATCTTGCCGCAAGAGATCGAAGCATAGGAACAGCATTGCTGCGAAACACTCCTTGTTGCCGATATCGACAAAGTATGACAATAACTCCTCGGCAACTTCCGTAGATGCAGACGTAGCCGCGGTGATCATGGCATCCTTGTAGAGCTTGTCGGCCTTGGAGAGTGCTATTGATTCCTCCCAGCGACTATTTTTCTGAATAGTCATGTTAACCAACTGTAAGTTGATGCGAGCCCCAAAGTCTGTTACCTTGTACAAATGAGCAGCTAATCTCCGGAACTCGAGTAGTGGATGCTTCTCCAACCGCTGGGCGAGGCTGATGTTATTGAAGTTGTCGAAGCTGTCGATGGAGTCTCGGAGTGTCTTGTAATCCTCTTCGTCCATAAGTAAGTCGTTGTATGCATCATTGACAGCCTCGATGTTAAGCTGAAAGATGGTCAGTGATTGACTTATTGAGATTCTTTCGGACGTACATGTTGAACAGCAATCAGGTACGGGCGGATGAGAGGGAGATGGTCGATCTGGCGGAACATGCGCACGACACGAGAGTGGTCAATGCGAGGAATGAGTACGGTCATGAGGTCTGTCAGCAAGGTGGGTTGTTCTTGCAGATAGAACGTGAGCGCCTTGTAGTACCTAAACACGGGGTGAGAGGTTGCGTAGGAATAGCTGCACGGTCACTGACAGTTCAATGTTGGCAACACGGACGATAACATCCTTGAACTGATTGTGCTCCCAAGCATCTGCAGACCGCTCCATCATTGCCAGAGCCGCATTATCCTAGCCCAAGGTTTCAGCATTGACCCTAGAACTAGCGGATGATAACACACAAATTCATCGTATTTGATGTACAGGAAGACAAGCTCCGGCCAGAGATGAGCCCGCTCAGTGGCTTTGATGACCTGACGGGCAGGGTCAGTATAACGTATATGAGATGCGTCCCAATGAACCGTACCTTCGGAATGTTAATGCGCGAAACGAAAAGCTTGAGGTGCTCCATGACTACATCACAGTTAGACTGACGAACAGTAACAAACGTGAAATGCACTCACGTTTCTCGGGGCGGTACTTGCTATACAGAATAGCCAACTCCGTGAATATACCCATCTATTCAAGGCTAGCTCTTAGCAATAACCGAGCACCACAAAACAATGAAAACGCACGTGAGCTCTCTCCAAACTCAAAGCAGCCTCCAGCAAGGCCAGAACCTCGTCAAAGTGACCCTTCCGCTCATACAACGCGACAAGGGCCGGAAGTTCTTCAGCATGGACCACGATGTTGAGACCGCAAATTTGTGCCAGGCGGAACTCGTTCTTCTCCATGCAAGCAGCGTGTACTTGTTTCCAGACCTGAGTATTCCCTGCTTTCCTTGCGCTCTCCACGGCTGCCTGATTCTCGCCTAAGTAGATGAGTGTGGTCGCGAGACGCGCCCAGTTGGAAATGCTCGTGAACAGCAGTTTTGCCGCTTGGTACAGTTCGTCTTCGAAACATTTCTCTCCAACTTCCAGAATATCGGCAACATTCGTCATAGCCAGGAAGTCCTCCATGTCGTGCAAGCGATCGGTCTTGGCGTATGCATAGGCAAGCTCGGTGTCGATCTTGGGTTCCCGGAGCGATTTGCGAGCCATTTGCAGATACCGGACGAGATCGTCATACTTGCCCGCATGGCTGGCAATTTCTATGACCTCGGCGAAGTTCGAGGGGTCTTCGGCCTTAATATATGAGTCTGACCGGCGAAGATTATGAGTACATCTGTTGTATAGTGCGTTAGAACAACTCACCGATAGCATCCTTGACACGGAGACCGTCGAGTTGGGCCTTGGCCAATCTGCTCCAAACCTCTGGCTTATTGACCTTCAAGGCGTATTCAACGCCACGGTCAAGAGAGACAATGTGTTCGACCAGGACGTTGATGGCGTTGACATGTTGCTCGTATTTCTTGAAGATCATGAACGCCTCTTCGTACAAACCATGGTCAATAGCAATCTTGGCAATCTCCGCGACGTCGTAGTTCTGCAGCTTGTTAATGTACCCAACGACCTTGCCCTTGTCAGCACGGATGGCCGTCAGCATGAGCAAGTTCTGCAAGTTCTTATTGTCGCTGAATGGTGAGGGCTCGATGATGATCTTCTCGAGCAGCTCAATAAGCTCAATCGGCAAGTCTGCCGATAAGAACGCTTTGACAGTGACAGAGACGTCGTCCGGATCGGTACTCTCTGGTACAGCGGTTGCCACAACCTGTCGATGAGGAACAGTTAACACAGCCGAGCCGGGTTGGAAAAGCATATATAATACATGCCTGGTCAATGAGCTGTCGGCGGTGAATGTTATCCGGGACGAGCACTTGAGCCCATAACTCAGGCGAGCGACGCTTGACAAGGTACCTGGCTTGCTGCTTGAACATAGAGTTCTCATTCGTGATGTGGATGAGCTCCTCGTCGCAGAAGCCTTTTGCATATGCGATGAACGCCAAGTAGGGATCCCGAGCCTCGCAGAACTTTCCAACCACAAGCGGGTCGTATAACTGACGAAAAACCATGAGTGAAAGGCACAGAAATAAGCAAGATAATATAGTTTACGTTGTTCTCCTTCAAGAACGCCTCTGGGTTGTTGTTGCTGTCAATGTAGATCTTTGCAAGAGCGTTGAAGACTGCAGGGTCTTGACTACCACTCTGGACACGAGCTTCCAGCCACGGCAAGATTAACTTCAGCCTGTTCCTCTGCTCCACCTCTTGGACGAGTTCGTCGATGGGGAAATTACCGGTCACGGAAGCCAACAATGACTTGATCGTCGACTCATCACAGTCCACGTCAAGCAGGCCACCAATGACTTGAGGTGTCCGGGCAGAGTTGACTCTCTGCACGTACACCTCAATGAACTTAACAAGACCATTCTGGTACAGATAGAGGACGAGGTCGTGGACGAAGTCAAACCTGTCGCAAACAATGATAAGCGGCAGCTGGTCCTGCAGCTTCGCTTCCTTGAGGAAGTTCTTGACCTTCTCGGGGTTGTAGAAATTACTCTCTCTGCAGATCCGCTCCACTTCCCGAATCTGTCCGGTCCGAACGGCAGCCTGGATATACTTGAAGTGGACCTCGGGGTCCTGGCTTAAGTTCACGATGGATCCGAGGTAGTAATAGAGACCTGAAGACGTGTGAGACGAGGACGTGAGCAGATCAGAGGAATGCACTACCTTCGAAGCTCTTGAAAGATTCGAACATCTCAATGAGGGCAACAGGACCGAGGATGTCGGAGTACTTCGTGGCAACCTGAATAACGACTTGGAGGTTCTGTCGGATATTAACACGAAGCATCTCCTGTAAGCATGCCATCGACTGCTCAGTCGTGAGACGGCTGAAGTAGTCGACAATCCACTGCATAACATCTCAGCATGTGTAAACAGAGGATGACTTAGCCGTGCAAAGGGACGTACCTCAGGCGGAAGGGCATTGGTATGCACAATGACCCGCTTGATATCTGCAAGGTCCTCGTAATGCTCAAGGGCCTGAAATGAGCGTGTAAGAATGGCATCGTTGCCTCAACCCGCATACAAGAGCTCACTCTCTGCAGCAGCCCTGCTCTCTCGCAGAGATTCGCGATTCTGGGGCGGTCGTAGTAGCTGAACATCTCGTTTCCGAGGATAGCATCGGCAACTTGGGGCGCGTGGACCAAGTTCATTTCGAGCAGTCGGGTCTGGAGGTGGCCTTGCTCCGGCTTGTTGTCCTTCAGTGCATCCAGTAAGAACGATGTCGCTGGCTGAATCATATTCTGGGACATGAAGATGTCGACCACCTGGAATCATGGTCGACTTAGACGGTACTCGAGCGGATACGTTTACGGGTGGGCTTACTCGCTCGATATCAACCAACGGCCCTGACTCGTCATTAACAAGCTGCGTCGCGAACTCTGCTCCCTTCTCGGGATTGACCCGCATGACGTGTTGCAGAAGCGCAACATAGTCAGGCGTGTAGCCAACCTTCTTCGAGTACAGGATAATCTTGTCGACCTGACCGGTCTCAGCGAAGCAAGCGATGACCTTATTCGGAACGTTGGCTCTGAGGTACACACTGAGAGCCAAGGTCATATCGTGCAGCCGAACAATGTCACCCAGCTCCTCGCTGCAGGTAAGCTAAGATATGCAGTCAGTACACGCCTTGCTTGCAGACGGCCAATAAGAAGCACCTTGTTCTCCTTAAGCCACTTCTCCAAGAGCTGCTTCTTACCCTGCTGAAGCACGGGCCGTGCAAGCTCCACGGATTCAAGGTGATTGAGTTCTCCCTTCTCAAGAAGGATGCCGAAGTACTGCAGGATAGGCGATAGGCCGCCGGGTGGTGCAGGGGCACGCTTGAACGATTCGATAACTTGAGCGGTACGCAATATACCCTAGAGCAGTGATAAGACTTAACAGATGCAGAAGTCGAGATACAGTGAGTAACCCACCCTTGGAGAGTTGGCAGCAACCTTAGCAGCCTCGCCGAACTGCCCAGCGGCGAAAAGTTGCTGGTACTGCTTGATGTACAGGTCATCGGCACCCGGCAGATTAGCCCGGCTAGCCAGCTTGAACGCAAGCTCCGTATTGTTCAGGATGGTCAGAATATAGGGGACCACGGTCTGGTCATCGACGTTCACACTCAGCACCTGACCCTTCTTGTTCACGCCAATGATACCATTCGTAGCCTCCATCTCAGCCGTGACGAAGATAGTTTCGCCGGAGATGCGGTTCATGTAGATGCACGCGCCAGTCTCTAGGTCGTAGAGATGGATGAACCCGTACTTGGTGACAAGGTATACGATCCCATGCTTCTTTGACACTTGCATGGCGACGGGGAAATCATTGGTAGCTTCCGGAGGGAAATAGACATCGACCGCCTTCTTGGTATAAGGCGGGTCGGGGGCTTGATGATCGATCTCAACGATGTGGAGCTACCGCACACGTTAGGAGTAACGCTAGACTGAAGAAGAAAATACGCACTTTGGCTCCAGTCGCTGTCCGGACAGAGAATGTGAAAAGCTTGACAGGCTTAGAGTGTCCCTCTATCTTCATCTCTGCGAACGCAGCAGCGTGTCCTTCAATAGGCTGGCTAACACCCCTTTCCCTGCTATACAGCTGCATCCGTCCCTGAACCTTGAAAGCCGAGGGGTTCGTAGAATTTCCTGAGATGCCTATCAAGACCAGCCATTTCTCGTCATTGCTCGCACGGTAGTTGATGATCTGGGCTCCGGCCAGGGTGGGGTGCCGGTCAAAAATCTTCTGCGGGGCAGCCTGGTCGTTGATAGACCAGTGGTAAACTGCAGTGTCGGTCACCAGACCAAGGGTGCTATCCGAAATCCACTTCCAGAAGACGATGTCCTCGTTATTGACATGCGACTTTACTTTTTGCTTCGTCTCGATGTTGAAGACCTGGAGCGTTCGGCCAGCTGCAATCACGAGTCAGCTTACACCGACGCACAGCACGGGTACTGCGACGCGTACCCTTCAAAGCCAGGATCTTTTGGTGAGGGTGCATAATTGCCGAGTCGGCGGTAATGGGTCGGCGGAGGACATTGTTGGCGTCAGCAAGGTCGATGATAACAACCTGATTTTGCTCGTTGACTTTCTCTCGAACGCAAATGAAGTGGTCGGACTCGAGGGTCAATGTCTGCACGGAGGCTACGTCAATCCAAGCAGCAGGCTCATGCGGACGCGTCACGCACCTGGAAGGAGATGGACGCGGGTTGTATGCCCAAGCTAGAGAGCTGCAGGTGCTCACAGAACGCAATGGGCTTGGTCGTGTCCATGGCCGACGGTCGTTCTGTGTGTTGCGACGGCCAGCACGCACGAAAGAGTTACAGGGATGGTACTCCTGCCTTCGCGGATTCAGGTTGCCATTACCGCACCGAGTTTATCCTTGTTTGTCCACAGGCCTCATCACCGCCTCACTGCATCCTGCGCTTGCATAGTCTCCTCTCGAAGTTTCTCCGTTATGAACGTGTCGTAATATAAGTATGGAATACATAAGATACATGTAAGATAATGGGTCTATGCTGCAGTCAACCCACGTAACCCTATTCCTCTCCGAGCGCCAGCGCTTGCTCAATATCCTCGTCCACCGGTAGGGTAGTAGCAGGGGGAGGCGTGCCGTAGTAAAAGCGTTGCATAATGATGCCTGGAAGAGTGTCACCGTCAGAGGGTTCCCAGGGAGATCCGAAGTTTCGACTCACAGAAGTCGATTGAGAGCTGGAAGATGGCGCAGACCTTGAACTGCAATGGAGACCCTTGCAAGAAGAAATACACGGTCCTGCGAGGCAAAAGATATTACATACTTCCCTCAAGGAAAGTAGAATCGACCACTTACTTGAACGAGTCTCCTCCCACCCAACCGATGAGGGTAGAAGCTCGGAACCCATACAATGATCGTTGCTTATAATTACTAGGGCACATGGGGCTTGAGAAACAGGATTTCACGAGTGATGACGTGTACATACCTTATCAGCTGCGGTATAGGAAGGGTACTCTCGAGGCCTAGAGCAGCGAAACCCAAGAATGCTACGAATATACTCGAACGGCCAAAGATGAGGAAGAGAATCGCCAAACACAGTCTATCTCGCGGTCAGTCCTGTTCACGAGGGAAAGAGAAACACGGACATGTATCCAGCAAGGAATTCGATGTACTGTGAGTATGTTCCCCACTGCCAAAATGACAGAGGTCTGGTAGAGACACCGAGATTCTCAGGACTAAGGCGCGGTCGGTAGTGGATGCAAATGTACAGCAGAGCTAACTGAGCATGCAGTCAGATTATGGGTCCGCATGCTCTAAGTCTTGCGTCGTACCTGGGCGAGAATCATCAAGATAGACTGCAAGAGCAGCGGGAATTCAAAGTGCTTCCCAAGCCAGAAGAAACATCTCGTGATGTTCGCTATAAGCCTGCACGAGACTTGTTAGTACAGGCAGCTGCATCTCTCGAAGCAAGGAAAGAGGCATACAGTATTGCGCAGACATCACGAGAAAAGCCTGTAGAGTCCCTAAGCACGCATACGTGTCAGTCAGCACGTCCCCCTCTAACGTAGTTCACGAGAGGTACTTTTTACGGACTATTGAGATAGCCTGGTCAGCATAAACCAAGGGCGGACCAACCGCCATGCCCACGGAAGCTAGTGTAGATAGCCATGACGGAGCCATCGGAAAGAGGCAGAGTGCAAGCGCCACTGGTTGCCACAACGGACCCAGACGCGTCGGACGAGCTCACGCGTCGTAGACGCGCGATCGAATTCGAATGCTTTGATGCATTACACAATTGCAATGTACTACACTCATTCTCGAGAAGAGAAGTATCGTAGCAGCTAGGAAAAAGATTTAATTCAACTCGGATACAGCTCTCCTCCATAAATAATGTCCCAAACACGGTATGGGAGCTTTCCTAGAAGTACCATGTGCATGACGCTATCTTAAGCAACCTGGTGAGAGCCCGCATTACCTACACACAGGAAAGTAGCGACTTCAGGAACAGCTTCGTAAAATGATTCTGTGCATATCACTGACCGGATGGCAACGACCTCATTGATCCTTTTTTACTTCGAGCGTGCTACCCTCCGTTTTCTCGAGCGCTGCAGCTCTGGCCAACTCCCTCTGCTCTAAGCGCCTCGCATATTCTTGTCCAGCCTGAGGACAGGCCTGTCAGTCTCGAAGAGTAATCTCGAATCGCACGAGATATGCACCTGAAGGGCCAAGATCCCTCCCAAAAGCATCATAGCAAGAGTATTGCTTGCTGATAAAATCCGCATAGCTTCGATTTGGTCCTCCCGAGTATCGACATCTGGCACAGGATCAACGACCGTCTGGACGGATGGTATGGTCACAGTGAAGTACAGCGCGATGCTGAATATGTACGCGGCTGCTCCATAAGTCAACTCGACATCACGGCCCAGTACGTATGCGCACTCACCAAGCGATGAACCATCGAAGAACAGAGCACTTTCATCCCATGTTGCGACTTTCGAGGTCAGGCCAATGATCCCGACCCCTCCAATGCCGTAGAGCATCGCCTATAGCGCGAGTTAGTTGACATAGGCACAGCATCACATTGTTGGACGTACCTTAATTGCGGGTGGTGCGCTATAGAACGTTGTATACAGCTGGAACCCATCCTCCACCGCCTGTTCGTTCAAATGGAAGAGTAACCGATAGTCGACATTGAGGCAAATAAATAGAACACCTGCATTTACGACCGGACCCGGGAACTCAGAGCAAGCCCCGACCGGCGTGGTTGTAATAGGACTGACCGAGAAAGAAGGAAACCGAAGACAGCACGGCTGCCTGCCTGAAGCCCATTATGTGTCTGCTCTGTGACACTGGAGGCAGAGGTGTTGAACGGCGCACGTGTTATCACGAGCTGGTGAAGAGGAAAACAGACGGGCGTCTTGATGCTTGATGGCGCTAGCACGTCAAGCTCAAACAGCGCTTCGCATACATAGCTATCATGATGCAGTGTACGAGATCCACTGGTAACGACACTCGTCGATAATAAAATGCCGCTATATAAGACATACAGACTGTCTGGGTATAAATGGTGCCAGATATAGATGCAACAGCAAATAAAAACAAAAACGTCCAGGAATGATGAACAGAAAAACTCGAAGGAGTGGGATCCTATCTCGGAGTGTGCATTGGAGAAATGGGTGTCGACGTTGCAGGCTCCTGATTGGGTGTGTGCGGTGAGTGACCTCCTGGCCTGGGCGAACGAGGTAGGCCCATTACTCTACTATGCCGACGCCCGCGAGCATCCGTCTGGATATTGAGCCCTCGACTGGCGGCAAGGTTTGAAGCTCTTGATCGGGCCTGAATGGTGGACGATGCCGAGTCAGGACCTTCGGGCGGAGCTTCGTGCACCATTTCACGATACTGGGGCGATGTATTCGACGCGAAAGATTCGACCGTAGCTTCGTTCTCAGTCGTCTCGGTGCCGCTCTCATCGTGGATTGATAGCTCCTCTTCAGCGTCCGAGTTACCTTCCTCAGGAGGTGCTGTGGGAATCACAAACGAATGTCAATTTGCCACAGGTCATTATGATACGTCACTAGTACTCACGTTGCAGGGCACTGGCAGAGAGACCCAGGAGCTGATCTGCAGCCGCATCCGCGTATTGCCGGCTGTTTCGTCGACTGACACCAGCAGGCGGTTCCAGCATGGCAGCGTCAGCAGTAGGTTCATGTGCCTCCTCGACTGGAGTTGTCTGGTCCCCGTTCACATTGAACACGCGGTTGAACTCGCCGAGCATTAGACTGAAGACGCCAGCCGGGATGGCAAGGGTCGGGCTGAAGACAATGCCAACGTTGCGCATCGTCATCTTGTTCACAGACGAGTTCTGCACAATGAGGATGAGATGGGCAGTTAGGGCACGCAGTAAACTATAGTTCGGGAGAGGCAGCGCCGCGATCAGCCGTGAAAGTTCATCGATCCTTTCTTGGGGATCAACGAAGTCTGCAATAATGTCAGAGCAGTGCATGGAAAGAGGAAAGGAGAATTGGCATACCCATCACTGCCAGGAATTTCAGATGCAGGTCTCGCGTGAGAATACTCGTTGGTAGTTCTCGGAGATACGTCTTGAACAACCCAGCAATGGCATGCAGATCCCAGTATTCACCGGACCCAAGGAGATCGACATCTCCCTCTGAGGACCATCAGCTCTGCCCATCGCACCTGTGACCAATAAGCTACTCACCAGCATTGAACCTGTCCTTAAGAGCCTTGATCTCAGCGGAACTACCACTCAGCCGATAGATACCCTCCTCTTGATCCGCCTTCTTCGCCTGCAGATATTCTATGCATCGAAACGCAATAGCAGGCAAGTTGGCGATCTGCGCGACATCGAGAGCTTCCTCGATTGGCACGCCAAAGACAGCGCGAGGCACGTATGTAGGAACATTCGGCTTCTCCGCTACAAATCGTCAAATTTGAGTATCCATGGCAGGATGAAATGGAAATAACGCTCACCATGAGGCCGACCGAAGCCCCAAAATGTTCTCGACTTGGCTTTCTCTCTTCGGTCACTCGACGACGGGGTAGTGTCCGGTCCACTCTTCCCACCACCAAACTTAAAGCCCTCCGGTATAGGCGCGCCGTTAAGAGGTCCTGAAATCTTCATCTTCCCGTTCGCATCCGCCTTTGGCGTCGCTTGGGCTGCAGCACTTTCAGGTGACGCTGGCCGATCAGGCGAGTCACGGTCAAGACTATGGTTTGGCGACGCCCTCACCGGTGCAAGAGGAGGGTATTGTGACTGTCTGCGCGCATTCCGATCGCGTTGTCGCTGCTGATCAGGCGTGGCGCTACCTGGCCTCGCGGTCCCCATGCGCTGCTCTAGGATATCCGGATAATGGCCCTGCTCCGAGTTCGACCTCTGGCCAACAGGTACTAGCGTCTCGCTGGCTGAGTCCAGTGCAGATCCAGTCGTAGGTAGCGAGCTCGATATCGGCACATCTCCGGCGGGGGCTGATGACGTCGTCTCCTCGTCCACGTGAGGGGGTACGCTTTGGAATAGCTTCGCGTTACTTGCATCTGCAGGCAATTGCGATAGGGGCACCGCTGGGCCCTTGGCGATCTCGTCTTTGGACAAGCCGCGCGGGCGCCTGCCCACTGGGGAGGTCGTGATGTTGTAGTCTGAGCTTGTGCTTGGACGCGGCTCCGGGCCATTCTGCATCTGCATGTCTCCCGACATCGGCCCGTTGCTCACAGCTGTTCCTGGGCTGTCGTCGTACGAGCCCATAACATATCGCACAAGCACTTCGACCCAGTTGTCCCTCTCCTCGTCACTCTCTGCACAGAGAACATGCCGTGCGCTTGATCCCGTAGGCCCTTTCTTAGCTTCGATGATCAGGAAGGCGTGCCGGTACTCGTTCTCGGCGTCTGAGTCGGAATGAACACCAGTCTTCTGCTGCTGGCGGCCGATCTGTGCGCCAGTGATAGTAATAGAACCAAGATGCGCACCACCACGCTATGAAAACATATCCTTCAGCCTTTTCACAAAGTACCACTGCCCACGTAAGTGACTCACACTCTCATAGTATTCAAGCACCGGCCCTTGCAGCACGAAATATCGTAGTTTCCAGCCACCAAAGTTTTTACCTCGCTTGGTGAGATAACCTTCCTTGTAGCCAGGTTGCGCTACCGGCTTCTTCGTCTCGCGCAAGATATCAGACGTGAAGAAGGCGATAACCTCATCCTTATTCTTGACAGGCAGGTTGATAAGCGACTGCAAGTAGTTCTCCAATGCAGCCTACAGTTCGGCCGCGACCGGAGTGAGCTCGCAGACCACAATACCTTGCCTTTTACACATACCTTCCTCTGATCAGCCTTCACCGGCGCACGATCCCTCCACAGCTTCCCATCCGGCAAACTCGCAATCTTCTTCGTCGCGCTCTTGCCGACACCCGCACGGACCCTCTGGTCGAGCATTAGCACATCGCTGAACAGCTTCTCCACCTTCCACGGCTCCTTCCCCCTCCCGGGCTCGACGCTAATCACGAACGACAGCACCTCCTTCCCACGGTCGTTAGGCCGGATGGAAGAGTGTGAGACATGCACACGCGTGTAGGGGAGATCGGTCGGCAGCAGCGGGAGGGCGCGGAAGGTAGGGCCCGTGATAGGTGGTGGTAGAGGACCCGGCGCAGCTTGGAGTGACGAGGTGTCTGAAGTAGATTGCGAATCCGGAGTAGCACGGTTCTGACTTGACGCTTCACCGGTGCCGTTCGGGGGTCTCGTTCCAGGCGGGAGAGGGAAGTCTTCCACCACTGGAGCCGGTTGTCGAGCTTTCTGTGACGGGCCCGGCTGAGCGGTGGGCATGCCAGGCGGTGACTCGCGGTAGCGGAGATCCTCTGGTGGGACGTCACTCGCGCTGTCGTCGCCCATGTCCAAGAACTCCCGGTCCGCGTTGTCATCCGCCTCCTTTGCCGTACTATGTTTACCGTTGACAAATGGCTCCTGTTGGGCGAGAGGAGATGACTCTCTGTTCCCAGCAGCTGCTCCTGATTCAGGACCAAGCTGTGACGGCGACTCCGATCTCACTTCCTGAGGAGTGCCAAATGCACCGACTCTCGGACTTGTTGCCGGGGACGCCATGCTGGCCATGTAACGCTTCGCCTCTTCGGGAAGCGATATCTGCGACTCTCTCGATAGACCCACGAAAGGTCTAGCCGGGGGAGCAAGAGCATCCACGGGAGGTGATGTTGTCTGCGGCGCTGTAGAGACCACGCTCGGTTGAGGTTCGTTCAGGGCCAACGAAGATGTCGAAGCATCGTTCATGCGGTCACTGAAGGGATGGTGGGAGGATAGGGAGGATGAGTTAGCGATGTCAGCGCTGTGGCTGGTCATGATGCTGGCGCTCATGCTCGATTTGCGAGGGGGGATTTGTAGGGGCTGGGTATTTGCTACGCGGGCCTCGGCGGGCTGCTGAATAGGAGACGGGTCGGTGGAAGATGCGTATGGGAGATCGGTGGGGGATCCTGAAGAAGACGGGAATGGCTGGGATGATCCTTGGGGAACGATGATCTGGGGGCGGGAGGGTGTGGTAGGGGTATGGGGCTTCCCCGAAAATTTGAGCGAAAGCCAGTGACTATAGATGTGGATACTTACTGGTGCGTTGTTCTCGTCACTCCTCTCTGGTTTTCGCAACGCCTCTTGTGAACGAGTCGAAGATAGTTTATGAGCTCTGGGTTTTTGTGGAACTGCGGTATGCAATTAGATACGTAGCACCGCCTGAGATGAGCTGCAACTAACCTTGATCATCCGAGTGATTCCTGGAGAGTTTCGGATCAGACTCCTCTCCTACAGATCTCAACTTAGAGTTGGACGCGGACGTCTTCAGCGTCTTGTGTTTTTCTTTATCTCTCTTTCCCAACAACTCTGTGCTCTCCCCCAGCCCATGCAACCGAGATTTATACGCGTCACGCTCCGATCGTAGGCGCTCGACTTCCTTCAGGACATGGTTGTACGCGGTGCGCTGCTTCTCAATGAGCTTCCACAACTGGGCGTTCTGCGATGACAGGGTGTTGCGCTCTGAGAGGATCTGTTCTAGTGCGGCTAGATGGGGCTGCGGTGCGTTGGCATGCTGTGCGAGAGCTGCCTCGAGCGTGACGGCGCTGTATCCCTGATGAAGTGTGGCATTCGAGGGCGAGGCCATCATTCGGTTGATTGACTGGGAGGAAGTCGTCGACGAGGAGACAGATGCAGTCAGATCGCTGGGACGGAGACGGTCGCGTGAAGGGGTTTGTATGTTATTCGCCATTGAGGATGCGCAAAAAGATACGGCGGGCGAGCGAGTGCGGGGGGATCAACCCACCAGCTGCAGTAAAGCGAGCGACAAGAGGGAACGTATCAGGATATAACAACAAGAAAGTGGGAGGCCGCCGTCGTATACACGGTCGGCGCTGGCAGCAACGACGGCGAGCAGGTCGTCGTCGTCGGAGAGAGCAACGAGAGCAAGCAGTGTTGGGATGCGCGAGACGGAGAGCCCACTGGGGAACCAATCATCACGGGCTTCGCTCGCCTGTTCAAATCTTGATCTTGACCGCTTTTGGGCGCTCTCCCAATCCGTCCTTGTTTGTGGACGCCCATAATAAATCCTTGCAGTTTCACCCGTCGCCGCCACGTCTGCCTCCAACGACGACCTCGACGCCGGAACAGCGCTGCCTGAATCGACGGTATGCTGCGCTCGACGCGACTCCAGCTGGCTGCAACTCGTCTGCTCCGGGCGTCGCGATCCTCGTTCCGTGCCCCCGTTGCGAGGACGCCTATACCAATTTTCGACGGTCGTCTGATTCCTTATCGCCTTCAGAGCACTACCGTGCTTAAGGAAGAGCCAGATGGCCCCTCCAGTGAAACACCTGCTCGTGCAGAACATGCAGTCATATCGACTTTCGATCTCTTTAGCATCGGTGGTTCGTGACCTGCTGTCCTCCGATTGACAACATGATGTACAGAATATGGCTATCGCAGTCGGCCCAAGTAGCTCGCATACAGTGGGGCCTATGAGAGCAGGCAGGATCTTTATTTCGGACTTGCAAGAGTTAGGCGTCCTTGAGAAGGTAACTACACCTCACCTCGGCCACTGCTTCTCGTAACACGCACATCCAGGTCCACATGATCAAAATAACGTTGTGAGTAAGATTCGTCTAGTCACAACAAGATTCCACAACTCTCTGTAAGATATGGGTCCTTGGCAGCCACAGGTAAAGGCCACCACACACCCCAAGCCATCTTGCTAGGACTAGAAGGATCGGATCCCGAGACGATAGACACCGGGACCATCCCCTCTCGGTATGCTTCCATAGTCGACAACAAGACACTCCTCCTGGGCGGTAAACACAGTATTCACTACGACATGGACCGTGACATGCTCTGGCGGTTTGACCAGGTCTTGAAGACACATCCAAACGGGATGCGGTTCTCGGTCTTTGACGAAAACGGTGACCTGCTGGCGACGAATGAGTACTTCAGGTAAATCTCCGTTGCAATTTCGTGTGTATACGGGTTTCAAGAACGTGGTAGTGTTGGTGGCGGCTTTGTCGTCAACGACAAGACGAAAGGTACTAATCAATCATCGTCCGTGATAACTCGAGATCGTGGCTAATACAAACTAGTCGACGAGAACTTGTTCTACAAGAGCGTTGACAAGAGCGCCGTGCATGGAGCTCGTCTACACCAGAGCCACATGACTGAACCGGGCGACATCCAGCCTCCAAGCGGTGCCCCTCAGCCTCCATACCCCTTCACGACTGGCGAGAGCTTGCTCGCCTTAACCAGGAAACATAACGTACGCTATACCTTGAACGAAGCTGCGCAGTAGCACCTAATAAGAGTCGCACAGATGACAATAGCCCAGATTGTCTTCGACAACGAGATGTCCTTCGGCCTGACTGAAGACGACATCCACCAGAAGGTGCGTGCATGCATCACTCCCGATCTATTGTTTATCTGACGTGTCACCATAGTTAATGCGCATATGGGCCGTGATGGACGACTGCATCCGGCAGGGAGTCGCCACACCGGAGTTGACGCTGCCGGGGCGACTGGGTCTACGTCGTCGTGCGCCGATGCTCTACAGGAGGCTTATGCGAGGGTGCGTGAAGCTCCGCCGTTTGGACTCTCTGTCCAAAGAACTCATGGGTGGGTAGGTTCTACCCCGGCCTGGTGTCACCACGTGTCCCCTCGCTCGACGCGCCGTCGCAAGAGCCCTCTCCAGCTGTCGAGGCCCCCGCAGGGGAAGAGCCCAGCCAACCCCAGTCGTCGAGCTCGGGTAGTTCAGGCAACACAAGCAGGCAGAGTAAATCCATATCCCGGCCGGCACGCGTCGTGGGCTCGCTCGATCATCCGATGTTGCCCATGCCCCCAGTACGTGCAGGCAATCTACATCCTAAGGTTGCTTAAGTACTAACGTGGAGCGTACCCGTTGCAGCGCAAGACGGTCATTCCAGCCATGGATTTCCTCTCGTGCTACGCTATCGCGGTGAACGAGGTGAATGCGGGCGGAGGCCGCATCGTGACGAGTCCTACAAACGGTGCTGCAGGCGTTATTCCAGCGGTCTTGAAGTACATCGTAGAGGTAAGCAGCTCGAGGCTGCGTCGCCGAAGCATAAGCTCAGGTTGAACGGCGATTCAGTTCGTGAGCGACGACCCCGAGAAGAGTACCCAGACATTCTTGTTGACGGCTGCGGTAAGCTATATTCGTGTATACTAGTGGACGGAGGTTCAACTTGCATTGTTTTACTCTAGGCGGTTGGTATGCTGTTCAAGCGCGGCAGTACTATATCTGCCGCTGAAGGCGGGTGCCAAGCTGAAGTCGGAGGTACGTTCGAGGGCTGCTCTGGCCCCAGGTACACCACACTAACTGTTGTTTTGCTAGTGGCCTGCTCGATGGCAGCCGCTGGTTTTGCAGCGTGCATGGGAGGTGTGGATCTCCGGATCCTTCAACATGTGTGTCCCGACTAACCCACCATTCAGCGACCCCCGAAACCGTTTTACAGGTAAGGCTACAAAGCGTGTATGTTGTAGTGATTGTATATGCCTCATTATGGTATAGGCTGCAGAGATTGGTATCGGTGAGTTTCGATTCCGTTGTCATGTCAATCACGATCCATGAGAATTAAGCTTCACACAGAACACAACCTCGGGTTGACGTGCGACCCCATCGATGGGCTAGTGCAGGTTCCCTGTATAGTAAGCCCCATCTACCGAGCGATATGTCAGGGCAGGTCGCGTTAATCGATTGCACTATGCACAGGAGCGGAATAGCCTCGGAGGTATGCTGCCTGCGTTTCGTTGTCTGGAATTGAAGACACGACGCTGAGTCGATCGCGCGGACAGCCGTGAAAGCTATCACTGCCGCGCAGTTGTCCATGGCCAGCGATGGCGTCTACAGCGTTACGCTCGATGAAGCTATAGAGGCTATGCGGGTGACTGCCGCCGATATGAGCGTCAAGTATAAGGAGACGAGTTTGTCGGTACGTTTATCATTATCTAAACAGTTCGTGGCGATGGTTCTGACTATCTATGTCTTATAGGGACTTGCGGTAAGTCGAAGCTGCTCTTGCCGGCTTTGGCCTGACCCCCCCCTTTTATGATAGACAACGGTGAAGATTCCGTTGACCGTTCCGGCTTGCTAACCCCGGCTAGCCTATCACACGTTGGCAATGGCACGCCCTTGGACATAGACATACTTCTCATTTATCGAATCTAGACTTACGATAGCATTGATATTATGACTTTGGACATCTTACTGCATCACTTCAACCATCTCTGCTTGAGTGGTGGATCCCCGGTCGAAAATTGCTATACTGTAGCGCCACAGTATTGTGACCGTGTTGATACAAGGGCTGGGGTGGGCTTCGACTTGGACCTGGAAGATCAAATGCTGACTTACGAATGCTCGGAAGTGGCCAGGGCACGGCTCGAGCTCACTGGCTGGGTGACCAAGGGTGGCCAGTGCCAAAGCAGATACGCCGGCCCTATATGTAGCTATTTCCCACGGGAAGTCTTATAAAACCGAGTGGCTTCAATTTTTAGACCTTCGTGCGGCGACACGGCTACCAATTTCCCCATGTTGCTCATGACTGCATATCCCACTGGATTGTCTACGTGGTCGTTAGAGTGTCAAGCCGTGTCAAGAGGTATTTGAACGTCTTAGCACCCTGTTGTCGTCTCTCTGTTTTCCGTATGGAGAGGGGATGGGTCGGTGGTTCATACATTTCTTGGTGTTCCTGTATGCTATTTTCTCGCAGTATCTATGCTTCTAATATATATCAAGTTTTTATACTACATTGGGTTTTAAGGCAGTTCTATCGCCCTGGCTCCGGCGCCCAATCTTCTGGGTTTTAGCACTTTCAAGCTACCGCCTCTCGCCAGGCAGTTCATAACATTCTCCGAAAGGCAGGCATCGATGAGAGAATGGGTACGGCACAGCAGATTGCGAAGCTGTTGAAATGGTGCCGTGAGGAGAGAATTGAGATAGACTCGAGACTCGATGTCGTCGTGACTGCAACTGGTTTAGGTGTCCGAGCGAAAGGAGATTGTCTCGCATTTCCAGCAACGCGTGAGTTCCATCCTTGCATGACGATCCTTCATGTCGTGACCCGAGCACCCTCTAGTTGTTAAGATACCCAAAGCAGCTGTGCTCTCAGTACGATCGTGTTCTCTCTCTCGACACATCAGTCCAGTACCTTATGGCCACGGAGCGCATCTTTCCCTGGCTCTGGCTCTTTATGGCGAGCTGTACGTATGAATGCCAGGTCGCCGCGCATGTGATCTGTGGTTACCCCGACTTACACTGACTGGTTGTGAAAGCACCCTAGGTGAATCTTCGAAGTGGTATGGATATCTTCAGTCACTACCCGCGGCTACCGTCGACCTTGCTCTCTTCTGGGGAACGGAGCAAAGCCGCCTGCTATTTGATGCTGCAGCAATCGCAGATGGCATCGAGGCCAGCGCATGGCTACAAGGTACTGAAGTTGAGAAAGAACTGCGGAACAGCGAGACTGGAGAATATCTTTTGGTTAGTGACCCCATCTGATATTCTCTTTAATCTACTGAGGATCTCTACAGAAAGAAATTGATGATTACTACGATACGGTCGTTCTCCCACTGTCGGAAGGACTGGGCTTGTCGACTACAATCGCAGGATATTACCGGGCGTACTCTCTGGTATCTTCTCGTGCTTTCCTGGTGGATGCATACCATGGCCTTGCCATGGTGCCGATCGCTGATGCGTGAGTTGTCAGATATATTTTTGCTCCAATGTGTAGGAATCTGATGAACTATTCTATGTGTACCTCACGTCTATCTGACGCTGGCTTACCCTCCTAATCCGCATTATAAGCTTTGATCATGCAAACGAAAACCATGTGCATTTGGAGGTAAGGACATTCTGCACCTTCGGTTGACGAATTGTGACATTTATACCGACACGTCAGAGCGATTTCGACGTTTGCGTGGTCTGTGGCGCGCTGGATGAATGTCCACATGATAGTGAGACTTGGGACGCGTCCCCCCGGGGCTCGTCTTCGTCACCTATGACGAGCAGACTGGGCTTGCTCTCGTCCGAGATTGCGCCGTCGACGTCCGCCGACTGTCCATCAAGGTATGATGCGGACAACACGTGTGACATGGTTTCAAATATCCCCGTAATTGCCGATACAGAGGTCTTCAATACCTACGGCGAACGGCTTTCAAACGCCTCCTTGCTAGTGCGTTATGGCTTCATGATTGAAGGCAATGAATGGGACTCCGTAGCGTGGACTCTGGAAGATGTTTCATCTTCTCTATCTGGCTTTGACGAATGCCCTCTTCTCCAGGCTACGATGGGCGACAATGTCAGTAGTGACTTTATCCCGTCGTGGTCGGCCATTTTGCAACGTTGGGAACCTCGCGACACATGGACTGATTCAAATTTGGTTTTCTGCTCTGATTTCCTTGGGGTTTCGGAAATGCAAGACTCGCATTCCTCCGCAGGCCGCAAACCACTGCAGAGTCCTGCGGCAGGTGAAGGGTCCTCGGCTGGCTCGAGGCCGCACTTCGAAGACCTCGAGAAGATGCTATCCCTCAACGAAGATGGCAAAATCAGTCATCAGCTCTGGGTTTTCTGCGCCCTTGCGGTTCTGAATCAAAGGGAGGGGCGCCGGAGATTGGATGTGCTCGAGAAAGTGGACGCGCTCACACGGCTGGCTGTCGCGCAGCTGGACGTGGAGACGCAAATCTTCGAAGACTGCGATGACATGGTATCTGATTCTGATGATCCTGACACCGAGGTTCGGGCATCTGCAAGTGTCGACCGAGGTCCGAGGCATCCGAGGGAGCAAAGCCCATCGAAGGAATTACTCTTCCAGGTGGGGCAGACGGTCGAGCGCGTGTGTGCCTATCGCTTGAGCAAGATGCAGCGGGCGGCCAACATGAGCTGCTCACAAGTGGCTGAAGCTCTGGATGTCGGTTGCACCTCAACTTCTTGACATGAATACAATATTTGACCTCTGCCCTTAGGACGTTCCCCGATGCAAGCCTCGAACGCGACTGGCAATGACGCAGGTGATCAACGAGATGTCTTTACTGGAGACTTGTATTTCCTTGTGGAAGCAGGTGGCGCCGTAGTCAGGATATCTTCTGGGGCCGACTCTTCGCATGCACCTTCCATCTTTCAGTAACTGCCATGTAGGACGTCTCGTAGTCAGCAACTAGATCCCAACGCCACACCTGCATTGCTTACTTCCCTCTTGACATACGCATGATTCTAAGCAATCTTCGGCTCCCTCGCCCTCGGACTATACGTGCAACAAGTCATGTTCTATTTGGGATTTGTTCAACGAGGATATCTCTGCGAAGTTGCTTGATATCAATAATCAGAGCCCCTGCTTGTCAAAGCGTCTAGAATAGACCTGTCGGGGTCCCCGAATGATGCTGATGAACAGTAGAAGGTAAATCGTTGCTTGATAAGGATGCATTCGTAGCGGTGAGCGATACACCTCATCTCGACTCAACTATTACATTCAGAGTGATTATTCTGGCACTAAAGCTGGCCATAGAGGCCTATAGTATGTATTCATAAGACGTGAATCGGCATGCTCACAAGCTTGTTGACAGTCTGTAGGAGGCCCCGGATCCCAAATGTGTCTCACTAGGCATCTCAACAGATGCTATGAGCTTCCTAATGCTCATCAGAACTAGTTGACTGGAGAAAGTGCCGTCCTTACAACTTCAAGGTCATACATACAGTAATAATGTGCATCTCGTCGGTCCCGACAGAGCGCTTCTGCCCCTCACCGAGCGCCGCCCGTATGTTCGGCGGGATCGATTCTCCATTATCTCCGGCGTTTAATATTAATCGACCATCCGGTTATATGTGGGACGGAAGCAGATTCGATGATGTCTCGTTGTGATGTCAGAAACCGCCAAGTGCGTGGGTGCGCTACCGTTACGCTGCTGATTGCCTTGATATCCTCCGAAAGGACCCAGGTCGGGCGGCCGAGTGGTTGGCTGGTTCCATCAATCCAGACCAGTCCATTGCCTTCGAACATGTTCTGTCAACGGACAGAATTCACAGTGCTAAGTACACGAATACAAATCATACTCACTATACAGTCCCCTCGGGGCCTGCACTTGTGCCAAACCCCTACTTTGGTAGGAGACAGCGCCTGTACTCCATCGCTAGTTGTACAGTACTACCTGGTAACATACACATCACGCCGGTCCTGAGGCGGCTCAAGATTAACCAGTTCATCAAGACCCAGGAAATGTCGCTGGCCTGGACGCAGACCGTAAAGGTGCGAACACGTTCCCTGTCCATGGGAGAGCCTCTTCAGCATCATCCGGCCGTACGCAATACTCACAACGACAATCACAGCGAGCACTTGCGTTATATTTAGCCAACTTGCTCAGGCTCGTCCATGAGACTGCTTGAAGCTGAATGGGCAAGTCCACACCGCCGGAGGGGTTTGTCGAAGTCATGTCCGTATGTCTAGAATGCACGGCACTCTCATCTTGGATGTTTGTCGGCAACCTGGAAACCAGCCACTTCCACTCCAATCGTGGCTTTCTTGCCTTACGTACCGTACGCTTTCCATCAGCGCGCCACCAGGTCGACTCGGAATTCCAACAGGAATGCACCATCTCGAGGCCGCCATCTTGCGTCCCAACTGAGGACGACTGATTTTGGTCTCCGCAATGGCACGCATATTGCACGGCTCATCGCCAGTCTGGAAGAGCGAACTGGCTACAAAGAGGGGATTGAAACAGGAGAGACCATACCCCTCAAGCTTCCGGAATGCTAAAAGATTGTGGTCAGGTCCTCTCACGATACGTACAATGAGAATGTACCTGAAGTCGACGGAAGAAAACAACGTCAATAGTATACACCAATTCAAAATGTTTATTCAATTGAATCGCACCGAGAACGAGGAAACGGTATGTGATAGTCACGTCCACTTGGAACTCGCTCTTAACACCTGGCTTCCAAGACGGAGCGCAGGCCAGCACGAACGACCTCCCTGTGTATAGGGCTTCATCCCATATCGCTTGTGAGTTTCTCCGAGTATCTCTGAGTAGCAGGGCATCAATGACTGCAAAGGTGTGGCCATGGGTGTCTTCTGAGACTACCCAGAGTGCGTTCTCGACGGTCTAGCTGCAACGCGTGGTAGTCGGTGTGATCAGCGTCAGCGCAAGAGGAGGTTGCCCTTAAGTTGGACTTCTGGCTTTGATAATGACAATAGCATCAGCCTCGGACTCAGGAGATCGTTCCTTAATAATTTCGCGCAGGCTTCACGTTGCTTACCGTAGCGAGCTTACCCGGCAAAAACCCGACAGCCGCATTACAGTAGTCCCAATGGAAGAACCGGCTAGCAAATGACGCGAGGCATAGTGAAGTCACTGAGCTCTGTACAGAAGAGCAACTACGTAGCTGGGGAATGTCGGGAGAAGAGGAAGATCAGAAAACGTTCCCAACGTCAGATGACGTACCGGGGGATTCCCACCGGCCGCGAATAGACGACTGTCCGATTGGTTTTTGATGCACGTTTAATGAGCGACCTGGGGAAAGGCCGCGGTCGAGCCCCGCCTCCTGCGCACGGCGAACACGGCTGCCCGCGGACGCAAGTGCGAGGCCAGTCGATGGGAGGGCCAGTCGAAGGAAGGTACTCGAGGGGAAGTCCGGTGAGTACAAACAAAACCTTCACCCGAACGTTCACGACCCTTCAGGAAGCACATCGGTGCAAACGGGTCCAAGGCAGGTTCTAGGGGTTCTCCAGCTGGTTTGTGGGTGTCGCTAGATTCCACCGTCAAGGCAGTAAATCTTCCAGTGGCGCAAATGATGGTTCTATCATTCGGAATACGATAAGATTTCGAACCATCAGCAGCCAAGTCCCCCCTCAGCCAGCTTCGCGCGCGAGTGACGTCTGACTAAACCTAGAAGCCACGCTAGAAAGCAGGACCAAAGACGGGAGAATCCATCCCAAGCAGAACATGTATCGATGACTCGTGCGAGAGTTCCAGATCCATCTCAGGCTCTTGTACTCCGGGTCGTCACTAGCACCTTGTATGCTTCCGTGAACTCTGATAGTATCCGAAGGCAGACTGAGAGTAAAGGCACGGTGATTGAGCAAAGATAGACCTGCGGTGTAGGGTCGAGTGAATGCAGGCATCATGATCATCGCACGAGCTATCCGAGGAGACGGGATCTGGTCAAGGGACCGCCCTGCCTAAGACGCTCGATGAGAACCGTAGGTGCCAGCAGTCCGACGAACTCTAGAAGATGGCTGAGTGGAAGTTGGGATGATGACAGCAGAACAAACCCAGTACTGAGTATATACTGCGCATATAACCTTGCATAAGACCTTTTGCCAGCTGCGTCCATGCTGAATCGGGTTATAGAGACTTGCCGAGCACGTTACCATCCTTGTCGCGATACTGGGACACGATTCAGAACAGACACGGTCCACCGCCCAAGGCAACGGATTGACTATACAAGATGCAAATTGAGGTCATCCCATGCCTTGCTTGTCTAATTGCCATAGAGGAATGAAGACGTACCTAGTTGCGGGTACTTGAAGTCCTTCCTCCCCGTCATATAGAGAGCTAATACAGGACCGCTGTGCATAGTTCGCAGTGGAAAAAGAAACCAGCACTAGAAACTTGAGAACACGAATAGTCCGGGATTTCGCTGCCCAGACCTCGAAGATCATAACACCGGCGCCCTTCTCCTCCACGCGACTCGAGCGTCCTGAGTCCACGTATCGTGGTGTTCTTACCCTCTTACGAAGCGGAAGCTTCCGGACTTACGAGGCGTCCGTTGTGGACGCCAGGCACACTTAGCCGAGAGAAGTTGTGGAGCTACGTCACTAAGCGAGACTTGGCGAGTCTGGGGTAACATCTTGACTTGGGTTGTGAAGCCGCCGATGCTTTGCTTGTGGCAACAGAATCAGGATCGCGTATGCTATACATATGCACTTGGAACAGTGGTAGTTTGAGTGGGTACTCATGATGGGATATTGAGCAGCAAACCAACTAGACATACTAGTAGCAGGATAACTTTATGAGAGCCGCACCTCCCGACGCGATCGCACGTCGGGATGACACGACCTAACACGTACACGTCCGGGACCGCACTTACCTGTGACCCTCGTTCCATAGGAAAGCGATAAGTATGGGGACCAAACCATAGCAAGCGCGCTTCTCGGGCCCACCCGACGCGTAGTGCGACCCGCGGAATCTTCTTTCGACCAGCGCAGGGACCCCGGCACGCACTTGACTCGACGCCCGACGGGAGTGACGGCGCCCGGCTTTATTAAATGTGATCGAGGATGTCGACCACCGGAGAACGTGCGCGCGCGAAAGGGGCCTTATCAGGGAGGCGTGCTTGTACAAGGGGATGACTACAGCTGAACACGCAAGCAGGATAAGTAATGATCCGCTGAGGGGGTCTTCAAGAGATTACGACAAGTCTGAAAAGGTAGCCAAGGGGTACCGCTGACAGGCCCAGTCGTACCGCCTATCGTCCTACCGGAAATGTAGCGTCTTCTGGGCGAACATGACCGTCGGCAAGGAACTTGGTGACAGCATAGCAGAAGGCACTCACTAGTCGGCGATTATTGCAGGGTGCCTCATCCACTGTACCCGACAACTGTATAAAGCGAAACAATGGTCGCGAGAGAGGGGCATTGTATCTCAAAATACTCATGCCATACCCCATAGTAGATTCAATATGGTATAGGGTCCCGATCACGAGGGTCATAAGATGGTACGGGTATCAGAAATCACGCACTGTTGTGGGGAAGACAAGCTGAAAACGAAAATCAAACTTACGCCCAGTATACCAAGATTCTCTTGCTATGGGGTACTTCAACAGCTGCAGTCGATGCATTAGACTCCCGTCGGCAGATGTCGAAATAGCAGCATCCCACAGGGCGTAAAGGAGCTTAATCCAGGCAAAGCAGTAGAACGCCAAGACGGCAGATAGTGTAGTAGGCCCCCGTCCGTTTTATGAACGATGAGATAGATCCTCGCACCTCTGGCATCAGGATTCCCTCAAGCTTGTCTGACCGCGTCAAATAGCACCGGCGTCCGGAAGGTGCAGCGATGACGCTCAGGAGGATGGGCCACCTGCTGCAGTCATTGGCACTAATTGGACTTGCCGGGTGACGCCACCGCCACGCCGCAAGATTTACTTCCGTTCATGGACGCTTCTCCTGATGGCGGGAGCAAATATTGCTTCCGGAGGATCTCAGCGGTGCACTATCATGGCCACCGGAGTGCCCGAGTAGGAGTGCCAATCCCGCTATCGATTGATACGCTGCGGATGGACGAGGTGATAATGAAATGTTCGTCATGGCGGGCGAGATAGCATCTGGTTGTCTTGAAGCTAAAATTAACTAGCCAGTTTAGAGTGAGAATTTCCAAGAGCTGTACTCGTACCCATGACACGGACCAAGCAATTCCTATTCTCTAGTACTGCGCAGCCTCGCGAATATACTAGCATCAGTACAAGCAGGGCGACGAGTCAGTCTTCCCCCGCAATCAGTACCCTCTTCCACGATCCGCCAGTGTGAACGAAGGCGACGTCCCCTCCGGCGAGTTCGCAGCTGAAACGAGGTTGCTGTCCCGCCGCCGCACCGGGGCAGCCAGCGACCGGGAAGTATGTCCATCAGTCATATGCCCATACACCCGCTCGCCGCGCGCGGCGGCCTACGAGAGGTCCAAGTTACCCGCGAAGCAGCCCCGGGCAGTGACATGATGACAGGGAAGCCCGGCGCAACGCTCCTGCCGTGCATCGAAATGGCTACCGCGCTACCTCTTCCTGGTCGAAGCCCGTACTGAGCGAGCAGCGAGTTCTCTGCACATGCGGGTGTACCTAAGTAATCGTCAATATTCCGGAAACCGACGTTTGCACGTCCACCGTCGATACCAACTCGGACTTACTTTGCACCTAGTGCAGGGCTGCAACCCCACTTTGACCGTCGATGCGAGGCACAGTGTGTAGTCCATTGTACCCGTCAGTTCAAACATATGAAAATGACATTGATCCCTTTGTCGCATTTGTCGCCCGCAAGTCGAGGTGGAGCTCAGCCAGTCACCTGTCGTAATCCCGAGATGGCGGTGGCGGTCGATGCGCCCCCCTGCGTCGACAAGCAACCCGCCGCCATCAAGATCTCGCAGCGGCAGATAAACCCTAAAATTGCTTGTATTTCCGACGAAGGCGGGTAGACGCCCGGCAAGGACCCCTGCAGCGACGTCGGACTGTGGCCACTGGCCAGAAATTATCTGATAATCCCGAAGGCAGCGTTCTAGTCCCGTTTTAGCGTCGTCGGCAGGGCGATCTCGATTACGTTCGGTATTTGTGGGGACGCAAAAGGAAAAGGCGGGGGGTCGAGGATTCGTGTTGGCCCGACGCGTTCGATTAATGACCCCGACGCGTCGCGTCCCGCCCCAATTTGACGGCGGTAGCCCTACACAGGAGGTGCACATTTAGGAATTTCGAAGGTCGCCTGATTTCTATTCTCATGCGACAAGGGGCATCGAACCGATGAGAGATCGTCTGTCGGTCAAGGAGTCCATGTATGGCTTTGTCAGCCACGTCGAGGGCCGCGTCGGAGTGAAGAGTGCGGGTGCCACGGGCAGTCGGGCGGTGAAGGCGTGAATCGAAGGCGGGTCAGCGACGTGATTATAACGTGTGGATATGATTCATGCCTGTCTGCCTGTGGTTCCGAACAAGTCATTTTGAGTTATTGAGTTGAAGCTGAGTTGCTGACCGTGGTACCGTTCGGAAGCTTTCTGCGTGCACTTGACGAATGGTCGCACAAGAGCGCATATCGATACTATCAGCATGACGCAAGGGCAGGGTCAGAATCTCAGGCTGCATCATGATGGGCTTTCTGGTTTTCGCGGTGCAGGAATGAGGGACGCGTCGCCAGCCGAACTGCACGCGCTGCTCAGCGAACAGGAAGGACCGGTAGTACGCTGCAGGGAGTGCATCCTGATGGGATGCTCGGGAGGCGAGGGGCGTGGGGCCATTGTCCCCTCTGCATTGTCAATCTATATACTGCTTCGGGTACGCGAAGACAGATGGGCGCGTCGGTAGGGGCGCTGCACGTACGAGTATGGATGGTGATAAAAAAAAGTACACTATCAGATCAAGGCCGGGTAATGACCGAGGACAATACGGGTAATGCGCTGCTCGGCGGGCGGTGAATTGATGAAAATAGGGTATCACATCGACTCGAGTTCTGTGGCGGATTCGTGGCCGCCGGTCCTTTCGCGCAGTCACCACCGAACGGCTCGGGCGACGAGGAAGTGATACAGATGGGGTCTAGATGCGTCGTGCGGTGAAGCGAGCTCGACTCGGACTTCGACGTCGTGTGCGGCCATCCCGACAGCGAGCCTGAGCATGCTGGGGAAACCCAATGTGATCCCGGCCACGCTTTTCTTTCTCACGTCGGGTGGCGGGAGCTCGAGGTTATGTCATTTTTTGTGACTCGCGTTTTGTTTCCGTCGCGCTGCACAGCACTGGCAACGACGTCGCTCGATTGGTAGATCTGCGATCAGCGGAGGCTGCATTGAAAATTTCAGATGAGATACTGGACGGATAGGCGTGTCTACGGGACAGTGACAGTGAAGAGAAAAAACTGGTCTGCATGTTGGAGCTGGGAAACGTGTTAGGGGCACTGATGCATGGAGCACGAAGGCATTCTGGCATCTAACAACGCGCTAAGTATTGCTTTCACTTGGAATGTGGCAAAAGCTCGACGTGGACATGGAATGCTGGAGAGGTCCGTGGAATATCAAGCCAGCAAGAGGGGGCGTAGCCGGCCGGAGGCATGGAGGGCGGGGGCTTCGGTTGATAGAACAATGGTGAAGATATCCGACGTGGTGAGTCGCAGCGGGTCCCACGAGCGAGGTGATTCGCGAAGATGAGGGGACGACCGGGCGTAAGGCTCAAGTCCGCCTCCCAGGGCTACTTTTGTGGTAACAAAAGCAGGTGCAGTGGTTAAGGTTCCCGCCAAAGCAGTTACTGCGCGGGCTTCAAGACGGGTTATAAATGTACTGTATAGAGAGCGTCCTTAGGGAGCATACGGAAACCTTAGGCTTCGCGAGAGGCCAGACAGAGCCAGGCTTACAGGTGTGGTAACGGTAACAGGGAAGGAAGTGAAATTGACCGAAGGCAGCATCATTCTGGCAGGGCGACTACCAGACATCGACCATCCCGAGTGTTGTATACGAGGCCGCAATCATGACTCGAGAGCCGGTGGGAAAGTCAAAGGACGCATGACTGAGGAGGTGAAGTGACGGGGTCACAGCACGTCACAATGGCTGCCATGCCATAAGAGGACTAGCTCCGTAAGCGTCCGAATAAGGAAGGCATATGAAGGGAGAGATCTGGATCGATCATCGAAGCTCTGGTTTCCGGGGTCTGGCCTGTGCCCTTGCTCTGGGTCACAGAGCCAGGCTGTGGGCGCAATGTGACTTGCAAGTGACGCTCGAATAAATATAAGACCAGCTGAGGCTCGCTGCCCTCCCTCACCTCCTCCTCGTCCTCGACGACGAACACGCCCCCGCCCCCGACGTCCACTACAACGCCCACGACATCCACCATGGACACTGACTGGTGCCTCCACTGTGGCCGTCGCACCGTGAGTCCACCCGCGCCAGCGCGCGCTGTACCCGCTAACCGGACTTTGTAGGACGGAAACACTTACTGCACGGTCGAGTGCGAGTACGACGATCAGCCATTACTAGTCCCTAGCCTGTGTCGGTCACGGTCGGCATCTTGTTGCCATTCACTCTCGTCATCGTCCCACCGAGGGGACGACCGAAACGACCCCGCGCCTGCACTGGTAGAAGAAGACTCCCATTTTGCGTCGACTTCCAAGTCGTCAATGGCTTGGGTTGGAGCAGGCGGCGGCAAGGACGACTCCAACATTTTGGCTTGGGCTCAAAACATCCCCGCGGGCGCCGTCCCGCAGAACGACATCATCCCCTTCTCCCCACCCACCGATAGTTCCCTCCCCTCGTCGTCCCGGTCGTCCATGAAATCGAAAGCCTCCTCGCCCAGCCGCTCCAATTCCTTCCGCCCGCCTTCCCTTCTGCAACCGGTCGCGCCCTCACTATGCATGTCCACGCCCCATGCCGCGCGGCCCAAACCATCACTACCCATCCTAACTCCCCAACAACACATCGCTACCCTTACAGGTCCGAGACAGTCGCGACGAAAATCCCTCGGCGACTTGAGCGCCAGCGCGGAGTCCTCCATGCTCATCAGCCCCCCTGACTCGGATGACGGCGACGATCAGGGCGTTCCCGATTTCGTGTATGCGAGCGCGCAAGGCAAGAGCGGAGTTCAAGAGGGCGTCATGAAGGCCGCTCACACCTTCAACCACGCGAAGACGTACCTGGCTGGAGCCATCCGCTCGTGGTACTCATCCTCTCTCGCTGCCCCTTCCGTGCCGCTTCCGTCCAGAGCAGACGCGAAAGAGAGACAGCAAAAGTCCGTTACGCCTGTTGCGCGCACTGCCGTCCGCGCACCGTCACCACACCGTTCGATTCCCCTCTTCCCTCAACACCGAAGTAAACTTGAGGCGACTTCGCACGCCGGCCGAGTACCTTCACCCCTCCACCTTCCCGACGAAGATCTCCAGATGTCAATTTCTCCCCTATGCCAATCGCAACTGCAAAATCCGCATGCCGGGAATTCGTCGCAGATTCCTTATCCATCCCCATCCTCGTCTTCCTTCGACGCTCGGGAGCGCAGACCCGTTGGCGTGCAAGTCGAGAGCTTGCACCCAGCGTTCCTGACTAGAGGGAGGAAGGGTCGGTCATGAGCGACGGCCTCTTCACAGTGCATATCCCACTCTGCAAAATCATAGACTTCACGCCTCGGCAAACATAGATGGATCCGGTTTCATTTCAGTCCCCTCATATTCGGCGGCTTTTTTTGGTGTATGTTTATGGCCTACGTTTCTATCGGCAAGATTTCAATTTCATCTGTTCCTCGGTCGGCAAGTCGCGCGCGGGCAGCACATAGACGGATTGCGGTTCCCTTCAGTACTTCTTGTTTCAGTCTCGGACCTCTCGACGACTACAACGACCCTCATTTCCTGTTCCATACCATGCCGTCTCTGTCAGCACACCAATCCCCCCTTCTCTACCTTCTCGCATCAATCACTCGCATCTTCTCGCCATATTTTGGGCCTGAGCCTCTTCCCCTTGACCTTCGACCCGCTTTGCCGCACGTGACTGCCTTGCGACTTCGGAACTCAAACCCTCGTTTCCTTCAGTCGGACTTCATTTCCCTCGCCTTCTCCCGCGGTCCCAAAATATATGGTCTTCGCACGGAATCTTGGCTTATCGCAGGGCTTGGGTCTGGATAAGCTTTGTGTTTGCTGGACATGGGATCTCGGGGACTGCCTGGATATCGACCGAGCGACCGAAATGTGCGTTTCGCCGCGCAAAGTTCCTGTTCCCTGCCACGGGGCCGAAAGGAAGTCAAGGGTGTGTGAGCGTAGCGCAGCACCCCATCGTCATCGACGCTTCATTTTTGCCGTCGCCCACCTCTTCCCCGCTTCGTCGTCGTCAACGTCGTCACCGATTCAGTCTGCCCTTGTTCTTGAGCACGGATCCCGTCAGTCTCCACTACCCCGTTCCACGACTCCCCTTCCCCTCCCCGCACGTTCCAGTGTATTATCCCATCGAGCAGAATGGCTCCCAATTCCCCATCTCAACCTAAACCCAGAAAAAGGACTGTCTGTTTGTCGGACTCGTACGCAATCATTCGCTGTTTAGTATACGTATGTCATGGTGTTTTCGTGTTGTGCTATCTTGATATCCCTTTCGAATTTGTTGAGGTCCAACACCTCTGCCTTGTTTTAGTTCAGTCGATCTGTGCTTTCGCATCATTCGTTCGATTGGTCGGGTCGTTCGTGTTCATCATCGTGCGCCTTCACTCGTATTTCAAGCCTTATACCATGACGACGGAAAATCAATAGTAGGAGCCATTGTACGTTCCATTATTAGTGTATTGTATTCACCCTAGCACCCTTATATCCCCTCATACAATCGATACCGTGACTGCCATCAGGCTTATATTGTCTGAAATACAACGGCGACTACGATCGGCATTGACTCATCCAAGTACTATATGCTATTGCGTGGCACTCGCTCCCGTAGCGGTGAACGTGCGGGATAGACAAGGCAGATGGAATGGAAGGCCTCGAGGGACACGAACGATCCCTCCGAAGTCCATCACCAGCAAGTGACGCACCCACAGTCCAAAGTTATATGAGTGGCGTCTGGCCTGGACCTCGGCGTAAAGCGAACAGATAATCCATTAGAGTATCCCCGCTGAGCCTATACGGTCGAAGACGCAGGCACGCACGCACGAGAGAACGTCGGAGGCGGGAAGTGGCTGGCGGCGAATCGGAGCGTTGACACGCCGTTTGAGCCTAGCATAACCTAGGCGGACCCGACCAGGGGCCAGCGCATGTAGTATGAAGTCCTTTTAATGAAGACTTGACGTGTATGAACAGGAGGAGGGCTCATGTCGAAATCTGTGTAGCACTTAATCCCGATCACGCACCAGGAAATGAAACGGAGGACGGAAGCCAAAGGCAACCGTAAAGAAAGTTTTAGAGCAAGGAGCCGCGAATGCAGTTGACGCGAGCTTGATAGGAGCGTCCGAGTATCAGCCATGGCATTGGTGGTACTTGGATCGAGGGAGACGGGTTATTTTGAGAGTGCTCCAGGCCTGGTCGACCGTCTCGTGGGTCTTTATTTAATACAGTATTGCAAACGCCGTCGATGGAATGAATGACTGAATGAGCGAGCAATCTTCAAGCAGCAGATTTAATGTTCGCGCGGCAGTCACCCTCGCTCTATCACTGATTTATTGATTGACCGGACCCGTAGCAAGATACAGCGGCTCCGTCGTGAAATTGGGCACCGCCGTGGGCAGACGGGCGCTCGCGCAGCAGTCATTCGTCCCCGTTCAGCTGCAGGTCAAAGGAAGAGGGGTTTCACATGTCCGCGAAGGGCGAAGGAGGCCAATGGCGGATACACAAGTACAAGGGCAGAATACCGCAGTCCAGACCAGTCTCGTGGGAAGGCTTGATGGGGTCCTCTGGGAAGCTCAACGCCTGGAGGCATTGTCGGAAGCGGTGCAGCCCAGACCCGACTTGTGAGGAACGCAGGCATTTCCGCGTCGGACGACGATGTCACGGCCGTCGACATTCCGCCGCATTTGCGTCGGGATCGGATTGCAAGTGCAACATCCCGGAGGACACGCTGCTTCCTTAAAGCTCCGATTGGATTTAACGCGTCCCTACTTCCCTGCGAAACGAAAATAGGTGCTTTTATATCGCAACGAATGAGAGCGGACTTCTTGGCAGAGTGGGTTGTATTTCAAAGCATCTGTCTCAATTCAAAGCAGGTATCAGTAGCATTCACTTGAGCGCAGCAGCGATGTCTCGCAGAGACTGGCTCAGCAGTGCCACATATCCGTACCTGAGAATGTACCCGCCCGACGCTCGAGCGGCGCTAGGAGCGGGGAGCTCGGTCGATCTTCCGTGAGCTGAGCCTCCGATCGCTGGCGCTACCAGCCGTGCATCGGCCCTTGCATACGGAGCTGAGGAAAATAACGCGCAGCGTAGTTAGTTGCCAGGTCCTAATCAGAACGCACCTGGTCTGGTCTGGTTGATTGATGGGTCTTAGCTGGTCATGGGCTACGAGCCCCCAAAGACTGGCCGTGTGATGCCATCCGTCCAAGCTGTATCTCTAGTGGCCGTCGAGCACCACTGGACTTGGCCCAAGGCCACCAAGAGAGTGAACCGGTATAGTGGAACGCGCGAGTGCACAGATGCCGAATCTAATGGCCTGCAAGCCAATCTAAGTCCCTTATCGTCCGAAAGGGGTTTAGGTCAGGACATTGGCTAAGGTGTGCCGCGGTCACTCTGGCAATTAGGCCAACTGTCGGACGTGATCGAGGCAGGTCATCAAGCTCATGCATCAGAAGAACGGTCGTCGTAAGCACAATAAACAAATGGAACGCACGTACTGCAGGTCTGCTGTCGCTGGTCAGGGACAGACTGTGATCCTTTACACGGAAGCATATCGTCAAGTCCAACATCTTCATTTTTGGGAGTCTTCACAGAGCATGAACGACCCACCACGTTATACGCAATATATGTATCGTCTGAGCACAAAGCTATAAGCGCCGGCGCAGTCGAGCTCCCAGCTCTGAACGGGAGAAGGACCCACTGGCGGGGTGAAATCAGACTTAGGAATACCGATAACAGCGGCGCCCAGGGATAGGACTAGTAGGAAAGCACAATGAAGGAGCAGATCTTACGATTCATTACCTTCGGCTGGCTTGAAGACGTCAACACCAGCACTGGCAGCACCGCTGCTGACTCGGACCACCGCGGCATCGATATCAGAAACATCCTGACTGCTCGGATTCATTGTATCCGAATGGACGCTCGTAGTCAACCCTACTTCCCTCCTGCAGTCTCATCTCGCATTTAACAGCGTATACACTGATGCACTGGTTGCCCTACCTGGAGTCGTTCACCGTGACTGCGCTCGTTGAGACTCAGAGTGCGTTACCACTCACCAGTCTGCAGTCTGCCAGTGTGCTAGCACAGGAAGCCACGTGAAATACCCGGGAAAGGTTAGGCGCCTAACTTCGATAAGGCGGTAGGGCCGTGCGAGCGGCAGAGCCCGCTACCGTAGACATAGATAAGATTTGGTAGCAAGCTGAAAACTTGACATCCTGAGCAGCATCATATACTAATATATTTATTTTGCGAAAGCAGTTGTATTCCAGCCATGATTTCCGACTGAGCATTCACCTCAACGATTTGAAGAGATGTCCACTCACTCCTCCCTCAGGTTCTGAGTATACAAGTCATTTATGTAAAAAAGCTGACATTGAAGTATTCTGCTTTCACCTGGAGACCGCATCTCCAACGCCCCAAGCTAGGTCATGTCTGTTCTCTTGAGTCCCTTGACCAGCATCCGCCACCTTGGCTAAAGATGGAAAGAGAGATGCCACGTGGCTCTACAATCGGGGTCCTTTGAGGACCCCATCTTTGATTGGTCCAAAGCCGCGTGCCGGTCCTGCCGTCCGCCATATACGGTTAAGAGCCAAATAGTGTCAAATAGATCGCGTAGATCTTGAAACGATCGCAGGACACCTGCGAACGGCCGGGGGGTCCAAGACCCACTACCTACGGTAGCGGGAATCACTTGTACCAACCGCCCATGGGTGCGACTTTGCACGCGTTACACACTACAACGCGACCAGGCTTTGCAGAAGCCCACCCACGCAATCCATCGTTTGATACCGCATATTGGCCATATGGCAAATTTTTTTTGGGCCTCACTTGCACTGGAGGAGGTGGTTAAGCCGCGTCGCTCGGGGTAAAACCCGTGCCGTGCGCCGCATGTTTCGACGATATAGAGCGCTGACCCATGAGAAGACCCTCCTGCAGCTACAGGTTCGTACGACTGAGTTCCTCTCGTAAATCAGCTGTCCTGCAGGGAAATTCAAGCCGATTCTACGAACTCGGGGAGCACTTTCGGACCGAGACAGATACTCCGCTATCGTAGCCAGCATCCTTGGTTTTTTCGTACATGCCCGAGAAAACAAGCCCTCACTTCCTGAAGATGAACGGACTGCCAGGAAATACGGTATGCACTTTTTTGACCGATAGACGCGCGAGCGCCAAGTACACGGGGCTAACCTCCTCCTTCGCAACTGCTACCGCAGGTTCTTCCTTCTTCCCGCCAATGCATCTCCGGACTCCGCGAAACGCTGCAGTGTGGTAGTCTCCTATGCCTCCTTCTCTTCCAGGTCTTCTTACCCCGGTCTTCGCACTCCACATTCCAGAGGATGCGATGATCTTTGCCTTGGCGGGAGCGATGCCTTGTTATCACCCAAGGTCCGGCATAAGATGCTACTATAGTTCCCTTGCTTTCTATGCGACTCCTTCGCCGCAACCGCTGATCAAACACATGGATGAATCCCGTTGTCAATGATGGTACGGTCTGGAAGGCCATCTGAACCACGGGTAACGCTCTACCTGAAGATCGTCAGCGTTGCGGAGCTACAATCCTTGTCCTGTATGATAATCCGGATCCACTCGATCATGCCCTTAGGACTGTCCACTCACTGCACAAAGTTTCTCTCCCCTTGCTTACCTTGGAGCTAATCTCAGTTCTCACCCCTTCACCAATACATTCAGGACGTTCGACAGCCACCTGCACATCAACTCCCCCGGACACCTTCCACGGTCCCACCGTGAGTCTTGTGATGGACCTCGAGGTCAAGTGATCCCTTACCTTGATGTTACTCTGTGCTAAGCCTATCGTTCACCCTTCATTATAGTCACAGATTCTCGAGTGCCGACGATAAACACCGTAGCGCAGGCTGCTATGCGTATTCTTGGAGTGTATGTATCCATCTTTCGCAGGCTACAAGGATAGATTAGAGCGAATGGCGACATCCCAAGAGCAAGCCCAGCCGTCTCGTTGTTTTCCACCTCGTTGTGCTACACTGTATGCGGGATGACTTGAACTTTGTATGGCGTCTATCCTATTCTCCTGACTCTACGTCCCTATGAAGGCAGTTGATGATACAGTTCCTTCAGTGCAATTGATGATCGACAGATTCTTTTACCCCGGAAGAGGAGAATGCCGTCCGTCGCCTTCCCATAACAATGGATGTCCGCCCCAGGCACCCGGCCCCGACGTTCTCACTGGTTGTTTGCTCACACGCACACACATTGCGAGATGGATCTCTCACATACTTCTAATGGCTGTAATGGAACTGCGTTGCTCCCGCTAGTACAGGATGTGAAGAATTCGGGCTCTTGCACTTCTTGTAAGCCGACGGATGCTTCAACAAAAATTTCCCGGCATAAGATGTGGCTTTCGGAAGCGAAGCGGCCTCCAGAATAGCCACACTTTTTGGTGAACTGATTGTGTCTCGTACCCGCCGCTGGATCCAGCAGATATGCTGGTCATTCCGCCAATATCCTGGCAAGGAAACCTTGTGGCATTACAGGGCTGTATTTTGCTACTTCACAATTCCCAATAGCATACGTAAGAAACATGCGGAGAACTGCAAGGCCGCTTTTATACGCAGATACATGAGGCATATCTCAGTACCGGTTCGATCACAGCATAGGAAAAGGCCGGTGGTGAACGCCATGAATCCGGCTTGAGAATGATACACAGGCTTGATTTATTGGGAGAGATGATAGTCGAAACAAAACAGTATCAGATTAGTAGTCGCAGAGTCCTCGGGCGAACGCGAGCTCTATCGTTATACAAACCTTTTTCGCACGCATGTGCATGCAGGCTCTATACAGGGCACTTCCAACGAGTAAAGCATTCATGACAGCCAAAGCAAATTGATGCTTAACTTTTGCACGCGAGGATTTCAAAGCAAGCAAATCATTGTGGGGGTTGGAACCTGCCACAGCGGTCGATGAGCGTTCACAATCTTCATGGACGGCGTGACTTACCCAGGAGGAGGGCCTTGGAATCCAGGAGGAGGAGGGAAAGGCATACCTGGGGGGAAGCCAGGTGGACGGAAACCCGGTGGGGGACCAGGCATCCCGGGGGGACCTCCGAAAGGCATGGGAGGGCGAACTGCGGACGGGGGTCCCACTGAAAGGAACAAGGTCAAAACAGGCGTATCAATAGGATATTTCAGACGCACTGGGAGGCATCATGGGCATGCCACGGCCGGCAGGCATACCGCGACCAGGGCCAAATGGCAGCTATGCATCAAGGCTTCAGAATCGAGATCCAATGGCAGTCTTGCCACAATTCACGTACCACATTCTTCTTGTCATCATCTACTACTGGCGGAGGTCCTTCGACGCTCAGACTGACCACTGTTTCACCGCGGAGAATAACGAGTCCCAGTGATCTCTTCATTTCCTGCATGGGCGGAGTCTCCGTCTCTCCAGGTTTCTTCTTCGGCCTGACACGTCGGAACTCCTCGCACTCGGCCAACACCAGGTTCATGTGCCGATCGAAAGCAAGCATTTGGCCCGTTAACGCACGTCCATCATTAATCGTGACTTTGAGCCTCCAGTTGATGAGGCTCAGCATTTTTCCACCCTTGGATTTTGGAGGAGGCTGTCACATCCAGTTAGCGATCTAACATGCACGCTCCGTGTCAAGAGAAAAGCTCACCATGGCGGGCAGATGGTAAGTAGACGAGTTTGAAACGAGGTGCAATGGCTGAAGCGCTGATTATTGCAGCTCAAACAATGGCAAATACCGCGGTGGCTTTCAGCTTTATGTTACATGTAGTTCAACCTCTGACTCGGAGGTGACCGCTTGCTGCATTCGCGCTGTGTTCTGGCCATAGGGATGAGGAGTCGTCGCTGTCGGTGATTACTGTATTACTTAAATCTTTGTGTTAGTCAGCCGGTCTGCATTGCATCGGGAGGAGAGGGCTTGGTCGGGATCCTTCGGATTCGTACAAGATTCATATGTCCGTCAAGCTTAAGAGGACTCAAGTTTTAACTCGGGAACGCGATTTACCCCTCTAGACGCTTCGAATTCCCCCTCCCCCTTCTAACAAGCAAACTAGAGGCTTGAATCGAAGTCCGTGTTGCAGACATGGTCCCCCTCACGACGCGTCTTACGAGTCTTCTGGGTAAGCACATTTACTAGACTGTAACCAGCTTGGACTTCTGTTCATGGTGTCTCTTTTACAGGTGTTCGGACGCCAGTCATTTCAGCGCCCATGGCTGGTGCAAGTGGTGGGGAGTTAGCGGCTGCAGTTGCTCAAGGAGGCGGCTTCGGCTTCATCCAAGCCGGTACGCGAGCGCACCCGAATGAATCTCTTCACAGATGGACCTATCATCCTTCTCGTTAAGGGTATCAAAGTAAACAAAAGCTCAAAGAAGAACTCGAGAAAGCCAAGGCTATCTTGGGAGTTTCCTCCTTGCAGCGGGCGCCCATAGGAGTGGGCTTTATCTCGTGGATACTCGAGGCAGAAGGAGCTTCCTCCAACGATTTGCTCGATACTGCTTTGGAGAGCCGTGTGAACGCTATTTGGCTTGCTTTCGGGAATGATATCGGACGATGGGTCGCGTACGTGCGAGAGTACGATCGAAGGCAAGCCGACGGGCACAAGACCCTCGTCTTCGTACAGTTGTCTTCAGAAGAAGAAGCCGCTGGCGCCGTGAACAACTGGAAAGTGGATGTTCTGGTTGCTCAAGGTGAAACAGCGGTCTATTTCAGTGTTGCAATTTGGCTAAATGGGACTATTTATGGTCATTTTAGGTATCGAAGCTGGTGGCCATGGTCGGGCATCCGCACCCCCTCTTCTCACACTAATTTCGTCGCTTCTGAATACCATACCGGAAGAAGGTCCTCCTATCGTCGCTGCTGGTGGGCTCGCGAACGGCGCGCATGTCGCCGCGTGTCTCACCCTGGGCGCGTCAGGGGTAGCAATGGGAACACGATTTCTACTGACACCAGAGAGTCTATACACGGATGCGCAGAAGAAGGCCCTTATCAGTGCAGGAAGTAATTCTACTGTGAGGACCTTAGCGTTCGATCGTGCGAGGGGAACGCTAGGTTGGCCGACGGGCATTGACGGGAGGGCGCTGATGAATCAGACAGTCAAAGATCTCGAGGCGGGCGTGCCAATCGAGGAAGTGCAGAAGTTATTTCAGCGAAGTATACAAGACGGCGACCCCGATCGTATGCTCGTTTGGGCAGGGACAGGTGTTGCTCTCATGAACCAAATCAAAGGGGCAGCTGTGAGATCTTCTCTCTGTCTTACAAGCGATAAGAGACTCATCTGCATCTGCCGACTAGAATGTGGTGACCGAACTACATCAAGAAACGGTACAGCATCTAGAAAGGGCGGTATTTATACGGTCTGCGGCATAGCACCTCTGACGTTCAATGTGCCACTTCGTGCGTGTGTAGATGCTGACAGGTTTCAGACTGTCTACACCCACGTCTTGCGGCCTAAGGTGGTAGGGTGCCCATCCCCCAGCAAAGGCATCTTTGTTTTGCCACATAAATACGTGCAAATAAGCATATCTTCCACAGACCTGTACTCCTCTGACATCGAGAGCCCAACGAGCGTCTGCGCTATGAATAGGAGTAAAGTGAGTGTTCCTGTCTTCTAGGAATCCATCGATCATTCTCCCAGGCAGTCCACCGCCAAAGCGTCGGCTTTAGTCATGGTACATCGCAGCCCTTACAATGTCCGCGTGTAAGAAGACGGGCATTTCATGTCTATTTATTTTTCCTGAGACGCAATGTCTGCCCAAACCACAAGCGAATGATGGTTTTGGCCGCGGAGTAGCACCCGTTCTCTTGCGAGCTGATGCATTTTGGTACCTTTGCTCACAGCTATCCTGCCCTTGACAACCATAATTCTGTTGCGAGAGCATCTTATTCAGGTGCCGGCAATTGCAGGGCGGCTTGTACTCTGGGAGCAATGGAACTTCGAGAGCCATCGGCCGCGAAAATCTGACTATCTGACTCGAAGATGGATTAGTAGCGTCCTAGAAAATCACGAGAGTAACCAGAAGCTCCCTAAAGCCGAGTTCGCCTAAGCAAATGCGATCTACACATGGATTCATTGCAAGGAACACAGGTGAATGCGAATACAACAGTTTCTACAAAAGCTTCTCTAGCAACCTCCGTTCTCTTTTCGATGACCCGGCAACACTCGTGTAACCATCCCAGGGCACTAGTGCACTATCTCCACGCACAGGTCTCCGCTGTTGATAGAGTCGCCTTTCATACTAGTGAGCCTACATGCCGTTGACATGGCCAGACGCACGTACCTTCGTGAACGACCACTCGTTTTACATGCCCGGAGACTGGTGCTGTTACCGCAGATTCCATCTTCATCGCACTCAGGACTAAAGACATGGGTTAAGCAAAGCGATCACCCTGGTGCAGAAGGAGCTTACCGCATAACGGGTCGCCCTTCTTGATCTCTTGTCCCTCTTTCACTCTTACTTCTACGACGACACCAGACATAGGAGCGCCCACGGAGCCAGGGTCAGAAGTGGCCTTCTCTCGGGACACAGTCTCCACTGCGGAGTTCTTGTCATCGACAGACACAGCACGAATCTGCAGCGGGCCAACAGGTTGAGAAGAATACCAGAAGTAACGAGTCAGAGACGTGCCTCTCCGTTCACTTCGAACCACACGTCCCTCTGGGCTCGTCCTTCCACAACAGGGCCGACTGCCATCAGGCGAATGATAAGGGTCTTGCCCTTCTCGATTGAAATGTGCATCTCTTCTCCGATCTCGGGACGGCCCAAGAAGTACCTCGTAGGTATGACACTGGGGTCATGTTCAATAATCCGGCATTGCTCAAAGAAAACAGCGTAATGCGAACCTCAAGTCACCATACTTCTCTACGAAGCTCTGGTAGTCCTCGAATACCTGTGACAAAAGTGAGCTCTAGATGATGCCCCCAGTGGCGTGAGGAGCATACCTTCGGGTACATCACATACGACGTCACATCCGAGTCAGTAATGTGCTTGCCGAACTTGCTCCGCAACTCTGCCTTGATTTTCTTGAAATCTAGGGGCGCCATGGTAGCACCCGGGCGTCCATCGATTCTCGGTTTGTCGCGAATGATCCGTGACCGCAGAGGCTCAGGGAATCCGCCAACTGGTTGACCAAGGTAGCCTTGGAAGAACTCCACAACCGAGGACGGGAAGTCAAGCTGATCAGCTCGGTCAATGACATCTTGCTTCGAAAGCTTGTTCTGGGTCATCCACTGTGCGAAGTCGCCCACGACCTTCGACGAAGGGGTAACCTATATATCAAGAGAGTTGAAGCATCTCTTCACAGGCCCAGCACACGGTTCAAAGTACCTTAATGATATTGCCACACTGCAGGGAAGACACTTAGTAGAGTACAGGAAGCTAAGACGACTTCCACGTACCAGTTCGTTCGCCTCGATGTACTTCCTCTTAATCTCTGTTGGCGGGTTAGCCTCGTACAGGTTTACTGCACAGACCAATCCTACCTGTCCACTGGGTACCAAGACCAAGCTGCGCTGCTTGGAACTATTCTTGGTCAGCCTCTCGCGCACGTTGAAAGATCTACAAAGACAATTTACCATAAGGTTTGTGTACTGGCCGCCAGGCATCTCGTGATCAAAGACACTAGAATCGGAGGCACGGACATTCGCCTCGAAGCAGCTGTAAAGCATCCGCACTTGACTCCAGTATAAGTTGAGCGCCTGGATGTCCGCATATCGGATACCCGTCCCAAGACCAGTCTGCTCAAGGGCCGCGCATACAGCACCCATCGGCGGCTGAGAGGTCAGGCCAGACATGCCTTTTGACAAGTCAGGACATATCGACTGGAATGAACTTGTTAGGACTTACTATCGATAGCCACGTCGACGACATCAGCTCCAGCCTCGGCACAGGCGAGCATGGATGCGGCCGAGATACCCGCCGTGTCGTGCGAGTGTACGTGGATGGGAAGGTCAGGGTATTTCTTCCGGATGGAACCAACCAACCTAAGATTGCCATTGTCAGTCAAAGCCTAACCTCACGCATGCATTACACGCACTTCCTGGCAGCCTCTGGCTTCAACAGACCAGCCATATCCTTGATGGCCAAGACATGAATGCCCTCAGCAACGAGCTGGTCGACGAAATCCAGGTAGTACTGGAGCGTGTACTTCGTCTTCTTCGGGTCGGCGATGTCACCGGAGTAGCAGACCACGGCCTCACAGACACCACCCGCCTTCTTTGCAGCGTCGATGCCGAGTTTCATCTATGACCATCTAAGTGAGATATAGTAAACGCAGAGGAAAGACTGGAGTTACGTTTTCTGCCGAATATTGTGCAGGTCAGCATCTCACAGGTATGTGATATTCATAAATACGAACCAATGTAGTTAAGGGAGTCGAAAACTCGGAAGATGTCCAGCCCGTTCTCCACGGCCTTCTTGGAGAAGTCGTAGATAGCGTTGTCGCTGTAGAGGTGCGTCAGCAAGCAAGAGAGAGTATCGCGCGTCTACTCACGGGTAGCTGGTATAACCGACACCATTGGCACCCCGGACGAGGGCTTGGAAGGGAATGTTAGGGACCAACTTCCGCAGGGTACGCTAAATCAAGGACGTTGAGAAATCGGGCCGAGTCTCAACAGACAAGCGAATTCACCAGACGCTCCCAAGGGTCCTCGTAGAGGAAACGCATAGCGACATCGAAGGTAGCACCACCCCAGCATTCCAAACTGTACGCATTCGCCAGAGCATAACTAGTCTCCTTGGCAATGTTGACCATATCCTGCGTACGCAATCTCGTGGCCAGCAGCGACTGGTGAGCGTCACGCCAGGTGGTGTCCATGATGAGACAGCCGGGATACTCCCGAACGGCCTTTGCGAATGCTTCAGGGCCCTTCTCGACGATGATGTTGCGCCAGCCCTGCTCGCACGGGTAAGTGGTGTCCAGCGGAGGCCCGTTGGGGTCCTCTCTGTTCTGGAAGGTAGGAATGACGATCTCATCCTTGAGACCGGGCTCGCCCTGCGCATATAGCGTCAGAAATTCCCGATAGCATGACTCATTGTTCTAGAGGACTTACATTTTGTCCTTTGATAGAGCTACCGTTGACAGCCAAGTCGCCAAGGTAAGCCAGCAACTTCTGGGCACGGTTCTGGCTCTGGACGAGCTTGAACAACTCAGGCGTATCGTCAATGAACTATCATATGGAACGCCTGGTCAGCTCAGCCGAAAACGACGGTTAATCGGAGACCTACTGTAGTCCAAGTCTTGCCACCGATGAAGACGTCGTGGGTTAGGAGTCGGAACAAGAAGGGAATGTTCGTCTAAGTTTCGCACATATCAGCTGCGTATTCTGAGCACGCTTTTCAAGGTGATTTTTTTTACCTTGACACCACGAATACGGAACTCAACAAGAGCCCGAAGCATCTTCCTGCGCGCAACCTCATAAGTTGTCCCGCTGACGGTACATTTCACCAATAAACTGTCATAGTGAGGCTGAAATGTAGTGCAATGAGCATCCTCGAAAGCATCGAAGAGACTCCACACCAACAGTAATCTGGGCCCCAGCAAAACCCGAGCTGGCGTCCAAGCGCACGCCATTACCGCCCGCGCTCCTGTACACCTCGATCTTTCCGGTGTCGGGCTGGAAGTTCTGCGCGGGGTCCTCAGTCGTGATACGGCACTGAATGGCGAAGCCGCGACGGGTGATGGCTTCCTGGGTGAGCCCGAGCTGCGTAAGGGTCGCGCCCGCAGCGATCTGAATTTGAGCGGCGACGATATCGATGCCCGTGATCTCCTCTGTTGACAGCAAATACAGTAAGAAATGAATGGCATACACGGCTATTAATTTCATTACGGAGACGTACCTGTGATGGTGTGCTCGACCTGGATACGGGGGTTAATTTCGATGAAATAGTGCCGCCCCATCTGGTCGACCAAGAACTCGGCGGTACCGGCGTTCCTATATCCGACACTCTTTGCCAACTTAATGGCATCAGCTAGGATGGCCTGTCTGACCTCCTCCGGCAAGTGAGTGGCAGGAGCGACTTCGACCACCTTCTGGTGCCGCCTTTGCACGGAGCAGTCACGCTCGAACAGGTGGACAGTGTTACCCTGAGCGTCAGCCAAAATCTGGACCTCGATGTGGCGAGGACGCTCGAGGAAACGCTCGATGAAGACAGTACCATCGCCGAAGGCGGATTTGGCCTCGGAGACGGCCCGCTCAAAGGAAGCCTTGAACTCGGACTGTTCCTTCACGACACGCATACCGCGGCCACCACCGCCCATGGCGGCTTTGATGATGACTGTATGCAGTATTAGGTATGAGACTACCGCATACGCTAGCACAACTTATGCACTAACCCGGGAAGCCGTACTCCTTGATGAATGCATCCGCATCCGTATATGAGTCGACTGGTCCAGGCGTTCCGGGCACTACCGGTACACCGCACTTGATAGCTGACATGCGTAGTTCAGTATCTATATGAGTGGAGTACCCTGGGCTATTCACCAATGGTTCTGGCCTTGGTCTTGTCGCCAAGAGAATCGATGACCTCAGGGGAAGGTCCGACGAAAGCAAGCCCGGCCTGCTCGACCTTCTTCGCGAATCCCGCGTTTTCAGAAAGGAAACCGTAGCTGATTGAAACCATAAGAATTTCATAGCAAGCAGTGAATGTGGGCGACCACTGACCCTGGGTGGATCATGTCGACGCCATGCTCAAGAGCGATCCTGATGATATCGTCTTGGGCCAGGTATGCTGCAACAGGAGTCAATCCCTTGCCGACTTGGTAGGCTTCATCCGCCTGAGCATATGATATCAAAGTGGATCGCGTCGATAAATGCCAGAGACAATACCTTCTGACGGTGAGCGGACAGGCGGTCCTCGTAGGAGAAGATGGCGACTGTATGCATCGCAAGCTCATGGGCAGTGCGGAAAACACGGATAGCGATTTCCTAGATCACAGAGAAATATTGAGGAGAGTATCGAGACCAACAACGCGTGTATACGCACGCCACGGTTCGCTACCAAGATCTTTGTCAAAGGGCCACTGTGGCCTGCACCCTTCCTGCGCATCGTCTGGATGGTGTGCACCGGGGTTCCCGGCGCACTAGGAGATCCCGCAAACATGGCCGACAGCCTAGGCGGGTGGAGGGTTTGCGATTTGTCCGTCGAGGCCATCGCTGAAATCTTTAGGGGAGAAGTCTGTAATATGCAGGAGTAAACGCGACCCGTTCCTTATACCGCAGCACTCAAGCTGTAGCGAGTAACGTACAGAGAAGTGCTCGGCTGTTCGTCGTTGTCGCCAGCCAAGAGCGCGATATGCAGGCGATGGCCCCAAGATGAGGTGCGTGCAAGGCCAATTGCAGAAGGACTGCAAACGACGTCAACGTGATTCTTATCTCGGACGCGCGGCTCTAAGAACGCGTCCTATACCCGTTCCATCTCCGTCAACGCCCGCCTTTGCTGACACCGTCGCCGACGTCCGCGCTCTGTCGTGCACAAAAGGAGCGTAAGGGCAATGCATCTCTACGACGTCCGTAACGCAAACCAGCAGGACGTCCGAGTTTACAGCCCGCCACAATCGACTGATAGTCGCCGGTCCGAGATCACTACAAATTCGCTTAATTGCCTCCAAAATCCGTAGGTTCTCCGTCGACATGCTATGCAGCCCTCATGTACCAAGTTATTCTTGGACACCGCTGGCTGAAGCTCTGTAGCTGCCATGAGAGCGTACACTTGATACCCGCCTCTGGCCCAGACAACCCCGTCTGCTGCCCGACCAATCGCCGCCACACCCAAGCCCGACGGGTATCCATTGGTGCACCCAAGACCGCAGAGGTACCGACGTCGAAGCTTCGATCCTCGCGACCGCTGCCAGCTTGAGTACTTCGATTGGATGCACCTGGATGCGAAGAAAGCCCGCGGTCAGCAGAGCCGCCGGTGCGGGTGCGATATATATCCCAAACAGTACTCTATCAGTCGTGGCAAAGAATTATATTCGTCGTGGCTTGAGTGATACAAAGTTAACTAGTCATAAAGCAACACTGATGGGACCGAGCAAGCTTGCCAGCGCGTCTGGTTTAGTGGAATGGGCAGGTGGAATGATGGATGATGGAGACAGCAGGCAAAAGGACAAGGGGCGATGATACATGTCATTCAGTTCAAGGGAGGGGATGGATAATTCAGAGTGGGATGTCAAATGAGATCGTGCACAATGCAGATAATGACCCTAGAAGCACAATAATATATACTTGAGCATGAGAAGCTTGAGCAAGTTTGACGGAGCCGCGGAAGACGCTCTAACGCGCTTCAGATATTTAAGGGAGGGATGGAGGAACCGGGGCTGTTGAAGAAGTTCGTCCGCTGGACGGCGTTAGATCCACGCGACTTTTGATTCGGATGGTGTTGATGATGATGGCGATACTTGAGCTGGCTGCTATGATTATGATGAGGGGGCGAGTAGGTTTTGCTCATCTGCTTCCTCTTCATCTTTTTCTCCTTTCGCAGCTCTTTCCGCGTCTTGCCTTGGTGATACGGTGCAGTCGGCAGCTGTTCACCGTGCGCTTGGGTGGGAGTCCGATCGCCATCGCGGACGGGCAGTATGACAGGAGAAATGACCACGCTCATCTGACGCTTCGAAGACTTCGAGCCTACGGGCTTCACGCTCTTGCGCGTGGGACCACGAGACGGACCCGCAGCCTGCTTGCCAGCATGAGGCCACAACAACGTGTTGCCGAAAGGACTGTCTGTGACTGCTCCAGCCGACACGGGCTCGACGTCGCTGCTAGGTATGGCATTACTGGCTGTCCTCGTCTGCCGGAAGGTATCCATCGGAATTCGCTCCCATCGGCTCAAGTTGCGAAGATGCCGACTCTCATCGTCGCTTGCTGCGCTGGACATGGACGCGTCGTCGTCTTCCATGCATTGGTCCGAATTCAGGAAGGAGTCGTCGAGGACGTCAGATAGATCGATGGTCACCGCGGACGCCCCCCGATCATCTCCGGGTAACGTAGAGTCCGTCAAGAACTCCTCAGTTGGTTGAGCTGACGAACCCGCCGGACCGGGAGTCTGAGGCACCCCAGGGGAATCCTAGAAGGAAGGTGTCAGCACATAACGTCCGCCGCGCATAAAAGAACACACACCATGGCCGCAGTGGAAACACTCTTCTTCCGTCGAGGATAGGGCGACGGTACGGCTGGATTCTGACCATTGATGATGGCTATACCTGTCACCTTCTGACTTTCTACAGGCTTGGCCTCGAACCGGCCCATGATAGGCATTCTGGAGTCTGAATGAACGCTGACGCTTCCGGTCCGACCCCGAGGACTGTCATGCTCGTCCTCCTCCTCGGGCGACCAATACATGCCGCCTCTACCCGCCAAGATATCAGCCGGGCGAGGTGAATCCCTCTGTCCAGAGGATTTTTCCAGATCGCGTTGTCCTCGCTCAGGGCTGACAGTATGGCGCGGATCGATAGCGGACAGCTTGGCCGGAGCGGGAGGAGGGGTCGGCCACCGGAAGAGAAGCATCGCACGCTGAGTGGGAAGACCGTCTTCACCTACAAAATCGTCGTCTGTTGTCTCTCCATCACTCTCCCGCAGCTCGACGCCCATGTTGTAATCGTCATAGCCGTCATTAGCAACACTCATCGTGGGCGAACCTTGCAGTGAATCCTCTCCGTCACGCATCTCCTCGTCCACCTCCTCCCCGCCGCCGCTCAAACTCCCGTTCTCGCCTCCCAAATCCCATTCCCAGACAGTCCCAGAAAGGCTCTGCCCGTCCTTGGGATGATCGCCCCATTCACCCGCCACTTCCAGCGCCAACCCACCGTCCAGCCTGAATAGGTCCGAGCCACCAAACATACTCGAGAAGCCGGCGGCGGCGACAGTCGCCAGAGACATGGTGCCCATGTCCACGTCCGATTCCGTCTCGTCGCCATCGGACATGGTACCGGTGAGCTCCTGGTGGGTCGAGCTCTCGCTGTCGGAGGTCAAGTTAGAGAAGAAGAGGTCAGCATCAAAGTTGGATTCCTCAGAGTCCGACCAGCTGGTCGCAACTCCAGTGTAACCGGATCCAACTCTGAAGCCGTCCTCTTCCTCATCCGCATCTCCATCGTTCTCGCCCTCGTCCTCCTCTTCCTCACCATCCGCCTCCTCCTCACCAGCAGTCTCAGAATCACTGTCGTCATCCGTGCTGTCCACCTCCATCTCACCGTCACTCGGTCCTACGCTCCTTTTCCTCGATTTGATCTCCCAATCACCGTTACCATGTCTTCGGCTAGTAGGATCGTCGCCCAATAACTCCCGTTTCACTCTCGCCTTATCGTGAGTCCGGTAGCTTTGCTGGATAAGGTAATTCTCTTCCTCCGCTTGGATGGACGAGTCAGATTCGAAGCCGTCGGTCAGTGGAGACGAGTCGTCCGAGTCAGAGTCGTCCTCCGATGACGATTCCGGTGAGGACGAGACGGCAGAAGCGGACATGAACGTTGGGAATTGGGCAGACTGGATGTCCGAGTCCGTCTCCTCGTCGTCGGAAACGGCGGCGGGGCGGGGCGCTGCCTTTCTCTTTATGGTCTTCGGAATGGTCTTTCGAGCGGTTATGCCGGTCGTGTTTCTGGCCTTTAATGCTTTGTTGCCACCCAGAGCTGGCTTCCTTCCAGTTGCGGTAGCTTTGGACCGCTTGGACACGAGTGAGCTTGCGAAGCCTGAACCACCCGCGTGAGGTTGAGTGGCAGCCATGGCGGCCCTGGCGGCTTCTCTCGCAGCGACGACATGCTTCGGAGGGCGCCCCCTGCGCTTCGGGGCCGAGGCATCGACTCCTAGATGCACTCCGCCCGTGGAGGGGCCGGCGAGGTGACTTGACTGTCCGTAGGGGGACGCTGCAGTGGGGGTGTTCCTCCCCCCATCGTGAGCGGGACGAGACTGCTTCCTGAACGCAAGCTGGGAAGAGGAAGAAGAGAGGCGCATACTCGGTGGCACGGTTAACTTGATCTTGATCTTGGGAGTGGGTACCGCGACGTGTGCCGGCACGGGCGACGACAGGGTCGCGTGCGGGGGAGGCACATCTGCGCTGACTGCCTGCCTGTTCCGGCAAGTGCACTCGGACTCGCAGACGGGGCAGACGTAGTCGTCCTCTTGGTCCGCGTCTGCATCCGAGGATAGTGAATTTGCGACGACGCCTACGGTATGGGGGTGAGTAGGCGACATTGCGGGAGTCGAGTGTTTTGCGGGATCTGTACGAAGACGTCCTTATGAGCAACGTTGCACGCAGAAGAATAAATACGATGATGTTATGCAAATAATTCAATCCACCCCGTTGACATAAACCGCTGGCCCTGTGCATGCGCAGGGCAATAGGGCATCCAGGAGAGAATATACGGCGTGTGACCAGACTCGGAACCGCGCAAATGACAGGAAGGAAAATACTGACTTGATAGATTCTTTTTGGCCATTTTTCGTGGCTATCAAACATGGATAAGTCTGTAAATCCAGGATGGAAGATATAGGGGGGCAGGGTGCAGAGGGGGGCTCGTGGCGGAGGCCACGATGGTCGTCGCTGTGAGGGAAGCTTGGGAGAAGACCGCGCAAACTGCCCGGGTTGCGTCGCATGGCGGCCCATCAATTCATGTTTTTAGTGCCGAGATCCAGCCCGATCCAGTCCCGTGACACCCGCCGTCCCTCAAAATATTCCAAGTCCTCCTCCGTCCAGACGCCACAATGCCTGAACATCGTATGTTTTCCTCCGTATTTTCCGTTTAGCCCCCTCTCAGACCCGCGTCTAGGCTTGTCTCTCGCCCAGCAAATTGCCCAGCTCGACGAGGCTGCCCCCATAGGTATGCACAGACATGCACAACTACGCGATATCTCGTTTTCCTTACGTGTTATCGTTCGAGGCAGATTTTGATCCAGATGACTTACACGCTGCAGGCCGTGAGCCTGAAGAGGACCAGGGGGAAGTTGCTGCAGGAAACGCGGCAGCCAGGGAACACTACGTAGACGTGGGGTGCGTGTTTTTTTGACGGTATCGATCATCCGATTTATTCTCGGCCCTGACTCTCCCCTCCTGGTCTTCCCCTTTGGAATCAGGCCGTCTGCAATACGGAAACTCCATGACAGCATTTCGGATCCGAAGTATGAGGGTGTGCGGACGAGCAGGAAACAGCTCATGGATACTGATGAGGATGAGGAACTAAGTGAGGACGATGTCGGCGAGGCTCCTCTTGACCATGAAGGCGATGAAGCAGAGTCAAGCGGCAGCGAGGACGAAGACGACGAGGAAATCCCCTCCGAGTCTGGCAGTGAAGACGAGGACGAGCCTCCGCCAAAGTCCACTAAAGCATTCTCCTCTCACGTGAACGACCATTCACAAGACCAGTCTGCACCCCCTGCCGAAGACATATCCTCCACACTTCGTAAAACTCGCGAAGAAGACCGAAAGAAGGGGAAAGCAGTTTCACGACAACTCGTATGTTATACCGGGCCATTCTCACGCTGTTCTCATCCATGCCTTGCAGACTCTATGGGACTCTATTCTCGACGCTCGTATACGCTTGCAAAAAGCCGTCACAGCCGCGAACCGTCTACCGCTCGTGCGTACCAGGTCTAGACTGCTTCCCAGGAATCCTCGCTCATTGACTTCCCTCCCAGCCGAAAGACTTGTCCACATATGCTGCCCACCCTGAGGTCCAGACGTCTCTGAACAAGATGTTCGAAGAGGCCTTGTCCCTATCAGATACACTATTCGATTTCCAAGAGGTATATTTATCCGTACCTCCTGCTCAAGATAGCAACACTCATTTCGATATACAGACGCTTCTCACCACAAATGATATTATCAAGTCCCCTCCGCGCAAACGGCGGAGAACGGGCGAAGATCAGGAGCAGCATGTCCCTGATCACGACTCTGCCATCCGGGAAGCAAGCGAAGCCTCTTCGGCTCTTGAACATGCGTACGTAAATATTCCCCCATAGTGCTACACAACCGTGGGAACAAACATCTTCTGTAGGTTTCACCCATACCTGGTGCAAACCCTAACCAAATGGTCGGCCAAAGTTCAAGCGGTGGCGCCGTCGGTACTGCTTCCCTCCACTCGCAATGCTTTCTCGCGGAATCAGAATCAAGTCAAGAGTGCTGTCCAGCTCGTCGACGAGGCTCTAGCAGACCGTACAAAGCTCCTCGGGCGGACGCGAATACGAAGAGGTGGAAAAGCAAGGATTGGTCAGGTCGAACAGGAAAATCAGGAGAGCAGCCCGGACAAGGAAGATCCCCGCGTATTCGACGACACAGACTTCTATCAGCAACTGCTCCGAGACGTCATATCCACGCGCACATCTGACTCCTCCCTCCTCCCCGGCGGCGCGGCGTACCCGAACCAAAGGGCCAACAAGTCGAAGCAGAAGAAAAAGGCCGTGGACACGAGGGCGTCCAAGGGCCGGAAGCTACGCTACGAGGTGCACGAGAAGCTGCAGAACTTTATGGTGCCCGTGCCCATGCACGCCGCACGGGGCGCGTGGCATGAGGAGCAGATTGATGAGCTGTTTGCGAGCTTGCTGGGGAAGGGCTTCGAGGACGCGGGTGGGATGGATGGGGTTGGCGGGGATGTCGATGCTGATAGGAAGAAGTTGGAGGAGGAGGCGGAGAGGGCTGTTCAGGAAGGATTTAGGGTGTTTGGGTGAAGGCTTGTGTGGAGTGTCGATTCGTTATTGTTGTGCTATGCGATCCTCCTCGTACTACTTCGGGCGTCAGTCAGCGTCAGTCCCGCGCAGGACCATCGTCCTGACCATCTTTTTTAGCTTTCTCACTAGTAAATCGCCATCCCAAAGACAGGAAACGCGTCAATATGAGTCGCGTGAAGTCACGTCTGTCACGCGCCGTGTGACATCAAGACGCGTTTCCAGTCCGGTGCATCTTTCAAAGGACCGCGTTACGCCTCAGTCATGTCTCAATCCCACCCAACGTCAGCGACGCAAGCCAAAGACCGGCACTATGCCCACCTTTCGGGCAGCCTGATCCGCTTATCGCACTCGATAGGCCAGACGGCGGACCTGTTCGCGGCGCTGCAGGTTGACCTGGACGCGATGCGGTTGCTCGCTGGTTGGCATGCTGCACAGTGAGTTGCTTGTGCTTAGGAATTTTTTTGTGATGTTGAATGCTCCTGTGCTGTAGGTTTATGACTGTAGGTGCTACGACGACTGAGCAAGTCATGCGGGCGGCGGAGCAGAGTCAGGACGGGGATTCAGAGTAGAATTGCTTCTGAAGTCGCATGTCTAGTCGGAGCCGGGAGATGGTATGGATGCATCTTGGGATGTCCCACCCGCTTATGGGCCCTTGCCATTGGACGGGGCCTACAAGCGGTTCATCGTACTGGGCAGACATTGCACGACGCGGCACGGACGGGTGCATGCCCTCAATGTAGCAGCAGTGCAACTGGGGTCTTCTGAGTATGGACTAGCCTAGGACGCGCATACATACACGACGCTCGAGCTTGTCTGCTCTCCGGCTATATTTGACGTTGTGGGCGCCTACTGTATGACGGTCAACACGTGGCGAAGGGCCTTCATTAGCCCCTTCTTGCTTCTCAGCCAGACACCCTACAAGTTCCATTTCCTCCACTGCTTATATTTGTCTACTGTCTTTTCTGTCTGCCAGTATACCCAAGCACTGCAGTGTCTCATACGCCCCTGGAAAGAACCCTGGTGGAAAGCGATTAACCACGCGAAAGCAGAAAGATGCCTGCCTCGCCGCGGCCGTCATACGGCGACAGTAAGGGGGGAGAGTACAAGTTTGTGGCGCAGGAGGAGCCGGACGTTGTCGAGATGAAGAAGGCTTTAGCGACGGGGAGTGCGGGCGCCAAGGAGGCCCCGGTGTCTTCAGGTGAGGCTTGTATTTCGCGGTGGGACATGGGTATATGCTAACTGTTTCTCGGTCCTATGGCCTGCAGTTCCGCCCATTGTATGCTACTGCCTCGCGTCCATCCTCATGACCGTAGTGAACAAGGTGTGCATACAAGCCCTGCTCTACATGCTAGTCACAGCCGCTCACGTCCATTCAGTTCGTCGTATCTGGGCGAAATTTCTCCATGAACTTCCTCCTGCTGTGCATACAGTCATCGGTGTGCGTGTCGTGTGTGATGGTCGTGAAGAAGCTCGGGATCATCTCGTTCCGCGACTTCGACATGAAGGACGCGAAGGCGTGGTTCCCCATCAGCTTTCTGCTCGTTAGCGTCATTTATACGGGATCGAAGAGTCTGGTGAGTGAGCGTCGTAGACATGTTCTTCTTTCCGTCAAAGAAAGAGTGGGATTAAGTACATGTCGGCAGCAATTTCTTAGCATTCCGGTGTATACGATATTCAAGAACCTTACGATTATTCTAATTGTGAGTTGTGCTATCCCTGCACCTCGTCTTCGCGGCGCAATGAAGTCTAATGGGAGAATTAGGCATATGGGGAGGTTATATGGTTCGGCGGGAGGGTAACCGGCCTGACATTTGTGTCATTCATCTTCATGGTGAGCGAGTTCAAGTCATATTCATCGCAAATCAAGGGGCCACGTATGCTGATCGGTTGTCTGACTAGGTCCTGTCCTCCATTATTGCCGCTTGGTCAGACATCACAGACACGCTCCAGGCCTCTTTAACGACAGGCGAACCTGTGCCCAGTGTGGCTGGTCTATCCGGTGTCACGAATATCGTCCGTAACATGAACGTGGGCTACTTCTGGATGCTGATCAACTGCGCAACGAGCGCAGCTTATGTGAGTGACCTGTAGGGAAGTGATAGGCTGAAGACTGACTTGGCACAGGTCCTGGCTATGCGCAAGCGCATAAAGGCTACTGGGTTCTCGGACTGGGATTCGATGTTTTACAATAACTTATTATCTATACCCGTTCTCGCTATATTCTCTATAATCGTAGAAGACTGGGGCTGGGAAAACCTGAACAGGAATTTGTGCGTATCCTCCCGGCTCGGTCGCGTGCGCTGTACTGATGATTACTGCAGCCCGCCCGAGACGCGGAATTTCCTGCTATTCGCGATCGCGTTTTCTGGCGCCGCTGCTGTTGGCATCTCGTACACGACTGCGTGGTGCGTTCGCGTCACGAGCAGCACGACCTACAGGTACGCCAGGTCCCCCCGCCCGAAAGCGAGCCTTATTCATGGTTGAGTTGCAGCATGGTCGGCGCGTTGAACAAGCTGCCTGTGGCAGCGTCGGGGATGATATTCTTCGGCGACCCCGTGACGTTCGGTTCAGTGTCGGCGATCGCGGTCGGGTTCTTCGCTGGGTTGATTTACGCAGTGGCGAAGAACAACCAAAAGAAGGCGGAGGCACGGACTCAGGACCCTGTTATACCCTTGTCGAGCCGAAAGTAGATATGTCGGGCGGGTACCAGTGTTTGTCTTGATACCATACGGCAATATACATAGACGAGGATGCAAGTGGAATAGACACTTGTGTGGATGGCCAGTTGGAGGGAAGCCGTGAGAGACGCTGCGGTGACGTTCCACGGCAAGCTCAGGCGGTGCGCTACTAATAACGCGTACGAGCGTGCATACTTAGCCTCCGCTCTTCCAAGGACGCACTCGGCCCTATTTCCCTCCTGCTCATCATCTACCCGCTCTACGCCGTCGCAGAACACGTCGAGCAGCAGCCATGGACACATTCCACGACGAGAACCCCTTCGAGATCGACTCTGACCGCGTCCCGTCAGAGTCCTCGTCCACATCCCAGGTCGACGTCTCGGCGCCGTCCTCGCCGCCCCCGCGTTCGTTCGTGCCAGAATCGCCGCCCCCGCGCACGGCCACGCAGAACCGGCCGTTCCCCTCCCCCGGCTCGGGGACGCGGCAGACAATGTACAAGAACGACTTCTGCTGCTCCAAGGACCGGTGGCTGCACTCGGGCGAGGACGTGGAGATTCTGGCAAGTGCGTTTTGCGCTGGTTGAGTGCGGGGAGCTGACGGGGATAGGGCCGTGAAGATTACAGATGCGCAGAAGACCACGGTCAACTCGAGTTCGCCGTACATCACGTATGTGATACGAGCAGGCGTGAGTTATCTCGAGCAATATGGTTGGACAGACATTGAATATGACCATGTCGGTCTTGTGTAGAATACGGAAGCTCGCCACCGGTACTCGGAATTCGAATCTCTGCGCCTCAATCTAGTCAAGTTGTACCCTACGCTTATAATCCCTCCTATTCCATCCAAGCAGTCATTAGGTGACTATGCTATCAAGCAGGGGAAAGCGAAAGAGGACGCTGCCATGATTGCCCGGCGGAAGCGCATGCTACAGACGTTCCTGAACCGGATAGCGAAGCATCCTATCCTCAGCAATGAACATGTCTTCCATAGATTCCTGGACGGGGAGGTTTCATGGGTCCGTCTCGCTGCATTGGCCCTTGGCAGCTGATCTGCTCACAAAAGATACGATAGACTGAAGTGCTAAATTCCCCGCCGATATCTCTCCTGCCCAAGAACATCCTGAAAGCGCCCTCGCACAATCCAACGGACCAGAGTTCACTACAAGCCTACGCAGCCTTACCGAACCCGTCCGCCGCGCACCCGCTTCGCCGGCCAGATCAGCGGTTCTTGGATTCGGAGACGTTCACCAACAAGTTTGCGTCGCATCTGAGCGGGCCGATGGAGAAGGTAACGAGAAGGACTATGAAACGATGGTCAGGTATGATTCCGATAGTTAGCGTCCTCGTCCATTATCTCTGATCCGGTATGATCGTCTTTAGACTATGCACAAGACCATCAAGAACTCGGTGCCACCCTGAATGGATTCAGCTTGAATGAAGAGGGTCCTCTCTCAGCTGCAGTGGAGAAGACCGGACAAGCCGTAGATGCAACGTTCATGTCCACAACGCGCCTGGTGAGCATCACATTCTCTCCCTTATCAAGCTTCGTTATGAACGCGTCGGTACAGCTCCAGGAGCTCGAGCAGAACTATGCCGAGCCGCTGCACGAGTACACGCAGTTCGCGTCGATCATCAAGAAGCTGCTCGCGTATCGCCACCAAAAGCACGTGCAGTACGAGATGACGCAGGACGCGCTCGAGGCGAAGCGTGAGCAACTCGAGGAGCTCGAGAAGAGCGAGCGCGAGGCGCGCCGGTTGGAGGAGGCGCTGGGCACGGGGCGCCTGCGTGCGTCTGCGCCGTCGAGGATGCAGAGCGAGGGCGGTGAGGGCGAGGGCGAGGGTGATGGGGAAGGTGAGGACGAGGGAGAGCGGTCGAGGATTGAGGATCCGACGTCGGCGTACCTGCCGCCTCACCCGGGGCCGAACCCGGTGAAGAGGCGCGCGCCGGGTATGGGTCTGTTGAGCGCGCTGAGTTATACGTTACATGGGATGATCGACGTTGACCCGGAGACTGCACGTCGGAATGGTATTAGCAAGACCAGGGAGTCGATATCACACGTGAGTACTGGATGAATTGGTGCTAGTTGTGATGCTGAACCCGCGTCGGTATAGCTGGAGGATGCACTCCACCTGTCCGCGCAGGATCTCAAATATTCTAGCTCGACGATCCAGGCGGATTTGGATCGCTTCCAACGGCAGAAGGTGGCGGATTTGAGGGAGATGTGCATCAGTATGGCAAGGAGCCATCGAGACTGGTGTAAGAAGGTATGATATTTTTCCTCGGCAACTCTTATCAACGATCACTCAGCTTCGGTGCCGTAGAACCTGGAAGCTTGGGAAGAAGCGAAGAAGGAAATTGCCACCATCCCGGAACATCCGAATCACCTGCCCCAGGATACTGCTTCCACCTCGGGTGCAAGGCGAGACTCGACCGCTACAGTGAATGGGCGATAGCCCGTCTTTCATGTGCTCTGATAAGATTTCACTAGGAGGTAGAAGCTTTTTATAATTACGTTTCCGGGACGATTTATATTTCTTGAGTTGTCTCGAGCTCGTTTTCTCCGTCGTGTAATTATGCTGCACTCACCTGTACATTATATCATAATGCAATACGTTTAGAAGGTTGGTTTGGGTAACAAATTTTGTCATTGTGGCTTCTTGGCATTGGACGCCACTTACATCTGTGGCAGTGACATCGTGGCGACAGCCCTGATTCGCCATGTACTTTGATCTGAATCCTCTACGTGTACAACTAGCAAAACGGGTATTACTCCCGGAGTCAGTTGTCTCGTTGAAGCATATGAAGGTACGACGTGAGCATGATCCTTGATCATTCATTGAATTGAGAAACCATCCGTAGCCCCAGTCAAGCATTGGCGCAGAAGAGCTCACGGAAGATAGCTATAGGTCGATACGCCTCAAGAACTTGAACGGGGGTCCTGAGTGGTTTCACTCCTCCAATACTCCCTAGCCTTTCTTTCCATATGGCGGATGACTTGGGAGCTCGCAACCCCGCTTATTGCCTTCCATATGAACTTCTTCTAGAGGTTTGGAAACACGCCCGAAGCCAAGGCTTCGTGTCAGAAAAGGGACGGACGTGGATACCAACCGCATTCACCGTCTCTCAGGTCTGTAAATGGTGGAGACGCGCAGCAATTACTACGCCGGATCTGTGGCGGGAGATCCGATTTCTTTCCAATGCACAGACACCGAAGATTGTGGAGATGATCAAGCTACAGCTCGATAGATCCGATGGCCGGTCCCTCGATATCGCTGGCAGACTTTGGTGTAGCGGGCCGGCTGCTTCGGCCATCTTCCAACGGGAGAAAGAGGTTGCCCACCAGCTTCTATCCCTCTTGTCCAGATATGCCCTTCAGTGGGACTCGTTCAGCATCGTGGTCGAGGGCGCAAGCGCTCTGCGAGATTGCGACACCATGCTAGCCCTCATTGACAACCTCGTATGCTGTGTAGATGCTCCCCATCTCGAGCACCTCCAGATCGAATGCTCAGGGTACCAGGGACAGCGGTACGGTGCAGTCTCGCGCTGCAGACATCTTAGGCTCGAAGAAGGCCTCTGGAACGTATCTCACCTCCATTTACGCAGCGCGTCGGTCGATCTGCAGGAGACCCCACTGGCTCGTCTGACTACGCTTGACATAGGCTGTCTGCCCCCGGACCTTCGATTCCTCCTCTCGGATTTCGGTGAAATCCTCACCCGCGCCTCGTCCCTTTGCTCGCTTTGCTTCACAGGTCCTTGTCTACAGGGCGGATCATTGGGCTACGGGCCGATACATATGCCATGCCTGCGCTCGTTGACGTTCAATGAATGCAGCAGCGACCTCGATGATGATGGCTTCATGTTCGAGCTCCATTGCCTAATCTCAGCGCCCAACTTAGTCTCTCTCGTTTTGGGTGGCCTGCAGTATACGGCTTTGCGGGATTTCCTCCGGTCAACTGGCGGGGGCATCCGCCCTAAGTATCCTGCGCTTGCTCGCCTGTGTTTGCGCAATGTGGAGACGTTTAATCTGGTAATTCCCAGTGCGCAGATGCAACTTGAACTCTGTGCGGAACTCGCTCGTCGTTTTCCTACGATTGAGCATCTGGAGCTGGAGAATAAGTCCTGCTTTCTGCTGTCGTCACTTGTAGCCGACACACAAAGAAACCCTTACCTATTCCTCTTTCCTCACCTCTGCAAATTATCCTGGCTCCCGCTTCGCGCTGGAGATAGCGATTCCATCAAGAAATACATGACTGCTCGTGCGTCAGCTGGCAAGCCACTCACAAGCCTAAGGCTGCAGGACTCTCGCTTCGTGCGAGTTAGCAAGTCCGATATCGAGTGGTTTGAGAAACGAGTGCAACTCGAATTATCGAGTCACATTCAGGATCCGGATCCCTATGAGTGGCCTGGCCAAGTAAGTCCACCCGCGCAAGCCCTGCAGTAAATTCCTAATCCTTGGCAAGGACTTCACGTCGTCGAATCCGTGTTTCTGTAGACGAAAATAGCCGGTCTCAGCGGATTCCCTGGGCAGACGGTATTTTTCTGCGCGCACTTGGTCACTCAAGGTTGCAGAGCAGCACTGGAAGGTTAAGGTGAGGATAAAGATGCAGGCAAGGCATCTTTCATGGGCAGCTGCGTGAACCGAGATCACGGCGAACGATAAAACTCTCCTCATGCTCTCAGTTGCTTGACGCAGTAATTCCAGCCTCATCTATTCGTGTGTAGGGCAATAACATCCAGTGGATTAAGTTCCTGCATATTCACTGGCTTAACCATACAATAGCAAGAATTATAGAAATTACTCGATTTAATCGCCCTATCTACAAACGTAATGTCCTCAACGTCCTCCGTGTCTAGAGATGCTTGTCCGCGGGCGGGTTGTAAACTAAAGGCATGAATGTCAATACTGGGCAGAGTGCTGACACCAGGGGAGCATACCAATTTTCCTGTTCTTCACAACTGTCCACTTGAAGCGCTTTACATACACACTGAGAGCGAAGAGAGCGGAGAACAGGATGACGGCCTTTAAGCCGGTCTTCTTCCTCTCGTCGTGCTCCGGCTCAGCCGCCCAGTTCAGGAACGTCACGACGTCCTTAGCCATCTGAGAGGTCGTAGCGGGCGTGCCTAATAGTAGGCAGTCATTAGACAGGAAAATATGATTAACCGATTAACACTGACCATCCTCGTACTCGACCAGACCGTCGAACAGAACACGAGCCATAGCAATGGCAGTACCGGGGAAGTAGGGGTTGTAGTTCAACCCTTCACGAATCTCGACGCCAGCTGGCGGATCAACGTAACCGGTCAGGAGAGAGAACACGTAGTCCTAAGGGCGAAGGCAAACATGTTACTCCTCTCCTTTCTTCGCAGACCCAAAATAATCACTCACGGCACCACCGTGACGAGCCTTGATGATCAAGCTGAGGTCTGGGGGGAGGGCACCTCCATTCCCGGCACGCGCAGCCTCCTCGTTCGCGTATGGTCCCGGCATGTAGTCCGAGAGCTTTCCGGGCCTCTGGAACATCTCTCCCTGGTCATCCGGACCGTCCTCGTACTCGACTTCTTCCGCCATCGCCTTGACCTCGTCTACAGTGTGCGAAACGCCGACCAAGTTGCGCCATGCGATACGGTCGAGGGAATGGCAAGACGAGCAGACCTCACGGTAGACTTGGTAACCTCGTCGGATGCTGGGGGAAAAGGTGCGTGAATTATGACTTGTAAATTGCAGAAATTGTGAAGGGGGTCTTACCTGGCATGGTCAAAAGTGTCAAATAAACCTTTGTGCGGCCATGGGTAAGCGGCAGGGTGGAGACCTTCGTCGGCGAGTGCGCTCGCGTGCACTTGACCGATGAAAGGGAGGCTGCCATAGAGGTGGGCATACCAGGCGACCGAGCCGACGGTTAGGAGGGTGGACGCAGCCAATGTCGCCCGCGAGTTCAAGAACGACTTCGCCACTATTCAGCCCCCCTAATCCACGACGAAACTCGATCAAAACGTACCTGGAAAGCCGATGAAGAGGCGGAGGCAGACGAGGCGAACCGTACCTGTTACCGTCCGCAAACATCAATGTTCCTCGCCAGAGGCTGATACTGTACCAAAACGCACCGTTGAACCGCGCGCCCCGGACAAACCTGCGCTGGTCCGCTGACTGGCGAGCCTTCCAGCCCTAGAGAGGGCGCCCGCCGGCACTCTCGACAGCATTTTGGAGGTGCAGGATATTTTGAGAGGGAGAGAATATAAGGCGTCACGCGTGACCGCTGCCAGCGGGACGGGTCGGAAACTGCATTCGCCCGCCAATCATCCGCGTCTGGTTGCGTTATCGCCGTTCGTCGCCAACAACCGGAGCGGCACTGCGAGCAGCCTCGAGTCGACGTCCAGGACACTTGCTTCGGCCATCTCTACGACAATGCACCGGTCTATTTCACAGAAGGCTAAGGCTGACGTTCAGGAATCAATAAGAAGGCGCTAGTGTAAGGGGTAATAGGTCGGAGCCTTAATTCACCGAGTAAATTAACAGTCGCGGTCTGGGAGGGCTAATTCACCCTGCGTAATTCACGGTTAATTAACCAGAGGGGGTCCGGGGCGAAGCCCCGGGATAAAGAGCTATTTAGCGTTAATTAACGCATTAATTAGGTATATTTTACGGGTAAATTAACCGTCAAATAGATCATTTCGGTATGCTACCACTTATCCCATTCCAACGGCGTGTCATCCATAACCGCATCATCCGACGCATCTCTATCGCTGTCCACGGCCTCTACGGAGGGCCCCTGTGGAGTGTCAGAGAGAACATCGAGCAGAAATGGCGATGCTAAGTCAATCAAGTCATTAAGCTTGAGATTACCAGTGTGCGGGATTGTCAGTCTGTCTCTCATCACTTTTGCCGGGAGAGTTCTTGTAGGTTCATCCAACCATGTCACGTCATCATCGATTACTCTCTTGACACCTTGCTCTTGATCAGGCTCTGGAAGCCTTGTTGTGGTGCCCGCATTTCCTCTTGCGGTACCCCTACGTGCGAAAATCATTGCTTGCATATCCCGCCATTTTGGCGTGGGCATACGGAGCGGGACAATGGTCTGGCGGGAGGTTTATATCAGTACGTCGGATGTTTCTAAATATTATGATATACCTCTGGGTCCCAACGTTCCCACTGGCGAATTGCTATGTTGTTGTTGAGGGTCCCGATAGACATAGTGCTCCTATGGCCCTGAGAGAGCCAAGTCACAGTTGACACGGAGCGCTCATCAGCCATGGAGTTCACCGAGATTGAGTAGATCTTCACAGCAAGGGCCTTTTGTTACAGAAGCATCATGTCAGCCTTAAATCCGACGAGGCTAATACAACTCACCCCGAGGACACGCCCGAGCTCATCCTTTCGCACCGCTTTCCACCAGTCCAGGACCGTTTCATTACTACGGAAACGGCGATTGAAAGGGTCTCGACCTTTCGTGTAGTTGTCAAGTTCATTGCGCAATGAGTTGATGGCTTGCGCTGGAATAATGCCGGCGAGATCAGGGTTGCGTAGTTGCATGAGGTTCTCTATTTGCTTAGGACTCTTCATGTTTACACCGTCTCCGTATTCTTTCTTCAGTAGACGCAGAAGGCTCAGCCCCATCTCCTTCACAACATCCTTGTCCGACAACCCTGATAGAGTGACAGGGCCTGCCTCGGTACGTTTAATTGTTACTGCTGGCACTGCAAGAGGATTTCGGTGCTTGAAGATTGGTGCGTTCCGATACCCTATTGATGCACCATGAGCAACTACTTCACCAGCACCGGTCGGCAGTAGACATACTCGGATCAAGGAAAAACGCCAAAGCGTATAAGTTGTCCGGTTGCCCGGTAATCATCTTCTCGAAACGTGTGTTCGTGATCGCACGAATCTCTTCAATTGTTGCAGTTTCCAACCCAACAGCATTGCTTTCGAATAGCTGACTTAGCTGTGCGAGTATTGCCAGCCAAAATAGGAATACGTCGCCTGCGGTGGTCCTTGAGTGCTCCAAGCATTTGATCGCCTTCGAGAAGGGCCCAAGAATGGCTATGAGTTTGGTGAGCTGTAACTCCCACTGTATCGTCTTGACAGAACCGCGCTCAAGAAGGGGATCTAGGGTTATCCCAAGTGTTATGCCCAGGGACTTATCATCGAGGATTGCTCGAAACGCCTCCATATTCCGGCGGACTGATTCGGCAGACCAGTATACCGTGCCAAATCGCGTTTCCCCTATGAACTCGAGCCCTCGCCCCAGGTCAAGTCGTACGCGGGCTTTATCGAACAACTCCGTCGCATACCCGGAACGACTCATGAATGCGAGGATCTCGCGAAGAGGTCCAATGATCTAGTGGCGTCGTAACTTAGTCCTTATATCAGTAACAAACACGGTTATGTGCACTGACCTGTTTGATCTCCTCTAGCCGGCATATATCCTCAATCGCCAGATCTAGCTCATGACAGCAATCCTGCATATTCACTATATGAGGGTAGGCGGCGCTAATCAGTCTCCGAGCGGCGGCCGTATTACTGGCGTTGTCAGAGACAATGCCGGATACATTATGAGGACCGATCTGAATCAACCACTAGTTGAAAATGTCAGTCTGAGCCTTGTTACAACCTTGAAGGAGGTCTGACTTACACGCTCGATTATCTCCTTGATCAGGTTGGCGGTATGACTCAATCCCGACACGTCACTTAACTCCAGCAGTAGGGCACGCCCCTCCGCAGTGGTTGAATGCACCGTAAAGAAGCTTCTTTTCTTCTTCTTTCCTCCATCGAAGGTCAACGTTTGATGACGTTCCCGTGGATCCTGAAGTAACTCGATTGTCATGACTTTGACCTTAGCTGCCGCCTGAGGTAAGAGAAAGTCCCTTATCCATGACGAAGAGGGTGGCTTATAGATCGCATTCAGCGTTGCAGAATACTTCTTGAACTCTGGCGCATCCGCGAGTGTGGGTGAGAGGCCGCAGCATGCAAGCATGCTGACGAGATCACGGTCCGCGTTCGTCTTCAGCCGTTTTCGCCCTTCAGTCTGGAAGACATCGGGCAGCATTTTCTGTGTGTTGGCTGTAACATCCGCCCGCTGCTTCGCTCGACTATCCTCAGCTTGTTCATTTAGCTTCACCGCTGCTTCCTTTGCAACGACCCCTGATTTGCCGTCTGCTGCGAGCGCCTCTGTGGCTTGGCAACGCAAGTCTGCGGGCATAAACTGACAGTTCATCGCATGCAGTAGTACCCTGGCCTTTGGGCGCTTCCATGCCCACGACGTCCCACACTCTCTGCTGCATATGCAGCGGGCGTGCTTCTTCTCGGGATCCGTGGAGTTCACCTTCCGACACGGCTTTGATATTGCGGGCAACAATGGGTGCAGTCTCACCCCTGCCGTACGATCGTCGGTGTCCTCCTCGGATGTGACATAGTCCGGGTCCTCGAAGCTCGTCATTATCAGTGTGTCTGGCTTACTAGCCGTGTCTTTCTTCTTCTTTGACTTTCCGCTCGCCTTCGCGCTATCGGACTGCTTCTTGCGCTTTGTTCCGGGAGTTGGCTTTTGCACTGCTTGCTCTTTCCTGCCGCTAGATTGAGATGTCGCACTTGAGCCACCATTTTCGTTTCCCACTGGTATTTCCGGGCTTTGACAGTCGGGGATCTGTTTCATCTGGTGAGTGTCCCGAACATCTGGCATACGAGGCTAAATATGGCACGGACAGGTTCACCATTGAGCTCGTATATACGCTTTACGGATGTCAGGATGTCATCAAGCCATTTATCAAGGTAGAAGGATTGCGGGGATAGCTCCAAGTACCGATCCAATACATCTGCAAGCGCTTCAAGCCCTGGGCCTCTCTCCTTCACCTCGACATATCCCGGTAACCGTGAGCCCAGTATTGCCTCAAGTTCGCGGTTTACAGCAACATCAAGGCCTTCCTCTTTGATCCATTCGGCATCCGGGGAAAATTGGTGGAATTTATATTGAGAGTCTTCTGCGGCTCGGTATGGGATCGCAGATGGAAGAGACTGCAAGTACTTCCGTAGAGTAGGTATGCGCTTGTCTGACATCGTGCAGGCGGGACGAAAAAAAGGCCACTAGAAATTGGCCGAAGCTTTTAGTTACCGGTCAGGCAGCCACGGGCCTGCTATACCGACACATTTCTCAATGAAGTACATATACCGTATGGATAGTCTAATGTAAGAGCGTACAGATATAACTGCAGTAGCCACAGGGAGGCACTAGGGATACAGACAGGACAAGGGGACCTCTCCTCCGAGGTTTACCCCTATTTCACCCTGATTCACCGGGTGAATCTCAGGTTCGCCACAACCGCCGGTTAATTTACGGTGAATTACAGCCTGTTAATTAACTCGGTTAATTACCGCCGCCTATTACCCCTTACACTAGAAGGCGCGTTATGAGGGGAAGATATAATAGGTGTAGTCAGCAGCATGTTCTCTGAGAATACCTACTTGTACACGCAGTGAAAGCATCTCAGCTGCTGGCGTCTGAAAAGTGGCGCGTCGCAGCCACTAACGAGTTCAGAGGAAAAGACATAATTAGCCATAAGTGTCTAGTACATTTGGGCATCCTAAGATTCTCCAAGATCGTGCAGGCGTGTCCGTGAATGAGAACAGATATACATCTCGGGAATAGGTAGCAACAGCAGGCAGACTCGTGTCGTCTCCACCAGGGAAGGAATGATCAGAATAGACAGTCGCAAACCTCTGTGGACCATCCGTTAGCCATAACAAATTGTGCAAATCGGAGTCGGACGAACCCTCAGCACAACAACACAAGCACATTCCGGCTAAGCAGGCCGTGCATCCTCCAGCTCCACCTTTGTCCTGCGCCGGTTGTTGCCTGGGCGTTGGATCAATCTCAATGACAACTATCGTACGATGACAGATTCAACGTACACGTATACAGTCTGCGGAGGTGGCTGAGGCTGGTACCCTCCGTACCCGGGCTGGCCACCGTAGCCTCCTCCCTGGTATGCTTGCTGGGGCTGCTGCGGGTAGTATCCGCCTTGCCCGGGAGGTGGTCCTACACAGCACCACAAAACACGCTCAGCGCTCGTATTCCAAAACGAATACCTAGGGTACTCACCTTGCGGCGGGTAATACTGGCCCTGCGGCTGGCCACCACTGTAGTAATCTTTGTTCGACATGGTATTGGGATGGTTGTTGAAGATGAGAGAGGTGAGGGCAAATGCAAGGCGCTGCCTCGAGCTTGTCTTACCACGGTGCGGGGCAGTGCCGACTGTCTCGGGCCGACCCGACGCTGCGTAATTACCCTTACACGTGGGCTGCTATTTTGGGAAATGTGGCGCTGCAGCCGCCGTTCAGATTGAAGTTCAACCATGATTGTGAATGTCGAGGTGCAGGTCATCCGGTCTCTGATGGGTGAATCTGCAGTATGTAGTAATATGTGGGTTGTATTCCATTCTTCAGAGTTTTTACATTCATTTTCTATGTGACACGGACGATGGAAAGGCGCAGCAATCGTGTACACATTGCGGGCCTAGTGACCGTGACAGTACTAGTGTGCGCATGTCCGTGGGCAAAGATTCGCAGGCAGGCTCGCAGCTGCCAATGTCATGACTGCGCACCCCGCCACAAGAGGCGCGTGATCAAAAATCAAAAATCCTAAAGGACGTGTTCTGATTCTTCTGAACCACGTCCGAGAAAACGTGTTTCGGCATGGGGAAATAGTCTCGTAAGTAACCAGACTCTTTGTAGGGAGGCGTACGATCCGATGCACGAACCTCGAATCTACCGTAACGGCAGTTAAGCCACAAAACACATACATTTTCCCTTCCCGCCTTCCTCTGGGCCTCTCACAGCGGGCAAGGACCGGTGTCCCGCCACTGGTCATTCATCTTTCACGGCAAGGGTGCGAGAACACTTTCCTAGGATGCTCCATAGCAGAACATGATACAGACATAAAGAATGAAAGGACAATGTTAATTGAATGTCCCCTGATTTTTGGGGACTATAGTAAATGTCCCGCAGACCTTTCTTTGTTCACTCAAAGGACATTCTTCATGTCCAGGTTATGGTCCAGCAAGGACCATTCTATGAAAGTGTTCTCCCATCAGGGAGATGTTCCTGGCATGCCCGCCAGCAGGACATCAGTCTCTGCCTGCAGTGTCTGCTCCGTGGGTCCGCCATCGGGACTGGTTAATGATTTTCCTACAAGTCTAATGTGGAAAGGGGCTGGGATCTACATATATCATGGTGTGTACCATCGGGTAGGCTTGATCCCAGCCACTTCGCAATTCAAGCTCCACTTGTAATACTCGCTACACTACGAACAGTGCGAAGCGGCTGGGAACCACGGTCGCTGTTTTGGCAGGATGCTCGTGACGCGCGCCAACTGAGAGTGGGACTTCGTGATTTGAGAGCCTCATAACTCAGAAAAATCATGTCTTGGGAGCTTTACACCATTGTAGGTTCAAAAGGCCATAGATTCATTTGACATAGGTCAACCTTCGACACATTTAGACTGACTCATGGAGAGAATTCTCTTTTCTCACCTATTTCAATCAACTCCATTTGCTTCAAAAACATCATTGGACTACGTATCCCAGAGATGATTTTGTATGACTGAGAGGGTGAATTTTTCCAAGTCAGAGTCACACTTGGCAGGGGAAAGGCGTGACCCTGCTACATGTATTCCCGCTACCTTTGGTAGTGGGTTTTGACGTCCTTGATGTGGACAACTTACATAGTAGATTTGCAAGATCAGGAGAAACCTGCCCTAAAGTCCCAAAAAAGGGAAGTATGACATCAAAACATATCACAAAAGGAAACAGAGGGTGAATGGTATTGAATGCCGGCCCACTGACACAGTAGTGACAGGCAGAGGAACTTGAACACTCAGGCAAGAGGGATGCATAGAAGTGGCAGGACATTTGATTCATAAGGAGTGGTTGAGACCGGACATTTGAAGCTTGAAGAACATGCCTGCCTTGTTCAGTTCTGATATAAATTTCCGAGAGTTGTGGTGATATGTTATACATGTCCTGGACCATAGGTCTATGAAATTATCAATACATTGCAGGAGGTTGAGGAGCCCCATTCAAAACTGCTGTCTACACACAGTTCAAGTCAAAGGTAGTGGGTTCTGCTGTGCACGAGCGCGGCCCTGCGGCCTTATGTGACTGTCCGTTGTCACCAGTCCGTTCGCAAGCTCACGCCTTCATTCCAAGACCTAAAAAGGAAGGCATGTGCATTGCGTACAGGACTGGTCGCGAGTCTAACCATCGGGTTAAATTCTTGCGCTTACATCACTAACACAGCGGACAAATGATGTGTTCAATTCCGCGGTTGTGCAGAAATTGGACAGTCTGTCTCTTCAGGTGTCAAATTCCGTTGCTTGCCGGCACAGCGTCACGCAGTAACTGTGACGTCATCTCCAAAGCCCGGGCAAGTCTGAGTATGGCTCCAAACATGGGACCTATAGGCTATCGGATGTCATCAGCAAATTTATACCATTAGCATATAATCAATTAAAATAAGTACCGGTATTACAATATGTACCAGACTTG